TTGCTTCGATAAATAGAGAATCTTCTCGACTATGAGCTGCTCTTCATTATTGTTGAGTTTACGCGAGTTCGCAAGGGTTTGCGCGCGTGGGTGGATGCCGAGGTGTCTTTCGCGGAGGGTTTCAAATGGAACGTCGTATGCATTTGCTGCAGCTCGAAGAGATGGAACTTGGTGGGTAATATATGCTTGAAGGGCTAAAGAAAGTCTTCCCTCAGTTTGAGAGAGCATTGTAGGCAAATATTGTCATATAATAAGAGGAAGAAGCTCGAAGACGCGTTGTGGGCGCGTTTTGACCGGCTCGGTGGTGTGACCGGCTCGGTGGTAGGGTACGTTAATGATAATAACGATACAGTATGGAGTTGTGACCAACCCTAATTGCTGGATTCCCAGGTTCGCCAGTGGTAACCCAAACACTAAGATCAACCCACACCTGGGCACATCTGCACGATACTTTCGACAATGAACAGCCACGGAACTCAAGCAAGGCATTTGCAGCTCTTCGACACATGCAGCACTCCGTGGTTTATAAGACTCGACCGCACTGGTAGATTCCGCGACTTGATGACGAACCTCCGAAGTCAGATCGGCATGGCTGGATGCTGCTCACATGGGAACGGGCGTCCGTACTACGTTTTACAAGTTTGGCTGTGTCTCGATACCGAGGGCACATCCCTCCGGCCCGTAATAAATTACCCAGATATTGATCCAATGGCCACTCTAAATGGAATAATGTACGTGAGGAAGCCAGTGTCGCGAAAGATCGCCGCTTTATCTCGTGACCAGCTTACTGTGTTGTGGGGTTTGGCTCCGCGTAATTTTACATAATGATTATGGATTGGTGATCTGGACAATGTTCGCTTACGTCTAGTGGAACGTGGGTTACCACCTGGGCACCGAGTACAAGGCAGTATAGAGTACTACATTACTGTTCACAGTGTCATTGAGCGGTCGACAAGCGCAGGATAATGATACTAAGAAAAGTACATGACGACGGACACTTTCAACCACGAGCGGGACGTCATAGGCTTTCCCTTCGCTGCTCGTGGCGGAGCAATTCCTTGCCTGCAAGTGTTTTTTTTAGTTTGCACGCGAGAAATGCCCGCCCCGCGCGTCGTCGTCTGCCCAGCCCGGGGTGCTGGCAAATACGCACATAATCCAGTCTTGACTCTCCACTACCAAGACTCGCCAGTCAAGTGGGAGGACATATGAGACCTTGACAGTCCCAGGTTATTCCATTTGATATCCATCACTGGAAAATATCTTCACCATTTGCGCGCTCGTCGTAGAGTTGGGCTCAAGTCCAGTGAGAGTGAGCGCCAGTCGAGGCAGTCGGCACACGTACCACCTGCCTCACATATCGTCATGGCGGAGTCCGCCCCGAAGCCCGTGCTCGTTGTCGAGGAAGCACCGCCGGAGGATAGGCCAGTCACGCCTCCAAGCAACGTTCCTGTCACTTCCAACCGTCATGCCACTCTTTCTCCTCAAAACTCGCCCTCGCAAGTAAAGGACCGCCGACGCTGGAGTTCTAACAGTTACATGGCTTCGCAGTCCTCCCAAACTCGTTCGCGACGGGTTAACTCCTTGACTTCTTCTTCCAACGGGCGTGGCAATGTCAACCTGCCGGGAGACCTGGGTGCGAAAGATCCGCGCCGCCCGAGGTCGCCGGCGCCATCAGCCTTGCCAGGAGATCTTGGAGCCAGCGATCCTCGTCGACCCAGGAGCGTGACACGTAGTCCCGCGACGACCGATCGCCTTCGTCAGCTGAGTAGCGAAGGCGGCGTACGGATTCACGAGGACCCAGAGCCTGAACTGGAACCGGAAGCAGAGCAGCGCGGAAGTGAAGACGATGCCGACGATGCCGACGATGCCGATGATGATGGAAACGGCAGTCGGCGTGGTCGTGGAAGGAAACGACCAGAACCCGGCAAGACAACCTCGGGCAAATCCATCAATCTCAGAGCCGACAGCGAGGAATCAGAACCAGAATCACACTCGACAGAAACAAAATCCAAACCCGATCCTACCAAAGGCGAGAGTAAACTATCATTCCAACAAGAACGAGCCAACAGGGCTGCTGCGGCCCACTATGCTCGAAGGAGAATCGTACATCCCTCTACCGCATTCGACGCTGCACCCTCTGCTTATTCCACCCCTCTACATTCTGACGACGAGACGCACAATGAGCTACTTGCTGCCCAGAAACTCTCCTTGACCATGTCCCAAGTGCACAGCACACCCTCCGCTCACCGGGTTATTCGCCAGATTATCCGCGGCGACTTTGAGTACTTCCAGAAGCAAGCCGAGGCAGGGCACCAACGCCAACGCATGTACCTCGTAGCTACTGACATATCTCCCGAGGCTGAATACGCACTTGAATGGACCATCGGTACTGTTCTACGTGACGGTGACACTCTTTTCGCCGTGTATGCGGCTGACGAGGAGAGTGTGGGCGCTAGCGACGGTGGCCTGGAGATTGGTCATGGGGCGGATAGTGTTCGCGATATTGCCGACGTGGTCAAATTCCTACAGCTGTCGCCACAAGCACCTGCTTCACCTGGACCATCACCGCTCGCCAAAGGAGCTGCGGAGCAACGAAGTGCGAGCCGCAATGTTCACCCTTCGGCCGAGGCCGAACGACGACGAGCGCTGGAGGAGATTTCGACGCGCTGCATTCGACTTTTGCGGAAGACACGTCTGCAAGTCCGCGTTGTTGTCGAGGTGTTTCACTGTAAATCTCCGCGTCACATGATCACCGAAGTGATAGATTTTCTCACGCCTACACTTGTGATCATCGGAAGCCGAGGACAAAGTGCGATGAAGGGTGTCCTTCTCGGATCTTTCAGCAATTATCTGGTGACCAAGAGCTCTGTACCTGTCATGGTGGCGCGGAAGAAGCTGAGGAAGCACTCCAAGGCCAGCTCAAGCACTGCAGTCCACAAAGACGGTCTGTCCGTGCCATATACAGGATCCGGACGTTCGAATCGATTCAGTAATGTTATTGAGGTTCCGAGGAGTGCGGGCCTGCGTGTGAACAGCTGGGACGAGGTCGGAATCGATTGAGCGGGAGCCCATGCATGGTGTGTGTATGGAGCGCTCGCATCGAGGGGATGTTGTTCTCATCTTGTCTGCTGGTGGGGTCCATGCCATGTGACGGTCGAGGTGGAGCGACCCAGCCGACGCGCACGCGCTGTAGCGAACAAACTTGCGAATGCAGATTCGGAACCAGTGGACGTACCAATATCATTACCAATCGGACCATCTGCACCCTGGCATTCATGATGACGTGTCATCATAGCCGGGACACATCGGCCCTGCCGACATGAGACGAGGCAAACAGCAACCGAGTTCTGATGCTTGACGAGACGACGAATTTATTTTTAATGATTATGACAGACTGAATACGAACGATATTGGGTTTCACACATTTCTTCACCGTACAACAAGTCTTGTCCGAGACACTGGTCCTGTGACAGCCATGTGAGGATACCTTTGTCGCCGCAAGTCGGTCACTTGCATGAACAGGGCTGCAAGTCTTCGCCACGTTTCACTGTATTAGTTACAAACCCACAGATCCTCGTCACTCGCGTTAGTAATTTTGTTGCGGGTGATCGCAGTGCGTCCGCAGTCACAGCGGTGCTTTGAATCGACACTGCTGCATCTACCGGTGAGCATCAATACCCTGCCACCCGACACGCGACGTCATTCTTGGATCTCATATCCTCGTTCAAAGCTTGGCGAAAGAAGAGCAGCTAACTTGGGGAGGTATCACAGGAGACCTCATCACTCAAGGCCGATGTCAAGTTATCGCCATGACGACGGGAAGAGGTGAGCACACCACTTATTCAAGATTGGTATTGTCTGTACTAGGAAAACGGTGCAGGGACATGCTGGAATAGATTCCACTCTGCTTGACGAGGATACAGGTAACAAGAAAAGGTACCGAGCCACGTTGAATGACTTCCACGACATGTCACGAGAATGTTGGTCGTCTGATGCGGGAGCCGAGACCTCGTGAACCGCGACCCCACTGCCCAAAAGAGTTTCGTGGGAAGATTCATGTTCACGCTCAGAGCACGACTCTCCAGATCACGAGACGCTTACATATCGTCAACACTTGGACAAGCACCTTCGTGGACGGTTATTTGGCTTTACAGTAGAAAGTCATTCTCATGGAGGTGAGGAATATGCTTGCCCAGGTGTGCTTGTACTTGCCCAAGTGCACTTCGATTCGAGATGCGGTCGACTAATGTGGGAAACCATTACGGGCCGAACGCTTTGTGTGACGCTTGCGTGCAGCTGGTTCTACGATCCGACACTGCGGATCCCCGTTTATCATTTGCTCGCGGGTAACGTCCCTGCCGCGTCCTCAGGTACATCTTTGCTAATGATCGGAACACTACAGGCGCAAATTCAGACCTTCGATACTGGTACAAGACAACACCGCTCTTGGCACATTGCTCCAGAACTCACCACCACTCCCCTGTCCTCTGCACACGAGTCTACGAAGTGCGTACCTCGAACACAGAAGCGCACGTGTACAACATCTTGTATTTCCCTGTCACCAACGTGGCGCGAATGTATACGAAAGGTACCCAAGATTCGAGCTGACGACTGCTTCGGAAGTTTACCGTGATCGAACGCTTTGGATCAAGAAAGTCAACATCTTGCCTCCATGATGCAGGGTTTTCCATAGGGGTCTGGGACAGTGGCAACAACGACGAGGCACAGCATCGAATCTTTTTCCATGCCATTCCCACGCCCTTGTGGAAATTGCGTCTGAATTCGTCCTGATTGTTGCCGAGCTCTGTATACTGCAATCCCAGAGCGTAGTGGCTTTCTCATTCATCATCGTCGTCCACGATGATCATGTTCACAATCCTGGCCGTTCTGGCCTGTTTGGTACAAGCTGCGACTCTGGCCACGCAGATTGAGGCTCCCACTCCAATCGAAGAGCGAGACAGTGCCTGTACCCACGGCCCTCTTACTCGTGCCTGCTGGAGCGACGGGTTCAGTATCGCAACCGACTTCGACCTCAAGTTTCCGGTCACTGGCAACATCGTGCAATACAATCTCGTAATCACGAATGGCACCTGTAACCCCGACGGGAATGGTAATCGACAATGCTTCCTTGTGAATGGACAGTATCCAGGACCACAAATCACAGCCAATTGGGGAGATCGACTGCAAGTCACCGTTCAGAACAATCTTGCCGCCAACGGCACTAGCATTCATTGGCACGGTGTCCGTCAACTTGACAGCGTTGGATCCGATGGCGTGAGTGGCATCACAGAGTGTCCCATCGCTCCGGGGATCAGCACGAAGTATGACTTCTTGGTCACCCAATTCGGAACATCGTGGTACCACAGTCATTTCAGTTCACAGTATGGAGACGGGATCATTGGTCCTTTAGTATTCAATGGTCCCGCTTCGGCAAACTACGATATCGATCTCGGGCCGTACGCCATCAATGATTGGTGAGGCCAGAATGCACGCACACACATCTGAAGAGCTTGTAACTGATTGCAAGACAGGTTTTACAAGACCACGCCTCAGCTGGAGAAAATCATCCTCGACAACCTGCAGAGAAACGTCGGTCCACCTCCTGGTGATACCATCCTCATAAATGGTACCAACAAAAATGCCAAAGGCGGTGGCAACTACAACCAGGTGAGACTGACCAAAGGCAAAAAATATCGCCTGCGGTTGATCAACATGTCCTTGGACAACTACATCCGAGTCTCACTGGACAAGCATGTCTTCCAAGTCATCACAGCCGACTTCGTGCCCGTCAAACCGTTCTACACAGACTGGATCTTGATCAGTATCGGGCAACGATACGATGTTGTCATCTTTGCAAATCAAACTGCAGGTAATTACTGGTTTCGTGCCGAGCCAGCAACGGACTGTCGTAGCACCAACAACTTCCCCGGCCGAGCCATTTTCTCCTATGACAATGTCACTGTCGCGACGCCGACAACTTCCGCCGCCAATTTCGTCGCTGATTGCATTGAGCCTCTTCCATCGCCGTTCTGGAAGCAGCCGGTCCCCAACGGAAACTTCTCAAGCATTGCGAGCTCGCTGAATGTCGGTCTCACAAGAGCACAGGCCGTACCCGGAGGCGATACGGTGGTACTCTGGGCACTCAATGCCTCCTCCATGAATGTGGCCTGGGAGAAACCCACGCTCTCATACATCATGGATGGGAACCCGAGCTACCCCCCACGTCTGAATATCATCCCAATTCTATCAAAAGGAAATTGGAACTACTGGCTGATCGTAAGTTCCATAATTTTTCAAAATCCTAGTAAAGCTCCGTTAGAGAACACTCAAGAACCCATCATAAGCCCTGGTTATCAGAATCGCTGACAAGTCTTTTCAATAGCAACAAGCCTCTCAAGTCCCACCAATCCCTCATCCCGTCCACCTCCACGGACACGACTTCTTCGTCCTTGGACAAGGTTCCTCCAGGTTCGATTCGAACACCGCGAACCTCAATTGGCTCACGCCGCCACGTCGGGACACCGCAAGCGTCTACTCCAATGGGTGGCTCGCGCTGGCTTTCACTTCGAATAATCCCGGAACATGGTTGATGCACTGTACGTCGCCCCCTTCCCCTCCCTTCCTTGACCGCAACTGACGATCCGTTCCTTTCTTCTCTCGACTTCATAGGCCACATTGCATGGCACATTTCCGAAGGTCTCGGCGTGCAATTCCTCGAGTCACCGTCCTCGATCATCCTGCCGAATCGCACAATGTATCAGAATCAGTGTGATGCCTGGGCCAAATACCAGGCGGGAATGCCTTATCCCAAGATGGATTCGGGGTTGTGATTGCTTCTGGTAGAGAACCTTGATGGGAGAGAGGTCGCTGTTGCGAGGATCGCTGTGAGCTCTATAGAAGCAGTACATCGATGGGGTTGAAAGGCGTGTGAGTTGCGCAGATAGTAGTAATGTGGGCAGGCGTGTGGCTACTGATGCGAAGGACACCTCTCTTGTGGCGTTTGCCCGGGTTTGCGCGCATGATGTCGTGACATAAAGAATCCTTGTGCGAGCCAGTGCATTCCGAACTCTCGTTGTATTATGGATCAGCGGGCTCCCAGAAGATCTGTACATAAAAACCAGCATCATGAGACGGAGAGTGACGGCAAAGAACCAGAAGGTGTTTAATCGAGACATTCGAGGACACGCGCGAAACAATCAAATCATAACCTCTTCTACCATACTGCACGAAGACTCAGAGACTCCCCGAGGCTATGACCACTACAGCACATCGCTTCAATCACATCTCACCCTCCATCTCTCACTTAACAATTCGTCGGCGCCTGAGTCACCACCGCCGTAATCCTCTGTGTCGAAGTCCTCGTGACCACAGCCAACGGCACCCACAACGTCAGAGTGTTCGTCTTCGTCGGCTGCGTGATCGTGATCGTCTTGAGCGCATTGGCGTTGTACGTCGCGGTGGAGGTCACGCTCACGGTCGTGAGGACCAGCGAAGTCACCGAAACCGTCGTCAGTGGCGCGGTGGTGACCACGGTCGAGGTCGTGATGCCGGCGGCACTGTCTTGGACGGTTATTGTTGGGTAGTCGGGACCTCGCTTTTGAAGTGCCCCTGCACGTGGCAGGAGGACATCGCGGCTGTCCGCTGGTACTTGTTTGTGCTCGATCGAACCAGAGCGGGCGGTTGGTCGTGCGAGGGGTTCTGTTTGGGTTGCTGGAGACCCGGTCTCGCGTGGAAGGAGGATGCCAACGGTTGCGTGGAGTCCTGGGATTGTGATGGCGATGCGAAGATTGACGAGGTCGGCGACGCGAGCGGTCGCTGTGGTGGTGGGACACGCGCGTGTTCTTGTGGTGGTGGCGACAACCGTGGCGGTAAGTCTGGTCTGCGTCAATGAGATCAGCGCCCGAGTCGTCAGTGCCAAAGCCGGCCACGGCGTGACTGTTCTGGTCGCAGCATATGCGCCAGAGACTGTGCTTGTCACAGTTCGAGCTGTGGTAGTGATGCTCTCTGTGGCAACAACAGTCGTACTCGTGGCTGGCGCGCTGGTAGATGTGATAATCACGGTCAAAGGGATCTTTGAAGTGACTTGCGGTGCGACATCAAGCTGAAACGAACGAATGTAATTGATCGGAGCACACTGCCCATTATTTGAGAGGACAATGATGGAGTATTCACCACTTGTCAATTGGTCTTTGGCAATGGGGCTTCTATCGGTCAGCGGCACTTAATTGGTCATTCGCCTCGAGAACACTGACCAGATGATCTGTTGTTGCGTCCCGTCCGGCGTCAGTGGCGTACTGTTGCACAAATACTGATCGCCCTGTGGGTCGACGAGGATATTGTCGGCAAGATCGGACTGGCAACCACTGAAATCTTGCAATGCGGTGAAATTGGCGGTTGAAGCGCTGTTTTGGTAGTAGTTGCCGCCGTCGACGAAGTCCAGCCCGTACGACTTGCACACGCCGGAGCAATCTTGAGCAGAGACCACATAGGCCAGGAGCGCGACCAGGAGGCTAAAGACCAGCATTTTGGCAAGGGAGATTGATTAGCTAGAGAGACGAGAGCGAAGAACTCTGTAGAATGCGGTCTCAACGAGTCCAATCTTAAATTCGAGCTCGCTGTTGCTGCAAAGCAGTCATGTTATTGTTCATTAAACCACCCGGGACCTTGTAGATTAAAGGATGTCTCCTTCTTTGATGGGAATTAGTCGTCACACAGTACTGGATATAATTCGGAAGCGTCACCATTGCGGAAGGGTGTGATGCCTTTCGAATTTGGCGAGGATGTGTGACACAGCAGGGATCTGTGCACAAGGCTGATTGTTCCATTTACCCCGATTCAGACGTGGACGCGAATCGATGTCACCGCGAGCTATCATCGGAGCCTTGAGGACTCTGTTTCCGTGGAGCCCATAGGATTGCTGAAGGGCGTTTCACAAGTGCGCCCGTGTCAGTTGAGTTCGCCTGGGCGACGCCAAATATAGACTACGATGTGTTTCGAATAAGGTCATTCGGGGCGCGGATTCACCAGTCTTTGTTAGGGAAATGCAATCATCAATTCATGGGAAATGTGAGCCTCCGTGCGATACCTCGATGTATCCTGTGTTCTAGGAAATGCCGACAATGTGCCTTTGAGCCATCATTTCAGGGGTGTCGAGCCAAAAGCTATTGTCACTGGCGAAGTACGTACAGAGTAAGAGCAAATACTTCAAGACCCGTAGGTGATGTATCCTTCTCGTCCCGAGTACATCTGTAGATTGTCAAGGGCCGCATGTTACCAAAGGCACACGTAAATACACGCTTGCAAGAACTCTGCCAAGATCAGCAAATATCCTGGTGGCGGTTGCGGGCCACATGATGTTTCCAGAACCGAAAGCGACACTCAAGTTGCACCCACTGCGGATTAGTCTTGGCTTCATGCGTGTGACGCGCAACGTAAACAAGAACCTCTTTCTGATGCCACGTTACACATGACAGCAGATATGGTCAAATTCGACCGAAGAATTGTGTCCTTTCCATTGCATCGGGTGATGTTGTACCGATGAGTGATGCTACTGTTTCCAGGCTCTTGGTCTCATATCTGAAGTAGTAAGAAGCCTGAGGAGGGATATTGCTTCAGACCGAATGTTGCCGGGCATTTAGGCGAACCAGGTATGGTGGTTTTCACAATCTGCGGGTTGTTTTCAACGAAAGTCTCGTTCCGCAACTGTGGGTCCACCCCGGAATGGACAAGTGCCATCTGAAGCTGATGCATGCGATGATCGTAGAGTATTGCAGATGAACATGTTCGGCACAGGTCACTTCTTGACCCGCTTGGAAGTTCTGGACGCACCTGCACTGGCGTCGCCATTGCTGCTCTTTTTGGCGTTCCTGGCGAACGCCTCTTCTGATGGCTCATCCATCGGATCTTGCTTGGCGTTTTTCTTGCCCTTGGGTGCGTACTTGGCTTCAATGTTTGCGAAAAAGTTGCCCTGTCGGTCTTTCTGCCTCTGCTGGATCAGAGCCGCCAGATCAGCCATCCCGCCTGCCTCCTTAGTTTTCTTGGTCTGCTTCTTCTTGTTTGCTTTCTCCTTGATCTCTTCCTCTAGCTCCACTGCCTCCACTGCCTCCTCTTCCTTTTGCTTCTGAGCTCGCTGGATACGCTTACGGCGAGAGTTCTCGCTTTCTTCTGTGTATTTGGTGAACGCTTCGACCTCGTCGTCTTTGATGGCTTGGTCGATGATGGCGCGAAATCGATCTTCGTCTTCCGTCATGTCACTGAGGATGACTTCCTGGTAGATCTTGACCATGTTACCCTTGTGTTTGGTGTAGAATCGCAGAAGATCGCGCCGCTCTTCATCTCCTCCTTTGTACTTGCCCGAGAAATTTTCGATTGCCTCACGACTCACGACATCCGCGAATTGTTCTCGAAAGAATGACGTCCAATCGAAGTCGTCGTCGTCGAGATCCAGCGATTCTTCTGTTCGCCCTGTCGTATCATATCGTTTGCGTCTGCGTTCATCAGAAAGAATTGCAAAGGCGAAAGCGATCTCCTGGAACTTTGTATGTGCTGTTTCCTTGTCCTCGGGCGCGGCCTTGTCAGGATGATGCTTCAAGGCTGCGCGGCGGTAGGCTTTCTTGATCTCGTCCTGGGTTGCTGTCTCCTCGATCGACAATATGAAGTACGGATTGATGTCAGTCGGTGCCTCACCGGCCTCAATCTCCTCGTCACGCTGTCGCTTAGGCATCGTGTAGAAACTATCGTGAGTCGATATCTGTTGTGAGAGCTATTGGGCGCCCAGGATAGAATATGGACGCTCGACTGGGGTGGTTGAAGTATTCAAATTGTCCACTCTGTTGCGGTCAGACGCGCTACTTAAAGCGTGTTGCCTGGAAGACGCGTTTGACACGTGCGGAATCTTGGCATGACGCGGGAATCACATGTGAAAACCGATCTTCGCTCACAAGCAGTCCCAGATGTGTCGCGAAAGACAACGAGCACCAAACATGATATGAATGCCAGCGGATCCAATGCCGGCAACAAGATATATCCAAGACAATATTTTGAATTGTCCAAAACTTGGAACACTTGGAACAAGCTCACCATTGCTGATGTCTACTCACTCCGCACTGAGCCTGGATTTGGTGGCAAGTCCACCGATTTCATTACCTTCTCCCTTCGAAATTACTGATCGTTCCATCCAGGTCAGCATGTTTGGTTCTGGCTTAACCATCCAATCCAATATGTGCGTCTCATTGGGATGATTGTGCAGATCAGCGTGGTAGCGAATGGCAAATTTGTCCTTCTTGCACTGGACGATGGGAGTGGCGAGAACATCGAAGTGAAAATCGAAAGACGCCAAATCAAGCCCGTACATGGCAGCAACGACCATCATGTCAATAACTTAGGCGGTGTATCACAAATAGGCGCCACCACTTCAGTAACCTATTCCTCGGTGACATTGGTGGATAACCTCATCATCCAATCTGGCAATTCTTCAGAGACCATTACGATAGGCGACAAGCTTGCGAGCATTGGAACTATCATTCAAGCCGGAGGAACCGTCATCACATTCATGGATTCCCGACAATTGATGCTCGAGATGGTTTGCTTGGTAAAGGATACGAACGAAGAAGCTTCATATTGGTCAAAGTTGGCCGCATGGAAACGTACTGTTCTGGCAAAACCTTGGATATTGACCGATAGGCAGCGCGAAGACCATGATGCAAAGCTTCAGCAGGATTCACTGAAAGCTGAAGACAAGTCCCGCAAACGGAGGGAGCATGAACGAAAGGCGGAGAAGCAACGAAAAAGATTGGAATCTGAAATGAACCGGGGCGCTCTGCCAGGTAGCGATCACCTACGCAGGCCGTGGGAGGACTACTTTATTCATCAAAGATCTTGACAACACCAAGCAATTTACAGTACAGCTTTCCAGATACATCTCTGTCATTGTCTGTAAGTCTGATTGACCGAGAGATGCTTACATGGAACGAAGTAATATGCAATATCATACTGTTATAACCATATGTCGAGCCACACGCCGGTCGAATGAAATTTTGGTCGACATCTTTTCGTGATTCTCGTTGAACATGTTTTGCTATTAACATGCAGTTCTTTCTATCGGGCTGTAACTCTCTTTTGAACGCAACCCTTCAGCTTCGAGGAGCGCGCATGTGATAGGTGTCCGTCTTGGCAATGCATTGAAATCGAACCCTACTCAGAAGTGATAACAAAGTCGTATTGAAAATCTTTGATTCAAATCCATGGATATGCGATGCGTGCGTGGATTCATCGGCTATATTCAGTCTTACAATAAAGGCGAATTATGTTGCGTGCGTGGCTGTGAAAGAAAAGAGCGTCAAGATCCCGAAATTCTGACCGCGATGTGACGCGCTTCACTCGAGAAACACTACGTCATACCCACGCTGCATCGCCATCACGCCTTCCTTCATCGTAAGAATGACACGCTGATATTCTGAATGTAGATCCACTGCTATTGTAAGCTATATTATTACAGCTTGTAGCTTCCATAATATTTAAGTTTCTGGCTCTCATTACCTTTCAATTCCAGATGAAATCATTCGCAAATCCGGCCTCAAGAGCTCTACAGCAACGAGGACTCATCAACTCACGTACTCAATTCGTCAACAACTTCAACCGTGCTTCTACCGCAAAGATGTCTTCCTCCGTAGGCGAGCTCAAGATTGAGAACACCAACATCAAGACTGCTCCTGGTGTCGAGCTTTCCCAATCACAAAAGACTATTGTCGGAAGCGTACTCGACCTCTTCGCTGGCCGGCCTTCTCTTCCCAAGCTCCAACTATGGAAGGATGACGCCGAGTTCACAGACCCCATTACCATCTCAAAAGGCCGCGAAAAGTACTCCGCCCAGTGGTACGGTCTCCAGGCTGCCTTCAGCGAGATTGAGCGCCTGCACCACGAGGTCAAGAGCGCCGGCAACCCCATATCCATTGACATGAAGACCCGCTATGTCATCAAGGGTATCGGCAAGGAACAAACCGTCTCTAGCGTCGTCAACATCTACACCGAGGGCGACAAGATCGTCAAAGTCGAGGACAAATGGGACGGCAAGCTCCCTGACTCTGCTTTCGCTGATGTGAGTTCGCCATTGCAACTGATGAATCCTTTCTGGTGGGCCAAGTATGGCGAAGGCTGGGCTTGGTGGCTTTGGAGCTTCACCTGGGAGACATCTCTTTGGGGGGTGAGGTCCTTCTCTGCGTTTCGCCGACAAGACTCATCGCCTGCCCGCTGTCCTCTGTCGTGTTCAATTTTTTATCGGATTGCTGACTGGTTTTTGCTCAACAGGTTTTCCGCAAGCTGAACGCTTACACCGTTCCGCTGATCGTTGGAGTGCCAAAGAACGCCGAGGAGGACGCCAAGAAGGGCAACCAGTGATGGAGTGAATTTCACCCTCGAACCGCTTGTATCTGTATTCATAGCTACATTTATTAATGAGAATCATGACCACGTGCACGACAGTACAGTTCCGAGCAAACATGTGATTTCTCGCTATCGGCCAAAATCACGACTAATTCCTAGTCCCGGCCGTTACCATAATATCTAGGCTTTCGGGCTGCATAGCGCCATGTGAGCGATCGTAGATCTCGATAGCTCAGATCTATGACAAAGTTTGTGGGTTTGAGCTGGCGCTGGTCGTTGAGCATGTTGCATGCATCGGATTTGGAACCCCACCAGCCGGATACACGGTCAGGCTTCATGTATCGTCGGGCGGCCACGGCACATGAGCTGGAATGATGACACCCACCTGGGTGCTCTTCATGTTCACCCCAGTGAGTGAGATGTGTAGTATAGGTGCCGTTACGAAGGAACTTAACATGTGATCCGGAAGCTATGCGCAGTGAAAGGTTCAGAAAAATTGCCTCTCGATTCGCTTGATCTTCTAAGAGAGTCTCTGAAGCTATCGTGAGTACTCTTTTTGTTCAACGCTCCAGATGCGTCGAGCCTCAAGTATGGAGCTTTGGCTCTTCCTCCTCGCGATATCAAATGTGGTTTTGGCACAGAATCAAGCCTACACGTATTACTACACCGTGGCCATCCAGATCTGGTCCACCAACACTAATCCAATGAATGCGGTTCCTGCGCAATGTCCCACGGATCACCCTGTCAGTTGTAGCAACATCCAACAATCGAATTTGTAAGTCGTCCTCATCGATCTATTTGTTCGGAATATGTTGGGCGAAGGGATATTCCTTTCGTCTCCTTCCCCTTCAACAACAGCTGAGATAATCATCATCATAACAGCTGCTGCCCGGCGAACAACTACTGTACCTGGGCCAACAGCGTCGTCTCCTGCTGTCCCTTTGGAGAGACCTGCACAGGAGGTCCAGCCGCGAACGGTGGTAGCTGGCAGCCCCATCCAGCACCAGTCCCGCCGCCAGCGCCAGCGACATTCACAACCACGACGACACTCGTCGCAGCAGGCGGTTATTCAAATCCTACACCAGCGAATCATCCGGGCCAGTATTGTTCGACGTTGACCATGCAAGGCGCAAGTCTTCCCACTGCACGGCAAGGGGATTGTGGGACTATTCTGATTGTCTCGCCGTCGGAAGCTAGGAAACTTTCTTTGGAGTGGAAGGGATTGATTGCATTAGGCGTTGGGATGGTCGTTCTAGTTGGACAGTGGGTGTTTTGAGGGATCTGGAGGGAATTGTATCTCGTCTCGCGCGATCAATTATTAATGATATCGATAGGAATATTCGAGCCTGATCGGTTGGAAATGTCCAGAGAGCGAAGTCAATTATGAGATCTGGGCAACAACTAACCCTAAGATCGTGCCCGCGGGCCCGAGCAGCCCAAGTGTTTTGCGCACGCGCTCATGACGTAGTCCGCGCTCATGGGCCACTTCTAACGACCTGAGATCGAGGATTGAGAATCGTCTCTCTTTGTTGCATACAAATACCTCAACGCACTGAAGATTCGATCATGTTTCCGTCGTAGCAATTGCATTTTTCTCCCTCTAAGTCCTGAGTTGTCGCAATAATAGATCGAAGGGAAGATGGAGCAAGTTCTGACGCGTTGGTTCTCGTCAGTCCGGCCAGTCGCACACTCGAGCTGTCTAAGGCCTGGACTGCATCTCGATGCTGCTCGTTCCGCAAGACCCTCACGATACTTGAGCAACAGAAGGGTATTTTCGTCTAGCCACTATTGCAGATCAATCGCACCCGATAAGAAACCCTACGACACGAAGGGTGCACCAGACAGTCATTACTCTCAGCCGGCCGCCGAAGTCTCTCAAAATGTTACCCAAGCCGAGAAAGATCACTTCTCACGAGTCGAGAGGGAAAGCAAAGAACTACAGACCCGCTCACCGTGGACCCGAGAAGGCAGCGACGTTCCGCCCGTGGCTCGCTCTCCAGATGCACGACCAATGACCAAAGGCAAACTGCTTACCACACCCAGCAGAATGCTCAAGCTCGTCCTCCCCATCACGACCGACGTTGATCAGGATCCCAAGGACGCGGAACCGCTGGCCTTACTCGTCCATCCACAACAGCCGCTTAGCTATCTTGAGAGATTAATACAAGCCGAGCTTCCCATGGTGTGGGACGAGAAGAAAGATCGAGAACGCGCACCAAACGTATACTTCCGTGCTGAAGATAGCGCAGAGGACGACGAATCGCGTGATCAAGAATCCGTTTTGCAAGATCGTCAGACTAAAACCGAAGAACAATACAAATTAGAAAACGCGGAAGAGACCATCATCGGCGGTAAAAACGAACGAACTGGTAAGATCAGCGGCGGCAAGAAGGACGTCCCTTCATCGACCAAGAACTCATCAAATTCCAACGAAAACATGCCAGTCGATGACCAGAACCCCACCTTTGTCCGCTGGAGCCCTTCTACTGAAATCGGCGATTTTATTCGGGACGCCGCCCGTGGAAAGGAGTTTGCCGTGGACATCGAAGGCGCAGCAGCTCCCATTTTCGTCGGGGTCCCATCTTTTGCCGATCGGACGTACTACCTCCGCATGCGGCTACGTAAGATCGCCGGTAGGATCTCGAGCTTGGCCGACGTGAAGAAGGAGTGCGATGACCTAGCACATCGCGCCGCCAAGACGGTCGCCCGTGGAGGTTTCCTCGGGCTACTCAGCTGGTGGGGTGGTGTCTACTACTGCACCTTCATGCGGCCAGATCTTGGATGGGACGTCATGGAGCCGGTGACATATCTGGTGGGCTTGAGTGGTCTGATTGGTGGTTATCTCTGGTTCTTATATCACAACCGCGAAGCCAGCTATCGTAATGCGATGCATGTGACCATCAGTCGGCGACAGAGCATGCTCTACGAGCGAAAGGGCTTTAATGTTGCTGCTTGGGAGTCGCTTATCGAAGAAGGCAATCGCTTGCGGCGAGAGATCAAACTGGTCGCAGATGAGTATGATGTTGAGTGGGATGAGACGGCGGACGAAGGCGATGCCAAGGTCCGAGAGGCGCTTCGCAAAGAGAGGCAGAAGCAAGAAGGGAAATGTCAAGAGGGCGACGAGGACAAGGGAGATGATAAAGAGGAGGGTGGAAAGTAGAGATCCTATGGTTGGAGGCTGAAGTTAGACCTGCATATCTTCTATACTGTTCGCATTTGATAGCGTTGAGCGATGGTTGGCTAGCATTGAGAGGTTTCATTCCGGTCATCTTGTTTGTACAGCAGTATTCATTCTTTTCTGAGCTTCTCTTCAACCTCTAATGTTCGATCGTGTGACGAATCTATATCTTGATCTATTCTTTCAACAGCGCATCCTTCTCAACCACCACCCTCATCATCGGGGCAACAATCGCCAAAGCCCACTCATACGACGTGAAGAGGATACCACCGCTCATGACCGTCCGGCCCAACCTCATCGTCGTCCCCCTCCAAAAGCCCTTGATTCCATACTCCTTCATAATCCCCACAAAAGCCTCTGCTGTACTCGCGCCTTTCGCGCTCTGACATCGCGTCTTGATCATATCAAACGGCTGCGTCGTCAACGTCGTCACCGTCCCCGCGATGCAGCCATTCAAGAAACTCGACGCAGTAGTCGCCTGAACCCCGCGCGCCTTTTCCATGTCCTTGAGCACGTTGTATGTGCCCATCCGCATGGCCGTCGCGCCCGCTTGCTTCAGCATCGTCCCTGCCAGGCCCCGATACAGACCCTTGATGCCGTGTTCGGCGAGAATCGCCCGACAGCAGTCCATCGCCCCCGTGAACCTTTTCGCTCCTCTCGCATCGTCGATGAGTGCCGTCTTGATCCGTTCTGAAGGCGTCACGGCCGTGAGCGCAGCGACGACTCCACTGGCCATACCCGCGGCTAAACTCCGCAAGGGGCTCAGACGCCCGGTCTCGCGGTCTTTGAAGGTTGACTTGATGCTGTCGAAGGAGAGAAAGCGGACGGCGTCTTTGCCGATGGACCCGACGACTAGAGGGCCCACGCCTTTGTAGAGCGCCCGGAGCCCTTCTGTCTTGTAGACGTTGTGGACGACGGCGAAGGGATTTTTGGGCGTGGGAATGTTCTGAGCGGTTTTTAATTGCGCTATTGTCTTGCCGTATTCAAATGGATACTTTGTTGAGAGATTTTTGTGATTAGCTCGTGGTCATCTTTTCCGACGAGGTGGAGTTAAGCTGGAATTGATCCGCGACAAGCTCTGGCGCGCCGTCGACGTTGTATCTCAGAAGCAACCCGGTTGTTTTTTGAGCCAGATATTGGGTCTTGGTATCTTGTTCGGATTGCCCTTGTGTATCGTTGTCGGAGGCTTCTCGAGTGTGATGCTGAAACGCAAAATTCGGAATTCACATACCGTCACGAATCCCTCAACTGCGCCTGCGATACCTCCAGCGACCAACGATGCTGCCCACGGTGCATCTGCATGATCCTATCGAAAGTCTGAGTCAAATTTCTGGGATTTTCTTCTGCTATCGTGGCATTGCGATAATTATTCAATTTTCCGGAGAAGCGCCTCCAGAAGAATGGAAAGGGGCCTGCCTGACTTACACCTCCAGCCACCATGATTACTGGGATCGCAATCCAACTCAATCGAAAGGTTCACGAGCAAACGAAAACAATGCGCTTGTAGGATATTCTAAGTGCTGAACAAATCCCAAAAATCCATGTCGATTTGAGCGTGTCAATGCACTGCGCCGAACACGGCGTCATAGCGTGTCGTTGTGTTGTGTGCTCTGTGCGAGCAGACGCCAAATCCTTTAGCCGGACACTTGTCCAGCGAGTCCAAACACACCGTTTGCGCAGCGGAGGACCTCACCCTGAAGCGGCTGTTTTGATTTATGTACCGACATGTGATTGCCATCTGCCGAAGTATCACGATTTATATTGAGGGCAAGACTTGTGCATTCGCCACGACTCAAGCTGGGCCATAGGTAGAATGGGCAGTTTCTCCATCAAAGCAGGAATATATATATTTCGCATCTATATGGAGACTCCCGATGAGCAAGTTTCCTCCCCACGCCCCGAACCGGAAACTTAATTTCCACGTGGGCATGGCTCGAGATTCAACTCTTTGTGGTGATCGAACATCACGCTTACAATTGCAAGCGCTGTGACTGCCTACCGAGCGAAGCAGGGAAGGTCGATCGCGCTGACAGCTCGTGATGAGAATCCACGGATCACAATTGACGACATCTTCACTGCTGCTGTTGGCTTTTGCCAACGTAGCGTGCGGATATGGCATAGATGAGAATCGTCGAGTCAACCACGGTCTCATCGGCTTCGGAATCCCCTTTCTTGAGCCATCTTGCGCATTCGCATGTCGATACAACCTGTACGGTAATCGTCTAGCTTGCTCGACCGCCACTGCAAACGACGCAGAATGGGAGACCTCGACGGACTGTAGGGCTGGGAATGAGCCGTATCTTTTATCACTGGCAGCGTGTTTGCAGGAGTACTGCAATGGAACCGAAATCTGGACTCTCGAGCGCTTTTGGGCCGAAGATGCAGCAAGTGATACGCGGAAGCAACGAGAGCCTGAATTGAGCTATGGATCGAGTCTCAATCGACTTGGCGTTGTACTCAATAGTTCGTGGAGCAAGGCAGAGGTTCATGGTTCGCTTCTGAGTCCACAAAGGGTGGCTTTTGCGGATTGGCATGTGGCTATCACCTCCCTGCAAGACGATGCATATGTCGAAAGACATCACGCAAGAGCCGGGTAAGCTTTGCAGTCAATCGCCGCCGGATGAAACTCGCTAACTTACTGCAGTATTATTTTGATCTTGACCGTTGTCCTGTTGCCTTTTATACTCGCCTTTTGGCGTGTCTTGCCACTGCCACGAGCCTTGCGACGAAAACTCGTCGCTCATTTCGGTCATTCGGCATTGTTTGGCCGAAGACACGCAGTTCCCTTTCCACGCGATCTCGGCATCATTCCTACTCGTGGACAAGCGATTTTCATCTCTACTCTGATCGTTCTCAACCTCGTCCTCTTATTCACAGGGTATCATGCATCAGAACCCAACACCCACAATGTCTCTGCAGGACGCCGCATGCGTGGCTACGTTGCCAACCGTGCGGGCAATCTCGCATTTGCAAACTTCTCGATAATGGTGCTCTGCTCGAGTCGGAATAATCTCTTTGTCCGGCTTACCAAATTCTCCTACAGCACAATGCTCCTATTCCACAGGTGGAGTGCGTACCTTTGTACAGCGCATGCGTCGGTACATACCGTCATTTACATCATCAACCACATCAATCTGCTTCCGAAGAAATTTGGGCAGGCGTATTGGAACTGGGGAGTCGGAGCCGCTACATTGATGCTGTTGATCCTACCGTTGTCAACACTGCCTGTTCGAAAGAGAGCCTATGAACTCTTCCTTGCCAGCCACAACATGATGGCGGCCGGGGTCTTTATCGCTTGTTACTACCACATCTACATGAACTACCAACACGAATACGGCTATGAGAATTGGATCTATCTCCCGGCCGTGCTCTGGATTCTAGATCGCGGACTTCGGCTGATGAGACTCGCCCGCAATGGCATCCGCACAGCCACAGTCACACGGCTCGATGATGACTACTTGCGAGTGGATATTCCGAGGGTAGATGTGCAAGGTCACGTCTTTTTGTATTTCCCGACACTCAGGATCTGGCAGACTCATCCGTTCTCTGTCGCGGCTTCCCTGGTTGATGTCTCAACAGAATACAAAATGGATACCCTGAGACGCTCATCACTCGACGAGGAGCTCGCTGCTGCTGCTTCAGAATGGCACACACTCGCGGTCGATGACTCGGACGACGATGAAGAAGAGGATGCCTCAGATGAAGGAGCCACGACTAAGAATGAAAAAGGCAGTCGCATGCCCCTCGTCTCGCGCCAGGCGAGTCGAAACCTCGACAATCGCGCGGCCGACAACGAAATACCAGACCCCGACGAAGCCAACGACGATTCTTCCCTCCTCCCGCCTCCCCACCACGCCAACCCCTCCTCCCATCCTCCCTCCCCAGCACAAACCAAAATAACCATCTCGGGCGCAACCTTCTACGTCCGCCGCCACAGCGGCATCACCGCTCTCCTCTTCCGCCAAAATCTCCGATCCCTCCCCGTCCTCCTCGAGGGGCCCTACAGCCCCCACAGACATATCCCCTCGACGACCCATCTCCTCTGCATCGCCGGCGGAGTAGGAATCACCGGCGCACTACCCGCCTTCACATCTCACGCCGGAGGTCTAATCGCTAGCGGGACGCGCACAGCTTCCAGTAGTTCTTTGTATTGGAGCTGTCGAAGTCCCGCGCTGGTGCAAGATGTCGAGGGGAAATTCCTGGGGCCGTTACAGAGTGCTGCTTCTGCTGCTGTTGGGGCAGATGGCTCGCGGCCTGTGGAAGTCCGGGTCAAGGCGGAGGGAAGGTGGGATGTTGATCGGATTGTGCACGATCGCGCTAGAAGTCTCTTGGAACGAGATGGAGGAGATGTTGTTGTGCTGGTTTGTGGGCCGCCGGGCATGGCGGATGCGGTTAGGAGGGCGGTTGTGAGGGTCAATCTTGGGGTTGGAAAAACGAAATTGAATGATAAGGGTGGGAGTGCAGTGGGTCGGGTCAGGTTGATAGAGGAAGGCTTTTGGTGGTGATTTGGAGTCTTTGTATTCTAGAATATTGTGCAATGCGAACGATTCCACCATCGTGTTGTCTATGCTTGCAGAATTCCTGCGCACGTGTCCGTTTCGCATTGAATGAGCATACGAACCAGTAGGGAAATGGTGACAATTGGTCACTGTGCTACGCCTCTCTGCCATCGTCCACCATCCGCATCCGCCGCATCCATCCATCGCTCGTCCAAACCTCCAAACACCGTCCTTCCCGCGAGCCAACCATCTTTGCCGCCAGCACGAGCGGAAGAAGCATCACCCTTATTAGTCTCTCCAAACGCAATGGGATTCGCCAACGCCACTGCCTGAACCCTTCTCGCATCCCCGACGGAGCGTTGTACGCACAGTTTCATGCCCAGATCCTGCTCGTACATGCTTAAGTTGAGGATATTCGATTCTTGCCCCTGCTGCTCATCCGGTCCAGTGCCGTTTCCACTGCTGCTGCTGCCTAGACCATCGACGGCGCCACGCCACCATAAGTCTTCGCGCGAGACGTGCGGATCCTCAAAATACGCCGTGTCGGGGTGGATATCTGCGACGGCGTGCAGGGCGAGGCTGATTAGCTGGTTCTCTACCCCGGCATAGATATATGGCGAACATGCACTAGCTGCGGCGAGAGTGTAGACACTTGAGTCAATGGCGGCACGTTGACGTGGTTGTTGCCTGCTGCCTCTGCGCACGTTCGAAGAATTCGAAGAAGATGGGCCTGCCGGGCCGCCGCTGTGCTCGCGAAGGAAGAGGTTAAAGCTTCCACCACTGCTTCCGTTTGTGCCATGTGCTGCGCTTTTGCTTCCAACCCGATCGTCTTGAAGAGGTTGCGCGTCGAGATATTCATAGCAACGTGCGCCCATTCGCAAGTCGAATACCTTGAGCAAGTTGTGTCGGCCGGTGCCAGCAAGTAGACGTTCTCGACCGCGGGCGAGCAGACTGTAGATCGGGCTGTCGTTACCGCCCCCACCAGCTGCGTCACTAATCATCTGCTCATGGTCGCGATTTGATCGTAAGTCATGTAGACGAATCAATCCGTCATAAGCGCCAGATAGGAAGACGTCGCCGTTCGAGTTACCGCCAAGGTCAGCGCTACTAGCAGACGATCCTGGAAGCGGGATGATTGTGTATATCGAGGAGAGAAATGGTTTCGAAGTGCCATTCGCTTGTGGGTGAGGCGCATCTAGTTTCGTGTCTTCTTTGTCGCGAGAAATTTGAAAAGTTCGCAGTGGCGACTGTAATAACCTGTCGTTTTGGATCGTGTAAATTTCTATCGGGCTGTGCGAAGGCCCCATTCCCAAGGCCAATACTGTTGGCGAAAGAAATGCGTTGTGCCATATCCGCTTACTGCTTGAGATATTGAGACTGGAAAGACCGTGAACTATGCTGCTGCTGCCGCTGTTCGACACGTCTATTTGATCGAGCGGGTCGATTCGTCCGTCAGCGGAACTTGAATTGGGATTGTAGAGAGCGATCTGCGAGTCGCCAAGTCCAATAGCGAGTAAGGCCGAGCCGTCCAGGTTGTGATGTAAAGAGCTGCTCCGGACCGGAAGATTTGATGTAGAAAATGCTGTAATACTTGCTTTCCCACCCGTTGAGCCTGTTCGAGGTATTTCGATCAAGCGCAAATCGCCATTTGCAGTACCAACCACCAACTTGTCGCTTTCGATCCCCCCCGTATTCCAGTAGTCATCTCCTAGCAGATGTAGTGCGGTGATATCGTCTCTTCCATCTTTTGCATCATTTGGAGTCCAAATGGCAACGTCTTCCTGGTATGAGCCGCCACTAACTTTCCTCCGCCTTGCTCGCAAGCACACAGCAGTACCAGTACTCCACGCGAGTATTTCTGTGCGTTGTCCACCGAAAGCTCCTGTTTCGCGAACGTCAACTCTGGGTACGAATCCCATCGTTTGCTTCTGCTGCTTCTGCTGCTTTCGACGGCTCGGATTGCCAGGCCCCTGCTGAGAATTCACATTCTGCGATCCTTCGGAGAATATTCTGACGCGAGGTTTCGATGCAGTTTTCTTGACGTCTCCATCCAGCCCAAAGTCCGTGGAAGGGACTGCAATAGACTGGGCTACCAACGCCCGTCGATCCCATGCTCGTGAGGCTGTCGTCAGCGTTCGTGCGAGTCTCCTCCCCTCGCCGGTGCTAGCATGACCCTTGCTCGGCCCATTGAATCGCTGAGAGACCGAAGCGTAAAGGCTTGGAAAGCGTACGCGACTGAAAGTTTTCCAACCCTCATTTTCGACAAAGCCATGCAACGCGCGATTTACTTGGGCGAGGCTCGCGAGAGTGCCGGCAGACGGAACCTGTGCCGTGATTTGAACCCATAGTTCAGGTGGTAGGAATGGGAGGCTTATTGTGGTGCTCGCGTGATCATTTTTATCAATCTTGGACATTGCTCAATAGGGATTTGTTATCGTGGTTTGCTCATCTTTGCGCTTGTATATATATACTCCGGTGCTCGCCGAACAGACAGACGTTCGCTACTATCACAATCTGCTGCAACATTCTGGCGCGTAAAGGTGACTCAGATGCGAGAAGAAGGATTGTGACGTGGATATTTCTCAGACGCACTTGACTTGATCAAGACAATAAGACGATTGCGTGGTGTAAGCCCACAGATTGAAATGATGTCATTTCAGGCTCTGGCTTTGAGTCATGGCGGAGTCATGCCCGATGCGTGCAACTCCTTGAGAAACGCCCTCCTCTCGCAATACACTGGATCGAGATCCCCAAACGCCTTCATAGTCACATCGGATGGAATACATGGATTGCGGTAACTGCTACGGTAGTCGCTTAATCGACTCACAAGGCGACATGTCATTCATCGGGGCTTCGTAAACATCCAGACGATAGCGGCTTTCACAGAGTGCCATTGAGCTTGCCCAACACAGAGTTACTAGCCGCCTCCGCATTCTCCTTAGTATAATATCCCAAGTGGGCGAAGAGGTTAACTTGTTCTTGCACCAAGAACCCTCAGAATTTGCGCAGAAGTCATCAATCTTGTTGCTGTAGTATCGCCAGTCCACCTCAGCAGAGCCGTTTCGTGGGTACGCCTGTGGACCGTTCTTGGGTGATGATTCACTGGAGAGACGACGAATGTATCCTATACGTAAGAAGCGTTTAACCAACCGAGTCTGTGAGGCATGGCTTGTCCGATACCTCGCCTTCAAGACCCAAACCTGAATACAGTTCAAATCGCCGAATTGAAGGATCGCGAAGACTGTTCGGAAGCATTACAAGTCAGCGAAGTCAGAACGTGGATGTACAAAACTCACCTTCCGAAATTTGAATAAAGCCTAAACTTACTGCTATCTCCAATCTCACTATCCAACGCCGCATGACCTGCTCCAGTCGATCCAAAGATGGGAACATAAGCCGGGCCTCCAGCCAGAGCACTGCCTGACACGATAGCACCCTGAGAGTAGCCCATCAGGACAATCTTGTTCTTCGGGCATGCCGCATGGTAGCTGGTAGTCAATCTTTGTGCATCCGCGACGCCGATGGAACCGACTTGCTGACATCGGTATCCTCCGGGTACTGCACAACAATAGCCCGAGAATTTGGGATCTTGGCCAAGATGGCTTCACGACGGGCGCTTGGAAGCCATAGCTGGTAATTCCGCCGCCCTCGAGAAATTCCAAAGGACCGTGGGCTACCACGACGTAAACGCCCGAGTAGCAGGTCGATTTGAGAGTCGGCGTCGGAGGTAGCGCTGAAGCGCGGGATGGCAGGATAGTCGCTTGAATGAGCACTCCTGGGAGGAGCTGAATTCAGAGAGGGGATATCATGATGGTGAGGTGAAGAAGCTTGTTGATTCGAAGGGCACGTAAAGACCTAAGCAGTGCAGAGGTGAAGAGGCTCGCCATTTATCATCTAACAATTCGTCGACATTTTCCCCACTTCGTGTTCCTTTCCACTGTATCAATTAGCTGATCTGCAAGGATTCAGCTCCCTCGACACGTTTAACGATCTGCTGGCGCCAGATTTGGATCTAGATCTGCCACTATTTGTATGCAAGTTTGTGCCCGGCAGAGTACCCATGTAGCCAACGTCCACCATGTCGTTTTCGACAAACTCACCAGTGTCACTAGTATTGTTGGCTGCGACCGGCGGCTACGATGTTTTATGGAGGCAGTCCATAGTGATACGCGCACAGTCAAGGTTGCTTTCAATGTCCATTCTTCCACTCTTCTCCGATCTCGCCAATACAACGCGCCCAGCCGCTCTACCTGTGCCGGTGTATATCATACGTACAGCTGGAGCAACAGAAATACATCATCCTCATCCTCCCATGGTGCTTTGTTCTCCGTTTTCAAGTGCTTTACGCAACATGTTCAGGTACACATGTATCATGGAGAAGCCGTGCACGTCGTTTATCGATCCCTGTCAAACAGATGCAATGCACCGAGGCTGGCGAAGTTCCAGCAACTGCATGCTTCGTCCGGGGACGACTTTTCGAAGTTGAAGGTTCCAACGCCCTCTGCACATTTCCGAAACTAGCTTGTCCGGCGTATTTGGCGCTGGGGTGATCATTGTAGTAGACGTACATTGCTTTCATACCGCTTGTCCGCAGAGATAATTCTCGTGATGCTGTACTGTAGATGTTGACCATTCGCGTGACGTCATTCACTCTACGCGTCCTCGACCAGCCAAGTTGATCAATGTTGACGCGATTGTCGTTCGTGGGGTAAACTTCGATGTCGCCAACACTGTTCGACGGCAAGGACGATCACCACGAGAGCACACACGATGTAATAACATCACTAAAGGGCATCACTATGCATTCAAGAATACCAACATCACGAACATACCCATCATGGCTTCAACGCAACCGCTGCCCTCCACCGCTGCGCCGCGAAGCAAATTCACCTACCGAGATCTATCCGCCATGGCAAGATATGCGATCACTTCTCCATTGCGGGTCATCAGTCTGATCGACCTGGATGCATTCTACGCGCAATGCGAGACTGTCCGGCTTGGGCTTGATCCCAGTATTCCTCTCGCCGTGCAACAGTGGCAAGGTCTCATCGCTCTGAACTACCCTAGTCGAGCCTTTGGTCTGAACCGACACGTCACCGTCGCCGAGGCGAAAGAGAAATGTCCCGAGCTGGTCTGTCAGCACGTCGCGACGTGGAAGGAGGGCGATACGAAGTGGAGCTATTCGGAGGATGCTTGGCGAGAGATTGCGATCCGCAAGGTCAGCCTGGATCCATACCGGATGGAGTCGAGGAAGATTCTGGCTGTTGTGAAGGAGTCTCTGCCGGCGGATAAGCAGCGTGTGGAGAAGGCGAGTGTCGACGAGATGTTCATGGATCTTTCGGCGCATGTGCATGGTCTTTTGTTGGAGAGATACCCTGAGCTGCGAGGTCCGCCGCCATACGATGATCCCACGGAGCGACTTCCCAGGCCGTCATCTACTGCGCTGGATTGGGCGGCGGATGGACTGATTGATTTGGATACTTCGCAATCTGAAGAAGATGATCCGGATTGGGATGATGTGGCTCTGATGATCGCGTCGGAGATTGTGCGAGATGTGCGCGCGAAGATCTATGAGAAGCTGCGATACACATGTTCCGCCGGGCTGAGTCGTAATAAAATGCTGGCGAAACTGGGAGCAGGTCATAAAAAGCCCAATGGCCAGACGATCATTCGCAATCGCGCGGTTCAGCAATTTCTCTCGGGGTACAAGTTCACCAAAATTCGAAACCTTGGCGGCAAGCTGGGAGATGAAGTCGTCGCCGCTTTCAATACCGACATTGTCTCCGATCTTCTACCGGTGCCTGTGGAGCAGCTGAAAAAGCGGCTTGGCGATGATACCGGGACGTGGGTGTATAACATCATCCGCGGCGAGGACCACAGCGAAGTCAATCCCCGCACGCAGATCAAATCCATGTTGTCAGCGAAGTCCTTCCGGCCATCTATCAACACTCTCGAAGCCGCGGTGAAATGGATTCGAATTTTTGTCGCGGACATCTTCGGCCGTCTGGTAGAGGAGGGTGTACTAGAACACAAGCGTCGACCTCGGACCATCGTCCTCCATCACCGACAAGGTGCGCAGACTCGGAGCAAGGGTGGACCGATTCCTCTGGCAAAGACAATCACCGAGGAGCTCTTATTCGACCTCGCGAAGAACCTTCTAGCACAGGTCGTCGGCGACGGACGGGCCTGGCCATGTGCAAACCTGTCCCTCTCGGTGGGAGGCTTCGAGGAAGGCATTACCGGAAACAAGGGCATAGGAGGGTTTCTGGTCCGTGGTGATGAAGCCAAGGCCCTCATGACATCGAGCCTTGCGCGAGAGGATTCGGGAGAGCGCGCATACGCGATGAGCTCTAGTTCTGCGAACAAGCGACGCAAGATTGGAGCTACTCCGGGCATCGCACACTTCTTCGGGGCGCCGCAGCAACGGCATGACGGCGCTGAAGAGTCGAAGACGGGAGACGAGGCCAATCCGCTGCTCGACGGGGAACACGATGACGAGGCAGTCTGTGCGTTTCACGATCTCGACGAATCTGCCACGAACACAGGAATAGTAGGAGAAGAACGAGGCCTCGAAGATCCATTTAGCCCACCGACCTCCGCCCAACAACGCCGCGATACTCTTCCACTACACAGAGATCCTCCCGACCGCCCAGCTCCTCCCCGCTCACCCTACTTTGCCACTTCCACTTCCTCGCCATCACCATCTACTCCTCCTGCTCCTCCTCCTCCGCGCACCACGAACCCCTCAGACATTGCCTCCGCCTCCACCTCCAGATTTCCGCCCTGTCCACGCTGCAACCGACCGATCCCTCCGGCCGAACAAGCCGAACACGACGACTTCCATTTCGCGCAAGACCTCCAAGACGCGACAAGCCCGGCTCGGCCTCCGCCGAAACCTATCCCTCCCCCTCTCGCCACGGCGGCGACGGGCAGCAGCGGCGGTTCGGCGCCGAGGGGTCGAGGGAGACCGCCGGCGAGCGCGGGAGGTCCGGAGAAGGGGCAGAAGAGGTTGGCCTTTGGGTGATGGGGTGATGATTGTATGAGGGATGGATGGATGGATGGATGGATGGATGGATGGATGTAGATGTCAAAGTACCGTGTAGAGATGGGGAGTCGGGATGAAAAATCCATTTGGCCCATGATATGATCCGTGCCACGTCCGGATTCTGCGAGACCATCATCACGATAGCGTATTGCATATGAATGTTCCCGAATGATCGTCGCTTTGGCCTGGGAATGAATCCCCCACGACGACACAAGAGAGACCTACCTACCGCGCATCGACGTGCCTCTTGACTTTCTCCCGCAGATCCGGAGGAGGAAACTCGCATCATCACGATCAACTGTTTGTTGACTGTATCACCCATACAGCCATGCATGCACCACGCACCGCACAAAAGTCCCGCGATTTGCCAAGCAGAAAGGAGACGCGAGATGGACATATACACCGGGTCGGTTGACGCGGCGTGGTGTGAAGAATGAGGATACAGTCAATACTCCTGTACAGTACCTGGTAGATAATGATCATAATAAGGGAGGAGAGGAGGCGCCACGTGGGGAGTACAGTGGTCGTCAGCGTCCAGGAAAGAGATCTTCGCCTCCAGGGCTGTTTGTTCCAACCGTCCCACGGGCCGATCTGCCGCCTGGTGGGTCGGAAAGGGGTCCTCGCGATGGCTGGTGGCCCGGATATTCGATGGGATGGCCGTTGTGTGGACCGTGGTGGCGTCCGTGCCGTGTGGTTTCCCTCGCGTCCCTGGGCTCGTTCGGGCGGACAGATTGGCAGGGACGCGGGCGTGTGGGGGGGGGGGAGACAATCTCATTGAGGCTGAAAATTATTTCATGAATCCCTCTCGACACCGACAGCGTCTCTCATCTGCTCTGTCGAGACTGTCTCTCTCGCTCGGGTATACACGATCAGTCGCTGTTGTTGTGACAGCTGGAGTCGACACTTGGCGGTGGAAAGAGTGGACGTCAAGAGTTTTGAGACTATCCCCTGTGGGTATGTCCTACGAAAGACAATCCACAGACACGATTGTACTGTAGCACTGTCCACACGTACGGGTGTCAGGCATTTTGCCCGCCCGCCAATGCCCGAGTGCAACCATCGCACCCCTACCGAAATGATCGCCACGGACTTACCACTGAGACGCGGGCAGAGGGGAGAGGGAGAGAGGGTGAGAGAGGGAGAGAGACGCGGTGGCGTGGTGGTCCGCTCTCCGCCAGTCTGATCTGTCTGTTTCGTCGCTTACAGCCCTGTGAAGTCCAGATACAGTATCAAATCCATATTAGCAGGAGGTCTTCGCCCTTTGCTTGACTCGAGGTCATCCCTTATCGAACACTGTTGCAGCCTCTTCCTAGGTAATGAATGAATGAATAAATCACCACATCGGCTGGTTGCATGTATACTACTGTACTGTCGTCGCGTTGGTTATTGGCAATCCCCATCGCGATGCTCAACCGGAAGATCTTCTGCTGCATTGGGTAGAAGTGTGTCTCAACCTGGTGTGAGCCCTGAAATTGTGGAGAGCTCAAACTCAAAGCTGCCAACGGAAGGCGACGTCATACCAACAAAGCTCAGCTCAGTTCAACAGCAATCATTATTCCCATACTGTAGAGAAGATTTCGTTCTCACTTACATTGATCTCACGATCGAGCATAACCCTCCCTCTTCCCTCGACCATCCTCTGAAGAAGAGGATACACAGTCACTCGTATACGACAGGTATGTGGATATGGACACATGTTCTGCTTAACCTGCATCTCCTCTGAATATGTCACTCTGCGGTGGAAGTTGGGACGCGCGCATATTCATCACACCGCCGTGACGACCACTCTCGCCACAATCAACAACATCTTAATGGGTAGAACAACATCTCCTTACTGACATCTTTCACAGTCAGTCAATCATCATCATCATCATCACCACCACCATCATCATGTTCAAATCCACCATCATCCGCCAGGTCTCGCGAGCCTCCACCACCGCTCCTCGCGTCTCCTCTACCGCCTTCATCACCCGTCAGACCGTCCGCGGTCTCCGGACCACGCCCGCCCGCTTCGACAAGAGCAGCGAGGAGGATGACAACGACCGACACGACGCCTTGACCACGGCAGGCAAGCCGGGCGCATTCGAACACGAAGGGCAATTCTCACGGACGGATAAGACCATCCGCATTGAGCACCCCGAAGAGTCTCAAATGCCCAGCTCGCTGCCTGTCCAAGGTCGTGGCGGTTCACATTATCGGAGAACGTTGGCGACCTTCAGCTTGGAGGGCCGGGTGGGCGTTGTCACCGGAGGAGCTCGTGGTTTGGGTCTGGTCATGGCTCAGGCTCTCGTGGTCAGCGGTGCCGACGTGGCCATCGTTGATTTGAACAGTAAGATTTCGACATGTTTCACTCGGGGATGAGATCCCGTCGTACTTCACACAGAAGCTCACACTTGACTTCACAGAGGAGGAAGCCACCAAGTCCGCCGAGCTGCTCGTCGAGACCTTCCGCAAGGAGAACCCCGACGCTGAGCACGTCCCCACCGTCACCGCACACTACGCCGACGTCTCCTCGCCAGACTCGGTCAACGAGTCCATCAGCGAGATCATCGGCAAGCACGGCAAGATTGACCACCTGGTCACCTCGGCCGGGTTCACCGACAACATCGACGCCATCGACTACCCGTACGAGCGCCTGAAGAAGCTCTGGGGCGTCAACGTCGACGGCACTTACCTCTTCTCCACCGCCGTCGCCCGTCACCTCATGGACCGTGGCGTCCCCGGCAGCATCGTCATGATCGGCAGCATGTCCGGCAGCATCGTCAATGTGCCGCAGCCCCAAGCGCCATACAACGCCTCCAAGGCCGCCGTGCGTCACCTCGCCAGCTCCTTCGCCGTCGAATGGGCCCACGCCGGGATCCGTGTCAACTGCATCTCTCCCGGTTACATGTTGACCGCGCTGTAAGTTTTCCCTCTTCCAATTCGAACGAGGATTTTGTACTAATTATACGACCACACACAGCACCAAGAAAATCCTCGACGAGAACCCCGTCCTCGCGGAGAAGTGGACCAGCCTCATCCCTCAGGGTAAGATGGGTCGACCTGAGGATCTGATGGGTGCCGTCACTTTCCTCCTCAGTGACGCTTCCGGCTACGTCACCGGTGCGGATCTCCGTGTCGACGGCGGTTACACCTTGACTTGAAAAGCCTACACGATGGCTGTTTTCTTTTGGGGCGGGGAGTCCTCTTTGCATTTTGTTTTTTTTCTGCCATTGGTGATTTTGTTGATTTCGTCACCACCCTCGAGGATGCCTCGGCCGGGGTGCAAACACCAAAAATAGATGCATTGTAATCGTCGCCGTTGTTGTATGTATGTAGGTAGGAAAGAAAGCTCTCGCGCGTCTAATTCAAACGGATCTTTAATTTCGTCTCGAGAGAGAAAAAAGGAACAGAGAAAACGAAAACCTCACACCAAGGCAATAAAATCCACTCCACCCTATCCTCACATCCCAATCCATAATATCCTCCCGAACCCCAAACATACCATCCCGAACCTCCTCCTCCTCCGCCGCCAACGACGCCAACGACGCCAACAAACCCACCCCTCATCCCTCCCACCCATACCCTCCCCCCGCCAACAACCCACCACCGACCCCACCTCCGCCCACCTCCACCGCCATATAACAACCCCCTCCCCCTCCCGAGAAACACCTCCGGTGCGCACAGACCGCCTTGCAGCAGACCCTCTGCTCGACGATCGTCCGCGCGCGACAGCGGCAGCACGTCCAGCGCTTGGCGGGCGCCCAGGCGACGTCCGGCCGCGAGGACCGCGGGTCCAGGGGCGCGGCCCACAGCGTGCGGTGGTGGTGTCCCCGTTCCCGTCGCCGGCGGGGCGATGGGGGGCAGGATGCTGCTGCCGCCGCTGCCGCCGCCGCCGATGCCGCTGTCGGTGGGGCGAGCCGCGTGTGCGCGGGGAAATAGGCCGCGAACAGCGGCGTGCTGGGGGACGACGGCGGCAGGGCAGGGCCGGCCGCCACCGCGGGGAGCACGGTCCGCGGGGACGGCGTCGAAGGGAGGGGTGGGGTCGTGGTCGTGGAGGTCGTGGTCGAGGACGGGCAGGGCGCGATCAGAGGGAGGGGGGACGGGGAGGAAGGAGCGGGGAAGTCTTCGAGGGCGTTGTGCAGCGCTGGGCCTGCTCGCTCCGGCTGCGTGAGGTCCGCGGCGGTGCACAGGGGTGGCGAAGCTCGTAGGGGCCAGTCTTCGTTGTACATCTGGGGTTCTTCTTCTGCTTTTTCTTCTTCTTTTTCTTCTTGTTCATCTTCTTCTTCATCCGGCACGATGAAGCGCGGAGGGAAGGTTTCGTATTGCGAGGAGTCGGCGCGTTTGCTTCGAAAAAGACTGGGGTCTTCTGCTCCTCCTCCTTCTCCTTCTTGAAATCCCTCCTCGCCAAGGGTCGACGTCGGAAGCCAAGCGGCATTCCTCGCGAACCTGATCAGGCCGCCGGGGCTCTCGAAATCGGGATCATAGCTTTCGGGGAGGGCCCGTCGGCACGCTGCGGGGTCGTTGGCGCCCCTGGCAGCGGGACTCTCGCGAGCGTCTTGTTCACAAGAGTTCGGGTGGGCAGCATTATTGTCTTCGGGCGCGGAGTAGAAGGCGTCGTCGCTGTGGATTGTTTCGTATGATTGCCTCCTCGTCATCGTGCCCAGATTCGTCATGTCGGAGAGCCTCCTGAGGCATGCCCCTGCTGTCATGCTCGCCGAAGAGGAGGAGGAGGAGCTCGATGATGAGGCCGAGGAGGATGAAGTCGGTCGAGACATCTTGTCGAGCAGTGGCCATGAGCATGGCATTCGGTGTGCGTCTCCCGTAGGCGAAGGCATCTTTGAGAGATGTTTCTAGTTTCTGGGATCTTGCTGCGCAAGCGCAAACCAACAGGTGCTATTCAAATTGGACAGAGGTGAAATTTCATGGACTTGGCGCGTAGGCAATGGAATCAGACGAGGGAACTCCGTCAGATTGTTGTCTGAGAGGCACGGTGTCGCGATAGTGTTGGGAACGGGCTGCAAACAGCCTTCTGGGGGAGGAACGGAATGGAAACCAAGGAAACGATTTGACCCTGTGGGACGCTGGACACATTTTCCTGGCTCGTCAATATTCATTGATTGTCTAGTGCTGAGGTGTGGCCTCAATCCGGTCATTTCGAAGAGGAAACATGACCAGAGGAATCAAAGGTGGTTTCAAATTCGTCATAACATGACGGCGGTCTAGAGGCATCTGTGAGCATTTTGGGCAAGTATAAACGGACAGGAGCATCGTAGCAGCGCAAGCCGCCTGACGGCGTCGTTTTTTCTGCGCGGATCAATCGAGATTCATGGTCTGCTGAAAATACTGTACTTTTGTACATTCTGTCTGCAATCTTTTTTTAATCAACCCGTCTTGGCCGGATTTCCGGATTTGGCGAAGAGTCTTCCATCTAGAGAACCAGCTTGATTCCGGACCAAGCGGACAGACCCCAGAGGCCAAGTTGAGCTGTTCAGAATTTACCGTGAATACGTTAGTGAATAGTTCGCTGGACGGCCATCCGTCGACTGATACTGCAATCGATGATGTTTGTTGTCACGTTGGACTTACGCAGAGCGGCAATGACATAGCCAGCAACACGGCCCTTGCCCTTCTCAGCAGTAGGGCTGGTGTATCCAATAGCGTAGATGATACTTTATGTGAGGTTAGCTTCATGTCATCGACCATCATCTAACGCCACAACAATCACATACCGTCCGACAATCCATACGGAGCCCAAGGCAGCAGTGGTGACGGGGTACTGCACGCCCGAGATGAGCAGAGACAGAGCGACGGAAGGCTGAACCTCGAGGTAGTTGCCGTGAGCCCGCTGAGCGCAGTTCCACAGATACTGGGCCTTCTTGGTCTCCGCATCGGCGGCGGAGTGGTCACCGGAGTCGGCGTATGGCTTGGGGTATGGGACCTTGGCGTTGCGGCGATACATGCTGCCCTGTTTGATGGAAGAAAGTACGAAGGTCAGAAGAACAACTCATCTGGAGAGACCATCGCTGCTGCATCAGAGAGAGCATTGGCGACAATGCCAGGCTGAACTGGCACTCTCACACGTGATGCTCGGCATCAGGGGAAACTTACTCGGATACCGTGCCAGAATGCGACCTTCACAATGACAAACAGGCAGATCACGTCAGCCACTTGCGGATGCGTTGAAGCTCCAAACCTATTCCTCGGCGTTCAAGGCAGAGGATTTCCAGGGCACAGGAACCATCGTCATGGTAGGAGACATACGAAGAAAGTCGCGCTGGTCACGGCGACGACATAGCTGCGAGAGGGAGGCCACAAATGTCAGTCATTTCTCTATGATCTCGTTTGAAGCTGTAGACTTTCGACAGAATTCCGTCCGAAGCCACAGGTGGATCGCGCTCACCCGTATTCCTTGGGGACGATGATTGCGAGAGACATGGTGAAGTCGATTTCGGGATCTTCAGAAGAGTGATCGTATTGAAGGCAAGCTTGATGTCGATTCGATGGTTCACGATCAATGCGACGATAACGTGGTGACTTTATATGCGATGGAACGGTTCTTCCACCAGCAGAGGCTTCTGATCAATGATGAACCCGTTGTTGATGTCGTGTGTTGTTCGCTCGCTAGTGTGTATATTCCCCTTATTTCCACCCAATTCGAAGCGGACGTTCACCTTAGCTCGGCGTTAAGGTGTCTAGATTGCGATGGGCCGAGGAGTTGGTCAGCAAATGCGCTGTTTGGAAACGGTAAATAACAAGGTAAACTTGAAAAGGACGATGAAAGGACACGAGAAGGCGCAATGCAATGTCCCAATTGATTTTATGATTCAAGGTGATGCCTGTTATGCTGCATCAATCCAGCATCTCGGATGGATTCTAGTCCCGCCTTCCGGAAAACATTTACATTATTTCCCATCTCGTCTTTAATGAGCCGACGAAGGACAGTCGTTAGGGTTGTGATTGGTTGGTACGGCGATTCGTGAGAACGAGAAACACCGTCTGATATATCATCCAGGAGGTCAACCGCGCACACGCGTTCGAGGATTTGTCAGATCTCAATGACCGTAAATCACCAGATGCAGAGATAAATATTACTTCGCGTCTGAGATACGATGTCATGTCTGAAATATGATTGGCGGCGAGACAAGGCGCTTCCTGCACGAGACTGCAACACGTCTCTCGACATGGCCGTTCCAGTGACCTATAATATTCAATCGCTCATGGTGGATAGATATGCCTCAGCGGATCTGCTGTCGTTACTAAACAACTATATTGAACAACAGAAATCAATCTTGTCAATGACCGTCGTCCAAAGATCTTGATTCAGCGTTCATCCAACATCATTTCACATCAGGAGTCAAATACAGAGTAGATTGCTTGGCATTTCGTGGACTATCCCATCAACATCCCAGAACAAAGAGACAGGCGTCATATGAGAAATAATCGACCAGCCTTGGGGCAGCATCAGGACCTTCCGAAACGCCATATACCCCTCCTGCTGCTCGCACAAGATCCTCGGCGCATCTACGCCAATGGGTCAGCGAAAAGTATATACGAAGCGAGCTGTTGCTACCATGATTCAGTTCTGATACTAAGGCCGGAGCCGAGAAATTCAAAGGTAGACCACACCGAATCAACGCTGCTTGGAGAATGATACTCCCTGACGGCGAGCGAGGAGGTGAAACACCAGAAGCACCGTCAGTGGAGAACAGTTGCTTATGCCACTCATCATTAGTGTTCAGTCCTCGCGGGAGTTTGCACAAATCTGAACATGAGGTTTGGAATTTGAAAACCACGCAGGGTGAAGGAGCGGGTTTCTGTGGTGGATAAAAGTCCCCGGGCCTTCTTCGACGTGAGAAAAGCCTTGCATGTCCCAGCCAGACTCTCTGAGCCGACTGATGTGCATCACGCCAGCTTCTTTCCGACACTCGTCTTCCCTCCTCCCATCCAATCCGTCATACCTCTCAACTAGCGGTTGTGGCTACTGTATACCGAATCGAACAACCATCCTGGAGGGTGGAGGATCTACGAGATGATGTAGCAGCGTGGAGTGATCAAGTACCTATGTATACCCCACGGCAAAAACATTCGAACAAGGCTAGAACGGGAAGATACACGACGCTGGAGTCGCTGGACCCCGACTCGTAAGTATACAGGCACATGCATCATCATACTGGAAGAGCGCAATTGCAATAGCTACCAGAGGGAAAACAGACCGAACGAGACGTGCCCTTTGCAAGGAAAGTCACGCTCGACATCCTTCCCAGCCTTGCGATGTGCGATGGGATGATGTAACATGGAGTCGGGCGTGACTCTATTGGCCCATCCCCACGGAATGACGCCTTGCGCTCCGACTGCATGGTTCTGGAGCCGGATCGCAGACTGAGAAGCGGATGGCGTGCGCGTCGCGATGGTGGGAGGCGTTGTCACGATGGGGAACGTGAGCGTCGATTGTTGTGGTAATCTGAGGTGAGAAGGCTGTGGGTGGATGACAGTAGGATTGCATGAATGTGAGACACGGACGGAGAGAGTCGCCCCAGGCTGGGTATGTGTTTATGCTGTCTCAGAGCTGCATGCATACGTGGGACTGATGATGGGCCATCAGCAGCGGCAGCTTGCAGCAGCGTGGTCAGCGGGCAACTGGACGAGGAGAAATGTCCCCGAAAGGGCTGATGGGCAAAGCAATGCACGAGCTCGAGCACTACCCGCGGTATGCTTGGGAGCGCTTTGGCAGAGGCGAGGTGCGGACATGCATCATCACATGCATGTTTACCTTTCGTCGGTGTCCCATCGAGCGACTGCCTGGTACGCCTGGCTCGCCAAGCGGAACGATGATATCGGATTGTGTTGGCTTTCTCGCTGGGGTGAGATTGAATGGGTTCAGCACCAACCGGAGTTTTGTTCTTTTGGCTTTTCTATTGTCCCGCCTAGGCGAGTGACCCTTGGCTTCTGATCAGACGTGGCAGGGGAATCCCCCGTGTCTTGCTTATCTCTTTCGCCAAGGGAACAAGATTGAGGAGAAGGACTGCTGTACGTCCGCCCGTGACGACGATGAGGATTGACGGTACATGACTTGTAGAAAAGCCAAGAGTGTCTAGGTACTGTAGGCTTGGACGGTGGATAGGCCCTATAGGCACCCGAAAATCTCTTCATACTTCCCAATCTCGCAGGTTGCAGGAAATGGTGACATTGACTCTCGTCGGTAGATACCTGTATGTGAGAGAGAGAGATAAGAGTCGAGAAAGTCATGGTCATTGTGTGATGTCAAATCAGAAGGAAACCGCATCGCGATCATAGCGTCTCCTGCAAAGTCAAGTCCACCTCGAAAATGCACGTATTTGTTCAGCTCTGTGATGAAGCAGGACTGCAAGGTGACTGGCTGAGCTTGACTTTTCGCTAAATCTGCCCTGTAGTTCCATCACCATCGATGATCATGACGAGTGGGTCGTCCTGTAGTTCCGACGCAAAGGAGGACACAGACCAACGGACGGAGAGATACACAGCGAGCGTGGCGCGTCGATCTCTCCCTCCGCCAAGGACGCGACATTTGTATGCCAAGAGTCGCTAGGGCGGTGGATGGTTTCCGGGCAGCGGCGGCGGCCAAATCCACTCAATTTGCGCTCAACGGGCGTCTGGCGCCGAAAGGTTGATCGTTGTGTTGATGATGTTGTTGTCGTCGTCGTCGTGGTAGCGTCGCCGTGCAGTGCAGTGCAGTACAGTGCAGCGCAGCGCATTCCGCATACCGCATACATAGGGCCACATTAATTCCCAACACACACATACACGATCGTGACCAGGTAGATTCAAGACCATCCTGTTGCAGCGATCGTGCAGGGAGAAACGCCCGTTGTGATGAATTGTGATTAGGGATCGTGGCCGGACATTCGTCCCTCGACTCCGCAGGGCGAAACGCCTGGCGATTGCAAGCAGCAGCCCTGACTAGTGGGAGGAATTGGAGGACAAATCGATCGGGTCAGACCGCCGCCGAAGATCTCTGAGCCCGCGGGCGGGTAGTGATTCCGACTCGCTCGTTCTGGTCATGACGATGGCCGACCGTTGACGAATGGTGGTGATGAAGATGGTGAAATACTCCCTTGAGGGGTTCGTTCCGTGGAGATGACCGTTATGTTCTGCGAGCAGTATCTACAGTGTCGCACATCATCGCCATCATCGCGTCCCATCGCATTGAGTAGTGACCCGAGAGCATCGGTGGTTTCCTGTCAAACTATACCACAGGTGAATTACCACGACCACGACCAACACCACACCCTTTCATCCCACAACCTGTGAGCCCGAGAGAGTTTCGTTAGTGACGAGAGCTCTGTTTCGCTCGCCGGATCGTCCTTGTCGTGCTCGCTCCCTCCCCCCGATTCCTCACGCTTCTCGAAGGCATTCTTAATGATCCGCCCGACTTTGGCCGGGTAAGGTGGACTACACAGGATATGCTTTCGGTGATGGACCCATCAGCGCTGCGTTTCTACACTCGTGTTGTGTTGATGTATGCAAAGACAGGTAGGTAAGCTTACGAGAAAACCTTAGGCTCAGTGCTCTATTCTAGCTGGAGGTTTGCCTTTCTCCCTTGTGATACCGCCCACCCGTAGTTCCCCCCAAACAGCCTGGTTTTGGAGGGTTTCTTTAAAACTCCTCGATCTTTATTTCCAGTCTGCGGCCACACCCTCTGCCTGGATTGCCTTTGATCGTCAAGAGCAGAGACTTGCTTCCTTGGTTTCCGGTTCACTGCCACAACCTGCCACGAACGCAGATCCTTGGTACAACAAACGGTGCCATGACGCTCATCGCCCCGGGAGAGGCAATGCGCGCGGAGGACCGCACCCAGTCAATTCCAAGAGAACGATCATTACTACTGCCGCGGAATGAGTACCTTGGCAACGGCGGGATCAGAGGTACTGCTGTACAGCACTGGAGAGTCGTTGTGGTGGTGGTGGTGATCCGCAGAAGCAAACCATACATCTGCAGCAGTGACAAGCCACACACGCAAACGTCTCTCCCTAGTCCGTCTGGGGGAGCCGATCGGGTCCAGCCCTCTCCTTCCTTTGCTTCCCTTTCCCTCCATGCCTCGGGCCTGTTTTTCCACAGTAACCTCAGGGCTGTAGTGATGATTATCTTTGCGCCGACAGTACACCACCTGCACCTTCCACCCTGAACCCGCGTAATGTTCAGCATGCACAGCTGGGCAGTATACCGAACTCCATCCCCCAAAAGTGCACCTGGGCAATTCGCGATGGCGATCAAACAGCCTGATGCCTTCACGCATGTATGTATATCCACGATCCATCGGTATGACGGTACACTTGGCTCTCCCTCGTCATGTCGGATTTGTGTCTCCTGCACATTGTAGCACTACTGTACAGGTTTCATGGGTCCTTTCTCCGCTCGCTCGCCTTTGCTGCGCGCTGGCCCCCGTTTCCAGGCCAAGCAATCGTCGTGCTTGGCGATGTTGGCTTGGCGGTTCATCTCTGCTCTGTGCGTGGTCCTATTTGCGCTCGCTCTCATCATTTCATGGGGTCTTAGTGGTCTCCCTGCTCGTTCGTTGGCTCACACATCCATGCCTGGTGCTGGTTCTGGGTCTCTCGCCGCCGCCGCCGCCGCCGCCGCCGCTGATGCTGCTGCTGCTGCTGCTGCTGCGGAGACGTGGGCCGGGGTAGGTCTCTGAGCGATTAAATGGTACTCAGGTGGCCAGTGGAAGGGATCGCAACGCACGACGAGCGAAGCACCTCGTCATTTATTAGCGATAGTCTTGGATCGAAATAGTCTTTCATCTATCCTCTCGGCTTGCTGCTCGCGTGCCTGCCTGTGTGTGACTAGACGATTCGTTGTTGGGAATGGTCTCACTTGGGTCCTCCTCTCATACATTTACCATCCTCCGTCCTCCGTCGTCGTTCGATTCGTGTATACCTTCCTCTACCACGCAGACAGAGAGGGATGTGATGGAAGAGAAGACGAGGGACCAACACCAAACCGACGCTGCTCGCCCTTCTCTCCTCTGTCCCATGCTCGATCTGTGAGCATCCACCTCGCACCAAAACGACAGTGCCCTTTCGGACCGAATAACTTCCTCCCAACGACCATGTTGGCAACCGAGCGAATGGCACCCGCGGAACACCAACACGACTATGGATCGCGGCGATTTCGCAGCCACTTAGAGGTGCAGTCCTATTACATTGGCGCTCTGGGTGATTCTGAGGAGAACGAGGCCGGCGACGAGAACATGGATACGGACAAACGCGCACGCGGGCGTGCAGCGAAAGGAAAGGCGGCAGCAAATACAAAGGCGTCCACTACAATCAGGGGAGCAGCAAGAGGTGGTGAAGGACGAGATCGGAGTGGTGGTGGAAGCGGTGGTGGACGAGGTGGTGATGGTCTAGATGGGATTGGACTCGGAAATGTGGCGGACGGAGCTTCAACAGCGGACATTGGCCCGGGGAGTAGTGGACCACCACAGACAGCGATTGCGGCCATGGTGGTAGCAGCTACAGCCGCGGCGAACGTCATTTTCACCGGCAGTGCGAGCGCCAGCGATAATGACCGGGTGGAGAGCCACGCACAACGCAGCCTGGGCAGTATTCACAGCAATGCAGGAAAAAGCAGTGCGGGCGGGACAGGTGAAGGGAATAATAACAAGGATGATGATGAGGTCGAGGGAGACTTTGTGATGGTCGCGGGTGAAGGCGCAGGTGCAGCAGACGGCCGTGGGACGATGAGAAGAGGGACAAATGGAAAAAGTAACCATGACGGCAGCGGTAGAGGCGGCACCCGCAGGAACAGCAGCAGCGGCGGCGGCAGCGGCAGAATTGCGTCCACCTCCACCACCAACTCCAGCACGCGCACCGCGAACTCCAGCAAAACCGGCCAGAATACGACGACGGTGGTTTCCACGATTCCGATCATACCCACTTCATATCCTACTCGCATCGCCACCACCAACACCAGCTCCTCCTCCATTGTTCATCACACCGGTCCAGAGGATCGATCGTCATCCGCAGTACTCGACGCCGACGAAGAGGAGAGTATTCCCGGCGGTGGAGAATTCCTGACCGTGGGTGAATTCTTAGCGAGCAGTGCTTACTACACATCGTCCGCTACTCGGTCGGCAAGTGTGCCATTCCTCAGCGCTTTGCCCACGTTGTCCAGCACCAGCAGCAGCAGCGAGAGCAACAGCAACAGCAACAACTACAGCAGCCACCACACTTCCACCCTCTCCTCTTCCTCCGCCAACAAGAATAATTCCTCCACCACGACTGCGGCCTCTCAGAACATCACCCGCACACCTTCCGCACTGGTCTCGCGCATCACGCAATCCGTCTCATGGCTGTCCTCCTCCTCATCTTCGAATAATTCCGCTTCCCGCAGCGTCAGCTTTAGTGGGCCCTCCACCACAAGCCCTACCACCACCATTTCCTCGTCATCCTTCAACTCCAACAGTAATAATCCACAAAACAAATACTCAACCACCACCACCGCTGCCACCGTCGGCCGTCGGGCTTCTCGGCCTACCTCGTCGTCGCCAGCCCTAGCCATCCCGCCGTCGCGATCTATATGGACACGTCGATCGTCGCGACCCAATCTTGAGCCGTCCAGCCCAGTCGACGACTCTTATCTACCGCCCGCCCAGGTTCTCCATAATCACCCTCAGCAACCTTGGCACCAGCCCGTGCGGACCACGACGAACTACCACACCTCCATCTACGCGACTTCACCCTCCGCCGCCTCTTCTGCTCCTGCAGCGGCGCACGTCGACGTCGACGACGACGACGACGACGACGACGACGACGCCGGCGACGAGCACCTCGCGCTCTCGCAGTCCACCTCGGCGATGGCCACCATGACGGCTTCAGCCGAGATTCCGCGCATGAATCGCAGTCAGCGCCATTCCACCATGCCGCCAGTGACCGCCGCAGGGAACACCGCCGAATCCCGCCCGGGCTTCTTCAAGCGACATTTCCTACATCGTCGCCAGACTAGCAGTCTGGATGGCATTTCGTTACCGGGCACCCCCGATGACGTATCACATCGCTCCGACTCGTCCACTCCGACGACGAAGGATTCTCCGACGTCACCTTCCCTACGACCGGCCCAGGACACCGCCGCTCCCACCAGCGCGCTGTTGGCCAACCAACCTACCCGACACGATGGCATCCCACAGATCGTCATGGATGAAGCCATCGATGACCTGCCGTCGCCAGCGACTGATTCAGCACAACCCATGGGCCGGACAGCATCTACCCGAGGCGTTACGTTCCAGGAAGACGGTCTGCCGCCGCCATACATCACGCGGCGGGTCAACTCGGCCCGTCGCTCCTCGATTTACTCGCGCACATCCGAAACAGGTAACTACGAAGAGGGCGTCGACGAAGGTGTGGGATCAAAAGCACGGAAGCTGTCGGTGAAGGTTGCTGATGCGGATTTACAAGTTGGCGAAACTCCCCTGCATGAACACTTTGGTCTGTTCTCGCGCAAGGGCAAGCAGGAAATCGGCGAAGGTGGTGCGGCTGTCGTTCGGTTGATGAAGAGCAAGGCTGATGGTGACAATGAACGCGTCGTCGCCGTCAAGGAATTCCGCCCTCGGGATTGCGCCGAAGAAGACGAGTACGACTACGAACGGAAGATCAAGTCAGAGTATGCCATCGCAAAGGCATGCGTTCATCCCAACATCGTCAAGTCGCTCTGGCTGTGCACCGATCATGGCAAATGGTTTCACGTGATGGAATATTGTCAACTGGGCGACCTCAACGACCTTATCGCCAAAGACTTTTTCTCCCTCACCGACCGATTATGTATGTTCAAGCAGCTCATCCGCGGCGTGGACTATCTTCATTCCCGAGGGATCGCTCATCGCGACCTCAAGTCCGAAAACCTTCTCGTGACAAAAGACGGCTGTCTGAAGATTGCCGACTTTGGCACTGGGGAGGTCTTCTCGGGTCCTCATCCTGGCATGCGCAACTGCCGCCGACAGTCGATCGCCGATCCCGACGCTCCTATCCAAACTTGCCAACCCGGTTGGGTCGGCAGTCACCCATACATGGCGCCGGAGATCTACCAACGGACCGGTCCCTACGATCCCCGTGCTGCCGATCTCTGGTCAGTCGGCATCGTGCTCGTCACGCTTCTCTTCAATGTCACCCTCTGGCAAGGCGCCGGTCCCGAACACAACAACTACAACATCTATGTGGGCACATGGGATAAATGGCGGCAAGTCTTCCCCGACGCCGAGATCTGCGAGGGTCGCCCACTTCCAGAATTCTCAAATACGAAGCACTTCAAGGCTTTCAAGGACCCCGCCACAAAGCGCATATTATTTGGCATGCTCCACCCCGACCCATCAATGCGATGGACCGCGCAACAGGTGTTGGACTCCAAGGCAGTCACTGATTACGAGTGCTGCCAGCAGGATGGATACAGCGACAACATCAAAACTCGACAGAAGAAAGCCCTGCACGACCACCGACCGCCGGACCAGCGCGTCAAGAAGGGCGTCTTTGGCCTGCATCCCGCCAGCCCCTGTTGAGCAACCTCGACGACTTGCAACGCGATGCGACAATTAATGACTTTTCGTGTCCGCGAAACAAACGTCAAGAATGGAACATTCAATTCATCGGAAATCACCAGGATAAGTGACCCGCCGTTGGGAGAAATCAACACGAATGACAGAACAGAGCCTTCTTCCCAATTCGCACAACCTTGCGACGTATCTCTTATGCAGCATGAAATCAATACAGAGTTTACAGCAGAACTCTACAGGGTCCGAATTTTTACACGCCTCCCATCTGAAACGAGGGCGGCGCCTTTTGTTACTGGGAAAAAATCGCAATTTGCAGCTTGATATCAATTTTGCACGTCAGTCTGCATTTGTCGCATAAGTGCGCCATCTTCGACGCGTCGAACCAGACGACAGCGTCCGAAGTTTTACCTTAAAGGAAAGGGCGGGAAATATCACAAAACCTGAACGAATAAAATTACAAAAACATGATTTTCCTGTACGCATGAGAAGAATTCCTTGTTCGCAGCGAAAGAACCCCCACCATCGCCAACTATTCATACATACGCACAACAACAACAGCTTAACAAAAAAAGTGTCCACTCAACCTCCGATGATCCGTCCTTCTCTTTTTCTTCGCCTCATATCTTCTGGACACTCATCATCGAGTAGAACCGCTCTCTAAACATCATTCTTCCATCTCTCCCCGCTTCTCCACCATCAACGATCCCTAGGAGAGGGAAAAAACCCAAGGGAAGACCCTGATGTCACAGGAACATCCCCACCTTCCCATCCACAAAAGAAAGGGCCCAAGCTCACCACAGATCCCACACAACGCCCGGCACAACCTGCCTCATGAGCGCCCAATGCCTCCTCGCGCTCTCGAGCTGCTGTTCCGCCCACAAAGCTTCCTCGCCTACCTCCAGAACCTTCTCCGAAGTCGTTTCGGGAAACGGCATCTCGTACTCGGCCTTGGGGACGAGATATTGTCGCCGGCTGTGGGTGTTGAGATAGTCCGCTTCAACCGGGGTACGGAAATCCCATGACGGCGGTGCGGCGGCCGCGGCGGAGGAGGAGAATTCGGATGTATCGGAGGCTGTGTTGAGGCAGAAGATTACCATGTTGGTGAAATCTGCCTCGGAGCGATCGGAGTTTGGGGCTTTCTGCTTAGTCGTCGATGCTTCTGAAGAAGCGGTTTCCTTTCGGGCGTTTGGAGCGTTTGGGATGTCCCTCGCAGCAGCAGCAGCAGCAGCTGCTGCTGCTATTGCGCTGTTCTCATTGTCGACGTCATCATCATGACTCTCATCATTGATGTTCCTCTGTCCATTCTTCTTCTTTTCATCATTACCGTTAGAATCCTTGAAATCAGAGTCTTTCTCATCGATGTTGCTCTTCTTCTCCGTCTTTCCTCCCCGCGGTGCCCGTCCATCTCCTTTCTCTCCTTCCCCAGGCGAAGATGAAGATAACGGCACCGGCGGCGGTCCATCGCGGAAAATCCGACAGTTCCTCCTCCCGTCAAAAACCCGCTCAATCGTGCCCAGGACATGTCCCGTCAGCGGCAGACTCAAGTCTCCCGCGTAATTGATCGCAATGACGCCCCCGTCCTCCCGCAGTCGCGCGCGCAGATCCCGAAGGAACTGCGCCGTGAACAGCGACAGCGGCGACGCCCCGCCGGTGAAGACGTCGTGGATGATGTAGTCAAATCTCCGGAGTGGGGTCCCGCCGTCGTCGTCCTTGCTGTCATCATCGGGAATGCTCTGACCCCCCGCGACCCATTCCACCGCGTCCGCAATCACCGCAGTGTGGTTCCCCGGCAGCGCGAACCATTTCTTCGCGAACCGATGCACGGCCGGGTCTAGCTCGACGATCGTCGTGTCGATCCTGTGCGAAATCAGCGCTTTCGGCGCCGTCCCGATCCCCAGGCCGATGACCAACGCCGAGGCATCACCGTCTGCCACCGGGGATTTCCCCCCGGGGCTCCGCACGAGCCGCACCGCTTCGAGCATTTCGAAGACGGCGTAAGTTGGCTCCGGCACGAGCCAGTGCTGTTGCGTCTGACGTTCCTGCGTGAGCAGCCATTCGCCGCCGAGCAGGGAGTGGTCTGCGCGGAGCACCCGGTAGACGGCGGAGTGGTTCTCCAGCACCGAGATGTACCCCGTCGTGGACCAGGCCCGGTCGACGAGCAGCCAGTCGTGGGCCGCGAGGCGGTTGTTGAGGCGCATGTTGGAGAGGTGGGGGTTGAACAGCGCGGTGCCGAGGAGGAAAGGGGTGATCATCAGGGTCATCGGCCGCCCGCCTCGTGGTGCGAACGCCATGTGGAGGCCGGCGAGGAGCAGTTGGAGGTTGGTGGGTTGGAAGATGTCGGCGAAGGTGGAGCTGCTGACGAATTGGAGGAGGAGCTTGGACGGGGAGAAGAGAATGCCGCTCCACATCAGGATGCCGGCGAGGCTGAGAGGCTCGAGGCTATTGCTGATGGAAGGCGCGGGCCTGGATTCATCTTGGCGGTAGTCGGCGAGTAGCAGGAAGGTGATGGCATTGTAAGTCCCTAATAGGACCAGGATGTGGTGACTCAATATGTTTAGCAAGAGAGGGCCATTGGTTGGTCCGAGCGACTCGTAGGTCCCTTGAAGGAGAAGCTGAAGCACGGGAACAAAGAAGGCCCAGACTACTCGGATTTGTGATACGAGTCTATCCCGGTCGAGTCGCTTTCTTTGGGAGTAGGCAAGGATGAAGCCCAAGCCGAAGCTTGCTCCGTATAGGATATCTTCGTGGTCTTGGCTTGAGTATCCGCCGAAAGACGCACTCAGAATTAGATGATTCAGAGGTTCGTTGAGGTGTGCTAGTAATATGAGTCCGGCGCCTCTCAACAAGTCGAGCGTGATGCCGAAGACGGTTTGTGCGTCCATTGTCGGCGGTCGTGCTCGGGTCTGGCGTGTTCAGATGCTCATCTGAGATCTAAAATCCGAGTCGTGCTCAAAAAGTGGCTATACGCCCCTATGTCATAAACTCAGGCTTCAATCACTGGAAGCAAATCAAGATCCTTCCGAGTCTGGCACTGGATATGTATTTCGATACACTTGACAAGAAGTGCAAAGAACAATCCTACGGAGGCCGACAGGTAGGCTGTCGAATTGGAATCTTTACGTATGTTGCCAAGGCACTTCTACCTATACAAGGTGAATAGTTTTTACAATTGAGCATGCGAGGAACGTCACTGCTACTTTAATAGATGCCTATAAATTATGTGCACATAGATATATCAGTGAAGTGCAAGTAAGGGAGGTGGTTGCGGAGATCCCTCCGGCCGGCGCAACCGACGTCAGTTGTTATTATCGATTGTTGTCCCGGCGACCAATCAGCCGGACATGAACTTCGCGCAGGAGCTGCACGCCGCACTCACGCACACGGCTTATACTGTATATGTAGTCATTCCTATAGATTCTTTAAATTGAAAGAAACAGAACAAATCTAAACTTTGAATAATGCCTCGTCCGAAGACCTATGGAAAGAAGTCACGGCCGCTGGGCGAATCGCACGTTGTGGATTTCTCAAGCCCGGAACAGCGAAGCCGGAAATGTTCGACGACAATTGATTTGGATCTCATCGAGAAATGCACGAAGCTTCGACTCAAATCAGATGACGCAAGACCAGAACCAGGCCTGAAAGATCAGAGAAGAATTCTGGGCGAAAGGAACGCTAACTGCTCTACGGTGAAGAAAGGCACTGAAGTGGGAGTTTCCTGCCAGCCGGAGGTGAACTTGAACGTGGAGTCTCGCTCTGCACGGAAGCATGTTTCCAGACCTGTCAAAGAAGATATCAAGAAATCGGAGGTGGCCAAAATTTCGACAAAACATGAGACTGTTGTGTCTTCTCCCAGAATCTCATCCAATTCGGACCGGCCGAGGAAGACCAACACGCACATTTTCTTTGATGATGAGAACACGGATGCAATTGAACACCATGGGGAGGGAATCGAGCATATCACGAGGCTAGCATCGACAAGCACCGATGAGAAGCCGTTACGGCATTCGGAAGCCGGCGAAGTCTATGACGAACATTGCTCTTCACTCCTGTCACTATCTTCACGGCCTTCGTCAGCGTTCTCAACCTTCGAAACCTGGTCGGCCGAGGTAGAGTCCCATTTCGCCGTTTCAAAACTTGCGGAAGCCTCCTTCGGCGAAGTCTATCGACTCTCTCTCCTGGACGACATTCCCGAATTCTCCAAAGCGGACGAGTCAGTATTTAAGATTATCGCGCTGAAAAGCCCATCGGCCACGCATCCCACCGACAAACGCAAGAAGACCGCACTGCTAAAGCGAGAGGAATTGATGAGCACTCCCTCTGATGTCGCCAATGAGGTCCGCTTGCTACAACGCATGACCCACATCCCTGGATTCACCAACTTCCGCGATATTCGGATCCTGCAAGGCCGTCCCTCAGGCCCGTTCGTCGCTGCATTTCATGAATTCGATAAATCACAGAAAGCAAAGGGCAAGGATGGAAGCCATTTCCCTGATCCAGCGAAGAAAGCCAGTTATGCTGAAACGCAATTGTGGGCTATCATCGAAATGCAGGATGCCGGTACAGATCTCGAGAGGTTGGTGGAGGCGGGACGGTGTACTTCAGTGTGGAGGACATGGGACATCTTCTGGCATACTACGCTGGCGTTGGCAAAGGGAGAGCAAGGAGCGAGGTTCGAGCATCGGGACCTGCATCTCGGAAACATCTGCATAAGAAACATGCCAGGCTCATCATCGTTATCATCGTCTACAGCACGAGAAGCCGCTGAGGAATGGCTGACCGAGGACATCGACGTTCAGCGGAAGCTCGCATTCACGCCGTTGGATACGACCATCATCGATTACACGCTGTCGCGAGCTACAATGACTTCTGTTGAAGACGACGAGGATGGGGATGAACTCGAAGCCGATACTGATATTGCATACATGGATCTTTCACGCGATCCAGCCATTTTCCAAGGCGACAGCACCGAAGAGTATCAATACGACATCTATCGGTACATGCGCGGCGTTCTCTTTTGCGACGACGCCTACCACGACTTCGACAGTAACGGAAACTCTTCGCCTGAGGACCACGAGATAGGCCAGAATGATGCAGATGGCTCGGTACGGACATGGTCGGAGTACCATCCACAGACAAACCTCGTTTGGCTGCATTTCGTCCTGTATATGCTGCTTGAGCAGATCGTGTGGCCCAGCGAGACCCGCGCACCAAGCAAGCGCCCCGGCAAAGGAAGCCATGCGTATAAAGACGAACAAGCCAAACATAAGCTCCGTGTCGCGCGACACAAACGCGGCAAGCACCTCGAAGCCATCCTGCTGGAGCTGCAGACTATCCTTGACCCAGCGCAGATATGTGCCAACGGGGTGAGATCTGCGGGAGATTTGGTTGCGCTTGCTATGGGCGAGGGTTGGCTTGATCTTCAGGACGTCATAGGCCGGATGGATAGCGCAAACGATGATGCGGATGAGCTCGAGATGGAGTTTGAGGCGTTGAACCTTGAGGGTTGACCGGGCCGGCCTATCTCATTTGGGTCCCATGCGCATTGTCAGGATATTTTCGTGTTGTGTTTTGAGCGTGCATAGCGAGCGTTGGCGTTCAATCGATATTTCCTCTTTGACGATGTGACGTCGCATAGCGTTCGAATTTATGGCATTCTTCTTGACACGCATCGGCTCGAGAACAGGTTGATTGTTCCTGAGATAGACGAACTGTGCTCGTAGATGTCACCAAGGCCCAGTATGCGGCACTTATCCCGCCCGCGCTGTCTCCATCGCCAGAACTTTGCGTGACGATGTATCTCAATGAAGCGTTCAGCATGTATTGGCTTTCGTGAGACGCGCGTGGACGATCATCATATCCAGATGCCGTGAACGGAATAAGAATCTTATGGCATCGGGAACTGTCTTCCACGCCTGCTCCATTCCCAGCTTTGATCGTGAGATATGCTCATGTCTCAACTTCAATTCCCCGGCGTGTGCTCATAGTTGGTCCAGCAATTTCCGTTTCCGTCGCTCCAATAGTTCCGCCTCCACCTCCTCCGCCGTGGGCAACACCCACGCAACACCGTCACCACAGTCTCCCGGCAAGGGTTCCCATGTCGCATCTCGCGCCTCTCCATCTTCACCGCCGACCAACAAGAGTCTCTCAAAAGCCTCTCTCTCCTTCGTATCCTCGTATGCTAGCAGCGTCCCGTCGTCCTCGTCAAGATTGTACCCATAATACGCCGCGTCGACCTTGGCTCGGAGATCCGCCCGATTATGTTCTCCCTTCTTCTTCTCATCGTCATCGCCGGGTTTCCGTACCGCTGCCTCGAACAGCTCTTTCACACCGGGCAGTTCCCGCGCCCGCCCGAAATACCTATAACCCTTCCCACCGCCTTCCACCACCCGGCCTTCCGCATCCACCACCTTGCCGCCGCCGCGCATGTAATTCGGCCCGCCCAGCTCCCGGATTCGTTTCTCCCATTGCCATTTCTCGCGGAAGAGACGGTTGAGCTCGTCATTGAGGTCGCGCAATTGGAAATCACTGAGCGCCAGGTCTTGGATCTTGGTGGTTTTGCGCGAGATTTCTTGCAAGACTTGTCCGCGCCAGCGCTCGCAGGTGGGGACGTGCTCCTGCTGCGAGATGGCCTTGGGTCGCCGGGTGCGGGAGGTGTCGAGGATTCCTAGGTCGGCGGCTTGTTGGGCTCGGAATCGAAAGAGCATCGATTGCGCCTTTTCGGAGTTGCGCGCCATGATGGGCGAATGGTGAGATCAATCGCTTATTTAGCAGGTGGAGCTCGTTCAAAGGCCTTGTGTGTAATTTGTTGACGACGTCTTTTGGTATTTGCCTTGATCGACACACGACATGGCCTGTATGTGCTGTGCAATTCGTGGACAAAGTCTCGGTCAACTTGGACCTTGAAATTTGGCATGGAGTATTACATAAGCAGCAAAAGCGATCAATGGATACTGAAGATTTACTTTTGGCACAAGTACACAAAAATATTGAAAGCTTCTAAGCGATTGGTGTCTGAACATTTGTTCCGAAAGAATAACATCAGTCACGTATACGAAGGGGTGTATAACCTCAAACAATGCCGAAGGTTTCACGCTCTTCGAAATATCCCTCCCAGGTATTCATCCAATTTCTCCTCGACACCCTTGACCGGACCCTCCTGTTCTCCGACGACCTCAAATCGCGCTCCAACCCATCCATCTGGTCTCACTACGACAACCGTGCTGTGAGCACTGTTCAAACCGTAATACTCGTAGCCCGCGTCGGACAATGAGAAAGTTTCCATCTCCGCGCTGCGCTTGACACAAGCGGGAAGCGCAGTCCAGGGATCAACAATGTCATGGATCGAGGTCATCTCCGATTCTTTGCCATGATCAGCTCCCAAGACGTGCTCGGGCGTGACGACCTTGGCTTCGCAGGTTGTGCTGTAGTGGTTGTATTTCGGGAGAATTCTCTCAAAGATGATTTGTACTGTCTTCGAGGATTGGCTCTGCGTGTTGAGAATGTCGCGGCCTGTGAAAATGAGCACGAAAAATCGAGCTAGGTTGGGAAGGATTTGATCGTGGAGGTCACGAGGTTCGCTGTTTGCGAGACGGGTCAAGAGGCGGTTTGCGAATCGCCGACCGGGCTGTGCTGGGGAGGAGAAAGGCTTCTCTTTTTCAGCTTCTGATGCAAGCGACTTGGGATCAGCAGCGTTAGCTAGCTCCTGGCTCTCGCCATCCGTTGTTGGCGGAGCAGAGTCCCGAGAAGTAGGTGATACAATAGTCGATGCGTGCGTCAGGAAGGATTGGCTATAGACAATGCCGAGTCCGGATGCGAAAGTCATGATTTCGTCCAATAGAGCATCTGCCTCCTGATGGCGGCTAGCCTCGTGTTGTCGATCTCTGTCTGCCGACCATGTAAGAGCATACCATTGACGGTCAATGTCAATAAGCCTCTGGGCAATGGCACGACGTTCAGTGGCATAGCTGTGAAGAAGAACGGCGGAATTGGCAGCTGCCGCAGCATCAATCGCTCCGGTGAGGGGAGACACCGGAGATATTGAGCGAGTGAGTTTCCACGCTAGGTTGTAACTATCGGCCATACTGACATTCATGCCTTGGCCAAGTTTCGGGCTGTGCGTGTGGCATGCTGAATAGAGAACGAGGTCGTCAGTTCAAACAGTCGTCGTTGACAATGCGATGTTGTATGGGGTCACTTCGACAACAGCGAGCACGGATAAGATGCTCAATCACAAGGGCTTGATTCTACTTACCATCTCCTACGAGAAAGACTCTCGGCATACCAGCAAAATCGGTACGGATAAACTCGGACGCGACGCGTTGTCCAATGGCATAAGACGTTGACCAATTGACGTGGGTGCCAGCTTTCTTCTGCATACGGAAGGGTGCGAATATTTCCTCGATGCGTTGCAGAATGTCATCCTCAGTGATTGTGGATCTCTGCCGAGTATTCTTGATCATGATCGTAGGCGCCTTTGCATCTTGTTGGCCGTTGATAGTAGCGGTGACCTCAGCCGTGGAGACATCTTTAGTAGACAGTTTTTCAGCCTCCCTCTCCGCTGCTTGTTGACGTCGCCGGATCTCGATTTCCTTCATGTCGACATAGAACCGAGTCAGCCATTCACCTTCAGCATCTTGCTCTCGTGGAATGACCATGATCATCCCGGATTCGTTCTGTACTTGGCAAACCCGACGGATGTCAGGAAAATCCGTATCAACAGGAAGATCAACAACACCGAAGACCTGGTCAGTTGAATCACCTTCCATCACAATTCCAACCTTCTTGCGCACTGTAGAGTGCGCTCCGTCAGCGCCGACAAGATGCCTGCATCGGATTCTTCGAGTCTGCGGTGGCTGAAGTAGGCTCCCATCTTCTGACACTTTTGCAAGATCTACCACGACGGGGTATGTGGCGTCGACCTCATCCAGTCGCACATCGACGACCTGGAAACCACGAAGCAATGAACCAGGCATGCTCCTCTGCACATCAGCGGAGAGGACATCTTCGACTTTGCCCTGTCGTAACCCAATGAGATTGTATGATCGAGCATCATTTGGGCCGCCCATAGAGTGCTTGGCGACCCGTATCATTTTGCGCGCGGCTTTGTTTCGATTGCCATTCTCAGACTCTGGACTGGATTTCAAACTATGATCTGACGGAGCTTCCGCCCAGACCGCGCGCTCCGTGAGGGCCACAGCGTGCTGCAATAGTTCATCTAGAAGACCGAGAGATTTGAACATCTCAATTGAACGAGCGTTGAGACCATCGGCGTGCCCGGCGGGAGTCGATCGAAATTGTGGTTCGACGCAGATGAATGACGGTGCCGGTTGTGATCCTCGCGAGTGCCGACCTAGCATGGTTGCTAGAAGGAGACCTGCGGGACCCGCCTTTGCGTAGGTTTATGTCAGTGAATGAGAGCCAAGCTTTACATTATTCATGTGCCAGATGGGAGCCTCACGCCAGCGATGACAACATCTCTATATTCGACGTCGTCCATGTCAAGCTCTACCGTTTTCGAGCCGGGCTTGTCATTAGACGTTTTGTCTGCTATTGATAATCCAGAATCCGGCCGGTCTGGTTGCGCTTCGACATTTTTGCCATTTGATGGTCCCTTGTCATCAATATGCAGGGAATTTTTGATCGAATCAACGACTGAGTGAATGCTTGAAGCGGCAGCCATGCTCTATGATCGACGTAGAAGATAATCACTGGAAATGGCGAGAATGTCTCAGAGCCGTCCTTTTCAGTGAATGCTGAACAATTATATTTGAAACAGAAGGACAGAACAGGGATATTAAAATATTCTCCTTCCTAGCTCACAAGCCATCAGCCGAAGACACAAAGGACAGTGAGCTCAATCAGTGGCGTTCTCAAGCGGACCTAATAGTCATCCTTCGCCAAATGATCGGCCTTCGTGCTAAGCGACACGACATCGCTTCGGCTAGGCGTTTTGTCCGCCGCCCGGTCTATCACGATTACTTGGCCCGCGGGTAGTTCGATGTCGTATTGTCCGACGTGGCAGGCTTAGCGCGTGCGATCGGAGTCGTTGAACCTTCCCAGCAGGTGTGTGTGTGTGATTGTAAGATCTTGTGGTCTCGCTCGAACGTTTGGTCGATCAAATAGCGTAAGGACTGACTCTCAGCTCGGCCTCGCTTGCGTCATGAAATTCTCTTGGAGAGTCTTCAGGGCTCTTGGTAGGTGGAGCCCACCTGGGCACTTCGGCAGAACATTGTGCTGGTCGTTCGGGGATCATTGCCCTAATGCGGAAAGGGTTTGCGGTCATTTAGGTTTGGCGTGCCACATGGGGACGAGTTGGGACAAAATCCTTTTAGGGCTTGACCCGGATATCTGCCGTCGTTGCCGTTTGTCATCACTTCCACGGAAAGCACTCGTTTCCGCTCCCGAACGAATATGCCGTGGTGCCGTGGTGCCATCCATCCAAAGTGATGTTCAACCCGGCCGATTCAAGAGCAGATCCTCCGATGTTTCGTACACTAGACGCGAGCTCAGATGTCGGGTATATGTAATTTTCAAAGTCATACAACATCCATCCATGTCAATATTCATCATGAAACGCCTTCTTCGCCTTGGTGTCCTCGTCCACGCTGTGCTGGTTCACCCGCTCCGATGAACTCGAGGCCGAATGCTTTGACAGATTCCTTTCGAGATCATCCGAAGTCTTCTCACTCGGGCCAGCCTGTGATTTCATATCCTGCATTTTCCGTAGGAAGGCCGCGGCTTCTGCAGCGAATTTACACTTCGCTCGGATTGTCGGACCATAGTGGTAGAAGATGAATGGAAACGGTACGCATGCCAAAGCCAAGAATGCTGGAATGCTGGAAGCCCAGTGGATGCCGAGTCGCTCATACATGATCGGAGTGAAAAGCGGAAAAGCTGTTCCGAACAACGAGCGAAGAACGGAGTTTGCAGCGAGACAAGACTTTGACATCTCCGTCAGTGGGTAAATTTAGGGTTGAGTAAGAAAGGTGAGGTGAACTTACAGCTGCATACAAAGTATATGCGTCGATGAGATAGTTCATCAATCCTGTTGAGCGAAATGTCAGTGAACAGAACCAATACTCGATATGGTATCTTGAACAGACGCGGACGTACCGAGGAACACAAGAACCATGCCAAATCCAAAGGGTGCACTGGCAATGATGGGCACGATCCAATGAATCTCAGGACCATTTGTCCAAGCAAACCAAAACAGCCCAATCGGAATAAGCACGGCACCCAGCATGACGGACGGAAGTCGTTGTTCAGGCGGTGCAAATCCATCGTGCTTGTCGCTGACGATACCATAGCGCTTGTTGTCCCAGAGGCAATACGTGACAGCCGCAACCATGCCGACCAACACGCCCAAGAAGGCCAAACCTCCGATTCCCGGGCTCCAACCCCGACCCTGCTGAAACACGATTGGAAAAGCGCCGAAAAGTGAATACAAGATCGCGTACACGATCCCCATGTACACGCTGATGATTAAAACAATAGGCTCTCGAAAGAGAAGTACCCAAGGTCGTAGCAAAGCCGTTGCAAAGACTCGCGAAGCTTTCTGGGGACCTTTGTCGATTTCTCCTTGAGAACGGTAGATCAAGCCTGTACGTTTGCTAAGCTCGCGTGCACGTGCGCGGAGGAGCACAGGTGGGTACGTTTCAGGCAGGAGTAGTGTGCCGAGGATCCACAGACATCCTGTGAAAATGGCCATGATACCTTCGATCCAGCGCCAGCCTGGTCCAGTAAAACCGTGTCAGTGATATCGCAGGAGGATTCGCAAACACACACACTGCTTCATCATCGGGATGTTGATCGTTTCTCAAGTCTACTCACCAATTGTCTCACCGACGAAGCCACCGATAATAGGTCCAAGGACCGGTCCTAAAAAGGGGGCCGCAGCCCAAATACTGAGGGCCATGCCGCGTTGCTTCGCACTGAACATGTCTGCAATTACACCGCCTGCATTTGTCAAAGGGGCACTACCAACGGCGCCCGCCAGAAAGCGCAAGACAACCAGGGTCGCGATATTCTGGGCGCCGGCAGCGCCGGCGTTGAAAATAGTCAAACCAAGGTATGTCGTAGTGAAAAGGATCTGCCGACCGTAGAGTTCAGACAAAGGAGCCCAGAAGAGCGGGCCGATGGCGAACCCAAGCACGAACAGCGAAAGTCCCAGCACGAATTCCACCTGGCTGCAACCGAACTCGGCGATGACGGCGGGCCCACCACCGCTGTAGGCCGCTGAGGCAAACGACACCGCTAACGTGATGAAGCTGACCAACATCATTATCGACCACTTCCAGAATGCCGGATACAGCATGGGATTTCGAGGATCGTCTGCTATCCAGGTGACCACGTATGGATCGGAGTCGGTTCCGGAGCCGGCATATTTCCATGCTTCGATTTCGGGAGTTACGCTTGCGTGATCGATTAGCTGTCGGAAGAATGGAATGCGCTTGGGAACTGGGGGAGCAGCATCATGGCTCGAAGTGGCCGATTTGGAGAAAGACATTGCGTGTGGTCAGGACGTCTGGTTTGAACAGGAATGATCATTCAGGTCGCTCGATGATCAGCGATGTATATTCAAGTCGCTGCTAACTTTCTGTGTCGATTTGAGGGGCGCAATCTCGGCCGCGCAAGGTCAGTCTCTTTGAAATCGCAGGTGGCGGTCGCCAATGTCCGATTCAATAAAACTTCAGTCAGTCGAGACACTACCGATTCACATGGGCCACTCAAGGATCTATAAGGAGAGACATAACGATATGACTCAAAGGGGAGAAAACTCTCCATAGTTCAAACATGGCCAATACCACGATCCTTCACCACCCTCTCACCGGTGTTAAGGCATGAATCCATATGTCCATTCACCGAACCCAAGACCACACAAGTCGATAACCACCGAAGGGAAAGTCGGAGGCAACTCTGTCGCCGACTCGGAGCACTGGACCGTGAATCATTTCCCCCAGGAGCCGCATACCCCGTCAAAGCTGACGCCGTGGCGTGCACTTGACTCGACAGATCATTCCCGATTGTGGACATTGGTGGGACGCTCACACGGCAGTTCGGCACTCGTTATGCAAGCGCCAAATCCCACTCTTGGCGGCTGTTCGAATCGCATGCACCTGGCGATTTTACAGCATTCGCCCAGGAATCCGCTGACGCGGGCATGATTCCGCACTTCATACACAGCACCTGTCGCCATTCGGCTCCGATGCGCGACTACACATACGAAACTGAATTTCAGAGTTATGCGCGCCGCTCTAATTCGTTTCCTTTGTACTGTGTAAATCATAGAAAAACGTGCCTTGCGAACGACAAGACATCAAGGGTGATCATGGTCGTTGCGGCGCACATTAAAATCCTAAATTGCATCTTAAGGTGCGGTTGTGATAGGAGGAAATGTGCACAGACAATGTCCTTGGTGCGCTCTACCATACCCTGGTATAGTGGACGACATGCATCGAACGGAGATAATTTAGGCCATTTTATCTCTACCGTCTTCATCATCTGAGTCATGCATGCATATCCACTCGAATCTTTTCATTGATTTCGTACATTGATAGTCCCTTTTGATTAGATACCCGATCGCATCTTTACAGTCTGTGAGTCATTATCGCTGCACATCACAACATCCATTTCCCAAAAAGATCGAAGCAAGAAAAGTCGAAACCCCCATCATTCTCCCATCGTCGTCAATCCCCCCTTCTCTCCCATGGCCTCCTCAAACTTCCCTCTTCGAAGGATGAAACTCCCCGCTGGATCATGCGACGCGAGTCGTCGGTCTCGCCTCCTGATACTTCAAGATTGAGGAAGGCGAAGACGACGACGACGACGAGAAGCCCAGATCCTCCTTCTCCACCCCGAATCCAAATCCGTCACACCAGCCCTCCGCGTCGAAGTGCACCCAGCGGGTGTGGCTCTTGTCGCAGGAGAGGATCGTCTGGCAGATCCATTGGGCGGTCTTGGCGTGGAGGGAGAGTTCGCGGAATTTCCGCGGTGGTGGTGATGGTTTCGATGGTGTCGATGGATCGACCGTCATTTCGGTGTCGACGTCATACCATTCCTCCTCCTCTTCCTTTTCCCGCTTCAGCTTCTCGTCATGTGCACCCCGTCCCAGAGTCGAGGTGTTCCCCATTCGTCCTTGCGACTGATCCTCCTCCCCCTCCTTCTTCTTCTTCTCCTTCTCGACCTCCTCCCAGCCCCCAAAGGTTCCGCTCCGTCCCAGGGCCAACGCCTGGAAGATGACGAGCTGATCGCGCAGATGTTCGTCGACGACGGCGTTGCTCCGCCACTCGCGCGCGAGGTCTCCGACGACGCGCTCCGTCATCTCGTTGATCTTCTCGGCGAGATCGATGGGCCGCTTGGAGGACTGGGTGTGGAGGACATCGGCGGCGAGGAGGGCGGCGGTGGGCGGCGGGGAGATCTTCGTCCATGAGCATGCGTCGTCGTTGTTGCCTTTTTTCTCGTGCACTTCTTCTTCTTCTTCTTCTTCTTCTTCTTCGACGGGGATGGTGGAGGAGGGGATGCGGGCGGTGACCAGGATGTAGATGTTTCGGGAGAAACCGTTTTCCGGGGAGGAAAGGGTGGATTCGAAGGTGAGGGTGAGTTTCCGTGGAGGGTAGAAATCCTCGGCGATGGATGACGGTGATTGTTGTTGTTGTTGTTGTTGTTCACCTGTATTGTCGACCCCACCATCATCTCCGAATGAGAACCCCGCGCCGAAATGTCGCGCGACGTTCGCCGCGAGGGCTTCTCGGAAGTATGCCCGACAGGCCGCCGGTCCGACCAGGACGGCATGGATTTCCATCGGCACTTCCGGCTCATAGACGGGATCTGTGAGCTGCTTCGACAATCCGAGGTCGAAACACATCAGCCCCGTCCCGACCTTGTCCTCCCTCTTCCGCGGGGCGATCTCGATGGTGAACTCTCCGACGTGCCCCGGTCTCCCGGCGCTCCACCACCTCTGGCCCAGGGTGACGCTCATCTTCGGCAATCCGATCCCCTCCAGCGTCGGCAGGAGGACATGTTTCACATAGTCGTACGACGGCGAACCCGAAACATTCGTGCCTCCGGTCACCGTCAGCCGGATAGGGAGTCTCTCCAGGGGCGAGACCCCTCCTGGCGGCTTGCCCCCTTCCACCGCGGGCTCCGTCCGACAGAACAGCAGATACGGCAGGACGGCCTGCAGCGCCAGGCCCGTCGACCCGGCCGTGTCGATCTTCAGCGGATGACAGACCAACACCTCCCGACCATCATCCAGCACCCTCCTCCCCGAGAACGCCGCCGGGAGAGCCCGGTCCTCGCTGGATCTCGTCGCCGGCATCTGTCCCGCATGCTGCACCGCCTGGCCCCGATGTCGCCAAGTATTCGCTCCGGGCGCGAACAGCAACTCCCGGCTCCCCTTGTGCGCCCCCTCGACGTACGCCTCGCACGCCTGCGCCAGCCACCGCACGCACGCGAGGTGCTGCGCCTTCAGGCCCCCGCCGCCGGGCCTGCCGCCGCGGATGTGGGTGATCTTGATGCTCACGCCGGTGAGGGCCGAGAGGCAGAGGGCGTTGCGGACGAGTTGGCCGCCGCCTTCGAGGGTGCGGCCGTCGAGGGGGAAGGGGCGGCGGAGAGATCGGATCTGGGAGTCGGAGTGGGTGGTGTGGTCGAATTGTAGGGAGGGGGTCGGGGAGGTGATGGTGATCCAGGCGGGGAGGGAATCCTCCCTGGTGGTGGGGCTTCGGTCGATGGCGTCGTTCCGTCCGCTCTCGATGTCGTCGCTGGGTGCTCTCTTCCTGGAGTCTGTTTCGTCGTCGGGGAACTCCAATCTCCTTCGGGTGATTGCGTCGGCGTACGCCTTTCTTTTGCCCTCGATGGCGTCGGTGAGTTCCGCTTTTCTCGCGTCGGTCGCATTGGCGTACTCCCTCCTCCGCGCGGCGATCGCGTCGGCGTAGTCCCTTCTTTTCTCCTCGATGGCGTCGGCGAGTTGGATTCTTCTCAGGTCTACCGCGTTGGCACTCTCCCTGCGCTGTCGTTCGGTGGCGCTGGTGAAGAACTTGATTCTCGCTTCCCTCGCAGCGGCGAGTTCTTTCCTTCGCGCGTCGCGCTCCTCGGCGAGCTTTTCTTTCGCATCTGCGAATCGAGCGTCTGTATTTGTCGTCGGTTGCTTGGGTCGGATTGGAAGGCTCTCATCGGTAACGATGGGCCTTGTCGGTCGGCCTTCGTTGCGGTCCTCGCGGGTCGCTTCCTTTCCTTCCCTCATCTTCTTCTTCTTCTTCTTCTTCAAATCATGCGATTCTGGGCGCAGGGAAGGGAGGAATCTTCCGAACCGCGCGATGAGAGAGGCGTGAAGCGACTCGGTATTAGTATGCGGGCTGTATTCCTCGTGGTCCTCCCTGTTGTGCACGAGATCTGAATCTCTAGAAGACGGAGGAGGGATGTGCGCCGATGTCACGATTTGACGAGGATGTTATTGTTGAAGAAGGATGAAAGGAGAGGGAATATTACATTTCTCGTTGGTCTTCTCTTATGTTCGTCAATCGCTACTATACAAATGCAGTCATGCTCACCCACCCCCCAGACCCCGAAACGGATGATGTGGTGGTGGTGGTGGTGACTGCTGCGCCATGATCGGTGACTCACAGGGAATCCAAGCCGGGGCGATCCTTCCAATGGGGGACGTTCTTTTGGCGGAGAAAAGGGACCGGGGCGAGACATCTCACAGCACAGCACAGCACAGCACGGCACAGCCTCTCCAGGTATTATTCCCCCTCCCATTACGACAGTTCCAGAGCTGAACGCTCAACAATCAATATCAAATCACTCTAATTAGATCCTTCCTAATCGTTGATCGAATAGTCGATTTGCGCGATCCGTTGGTCGCTCAGACGATGTGTTCAACCGCACTTTCGATTCGCACCACCCTGCTGCACAAAACCTGACCAAGAACGGCGCGGAGACAGGGCGATCCGACGAGAGATCCCTCCCTCGCTTAGCCTGGCGGGAGGACTCAACTGGCAGGTAGGAAGGTAGGTAGGCAATGCATGGACTCAATTACAACAAGAGGAGACGTGAGACGATCAGCAGAGATGGCGTCGGAGAGAAGAAGAGAGAAGAGAGGGACAGAGAAATCGATCATTAATTTGTATGAGAGAAAAACAGAGAGAGAGAGAGGGGCTCGATGTAAGGGGTATCGTGGGGTTTCTTCGCGATGCGAAGTGACAGATTTTATCCCTTCGCCGGCGGTCCTGTCCCGGCGAAAGTGATGATGGAAACAAAATGGCAGATTAGTAGTGGTGGCAGTAGTAGTATTACTTTGTCATGGTGGTGGTGTTTGTTCCTGACGGGTCCCCCGGTGCAGGAAAGGGTTCATAGAGAGAAAGAACAAGGGTACACCCGTAGGGAGATCGGGGATAGCGAAACACAATCTCCGGGGGCCTCCAAAGGAAGAAAAGAAATCAGGAGAGGTTTCCCTCTCGTCAGTCGTCCAGCCGGAACGCCCTCCTCAAGAGGCCGAACTTCTTCTTCTTGCCGGTGCGCTGGCTGTAGACCTGGACGGTCCTCCTGGGCGAGCCGTCGGGGTTGATCGCGGCGCCGGACTTCTCCTGAGCGTCGTCGTCGCCGCCCTCGAGGAAGCGCACCGAGGCGCGGCGGTTGGGCGCGTCGTTGCCGTCGCTGGTGTTGGGGCGGAAGCTGGAGGGTTTGTTGCTGCTGTGGCCGTTGGGGCTCAGGGCCGAGGAGGCGGCGGCGCGGGGGAGGGGCGGCGCGGGGTCGTCGGCGGGCCAGTCGGAGCGGATGTCCGGCGGTGCGGTCATGGTCGAGTAGTTGCTGTTGTCGCGGCGCATGGGCGGCGGTTGGGAGCGGCGGTGGAGGAATTTGGAGAGAGGGCTGGGCGTGTCGGTCGGCGTCGCGGTGGTGGCGATGGCGGCGGGAGGAGGGGGGGTCGTGGGTGCGGTGGTGGGCGCCGCGGCGGTGGTGGTGGTGGGCGTGGAAGGAGAAGAGATGGGTGCGGCGTCGGTGGCGGTGGTGGTTGTGAGGTCCGAGGGGCGTGTGGGCGTGGAAACGCGTGGGCTCGAGGGGATCGAAGGTACCGGAGGGGCATCGCCTGAGGGAGGCGGGTTCTGTGTGTCGAGCGCCGGCATGGACGCGCTGCTGTTGGTGCGGTTCCGGCGCAGGATGGTGTCCATCAGACCGCGGCGTTTCTTCTCGATGATGGAAGGTGTGTACCCCTGTGCGGAGGAGGTGGACTCACGGCCCAGGGAGCTGTCGGCCGCGAGGGACTTCGGCTCCGGACGATCGTTGGCGATGGCATCCTTGCCGGAATTGCCTCGAAGGCTGCCCTTGGAGAACAAAGAGCCGGCTTTCGAGTTCGCGGGAGGGACTGGGGCAGGGATGCCGAGTTTCTTTCGAGCGGCCTCCATTAGGAATTCCATGTCCGGCTCGTCTTTGGCTTTGGCGGCTTTGCTCGGTTTTGGCTGCTGGACCGGCTGAGCAGCTTTGCTCGCCTCTTGTTCGCGTTGTGCCAAGATCAAAGCCATCGCGCGATCGACCTCGGCAGGGTCAGGGACACCAGGCTTCGCAATCTTCTCTCGCCGACGCGAGGCCTTGCGTGGGTCTTCCGCGTCGTCGTCTTCGTCTTCGAGGTCGGTAGAGTCGCCGTCGTCGCGGCCGGTGCGGCGCGGGATACCTCGAACAGGGGTCAAGTCCGCAGTGATGAGGGTATCATCATCCGCATCATCATCCGAATCGGCAAAGCGGCTGCGGAAGAATCCACCCACGGAGCGGCTAGGCTGAGCGTCGTCTTCGTCATCGGAGTCGACGAAGCGCGAACGGAATCCAGAGCCCTTGGGGGCGCTGTTTTGACGGCTGGCGCCTGGACGTCCGGACTGTGCTCTACCGTTAGCAGCGGTGCGTAGAGTCATCCGGTTCGATCCGGTATCGACGGAACCGCTGCGGATCGACTCGCGCACCTTGTCGCCGCGGTTGCGGCTGAAGAGAGACCCCGTGGGCGAAAGCGAGCGCATGCTGAACGGCTCCTTGGTGCGGGCTCGATCCGGGGACACGGGGCGTGCTTCACGAGCCGGGGCCGCGGTCGTAGGCGCATCGGCGGCACGTCGCATGCTGCGCTTCATAGTATATCTCCCGGAATTGTTGGCCGGACGACGCTTCTTCTTGAAGCTGGACTCCGAGTCGGAATCATTGGCCAGCTCCTTCTGAAGTCGGGCACTCACCACGGGCGCGCCGGACGAGGCTTGAGCAGATTTGCCCTTGCCGTTGATTTTGGGGTAAGCCGAGTCCTGCGATGCCACCGAAGTGGTGGACATGACCGACAGACTGCTGAGACGGTTTGCGATTGGCGGGCGAGCGGTGGCGGGCTGCGGTCGCGGCTGCGGCTCTGGAACGGCGCGCTGGGATGCCGTTCTATCGCGAAGACTGGGTGTTCGGCCATTCTCTCCGCGCATGGATCGTCGCATATGAACCCCAGCGTCGCCGTTGGTGGCCGCAGCAGGCGTGGGCTCCGGTCGCATGCTCTTCTTCAGCGCCGGCTTGACGACCGGTGCAGTTGCGACACCCGCGGGCGCGGTCGATGTCTTCTCAGCCGCCTGCTTTGGCTTCTTTGCCGCCGCCGTCGGTCGCGCTTCATCGTCAGACGACATGTGGTCGCGCTCGATCTGTTCGCGTTGTTGTCTGCTCAACTTCGACCAGTATGCGGTGGCCTCGGTCCAATCCCCACTGCCCTGTTTCTCATTGTTCATGCGAGTCTTTCTGACGGCCAGCGGGACCGTGGGGCTTGCGGGAGGCGATGCGATGATCTGAGAGACCGGTCTGGCGGCGGAGGCGGACTTGGCGATGGGGCTGACGGCGACAGCGTCGAGTGAGATGAAACCACCGTTATCCAGCTCCGACAGGTCCTCTGCAGCGTCACTGAAATTGACACTATCGTCACTGTCTTCGTTGATAGCGTCCAGCACAGGCGTGCCTTGGTCAACGAGCGGGAGCTCAGCGTCGTCGGAAACAGCGAGCGCGGTCGTCGCAGCTTCCGCAAACGGCTTTCCTTCTTCACCAGGCGTCGGAGGCAGCAAATTGATCGCGGGGACTTCCTGGTCGTCGTCCGTCTGTTGAGTCTCGGTCGTTGACGCAAAGGACGCGTGGCTGTCACCCCTGGCGTGTTCGGCTCTTTTGTTTTCCGGAGCCTCACCGTCGCTCTTGGTTCGGTCACCAGCATTGGCCAGGATTCCACCGATGGCGTGATCACTGCTCACTGCAGGCTGAGCTGGCGGGATGCCCGCGGCCTTCTCTGCCACCTCTGGTGAATCCTTTCCTCTTCGCACACTCCCGAAACTCGGCAACGCGGGGCGGGGCTTCATGATCTCGTCATCTTCATCGTCGTCGATTACAGAACGGTCGAACGAAGCTACCCTGCCGGTCGTCGCATTCGCCGGAGCGATTTCCTGTGGCTGTTCCTCGAAGCTGACTCGCACGGACTTCCTCTTCTTGACGGTGAGACTGCCATCCTGTGACGTTTGCGACGCCGTGTCCGAGATCTCGCTGGCGGTCCCTGTAGTCGGGTAGTTTCCCAGAGGTGAAGCAGCACGCAGCGAAGGTGCTGGCGAATGCTTCAAGGCGGACTTGACGGGCGACAGCTCCCGAGGTGGTGGGACGTGCTTGGTGGTGTCGATGGTGGGGACCGTGGAGAACCGTGCCGAGCGGGCTGGACTGGGCGACGGGGAGAGGCCGCGATTGCGAATGCTCGACTGGCCACCGGGGGGCGATGCAGAGACGTATGCAGGGGTGGGCGTGGTCTGTGCGACCGGAGAAGGAGGCGGTATCAATTTCGAGGATGATTGCGCCACAGCAGGGCTGGCCGATGCACCCGATGGCTGCTTTGCAACCGGCTGTGCCGCGGACTTGACGGCCTGGATAGAAACGGGGGTGATGTTGCGAGACGCCGACGGTCGAACGGGCGCGGCCAAGGGCGAAGGGGACTGCCAAGACGTCTGTCCGAGCGCAGACGGCGGCGCAGCTGCTGAGCTCGGCGAAGGGACGATGGTCCGCGTATTGGGGTCATACGTGCCCGGGGCGAGTGGTTCCGGTTGGCGAAGCGCGGGCGAAGGCGGAGACGACGACGATGGAGAAGGCTTGTCCCGGTAGGAAGGAACAAATTTCCTCGTGGCCGGATCGAAGATCATGACCACCTCCTGCTCTTTCTTCGGCGGTGCAGATGTGTTGATCGGCGATGGTGAATTTGTAGGCTTCCCGTTTGCCGCCGCCGCTGCTTGTATCCGCGCGATCTTCTGAGACAGGGCGTCTGACTTGTTGGCGGCCTTGTTCGAGTTCCCATTGAGCGGGCCCGTCCCTTTGGGCGCAGTGTGCCATGCCGCCACGCTCTTGGCCTCGTCCGGGCGGGCCGTGATGGGCGACGCGGGAGGCGAATTGGTCGGCGAGGCGATGGGACGGGAGAAGTTTCTGTTGCGATTGCTGTCGCTCCGTTCGAGCTCCTCTGCGACGTCCGACAATCGTTTGGAGTTGCGATTCGACCCAGGGGGCTTGGTTGGAGGCGGATGAGGTTTACTCCTGCGATCCATGCTCATGGATCGGCCGTCTTTGGGAGAAGGGGATATGGCGCGTGCCGGGACGTCGACGCTGGAGGAGCGTTTGTGTCCGCTCGGGATATTTCGTGGGATAGCCGGGACGGGCGGTGCATTGCGTGCCGGTGGGACAGCTCCATTACGAGCGGGTGACTGGCCCCGAAATGTGCGTTCACTCATGGAGGCCGAGCTGCCGGGCCGGGTGAGCGAGGGAGCTCGAGAGTTGTTACCTCCCACGCTTCCACCGAATTGACTCCCGCTACCGATCGAGGTGACTGAGCCGCGTCGCATCATGCGCTTCGTCTGGATGCTGCCGATCGGCTCGGGGGTGGTGTTCGATGAGCGGAGGGCGGCGGCGGCGGCGGATGACGACAGCGAGGCAGTGGATGGCCGCCGCTGCACGGCGGCCTGACTGGCGGCGAGGGCGGCATTGGAGGTGACACTGCGGTCCAGTGGCTGCGGAGAGAAAAGTATCAGACCTGTGCGTTATGTCATACGTGAGCGGGCTTGAGAACGATACTGACCGGCTGCGCGCTGCTGCCGCGACGTCGAGATCCGAAGAGGCTCGGCATTTTGGGCAATGCGATGTCGTCGATGCGACGAAGGTATGTGTAATTGTACAGGAAGAACGGGATGGAAAGGCTGTAGTTCTCTGAGAGGTCGGCACAGGCGAAATTCGCTCTCAAGCTGAAAGAAGTACTGTAGTTGGGTGTGAGATGGCGGAGCAATGCGATCGATCAGTCCCGGCGGCGCATACAGCTCCAGGCGGACATGTTCTCCCTCGCTCGCTTTCCGAAATGTTCGCCAGCGAGACGGGAAAGCGATGGCGTCAAAGAACAGATGGTACAAGAACAAGGAGGAATGACAGACGGGGAGGATGTGTACTGTCAATGGTTGGGTGACCCAAGATTATGATTAACAAGGTGAGAATACAGGGAGGAGAGGAGGAGGAGGAAGAGGTGGAGGTGTTGGTTGTGTTCGTAGGTAGTGCGTAGGTAGAGAATGAGACGAGACGAGACGAGGCGAGACGACAACGATGGGCGTATGTGTGTGTGTGTGTGTGTGTGTGTGTATGTATGTGTGTGTGTGTGGCTGACGAAATGGCCGTTGCGCGCGAACAGACGCACGCACGCCCGTCTTTTTGCGGCGGGAGCGTAGACTGGACCGCAGCTATCGTATACTATACCTAGTAGTTATGTATGTACTAGGTAAATAATGGAGAATTGATGAGAGAAAGAGGGCACTGCGCCCATTTTAGCCACTGTTTTAGGCGGGATCCTCCCAGATTTGATGATGAGGATTTCCAAGGTTTTCCCATCAATTCCCGGCTGGGACGTTGTTTTTAAGCTTTGGCGCTCTCTCGGTGACGATGATGATGATGACAATGCTGTCACCTGTGCGTGGTGGTCGGTGCACTCCCACGGGAATGAATTGCTGGACGGCATTTCACACTCCCATCGCGTCCATCCATTCTATCGGTTCTGAGTCATGAGTTACGACGACGACGATGATGATAATGATGATATGCGAGTCAGGTCAGTCATGATCCAAGTCCGAGTTGTTAATATTCTTATTGTTGCAATGGGTTGCAGAGTGTGTGTATATACCTAGTAATAAGATCAAATAAAATCAATAGGTGTGGCTGTCTGTCTGACCATGGCTGAGTCTATGACATAACACCCCTAGGCCGGCCGGTACATGACAACAGCAACAAGCGTCTGCGCTTCCAAATTCCCGGGCATACAGTTATTATCCACAATGGCATGGAAGCGGCGTCTGCTGGCTGCTATGCCACAGTGCGCATAGGTGCAGGTGGTCAAGCCAAATAAATCCTGGAGGAGATCCATCATGCAAGGCATATCACACTCTCGAAACCGCATCCATCCACATACCACTACGACCCTCTGTACCGAGGAGCAGCTCTCCGAGCAGGACTGTGTCGAATTGAAGACGCCTCCATCAAATTCCTGAGGATCGTACTGTCCTTACTACTGTGCTGTATATATGGGATATATGGGACAGAACCAGGGGAAGAGGGAGAGAGAGAGCGCGAGAAGCCAATACGGATCGTCCGGCACGTGTTCTGGCAGTGGTGTTCTCCCTCCGCCCGTTTCCACTGCATATGCCCAGGTGAGAAAAGAGTGTCCATCATTATTTCCTTGGAATTATTATTAACCTGTTACCCAGGTATTATGTATGTCCTGTATCATCGCCATCACCGCCCATATACGTGTGCATGCGTTTATTCAACATCCCTGGCGTGTCCGGTGTGTGTTTGGTACGTATGCCGCCCTGTCTTCCCTTCCCTTCTTCCCCTTCTCCCACCACAGTGGTACGCTCTCGAAGGAAAAGCTTGGTATCATCAGCGGGGATGGACCGCAGAGGAGAGGGATCATCAACCATCATGCCTCCTGTTGGTATGTACACCTCATACACGTTCAGTGATCTTCGTGGTCTGGTACACCTTATATCTCTACGTTCAATCATCTTCGTGGTCTGGTTCACCTTATTTCCATACGTTCAATCATCTTCGTGGTCTGGTACACCTTATTTCCATACGTTCGATGATCTTCACCGTCGTCGAACCCCTCATCCACTCGTCCTCCACGCACGCTGGGCATTGTCGATCAAGCGGAGGACAGTCAGCCGTCGACGTGAAAAGGTGGACGGATCACCCACGGAACACGTCACCACCACACACAAGAGAGAGGAGACGCCGCACACACACAAGGAGAGTCGGCCATGCATATGTATGCAGGCTGACGATAGTGGCACCGACGCCTCAATGGATGGGAAATCCGCAATCCTGGAAAGAATCCTAATGAAAGGAAACACATTGGTCCCAATGGCGCCATGCAGCTCCATCCAGTCAGTTCGTGCAGGTGGAAAGGATCATCCCCAGCAGCTGGAGACGTACATCATGAATCATGTCGGCTTCTATTATTATCACTACTATCACTACTATTATCATTATCATTGGTGGTGTTGTCGTTGTTGTCGTTGTTCTTTTCTACACACACATATGCAGATTTCTGCCGTGCATAGGTATCGTACGCGCGCCATTTCTTTTGGGAACGTTTCAGGGGAACGTGCTATACTGTACCTATGTTTGGGGTTACATGATCCACACCGCTGCTCTGCGATGCACCGACGATCATCGTTGGAAGAGAAATCACCGTCCGGTCGAATGACGATGCTGCTCCCATACCATAGAGACGGCGGATGTGAAAACCACCAAAGGAAAAATGTGGGTTCGCCTCTCGTCAGGGACACGATGACCCCTGATACCGGGCGGGCGGTTGTTTGTTTGATGTACCAACTGCCGGACCGAGGTTGACACGTCTGACTGACCTTCCACCCTATACTCCTCTGGAGAAGAATTTCAAGTGTCGATCTGAGTAGGCGGGAGGACAAATCGCGCGTTTGGACGGACTGATGACTGTAACGTCATCATCCAGTATTTCCAAAGCTTCCAAGGTTTCTTCAACGGCTGTCCGCTCTGGAAACAATACTTGGTGCCTCAGGCCTGTGGTTTTCCGTTCATCATCGCCTACCGTAATCTTATTAGTCAGCACAGCGTGGTGTCCCTGAGAATTGGTGGGAGGGACGTCCGTTCAGCCCTGGGCCAGTTCAGATCAACTAATAATGTAGAGGCCAATTCAGCCCACCATGATGATCGCCGCCTTCGTGACAACTCGTGTTCGATAACTCCCAACAACCACTCCCCGGGCAGGCCATGACCCAACGAAGCCCGCAATCGCTTCACGCTCCTCCCAACTGATCAAACGACATCTTCGGCAATCCTCCATCCACCATGGAGTTCTTCAAGTCCGCCGTGGCATCCATGGCCAAGGGCCCGGCGTTTGGCTACACATTTGGCGAGCGCATGGACATTGACCAATCCATCTGGACTCTACATCACGGCACCAAACGAGTATGTTCATAGCCCCTCCGAGATGGGTCTCCGCCATTGTCAACGCGACACCGATTCATGTGAGATGTCATCAAAATAGGAAGACGGGTCGAAATGTAGCATTCTCTCCTTCGACATCAACGCCAACCGCGCTCGACTCCCGCTCGCGCGGAATGCGCTTCGGAAATTCAAGACGCTACGGCATCCGGGCGTCGTCAAGATCTTGGATACAATCGAGGTGCGTGTGGATCCGAGGGGCAAACGCTTCGGTCTTGAACCGCGGCGCCGATCACCGCCCAATGCTGATTGAAAAGCAAGGTAGACGGATCAATTCATCTACATCGCCACGGAGCCCATCACACCTCTCAATTGGTCGACTAAGAGGAAGGCGTTGTCGGAGGAAAGTCTGAAATGGGGTCTACACAACGTCGCCAAAACGCTCAAATTCATCAACGACGAGGCAGCATCCGTACACGGCAATATCCGGGCGTCGTCCATCTACACCAGCGACAGCGGCGAATGGAAGATCGGCGGATTGGAGATCCTCAGTTCGATGAAAGAAGATGATGCGGTCATCTTCACCCAAGGGAGCCTGGTGCCGGACATCGGTCGATACTCACCGCCCGAGATCGCCAAAGGGGGGTGGGAGAGCGTACGGAAGAACCCGACTCACGCCGTCGATGCGTTCTGCTTCGGCATCCTCGTCTCTGAGGTGTTCAGCGGAGGCTTCTCCGGGTCCGACCAGATCGGCACCACCAGGAACATCCCACAGGACATGCACACCAGTTACAAACGACTCACGCACGCCGTGCCGAAGATGCGGCTCAGCGTCGGTCATTTCCTCGAGCAGGGGTCTCGGTCGGGCGGGTTCTTTGACACTCCTTTGATTCAGCTGACAGACGGGATCGACAACCTCGGATTGAAGAGTGATGCTGAAAAAGACGAATTCTTGACGTAAGGCAGACCCGTGTGCTCACACCTGTTTCCTTTCGCTAACCATCTCAGTGAGCTCGCGACCGTGGCCGAGTCCGATGACTTCCCCGAAGAGTTCTTCAAAGTCAAGGTCTTGCCTGAACTGCTCAAATCGGTCGAGTTTGGTGGAGGTGGACCGAAATCACTCGCGTTGGTGATGCGCATCGCAACCAAACTCACCGACGAAGAGTATGATGCTCGAATCACGCCCGTGATCGTGCGCTTGTTTACGATTCCGGACCGCGCGATGCGAGTATGCTTGCTCGACAACCTACCGCACATGATCGATCACCTCAGCCAGAAGCTCGTCACCGACAAAATCTTCCCGCAGATGGTCACTGGATTCGGTGATCTGGCGCCCATCGTCCGTGAGCAGACCGTCAAGGCCGTGCTTGTCGTGGTTCCCAAGCTCTCGGACCGCGTCATCAACGGCGAGCTTTTGCGCCATCTCGCCAAAACCGCCAACGACGACCAGCCAGGCATACGCACAAACACAACCATCTGTCTCGGGAAGATCGCCCGCAACCTCGGACCGGGAACGAGGACAAAGGTCCTCACCGCTGCGTTCTGCCGGTCTCTCCGAGATCCCTTCGTGCATGCGCGCAACGCCGCACTGATGGCACTGGCCGCGACCGTCGACATCTTCGCCGACGACGACTGCGCTACCAAGTTGCTCCCTTCGATCTGTCCACTCCTCGTCGACAAGGAAAAGATGATCCGCGATCAGGCCAATAAGACCTTGACCGTCTACCTCGATCGCGTACGGAAATACAGCAACACGCTACCGGACACCGTCCTGCCGCCGCCCGAAAGCACATCCGCCGGCGGAACGCGCGTCAACTCCCCTCAACCCAACGCCGCCGCCGGCGTCCAGGCGGGAAGCCAATGGATGGGCTGGGCCATATCCTCCTTCACCAACAAACTCGGCACCGCGATGGGCGAAATGCAATCCGAGGGGAACGCCACGACCGCTGCTGCCCGACCCGATCTGAACCGCTCAAACTCAACCCCTTCCTCATCCTCCACCGGCGCCCCCAAACCCTCCCTTCCGTCATCATCATCGTCCCTCCACGGCTCCTCCCATCTCACCCACAACAACTCCTCCCCCGCCATCCCCAAGATCTCCTCCGGCCTCCGCAACACCACCACTCCCGCCGTCGAAGATGAAGACTTCGGCGCCGACGCCTGGGGCGACCTCGACGACGACAACGACGATGACAACGCCGCCGCCGCCGACGCATGGGACACTCCCCTCACCAACAGCCACAACCCCTCCTCCTCCTCCACCAAAGCCACCACGGCCGCCACCACCACGAGCATCTACGACGACGGCGGCGAGCCCGACTTCGAAGGCTGGCTCGCCGCGCAAAGCACCAACAAGAAATCCTCCCAGAAGCCCCTGCCGAAAGGCCTCGCGAAGAAAACACCCTCCACCACCACCACCACCACCACCACCAGGACGAACAAGCCGATCTTCGCCGCGCCGAATGTCAAAAGGACCTCCTCCTCTGCCACCACCGCTGCCGCCGTCGTCGCGAAGAAGGCCGTCCCGGTGAGAAAGTCGGAGGAGCCGGAGGGCGCTGCTGCGGAGCAGGAGGCTGATGACGATTGGGGCGATGCGTGGAATTGAGGGGGAGGGAGACGGTCGAGATCGAGACGTCCTCCTCGACCCTTGTTTTTTGTTTGTTTTTGTTCTTTTGTCGTTACGCAAATTCAATCTTGATTGGTTGTTTTTTCCTTTTTGGTTTTGAATTTCGTTCATCCATCGGTAGACGTGTCGTACTCTGTTTCTGACTTCCGGTACACCCGCGCGTACACATGCATGTCTACCCACACACACAGAGGGGAAGAGGGGGAGAGAGAGAGAGAGAGAGGAGAAAGACAGAGAGGAGGTGGATCAGCCAGGGCAACACATCGAGAGAAAGAGGGAATACATGGACAGCACAGCACTCGTTAAACGAGAAACGGTCCTTCCCATAAATCCTAGGGATCCATCCATCGAGTGGAGAGACTAGGGTTACCATACACACGCATTCGTGGTGTTAGGGTTAGACACCCACAGAAAACGAGTTCCATTCGTTGTTGTAACTGTCCCGTCGTTTTGACACCCTCGATATTTATTTTTATTTTTTCTTTATTTGTTTGTTATGGGAATATATTGAAGGGGGAGGGGGAGAGAGGGAACAAATGGCGACGTTCGACGGTGGTACACGGTCGGGTCGGGGGATGAATCCGATGGTGATTTCGTGAGACGTCTGTCGCTGTGGGGGCATTGTCCACATATGTTACCTCTCCCATTTCCCCCCCGTCTTAGATCACCATCGTCTGGTCAGTTTCGTCATGTGTTTCTCGCTATCGAAAACATGGGCAGGACTCCGCGCGGACCTTGATCTTAATGTGTTTTTTTCGGGAAAAGGAAGGGGTTTATCGCTATGTCGACGATCGTGATCGTGATGTCGACGACGACGACGACGACGACGAACAGCTCGCCGACGAACTCGCCGACGCCGCAGATCCACATCTCCCCCTCCCCTTCAAGTCGTCCCCATCACCGCTCCCCATCCGCTCCCTCCCACCTCCCGCTCCCCTCCGCGCCAGCCCGCCGACTTTCTTCTTCTTCCCCTCCTCGTCCTCCCCTCCTCGTCCCCCTCCTCCAGCGGTTCTCCTCCGTCCAAGCAACCCGACACCCCCCACGACCCTCCCCAGCATCTCCTCGTCCACACGGTCCCAGACGGGCGCCGCGAGCATCTCCCACATCCGCCCCAGATTCTCGACCAGAGGGGAGTTCCCCGTTTGGTTAGAAAACGCCCGGCGGAGGCGCGAGGTGAGCGTCGGGGGCCGCGGCAGATGGGTCGTCGGGTCGGGCGATTGCCGGGTGGTGAAGTTGGTCAGTTCGGAGGTCAGGAGGCTGGTTGGTAGAGAGAGAGAGAAGGTCAGCGGGTTGGTATTCTGGCCTCTGCGGTTTTGCGAGGGGGGGAAATAAAAGGGGGCAAAGAGGGAAGACAAGAAAAGAGATAGACTTACTCCACCGCCCACTGCCCATCATCCTCCTCCTTCCCTCTCCTCCCACTCCTCTCCTCCTCCCCCTCCCCGTTCTTCCCCTTCCTCCCGCCTCTCCCCGCCCTCATCATCCCCAGGAACCACTCCGGTCCATGCAGCAACAGCATCTCCTCCGCCGCGAGCTCCACGTCCGATCTCGTCAAGACATCCCCCGCCGCGTAGGTCCCATGGATCGGCGCGGCGCCGTGCACGCGCAGGATTTTGATGCTCGACACGAGCTTGAACAAGAGACACGCCAGGGCGGGCGCGGGCAGGGTCTCGAGGAGGGCGATCGCGGCGGGGCTGGGGTAGTGGGGGGTGTATATTGCTGGGGAGGAGGAGGAGGGATCGTTATTGTCGCCGGAGCTCTGTGGAGAGGAGGGAAGAGAAGGTGGGGATGATGGTGTGGTGCTCTTGGGCGCTTCGCGGTTGACGTCCTGAAGCCGATACAGCAGTAGCAGCCCGGCTTTGTGGATCGTCTCCCATCGGCCTCGGAGCCAGGCCAGTTCGGGGCCATGGGAGGTGATGTGTAGCCATTGGGCGTGGAGATCTTCCAGCCGGACGAGGCGTCCGTGGAGGACATCGAGAGAGGCGAAATTGTGGAGCTGGAGACTGGGGAAGAGATGGTGTGATTGATGGGCCTGTGAAGGCGAGCAGTGATGTTGGAGTTCGTTGATCGCTCGCACGATGCTTGTCTCGTGGCGATGGATGAGAGACTTCAGTTCGGGACTTGTGCGGCGAAGGGCAGAGAGGTTAGATGGAGAGTATGGCACGCGTGGGATCACCTCGAGGAGCAGCTCGGGAGGTAAGGAGGAAAATGTGGCTTTCGTGTCCTCGTCATTCGTGTCGTTGACCGTCTCTTCCAGATCCTCGAGGGTGGTTAATGGAGGAAGAGGCGGAAGATGTGAAGGTGCGAGCATCCTCATGTGTGAAGCTGTCTTGGATGTGGTTTCTCCAACCATGGCAGTGTTGTCGATGGAGCTTGCTATCCCTCCCTCGTCTTGAAGCATGTTACTGGATCAGATCTCGGAAGGATATGTTTGATATGTAGGAGATTGGCTGAATGTCAAACAGGTCATTCGCCGATACGATGCTTTCAGAATATCAGTAGATTAATTGTGTAGACTATGGAGACTTTGTTTCGACCAAATGTATGCAAACGGGTATCGAAGGATATCCATCGCGGTGCCCAGGACCTTAATGGAGCATTAATCATGAGTGGTGATGCTGATGAGCTCGATTGATCCGAGTCCGCTGGCGATAACACCGAAGGACCACCTTGATGGCGACACTCCAGCCTATCGATCACGACATGGCAGCCGATCTTGGTATGATGAGATTCTGGGGAAAGCTCCGATCATTATTACTTAGTAGTATTAGAGGCCTGATAACACATCGCGTGTCGTATCATGAACCACGGAGGTACATGATGCCGTTTTGGGAGCGACCTGAAATCAGTTCGCATGGCATGTTTCGCAGTATGATTATTGTTGAGAAGGTTGATATATGCTGCCCACTTTCCTCCCTAGGTACTGAGCGAGGTTGACAGAGACCTCGGCGTGAAAACCGAATCGTCGGGAAGGTTGCCCGAGCAGTGGTTCCGCGGACCGCCTGCGATCCCAGGCTCCGTGATCACAACACTCATAATCGTGTCCAGATGCACACTGCGGTTGAAGTGGTTGACAGACCGAGGCAGATCCATACGTATATACCTCGAGGAGAGGACGCGATTGAACCAGCAGAGAAGCCAGAAAAAAACCATCGAAAACCCATCAATATCTTCGTCACAGATTGAGGATGCCGCAACCACGTCATGCATCGGTGCTCCCGCCCGTGTATCGCACACTGTTCTTATTTCTCGAGGTAGAACACATAGCAAGAGACATCCGATCTGCCAGAAGTCTGCTGACGATACTATGAAAGCCATCTATAATCCTCGTCGCGATGCTATCAATCATCCTCTCTCCCGCAGACCACTATCAATCCCTGGCACCGCGACACAGTCAAAGCTGGTTCTTCACGCCCGTGCAGCAGCTCGGTGTATGCGATCCGGCAGCCGTCCGGAACACTCCACAGGTCCGATCGCTGCTTTACCAATACATGTCCGCTTTCACCTTCAGCGCCATCGTCGAGCCGCTGACCCTATACGTCGCCATCCATCATTTGGAGACCACACGGGACGCATACCTGGTCGTGAGGGCGATCTTGATCTCATTCTCCGCGTTCGACGTCTTACATGCACTGGCGACGGTGAGTGTGACGGGCTTGGCGACGGTCCTCCCCGGTCTGGAGGATTCTAAACATCTGGATCTCTATGCGTCAATCAATTTCTGGGTCCCGCTTGCATGGCTACTTGTTCGAAGTCTCTGGTTTGCGGGAGTTGGACGGACGTCTGTCAAAGTCAAAAGTGGCTAGGACTGGAGACGCCCATGTGCTTGATATGCTGTGCGGGATGCGATTGTGGTCAAGGATACGGGAAGGCCCAAGATCATCGTACTGCTGATGATCCAGACTCGGCGTGGCATGTCAAGGGCAGAGTATAAAATTAAAAGTCGGCACGGTTTTAATTGCGACTGTCGTTCTATTTCTCCCCTTTGGGCAGGTGCAAGATGTGCTCAATCCGGAACAAGTACAGACTGTACCTGTGACCCACCGTGTTCACGAGTCCTGACCTTTCGAGGCTGGAGTCGGATCATGGCTGCGATGAATCCGGAGTCTTCTGTACAACTTGCCGCCTATATGTCATGTGAAAATGAATCGGGCGTCAAGTTTGTCATCTCGAGACAGACAATACCTGATCTTCCATTCTAAACTCCCTCCATCCATACCTTTCGCCGATGCCTGCGTCTGGAATGGGTATGTACAACGCGCATGGCAATCGTGATCCGAGGTAACCCAATGCATACAAACTCCGAAAGGGATTCCTTGAAACTGTCAAGCCGGAAGATAATTAAGCGGTTTGGACGCCATTTAATAGCAGTTCTAAATCAGGCGTCCCGCACGCAATGTTGCCGCATGGTGGCTTGCCGTCGCCAACAACGTCAAACACCCTCATGCAACGGAAAGCCGCCAGCGTCTATCGTGGTTGCCCGGGTTCGTATCTTCTCGTCTCAATCTGGCTGCTTTCCGAGCGAAGGAATTTCGTTCCCAAAAATAATTGTCCGGAGGGAAGGCGCAGGAGCCATCGTCGGGGCTGAAGATGTTCGGGACGCTGGCTGCGGGGCGGCTAGTTGCTCACGCCATTACAGCGCCCGCCGCTTGCCTCTTTTTCCCGATGCGTATTCCGTGGGATGTTGGCTGACATTCAAGCCTCGTTGCGGCGTAATAATATTGCATTCCTCGATTGCCTTTTTCTCTTGTCGTGCGCGTTTATGTGCCGCAAATGACGGACAAAGCGTTTTAAACGTCTGTTCGGTCACCTGATGAAACTCGTCTGCGAACTATTGCGAGGTTGACGTCGTTAGAGTTTGACGATGAGGCAATGATTACAAGACTGTACGGCGTGGGAATATGGCCCACAGTGCTGACCTGGCGACCTGGCGACCTTGATCAGACCGACGATTTGAACCATATCCAGGCCTCCCACGCTGAGCTCCTGTCGTTTGCGATGGATGACAGATGGCATCGCACATCGTAATAAGCATCTGGGCTCGCACTTCCACAAGTTGGCATTCGAGTCATGTTGTCGATCTTTTGCACTGCCCTCAGCGTTAAGAAAAATCAACAATGACATTCTGTACATACCCGCGCGCTCTCGTCGTCATGGCCGCAAATAGATGGACAAGAGTCCTGCGGAACGCACAGGCCTCGACTCACGACGGTCAAGCACAGGACAGTCCCGACCAACAGCCGGAACGGGACAAGCAGCAAAATACCACGACACACGCCGGCTGTGCACTAAAACACGGCCCGAGTCTGCTTCCGCGCGTCGCATATCCGTTCCCACCAATCACCGGGAAACACGACCCAACATCAGTTGGTGTTTGGTGCACGCCATGCGCTTGTACGACAACGATGGGTTAGATGATCGTCCCTGCTAGTCTGGCCCCCCTCTTCGACCTCAGTAGCCGTGAATTACTGATGACGATTGTTGACTTTGCGGCACAGCAAGAATATGCTTTTGCCAGGCTGGGCCTCGACGGGTCATGCTGCCACCCTTTACGGGGACGTGGTGAGAGGGTGCATCCGGGCAAGAGCATCATGAACGCGTCTTGCGAAATTTCCGATCGAAAACGCATGTCTTTACAAGGAAAAAAAAGATTCGACCAACAACCCGGAATGTTGGCTTGTTGGCATCGTTGGTCTGATGTTGGTAGGGCGGGACGCTGACAGACAAGCACGGCCTCCGACAACATGAAGCCATCAAGCGCAAGCAAGGGAGGCCGTGTCCTTTTGCTCGTCTGCGTCGAGCATGGCTTGTGCGTTTTACTATTAGCCTTTCTGCTATGACCGACCTACTGCCGTCGTCCAAACTGTGCCGTCGCGCAGCGGTGCATGCAGTAGTCACCTCATCTCGACCTCCCGCCATCTCTCCAAAGCCTTCTTGTGCGACAACCTGTCTGGCCTGCTCGCCTGGGGATACCCACGCACCCTGGTCGTCGTTCCTGTAGTGGTTGCACGCATCGCAAGCTTTCGCGGTTGTGGCTCTCAAGGGCCGGTCTTGACTACAGGCCTGTGCACGACGGTCGCCTGTTTCCCCTTCGCGCAAAAGTGGAAGGCCACCCACTATCACTCCCTCCAATTTTGATACACATTCCAGTTGCTCTCGACGGCCCTTTCCCGCCGCGGACGATCGTCGGGTAGCATCATTACTTCTGCCGTCGACGGACCCCCAATTCCTCCCATGATGGATGCGAAGCTCGGCCTCTAGCTTCGCGGCCACACTTTAGGCCATCACAGCATAGTCTAACGCGGTGCGCGTACACCCCGAGAAAGGCTGTGCCACCAAGCTGCCGCGAGCGCGATCCTTTCTCCTGGAAAACATTGTGTACAACGTCAAGTTGCGAGACCCTCGGCTTTATATCCAGCAGCGTCACCCTGCTACAGATCCGCCGCCATCAATTTGTACATCCCTTATCCAGCAACATGGCATCCTCACCCACTGAACACTCCTGGACCGAGCAATCATCTGTTCAGAGAATGGAATATCACTCATCTGACCTTCCGCCATGGGAGCAGAACTCGTTGGTTCAACAGGTTCCCAAGTTGCCAGATGGCTTCGCAAGTTGGAGTCTTGCTGAGCGGGAGGCCTATGCCGTCCACTGGCCAACTTTTCACAGCGATCATTTGGCAGCGAAATCCCCTTCACGATCAACTTCTCAAACATCATCTCGACAGGACTCTGTCGCGTCACATCGGGAGAAATCTCGACATTATGGCTACCGCAGTCGGTCGGAAGATGCGTGTCGCACGGAGGCCACCGTCGTCCAGGAGTCCGCGGATTTTGTGCGACCTCACATGCCTGCCCCTAGCATGCACCCTTCTACTCGCACGCCGGCTCTTGCTCCGAGCCCGAGTCAGGGAGCGATCGTTAGAACCATCTCCAGTCGAGCTGATGGTCAACAAGGGGGTTCCCTGGTCGCGTATCGCAGCTCTGGAAACACTGATATCGGACAATTCGAGCACCAGACTTGCCAAAATGAGTTCCGATTGTCATCTCACTCCGTGAATAACACGCTCGCAATTCCGGGCACGGCTTCGCGTCGACCTGTTAACACATCACCATACCTGGCGTCGACGACAGAATACCCAGGCAAACGTTCCCGAAGCTCCAGCCGCGCCGACTCAATCCGAGCACAGCAGCTGGCGTTGTCAGGTCAAATATCGCATCCAGGCAGCCAAACAAGTGCTCCCGAGGTCTACGGTCTCGGCATCGACGCTTCTGTCGACGCCATCCTGGAAAGCTCGAGCAGCGACCGAGGCTACTCCTCGCCGTCGCCGCGGTACAACAACCAGATGAATCGTTCCTCTCAGCAAATCCGGCATCAACGCCAGCTGAGCGCAGACTACGTCGTCACCGACATGCCCAGCCCACGTTCAGAATGGAGCCATGCTACAAGCACCACATCACGAAGCACAGGAAGCTCCCTGAGCCCCCAGATCCTGACATCCTCCTCCCTAACCTTCAGCTCCCGTCATCACAGTCCAGCCTTCTCCACCGTCTCCGCCTTCACCAATCCCGACCCATACAACCCCGACCTTCAACCTCTCCACCACAGTGAAAACATGCTCACAGGTGAAGCCCGCGACCCAGGCTACTGGCCGAAACCCAACCCCGGTCCCCCAGCCTCGAAACAGCACCTCACCGTCGCCACCACGCCATACAAACCCGGCCTTCCACCTTCACCATCACCTCGCCGGCCATCCCATCAACATCTCCCACCACTCTCCACCGCGCCCAAGTCACCCTCGCACGTCATCCACCACCACCACCACCACAATGAACAACAACTCGCCGCTCTCGCCTCACCTCCGATGCCGCCTGCCCTCTCGCCTTCATCTCCATCAGACCACAAGATGACCACATGGAAATCCAAGCTCCGACATAACCTCAAGAGCCTCTTCAAAGGCGAGAGGACGTCAGTAGAGGGCAGCCATCATTCGAGGAAGCCTGAGCGCGAAGGATGGCGGGAGGAGGACTTGGTGCATATGCCTCACCCGGACAGTATCTATGACTGATTCCACCATGTCAACTGCTCTTTATTTTGTTTTCTCGTCTTTGATGTTCTCTGCATTTCTCTTTTCGGGAGGGGGCGTTTCCTAGATGGTGGCGCATGGTATGAACCTGTTTGATCTCCTATACTGTGGGGAAGAACGTCTATTGCCTCTCGTCTCGCGATGAAATGAGGACGAGCGATCTGGGGGGTTTTTTCCCTTTGTCATATACTTATCACATTGGTGCTCCTTTTGCTCAATACCATCGTTTGGACATGCTCGCCGTGGAAGGTCCCGGTACTCTACCTTTGTTGTTTTTCATGTCTATTTCGAATTTAATCATGTGTTCATTGATCCATTTTGGGAAAGACTCACGCAGCGTTGACATTTCTTTGATGACTGTCGAGGCATGAGAGGAATAGGGTCATTCCTTGCAGACTGAACCAACGCTTGTTGACATGTGGTCTTTACGTATTGTTCAAAGAATTTCTAACGTCTTGGAATTCGTGTGAGAAGCCCTAAGAAGCACACCCCCGTAGACATACTGTGGTGTATCTAAAATCATGACAAGTGACACATTGGAAGCCTACTGTTCACACTCCGTCCTAGGAGGGAGCTCAAAGATCCAAAAACAATCAAGACTCAAATCATCCACGAAACGGAAGAACTCGCTAAAGCGATTCCTCGCACAGCAAAAGCCGATGAGCCCATCCACACAGCGAAAAAGGAGACCCGTCATGCTCCCGTCTTCAGCATCTCCCTCCGAAGAAACAACAAGAGAATAGGAATATAAAAAGAAGGAGACAAAATAAGCGGCACCATCAAATTTCACCCCATCCCCTCGCATCCCCAACCATCCCTTCCCCCCGCTCCACACTATCCCTCAAAGCCTCCATCAGAGGCAAAATCATCCTCATGTAGGTCTCCTCCTCGACGACAGCTTTAGGCGGCAAGCACTTCAATTCCACCATCTGCTCGACCTCCGCAAAGCGCCACTCCCACCAACTCTCCTCGGGACAAGACACTCCCTGTTCCCCTCCCTCTCCTCCCCCTCCCCCCTCCTCCTCAGAAGAGGGAGAACGAGCGGGGGAAGCACAGGGGAGGAGGAATCTTTGCTGATGATCGACCTTCAACAGCAGGCCGACGAAGCGATGGTACCAGGTGCGAAAGCCGCCCTTGACACGGGCGTGGTTGCGGACGAACGCGAATCGGTCCACCCCGCGCAGCCCCCTCAGCAGGGCGACCAGGTCCGCCGTGAAATCGAAGAGGTAGTGCCAGCAGCTCGAGCGGTGCAGGACGCACGTCAGGCTCTCCAGTCGCAGGGCTGCGACCCCGAAGGGGTGTGCGCCCCATTTGCGCATCTCCCGGAACTGCCGCGCGTCGGCGACGAAGGTTATCGAGCGCAGCGATGACAGCGATCGGGAGGGGAGCCGGGTCAGACGCTCGGGGATGCTGGAGAACGGGGTGGTGATCAGGAAGGGAGTGCGGCTTAGGGCGAGGAGGTGGCTGTCATGGTGGAATTGTTTGCTGACGAGAAGGACGGAGAGGGTGGATTGGGCCGTGTAGGATTCGTTAAGGAGGAAGGAGGAGGTGGTGCCGCAGGTTCGGAGAGGTTGTTGTTGCTGTCGGTTTTCTTGGTTGTTGGTGTTATCGGAGGAGAAGACGTAGTGGAGGATGAGGTTGCGGATCTCGGCGGGGAGATGAAGGAAGTGGGGGCTTGATTTTGATGTTGGAGTGGCCATTCCGGGGACAGCCATGTTGATCCAGTTCCCGACTCAGATCTCATGAATTGATCGTGGGTACTCGGTCAACAAGTACTGAGGACTGGCGAGGACATTGAGTTCGAGATCACCGATATGAGCAGGGGAGGACGCGATATCTTATCAGATCAAGCTCTCCCCGCGTTGTTTCCGATCTCGGCTTGCGGCAAGATCCGATCAGATCTGCAGGGTCCGCTCTCATCGGCCGAAACTCCGAGACCGAGTAGCCCGAGCCACTTATACCCTGTAGAAAAATGTCTCAAAGCCGTTCGTCTCTACGATCGTCTTTCCATTTTCACTGCCTTTGTGTATGTATCGAGCCTAGAAATGTTGACTCGAGTGCTCTGTGAAGGAATTGAGTGTAGAAAATACCTAATCACTTCTGAAGGTGATTGTGTCAAGAAAGTGTTGCCAAAATGAGAGCTTTCGCACGATGGGTGAGAGACGATGGACGACAAATGGGAATCCAGCGAACAGAAAAGTTGTCAGATTGCGCTACCATCCGTACTGTAACAGGAACATGTATCGCTCGCCAGAAGTATCCATCTATATTGACCGCGGACATGAACCGACTTCATGGGCCCATGCCGAGACTGTCGATGGTTGGTTGTTGTTCTATACGTGCAGTATGAAGTCCAAACTCCAGATGACCAAACCCCGCCGGGGGAGAGGACATTGACGAGACGACACGCAACCCCCCACCCTCCCCAAGTCCCCCAACAGTTGCCGTGAAAGAAAACCCCGGGAAAAGGAGGTAAGCAGAAGATAAGAGGGCGAGAAAAGATAGAAGAAATTCCCTGACCCTATTCACCCTCCGAAATTCGTAAATCGCCCCGTGACCGTCCTCTCCACGCGTATCGGCAACTGGGCCACCGAAAGCGGGCCATCAATCCCTCCCTTCTCCATCGGCGGCGGCGTGAGTTCGCCGCACAGGTTCTCCGCCATGCAGCTCTTCACCTCGGCCGGGCCCAGGTCAGGCCTGGCGAGGAGGTAGACGAGTTTGGTGTAGGCGGCCTCGGTGGTCATGTCGTAGCCCGCGACGATGCCGGCCTCGGCGAGTTTGCGCGCGGGCTCGTAGGCGGTGCTGACGCTGCCGTGCAGGCACTGCGTCACGTTCACGACCGTGATGCCCCGCGCCACGGCGCCCGACAGCGCCGGCACCAGCGACACCGGCAGGTTGCCCGCCCCGAACGTCTCCAGGATCACGCCCCGCAGGGACGGGCTGGAGAGGATGGTGGAGAGCAGCGCCGCGGTCATGCCCGGGTGGACTTTGAGGACGATGGCGGTGCTGCTGTCGAGGTGCGGGAGGGGCTTTTCGTCGTCGTCGTTGGCGGGGTGTTCTGGGCTGCTTTGGGCTTGTTTTTTCTTCTCCTGGAGGTTGTCGCCGTAGACGACGATGCCGGTCTCCGAGACGGCGCAGAGGGGTCCTGCGTTGGGGCTTTCGAAGCCGGCGTAGTTGGACGCGCTGACTTTCGTCACGCGGGTGCCGCGGAGGAGCTTGTGGCCGAAGTAGACCGTCACTTCCGGGAGGCGGACGTGGCTCGCGAGCACGATGGAGCCGAGGAGGTTGGCGCCGCCGTCGGAGTCGGCGAAGAACATGCTCCGCTGTGCGCCGGTCAGGACGACCGTCTTCTCCAGCCGACCCTGTGACATGAAGAGGAAGGATAGCGCGGCGGCGGTGTACGCCAGGGTGTCGGTGCCGTGGCAGATGACGAAGGCGTCGAAAGATGCCATGTTCGCGTGCAGTGTTTGAGCGAGCTGGTTCCACGTCGGGGCATGCGCTACCGCGCTGTCAAGCAGAGGGGCAAACTCGAGGACGGTGCAGAGGACATTGGCGCCGCTCCGGTCGCGTGGCAGGCGGAGACTTCGCGCTGCACGACGGACGCCATGTTCGTCGGTGATGTCTGTCGGCGGGATGGGCGTGCCATCGTTGAATTGATAGTTGGGCGAGAGACATTCGTCGAGGAAGACTTGGGAGGTTTTGAGCCCGTCGGCAGTGTCTTGCATGCAAATGGTGCCGCCGGCAACGATGAGGAGAACCGAAGGCTCGTAAGCCGTGGCGGAAGTGGTTCGAGCCCTGTACATTGCTGTGTTCTATTTCATGTATAATTTCGAAAGGTCTTGGAGTGTCGTCGATTTTGGCGAAAGTCTTCCCTGGATCAAGTCGTGCTGTTACTCCCCCTTCACCAAGGATCGCAAAGAATCGTTCCGATTCGGAACACGATCCGAAAATTTCTCGACCGTCAATCGTTATAGTCCACAATCCCGCGGATCCCCAATACGCTCCTCTATCCCACGCTTTCCAAAAACGGCATCCAAAGTCTGTCTAGGTAAATTCTTTTTCCCCAACCTCTCCAACCGCTTCGATCGCGGCAGCGTTCGAAAAGAAAAAAGCCCCCCAGGAAAGCGTTCGAAAGCGAACGTAAGCCAGGAATGTTCCCAAACCCGCCGAGAGATATCGATGAAAGGTAGCAAAAGCTCCGCTATACCATTTCACGACAAGAGCAAAATAGTCGTGGAAAGCGCGCCGAACGGCGGTGCGTCGGAGGGAGTGATGTGTGCATCTTCTCCTGCACGCGGCAAATGGGACAGCGATCGGCCCGTCAATAGCCGACGTTGCGTCACCGAGTACATACATGGAAAGCCGAGAGAAATTTCGTCTCGCGCTCGGGAGGGGGAAAGGGAGATCTCCCCCCCTTTTTTGCATGGACGATCCGGAAAAAGAAAACAATGTCCGCATGGATCAACTAAGTATTTTGAGAATGGAAATCCAGGTCAAACAGTCAAAAAGGTGGTGGTCCACGAGAGAAGAAAAGGGGCATCAGAGTGTTTCATAGAGGGTCGTTTGATCGTCAATTTCGTTCATTGTCCATGGAGATCATCATCGGCATCAGGTACAGAATAGAACGCGGCTCAGCCGTGTAGAGAAACCACAGAGAAGCCAGGATGGAGACGGAAACACGCTCGCTCGCTCGCAGAAGAGGACAGAGCCCAAAGAAACAAAAACCACTCTCCGCAACCTCCCATCTATCCGCAGTTCATCCTCATCATGAAATCATAAATTCCTTCTTCGATCATTCATTCGTTCAATCGTTCATTCATTCCATGTAATCATCCATCCGTCCCCATTTCCCACAAACCATTTCCCCAAAAAGGGAAGTCTACCGATACCGTCTCCTCCCATCGCGATCGACGATATACTCCCGCTCATAGATGCGCTCCTCGAATTCTCCTCCCCGCAGCGATCGCGGTGGAAGAGGGGCGTGGAAGCGTTCCCTCTCGCGCTCGCGCTCGCGCTCCCGTTCGCGCTCCCATTGGATCTCACGGATGCGGTCGGCGCGTTCGCGGCGGATGTCTTCGGTGAGCTCGACGAGGCGGAGGACGTCTTCCTGTGGGGCGAGGAAGGGCGGGTTGTTAGTTAAATGATATTTCTTCTGGGGCGGGAGAGGGAGCCTTTCGGTGAGGTGAGGGAAGGAGGTATGGAAAACGATAGCAAAAAAGCAAGAAAAATAAACTTACATATTTCAGATATTCGATGACGTAAAAGTGTTCCTCCGTCTCCTCGAATTCGTATCCGCGCTCGAGGATGGCTTCGCGGATGACGAGGTCCTTGGTGAGTTCGGTCCACATCTTCTCGCGGCGGCTGCGCGAGCGGGGTTCCGCTGGCGCCGCTCGCGGGGGAGGCGAGGATTCGACGATGCGGGTGTCGGTGATCTTGATCTCGGTCGAGGTCGCGGCCGCGGGGGTCGGCGGCGCCGGGGCCGGGGGAGGCGGTGGTGGCGCCGGGGCGGCGGGCGGCGGGGGGGGGGCGGGGGGGGGCGCGGGGCGACTGCTGGCGCGGCGGGGGTCGCGATCGCCGCCGCCGAATTCGCCCTCGTAGACGCGGTCGCCGGTGGAGAATTTGGCGCGGCGTTCGCCGCTGTAGCGCTGCCAGGTGATCTCCTGGGCGCCGCCGCCGACGCCCTCCATGCGGACGCGCTCGGTGCCCGGGGGCACGTCGACGAGGGCCCACTCGCGGGTGGCGCCGTCGTAGGCTTCGCCCGGGTAGGTCCGCGACGTGGCTTTGCGGTTGTAGTAGGCAGCTTCGTCGGCGACGGGGTCGTAACGGCGGGAACGGTGGTCGGAGGAGCGAGAGGAGCCGCGAGACGAAGAACGGTAGCGGTGGTGGGTGCTTGCGGAGCGGTGGCGGCGGGGCGGTTCGGGGTCGACGGGTGCTGGGGACGAGGGGTTGCCTCCGTCGCGGACCTCTCTGTCGATGATGATTTCCTCCTCGTAGGGCCGGCCGTCTCGAGTGCGTTTCCGTTTGATCTCGATTTCGAGGTTCTCTTCTCTGGCGGGTGGGGCAGGGGGCGGAGGTGGAGGAGAAGGCGACGGCGATGGCGATCGCGCTCGTTCGACCCCGTGGTCAATATGTCGGTGGTGAGTGATGACCTCCTGGATGATCGGCGGACGAATGATCGGCTCGAGCGGAGGAGGCGGTGGCGGAGAGGGTTCGGGAGTCGGTTCTCGCGGTGGCTCAGGAACCGGCGAAGGACTCCTCTCGCGGCGTCGGATGATGATCTCCTGCTCTTCGACGGTTTTGCGTGGAGGAGATCGTGGTCGACGGACGACCCATTCCTCTTCTTTCCGTGCGACCAGGTTTCCGCGGCTCGGGGATCGCTGTCGAGCCGGCGGAATGCTGCGTTCTCGAATGCGGATGTCCTCTTTGACCACCTCGCGGTCACGTCCCACGTTGCTATCTCGACGTTCTCGGATCTCGATATCGATGTCGTCCCTGCCCACGCTCGACCGGGGGCGAGGAGGCGCCGGTGACCGTGCTTCCCGGATCTCAATCTCCTCCTTTTCGATGAACCTCGTACCGGGCCCGCGACGAAATCGAACCTCTTCAATATCCCGCTCCTTCTCTCTCACCTCGCTGCGTGGCGGCGGAGGTCGCGAAGATCGCTCACCCTCTCCTCGTCGGATGGTGATGTCGATCTCTTCGTCCTTGCTCCGATCGCCTGCACGAGATCGAATCTCCTCACGCTCCGATTCCCTGGAGTCCACTTCGCTGCGTCGATCGCGTGGGTAAGGCGGACCTCGCGTAGAACGATCCCGCTCTCTTATGATGATCTCGTCCTGTTCAACCACTCGATCTGTGGGTGCACGGGACCTCCGCGTCGAGGCCCGGCTTCGGACGTCGTCATCCCGTTCGCGTCTCTCCTCCCGGACAACGAGTTGTCCCGCACCAGGTCGGCCGTAGTCTTCTCTTAAGAAGTCGGGCTGTCGGGCTGGGCGGTCATCTCGCTCGCGTACAATCGTCTCGACCCGGCGACCTTCGGGCTGTCGCGAGCGAGAAATGTCGACCTCAAAGTCCTCGTAGTCTCGATCTCGTCGGGGACGCCTGTAGAATTCCGACTCGCGCTCTTCGTAGCGGTCGGCGACAGGGTATTCTCGCCGAGACATAATGTGCAGTGTGTGTGTATATGGCCGCTGGCGGAATGTTGACCGAGGACGGTGATCGCAAGCTATGGCAGGAGGAAAAGCCAAGAGGATGATCACAAGGATGAGTGGAAGTTTTTGGACGAGCACAACGGGTCAGCGACTGATCTGGTTATGCTCTCACAAGTCGATCAGCTGGGCAAGAACGTGGTATCGACCAGGAGCGACACTGTTCGTCTCGGACGTCGTTTCACGATGGATCAGGTAGTGATCGACGCGCGCGCGCGCTATGCGGCCGGCAGATCTGTGGGCGATGTAACAAGTCCTGTGGTGCAATGTGGCCACTTCAGAGCGAAGTCGTTCGGCTGTGGAGGCAGGATCAGAAGGTGGCCGTCGTCGGGTGCGTGGGTGCGAGGATGAGTGCGGCGTGGTGGGTCTGAAGCAGCGACGACAACACTTGCGTCCAGGTGTGGAGGGAGATGCGACGCTCAGCCTGGCTTCCGTCGTTGGGTTCGTGTTGTGTTGCAGAAGTAATACTCAGACAGACCAAGGAGGATCAACAAGAAAGTCCTGATATGAAGAGGAGGAGGAGGATGAGGAGGAAGAGGAGGAAATGCCCACTGTGAGACGAAGACTGACTGCTGCTGCTGATGACATTCCTCACGTGGACCCTGTTCTATCCCGACCTGACCTGAAAACATTGGTGACGGAAAAACAGGTTGGCGGATCACACAGATCGCTGGAAGATGATGAAATGGCGCCGCACTCGCGTTATTATTCTTTCACTCACGGCCAATATTCATGCATTACTATATACGTATACATATGATGTATGCAGCCTCGTATCATATCCTGTACATCTCAACGATAACTGTAGATACTGCGATGAGGACGAAAGAAGAATAAAAATCCTAGAGACATCACTACTGTCTGACTGTTGGGCGAGGAATGATGATGATGAATAGCCAGCCAGCCAGCCCATGACGATGTTCACATGCGTGCGTGTGTGTGTGCGGGTCCGCCCAGGTGATGGATTGAATTGATTTGAATTGATTGATGGATTTGATTGATTGATTGATTGAATTGATTGATGGATTGATTGAATGGATTGAATGGATTGATGCAGGTGGTCCGCATGGTCATGGTGGGGCATTCCACCCGGGCTGGGCAAGTTTCTCGGCGGAATTCCTCCGTACATAATGATAAAGCTGCCTAGCTGAAGAACAGAACTGGGCGGCCGCGGCCCATAGACTGTTTCCAGTCCAGTCCAGTCCAGTGCAGTATGACGAGGTTCCAGCGAGAGAAGTGTCGTCCGATCCATTATTCGTCTCAGCGGATATATCATATGTCTGCTTCGATAATCAATGGGACATCCGGGGCTCCGATGCCCCTCCACTCCACGTCTTTGGGCCAAACTGGTCCAGTCCAGTCCTGTCCAGTGTCGCGTCCATTGACCATGACTGACACCTCTCGATTCAACGAACCGGCCTCCTCGACAGTCTCATCAGCCACTCGCGGATCCACTATAGCAGCAGGGCCGAGTCAGTCGGACGATGGAACACTCACCACCGAGTATATATATATATATATATATATATATATATATTCACACGTCGACTGCAAAACCACCCTAGGCGAACCTCTTCAGCCATACATGTACAGCAGTCAGAACAACGAGCATAACCCAATTCACGCGTGGGGTTTGTTTGTTGGGCTTTCCTTCCTGTCCGATGATGATGATGATGAGCAAGCGGTGTTGCGCATGCAGGGAGTCAATAAGAACGGAGGAATGCACAATGTCCTGTCGGAAACAACGTGCCGGACTTCAACGATTGTAGTGGTGGTAACAATAATAGTAATGATGATGATGATGATGAAAAGATGTTATGCAAAAAGTTCAGAGTCGAAAGCGACACGCACACATATAATTATATACACATATACTTCGCTCACAGCTCTCCGAAGCAGACGACCCGCCCGCGAGTGAAGATCCAGAGATGGCGAGTCCAACGCTCTCTTCTGGTGCCAGACGGTGCACGACACCACGAAATCAGGTACCCCAGGGTAGGTAGGTGGGTTTTCACCATCGACGGACGGACGGAGCCCCATCCGCAAGGCGGAAAGGTTTCGGGATTGCCAGTGAAAGGGAAATCAAAGGGGAAACGGTGATCGGAGGATACGGTGGCAAGCTGGAGGGATTCCGCGATGCAGATTGTCGCGCATCGATGAGAACGGGGAGATGCGACACCCGGGTATTGTTGTTGTTGTTGTTTTTCTATTGTTGCGTTGGTACCTAGGTGACGACAGTGGGGAGATCTCGATTATTGTTGTGTCGTCGTCGTCGTCGAGAGAGAGAGAGACACACACACGATCGAGCCCGCGGTCCGACATCAGAACTTTTTCCGAAGCACGCACGACACACGATTTCCATCGGTGACAATCGCTCGCCATCGCGCTAGGAGGACAACACCTGACGACACACTCGCCGATCACATGATGTTGCCGGGGGAAGAGTGACTTGAAAAGATTCGGGATCAACAGATGAGAATGCCCTTCTCTCCTTGCACTATAGTGCTTCCTCGATCCCATTCGATCTTCATGCCCAAAATCGAGACCCGCCACCGTATCCGAAGAACATGCCGGCTCATACATGCTCCCGCTGCGGTAGCGCCCAAGAGACCGGTCCTCTCCGCTCCATCAGCCTCAACCAACGACGGCGACCGATCCACACAGTTGCCAACCGTTCACAACGACAACGTTGCCGCGGCATCTCCTGCGCCGCGTGCGATCACCCAGCCTGTCTCCTCTGCGGATTGGACCACGAGAATCTCGAAGAGACCTCCTGCGCCGAGGATGATGATTACGGAAATCTGGCCGCGTCCGGCGATGGCGAGGGCGCGAGTCGGCTGCGGATCGCGCGGGAGTGTAAAGCCTGTCCGGGCTGTTCGGCGAGGAGTTGGAAGGATGGCGGGTGCGATGCGATGACTTGTAAGTGAGGAGAGGGCCCCCATCTCCCATCTCGCAGTCATGTTTCATATCAAGAATGCATGCATGCAACAACTGATTGTTGGTTTTCCTCTGCCGCAGGTCTCGTCTGCTTCACGCAATGGTGTTGGGGCTGTCGGGCGACATACGGAAGCCGTGGGGCAATCCGCCATGGGAGAGGGTGTCGCATGGCGCAAGCCGGCCGTTTGGATGTTCATGATAAGAATTTGTCGTTGGAGGAATTGATCGCGGGATGGAGTGAGTGGCTTCTTCCTAATCGACTGGTTGAGTGGCCACTGGAGGCAAAATTGCTGACACCGGTCTTGCTGTAGCACTCGGCGAGACCAAGGGGTTCCAAATCGACACAGTCATCATCTCCGGACCTGAAGATCTGTCTGACAAGGAAAACTGAGCGCAGCTTTTTTGCGCCGTGATGGGGGATTTTTATTGAAACCAAATCGACGGCCGCCTTGGGGTTATTATCTTTTTGTTATTTCAGTTCAATTTCAAGGATATCTTTGAAAATTCGGCCGCGAGTCGATCTAGCCTTTGCGCTTTGCTTGGTTGCGCGAGGATTTGCGATTCGCGGGGCCTTTGGTCAAATCGGAAGGAGGCGTCACTGTCGCAGGGGTTGCATCGACTCCGGCGTCTAGCTTGGATGTTACCGCTTTATCGCTCCCAGGTCTTCTTGGTCTTTTCAGGGGAATGTCATCGCTTGCATCATCCTCTGACGCGCGCTTCCCAGGGTGCTTCTGTTGTCGTTGTTGTTCCGCGACCGTTGGCGACGGCTTCGTTGTCTTCTCTGCACTCGATACATTGTTCTCTTCCTCCAAATCTTCTTCTTCGCCATCATCGAGGGACACGCCTTGTCCGGTCAGCCAGCTCGACAATGCACCACCGCCGGACTCATTCGACAGATTTCCCAGGAGACTGTCAGCGAGGCCATCAGCCGCAGTGTCATCCCCTGACATGAGCTTGCTTATCGTCTCCATGAATGCGCCTTCGTCGAGCCCGTCAAGGCCTGCTTGTCCAAGCTTATCTTTCAAGATAGCCTTGAGCATCTCAGGGTCTATTTGTAGACCACCATCGGTCTCGTCCTCCTCCTCATCCTCCTCCTCGTATTCCATCTCCGAGTCCGCGCCATCAGCGGACTCCGCGTCAGCCACTTCTGGCAGGACAGGCAATGTTGTGGAACCAGGTTGTCTTCGCTCGGGCTCGTTCGTGAGCCGGACTCTCCAGTCTGGAAAGAGCGCATAGACAGGTGTGCGCGATGTGATGGTTTTGAGATTCTTGGCGACGTAATGGTCTCGCTCCGTGCGGCTGCGAAAGGAAATGGGATCATACCCGCGACTGGACAGGCCCGAGGTATCCTTGGCCCTAAGCTTCTTACCGCGCGCGGAACCGAACAATCTCTTCTCGTGCGGATCAAGTTCACGACTCGGCACAGATACACCGTCCCAGTAGGCGTTATCCACATATTCAAGGTCGTTCCAGTAATCGAACAGCTCAAATTCGTAACCGGCGACATTGATCTCGTAATTCGTGCCAGCATAGCCTGGTTCGGCGATTTGCGTTTCGGCAAGCTCATCCTGCATCGGCCAGAAGTGTCAACATGATTTCCATCTCCGCAAAAGCGAGGCTGATCACATACGGCCAGATCGAACTCGTCCTCGACGTACAGCCAATCTTCGTCGTAGTAGTCATCGACGTCGTAGTCGAACCCGTCCGCCATGATGCGATCGATGTAGCAATGCGACTGCAGACCTGTTCACGATTGGCGACTTTGATTGTGTTGTCAACGTCCGGATCGCAGGTCTTCTTAGCTATAGCTGTTTGCGGGCGTGGTGTGCGGTGCGCGACGCGCGACTAGGTTGACCGCGGGTGACGTAACAGCCGATCCATTTCACAGGCTTTGTTGGAGGCTGATCAGGTCAGCGACTTATGTAAGGATAATGCAGCGGGAAGTGATCAGTGAAGAATGTCGCGCTGAAGATGCCATTGGTTTCGACATATAGATGTCTGTACAAAGCAGCTAACTTGGGCGGCCCGGTAACGGCTCATAGGTATAAGAGTGTTCATATTGTAGATATTCAGGCACAGTAGGAAAGCATGCCCAGGTGCAATACATGTACAGCACTTCAAAGGCGGGCGTTTCTTCCGTGCTCGTGCCCAAGGCCACCAAAGCGGGTTTAGGCCAGACCTCACACGGCTACGATCGGCCCAAGAGTCTCGGCCACGGCGTGTCACAGCCTGTGGCTATCAACGTAACATATACCGAACTTGAGATGTTTGTTCTTCTCAATGCGCTGGCTCAATCTGTCCGTTCACAGTCACTCCATAAAATCCAATTTGAACAGAAATGAAGTCGGCCACGAGATTGCAGGCTCTAAGATGTACGCACATTTCGCATCGACACCTAGCCAAACGCCATAGCACATCCAATGCTCTCCAAGATGTCCAGACCGAACCCCTCAAGTCCATCCTCATAGCAAATCGTGGCGAGATCGCTCTTCGCGTGGGAAGGACGGCGGCTCAATATGGTATCCGCACCAACACGTTATACACCGACCCCGATCGATTGAGCCAACACGCCTTGAGTTCACCATTTGCCGTGAACCTGGGCAGTACCGACCAGTATTTAAATGGTGACAGGATCATCAGAATCGCAAAGGAGTTGAACTGTCAAGCTATCCATCCCGGCTATGGCTTTCTCAGCGAGAATGCCAACTTTGCCAAAGCCTGCTCGGATGCGGGTGTGAAGTTCATTGGTCCCCCGTGGAAGGCCATCGAGGCCATGGGAGACAAAAGTCGATCGAAGGAGATAATGATCGATGCGGGAGTTCCGTGCATTCCTGGATATCATGGTACCAATCAGGATCCCGATCATCTCAAGGCTGAAGCCCACAACATCGGATATCCTGTACTACTCAAAGCGGTCAAAGGTGGCGGAGGCAAAGGAATGCGCATCGTACGGTCGCCAGATGAGTTCTTTCAGCAACTAGACTCTGCCAAATCCGAGGCGCGTTCATCCTTTGGCGATGATGTCATGTTGGTGGAGAAGTACATTACCACACCTCGTCACATCGAAGTTCAGGTCTTCGCGGACAGTCATGGGAACTGCGTCGCATTGGGTGAGCGAGACTGTAGTATTCAGCGGCGGCATCAAAAAATCCTCGAGGAGTCACCGGCTCCAAATTTGGCGGAGGATATCCGACAAGACCTGTGGGCGAAGGCGCGACAAGCGGCGTTGGCGGTCGGTTATGAAGGTGCAGGGACGGTAGAATTCATCTTCGACAACGACAGTGGCGAATTCTTCTTCATGGAAATGAACACCCGCCTCCAAGTCGAACATCCAGTCACCGAAATGGTCACTGGAGAGGACTTGGTCCGTTGGCAGATCATCGTCGCAGAGGGTGGTAAACTTCCACTGTCTCAAAGCCAAGTCGAAGAGCGAATCAGAAGCCTAGGTCACGCCATCGAAGCGCGCATTTACGCCGAAGACCCGGAGATGAATTTCATGCCTTCTACCGGAAAACTGCTTCACCTGCGTACCCCTCCTATACGGGATGGCATCCGAATCGATGCCGGCTTCGTCGAGGGCGATGAGGTCTCCAGCCACTACGACCCCATGATCGCCAAGCTCATTGTGCATGGACCAGATCGAAAAGCAGCACTTCGGAAGATGGTCTCTGCTCTTGAGCAGTACGAGATTGCCGGCCTGGTGACCAACGTTGCATTTGTCAAGAAAGTCTGTCAAAGCGCCGACTTCATCGCCGGAGACGTCGAGACCGGCTACATCCCCAAACACGAAGCTGAGCTCTTCGCCAAAGAGCCCATCGAGGATGAACTCTACGTGCAAGCCGCCATCGGTCTCTACGAAGCCGAACACACCAAGCGACCAGGTTCCAGCTCGATATCAACCGGGCCTCAACAAACGATCGGATTCGGCCAAGCCATCCAGCCCCACGAAATGCAATTCGTCGAAGTCCTATCCAGCAGTGATCCCCAAAAGCCCTCCACGCCCATCACAATCCAACTCCTCAAAACCAGCCCCGAGACCTTCACAGCCACCATCAAAAACAACGACAGTAACAAAACCTACACCACCACCACCACCCACGACCCCCTCACCAACACCCTAACCTCCTTCTTCCCGCACACCCGCCTCAGCACCACCCTGATCCGCGACCCCGAAACTCCCACACTCCTCACGCTGTTCCAGCGCGGCCGGCAATACCGCCTGACCCTCGTCCCGCCCAAATGGGCCGCCAAAGCGCTCGGGACGAAGGCCACGGCCAACAGCGTGCTCGCGCCGATGCCGTGCAAAGTCCTCCGCGTGGAGGTTGAGGTCGGCCAGAAGGTCGAGAAGAACCAGGCCCTCGTCACCATCGAGAGCATGAAGATGGAGACGGTCATCCGCAGTCCGCTGGAGGGCCGCATCCGGAGGATCGTGCATCGCGCGGGCGAGATGTGTAAGGCGGGGACGGCGTTGGTGGAGTTTGAGGAGGAAGGGGAGGGGGAGGGTTCGGAGTGAGTGGATGAATGGGTGAGGTTGGAGAAATAGGTCATGGGGTTCGTGGGTGTGCGGATGGGGAGTTTTAGGGGCGGAGACACGAGGTGTTTATCTCTTGGTGAAAAAGGAGCTATTGGTCGTGATTTGCGGATGGGAAAATGGTTCGGGCGTTGAGTTTTTGTCAATCTGGTTCTCTTTCTCTCTCTTCTCAATGGGACATATGCTCGTCAAATCATCATTTGCATAAAATCTTCCACATCTCGGGGCTAAGCTTCTACTACGTGGAAAACGCGTGGAGGGAGTGGAGAAAATTCCTCTTCTTGCCACATTCAGACCAAAAATTCCCACACGCCTCGCAACAACGGACTCTTCGAATCCCGTCACGCCACGAAGTTCCACTAGAACGTCGTCTGCGCCAGCCGACTCGCCGCATTCCGGGCATCCACCCGATCGTCATCTTCTTCCTCCGCGACTTTGTTGAGGCTACTCGCCCCGCTGGTGGCGCGCTTCCGACCGCCGGCAGCACTGTCCGCACCGGGACCCTCGCCCTCGGCGTTTTCAGCAGCAGCGCCGGCGGCGGCAGGATCCCCGGGCTGTCCGCCGCTGATGCTGCGGTTGAGGCCGTCTGGCCGGCGCGGGACGCCGGACCACGCGTCGCCCTTGGGACCTTGGCTCGACGCCATGGTGGATTTCCGGATGATCGGATGGCTCTCGCGGCCGAGACGGCTGAGGCCGCCCGAGGCATCGATGTTGCGGACTTCCGGGCGCACCTGTTCCAGGTTGGCGAGGGTGCGGCGTTCGGCTTCGATCTGGCGAATGACGTACTCGCGGATGCTGGTGCGCATGTCGGCGGCCGTGCGCGCGAACCATTTCCGCTTCTCGTTCAGCAGGTTCTGGGTCACGCGCTGGGTCTTCTGGTCCAGGTATTGTTCGTGGCTGCGCGCTTCGTCGAGGGCGGAGATCGCTTCGTCGACTTTGTCGCGCTTCACGCTGGAGGACGCTTTCAGCCGGTCGGCGGCGGAGAGCTTGCTGCGGGTCTGCTGCTGGGCTTGGGTGAGCTCGCGAAGGAGAATGTGGCGGTTGGTGAGCGTCTCCTTGACTATGAAGGCGTCGCTGCTGTGGTAGGCGAATGGGTCGGACAATGTCGCGGCTTCGGCGGTGCCTTGGGCAGCGTGAAAGTCGCCAGTGTTTTGCACAACCTTGCCCAATTTTCGATAAGCGTTCGCGAGTCCGGGATGAGCTTCCTGTGTTGCGAGCGTCGCTAGTTTGTTGCCAAAATCAGACTCGGCCACACCGAGAGCTGTGATGCGTTGTCAGTGCGAGTTTTCGAAAAATTATCAGTTTCGACTCACATCTCCGATTCTTGACCACCCGATCAATTTTCTGCTGACTGTCCATTGAACCAAGATAGAATCCTTTCACGATCGGCCTGCTCTCCAGCAGCTCCGGGGTGTTGTCAGGTGGTGGCGCGAACTGCTTCAAAACTTTCCTGCGCATCCCTGTCGCCGGCTGTCGCTTCCTCACCACAGGGCTATAACCGAAATCACTCTCGACGAAAAAGACCATCTCTTCATCCCGCATCAAAACGTCGTTGGAGCAAACGACATTGAGCCATCGTTGTATCGCAGTCTTGGTGCGGTTCTCGTCCTCCTCAGTGCCCATGCCTGCGCTGGAGGCCGCCGGCGGGACGGCAGGCACCAGGGCCTCGGGGTTTGATGCTGTGAGATGCGAGGCCAACTTCTGAAATTCCGAATGCGTACGGCGGACATCACGGAATTGAGTCGTGCGGAATTTGGGCAGGTTCGTCTAGGTACAGGTCAGCGATCGTTCACAAATGAGCATGTCCGTGGATCGACTTACGTAGACATCGAAGCGTAGTATCAGGTCCTTCTTGCCAGTCCTCTCCAGACCTGCGATCTTCGCTTGCAACTTGTATTGCGGCAAATGTTGTCTCTGTTGAGGCTGCTGTACTGGCACATTGTGGTATCTCCCAGACTGCGGTCGCCGGTTGTCATCGCCTGCTCCGTAGTACTCCTGCTGCTGCTGCTGTTGTTGTTGTTGTTGCTGCTGCTGTTCGGGAGACCAATTGCTCTCCAGTCCTGGCTGATAGGAGTATGGCGACGCATGGGCACGTTCGCCGTTGCTGCCCTGCACGGGAAGCGCATCGTCGTGCTGAAGGTCTTGTACGGCTGGTGCAGGCAGGTCTTCTCGCGGGACATCGCTACTGAAGCTAGCTCGACTTGCTTCCGGAGACGAGGCCCATGGAGATGCGCCTGAAGGATATTCCATGCTGGGGGAAGTGACACGATATTGACCCTCGAGGAATGCGCGCTCGGATTGGCGGCGTTGGAATCGAAGGTTGTATGGTTCGGGCGAGACGGCGGCCTTGCCCTTGCTGCTTGAGGCGGGACTGGCGCTCGTTGACGACGATGATGCTACCACTGCTGTTGCGACGTCTCCCGAATCGAAGACGGCACTGCTGCTGCTGCTGTTGCTGCTGTACCCACGGTTGTTGCTGCTGCTCATGGCCGCGCACGTCCTCCGTACATGCTAAATCGGGGTGACAAATATATGGATTGACGGAACGATGCAGTCATCAGTCAATGGGGCGCGCGCACCGTTGTAGGAGCGGCGATCCGTGTGTGAGAGGCGCCGTTGGTGAAGCTGTCTACCCGCATGAACCGTTCCTACAGTACATGTGCCAATTCTTTCCTCCCCCACAGGACAGGATGTGTAGAGCGTGCGAAGAAGTGCGTGCTAGCGGGCTACAACAACTTGGGAGCATAGAAGACAGTACAGTAATAGTAGTAAATGGAATGATCAGAGGGAAAAGCTCACTACAGTACGATAAAGATACGGCGAGTTAACAACTACAGTACATACATAACTGTGCCAACCGACCCCTGCCTGGATCATCGCCATCACCATTATTACCCGTGGGCTGTTCAATTCCGCCCACCTGGACACTCACTCGGCTACCGTCGCCCATGCCGCCGCCCATGCCCGCCGCAAGCCTGGCGCATTCCGTAGCGGAATCCACCGTGATCAGGGCTCAAGCGACAGGCGCGTGAATTATTATCGCGGGCGGGCCCTGCTCGGTGAATTGTGATATACCGTCCGTGCAAACCACGATTATTTTTATTTGTTCAGAACATCGACGAGTGTCGGTATCACGTAGTTGATGTGATGGATTAACTCATCTTCAATCACACATATTTATATTGGTTCATTTGTTTGAGAGAGCATCCGCGGAGTCGAATCTCGAGCACGCTATCATCCTCTGCTGTGATGCGAGGAAATGATTGTCAGATGGACGGGCAGGCGATGCTTCATCGGGCCCAACAATCATGAGGCAATCACGATCCGCCCACAAGCCTTGAGAATCATCAGACTCCCGACACGCCATTATGCGACAACTCAACAGGATGCAGCGGCGGCAGCCACAACTGCTCGCACGCGCAATATTGGAATCATAGCACATATCGATGCTGTACGTGAATGTCGAGAACCCAATGGCATGATGCATTAAGCTCACTTTCAAGTTCAGGGCAAAACAACCACCACGGAGCGCATGCTCTACTACAGTGGCTTCACCCGCAGGATTGGAGGTAAGGTTTATCGACTTCGCGCTCCGAGAAGATACTCCAATTGTCACGGCAGAACATGTACTGACATGATCAGTTAGACGTCGACGATGGAAGTACAGTAACCGATTTCCTTCCCGCGGAACGTGCGCGCGGCATCACGATCCAATCGGCGGCCATATCATTTTCATGGCCGCCAACATCGGACAAGCAAGCTCAACAACCTATCCCGGCAGGCACGCGCCTCTCGTCAGTCCCGCATAACATCAATTTGATCGATACTCCTGGTCACGCAGATTTCACATTTGAGGTTCTTCGATCACTTCGCGTACTAGACGGTGCAGTGTGCATCCTAGACGGTGTCGCTGGAGTCGAGGCTCAAACCGAAAAGGTCTGGAGCCAAGCTTCCGCGTATGCCATTCCAAAGATCATCTTCGTCAACAAATTGGACCGGGATGGCGCCGCCTTTGGAAAGACGGTCAAAGAAGTGGGCTCTCGATTGAATGTGTGGCCAGCCGTTTGTGCGCTTCCATGGTTCACTGAAGATGGTCAGCTGCAGGGTGTCGGCGATGTGGTGAGCCTTCAAGCGCTCAAATATGCACCAGGCGGTGACGGCAAAGACATCGAAGTGGTGAGCTTTGCTGAATTGCAATCCCGCGATGCGTCGTTGGCATCAGAGCTGAAAAAGGCTCGCATCGCATTAGTTGAACTACTGTCCGAGCACGACGACGAGATGGTGGAAAAATATCTCGAGGCGGATGAAGATCATCTGGCTATTCTGCCTGCCGACATCACGCGATCTTTGCGAAAGTGTGTTCTGCAACGACCGCAGCAAGTCGCCCCATTGTTTGCAGGAGCCAGCTTCCGAAACGTCGGCGTTCAACCATTACTAGACGCGGTAGTAGACCTGCTGCCCAGTCCTGACGAGCGACCGGATTCGGAGATCAGTCTAGAATCGAACGTCAAGTGCGGACTTCAGCCGTTCCTTGCAGGTAAAGTCAAAATCGAAGACTTGGAGCCAAACCCGAAAGGAAAGAAACAACAGAAGAAAGGAAAAGCAACGCCCACGGTTCAAAACGTCGATGCTTGTGCTTTGGCTTTCAAGGTGGTTGCTGATGCCAAACGAGGAGTGTTGGTGTACGTTCGTGTGTACTCGGGCACCCTTTCTCGAGCCAACGCCTCACTTTGGAATACCACTCTTCAGAATGCGGAACGATCTCCTCGACTGCTCAAGATGTACGCCAACGATGCAGTAGAGATTGATTCTATCAGCGCTGGACAAATAGGAGTCATTCCGGGGTTGAAGTTCGCTCGAACGGGAGACACACTGATCTCCTTCAGTGGGGCGAGCAAGACGGGACCACCACGACCAATCAACACCATGCAATTGAAGCCCATCAATGTGCCTCCGCCAGTATTTTTCGTCGGCGTAGAGCCTAATAGCTTGTCTGAGGAAAAGCACATCAAAGAGTCTCTCAACCTGCTACTACGAGAAGACCCTAGCCTCCACGTCTCTATTGATGAGGAAAGCGGGCAAACGCACTTGGCTGGTATGGGTGAACTCCATCTCGAGATTGCTCGGGATCGATTGGTCAACGATTTGAAAGCCAAAGCAAGAATTGGAAAGATCGAAATTGGTTATCGAGAAACAGTGACGATGGCTTCTGGAGCGATTGAAAAGATCGTCGAATTCGATGTGGCGAGCAAAATATCAAAGGCCGGATGTTCTATTCAAATTGAGTCGAGAGCGGAGGAATCGCCATCAAACTCAGATGACATGTTGCTCGAAGTGGAGCTGCACGACAACAATCGACTACTCATCAGCTCGCCGACACTCTATTCCGACGGCACACCAAAGGACGAAGAACAGGCCGGTCTCCCCGAAAATCTCCCCATCGAGACCGTCCTCGAAGCTTTCCGCGTGGGCGTTTCCGCAGCTCTATCCCGCGGACCAATCCATCGATATCCCATCCACTCCGTCGATGTCCAACTCGACTTCGATCACGCCAAACACATCTTCCCCACCTCCAACCCCACCGTCCTCGCCGGCGCCGCCCGCCAAGCCGTCCAAGCAGCCCTCCGCTCCAGCTCCGCCCTCAGCGAGAACATCATCATGGAACCCGTCATGCTGGTGACAATTTCCGTCGACGAAGCGAGCATGGGCTCCGTCGTCCACGACCTGTCCTCCTCGCGGGGCGCCAGCATCATATCACTCGAATCCGCCGACGATGGATCCGAATCCTCCTCAGACTCCTCAGGCTCCGAACGTCTCCCCATCGACACCGCCAAAATCTACGCCCCCATCGATAAATTCGCCGGCGGACACACGGACAAAAGCGCGGTCACGGCGAGCTCGAACACGGCCAAGCAGATCATCGCGAGGGTCCCGCTGAAGGAAATGGTCGGCTATTTGAAACATCTGAGGAGTCTCACTGCCGGAAGAGGGACGTTTACCATGGTCGTGGATAGGTTCGAGAGGATGAATGCGCAGCGCCAGAGGGTGGTTCTGAGCGAGTTGAGGGGTGGCTTTGAATTTTGAGGAGATAGCCTTGTGGGGTCGGGAAGGGTGGAGGGAATTCTTTTTGTATAGTAAGTATCGTGTGTAGATTTTGTAATACTTGTGTATCGTATTTGCCTACCTATGGTTCTTGTCCGGGAAAGCATATTGTGAAAAGGAAGAAAGACGTGAATGATATAGGGTATATATACATTGCAGAATCGCCACCGTCGAAACTGTAGCTGGCGTGGTGTAGTTGGTTATCACGTTCGCCTCACACGTTGAACGCGAAAGGTCCTGGATTCGAGCTCCAGCGCTAGTACACGCTCATTCATTTTTGCAATTTTTATGTTCCACATTCCCATATCGCATTGAGACAATAATTGGAAGTATTTAGACGAAATGCGCTCGAACATATCCAGTTTTTATAACAAGGATCAACCCATTGACGTGACTAGGTTTTTGCTCGCAACGATGGCGGAGAGAGGCATGACGACCTCAGATGCATTCATGATCTTGGGAACCTTCGACGGAACATCAAAGTATCTCTCTGACAGCAATCGTTTCGGGGCGGTAATTAAATACACACGTACATCTCGTATCGCTACGGACGTCGGGGCTCTCATTGAACCGGTGCACTGTATCGTAGGGATTGACTATCATCATTTTTGCCGTCTTGCAAATGGGGTTCGTCGGGAATGTGGAGAAGAAGAACGTACGAGTAAACGGGCTGTTACATTCGGCAGTCGGAAAGCTGCTTCCAGGGCTGGTAAATGCTTTGAAGCAAGGTTTAGTAACAACCTCCTGTACCCCGTGGAGAAGTGGAGATTTCCCCGTATGTGACGATGCACTGGCGGCGTTTCAATCAGACGAGGCGTTCGGCTGATGGATAAATTATGATATGAGCGCATTTGGAGTCGACATGGCCGCCGCCGTCGAATAATGATTAGAGCGGCAGGGATTGATTTATATCACGAGTGGTTTATATCTGGCACATGGCCCTCGCGTGGCGGTTCCGGCTATAATCCCCGGGTGACGTGGTTCACCAGATGCATCGCCCAGAGCGACTCGGTATCGTGCAGATATGTCCTTCTGCACGACTGATCAGCATCACGGACGAAACGCCTTTGCGGCGACAGATATGTGACAATGTTCCTTCCACATCGCTAAGGTGATGCTTTCCGATCGATAGTGGATGCACAGAGATTCCTCCACCTGCCTCATCTCATCTCATCCGGCGACTCCTCAAGCATGAACACCCTCTCTGCAGTCAGCACTCATCCCAGCCATGTTCGAAAATTGTCAGACGCAGCACCGCTCACACGATACTTGCCATAGGTACATGTGCGGCGATCCTCCACAAATCAGGCCAAGTCCGTGCAAGTCCACAATGCAACGCTGCAAGCTTCAAGCTGGGGAAGGATGGTCCTCCATCACAAATGACAACCGAATTTAGCCTAAACCGAGCATGCATCTGACACAGACCCATCCATCCATACTGCTATACTGCAGTCGCAATACACAGCGTTCGGATATTCGCCATGCCAGGGAGGGATGGGTCTGCATTTGCTCCGGACAAGCGTCTGGGGTACATAAACTCCGCCGTGGTCCTGCTTGAGCATCATAAGAGAGAAGGTTTCAGATCTGGACCTCCTCATCCGAGTCCTGCTCTTCTTGTTCCCTCGTCTTCAATCTCGTAGAGCTCGCGGACCGGAAGCGAGCTTCCACTCTTCAACATGGCTCTCCCAAAACTTCCCAAGATCTACAACCCGCTGTTCGTGGCGCTCATCGCCACGGTCGGCGGCATGCTCTTCGGCTTCGACATCTCCTCCATGTCGGCCATCATCGGAACGGAACAATACAACACCTACTTCAACCGGCCGGCGGGGATCACACAAGGTGCCATCGGCAGCGCCCTGGCCGCGGGATCCGTCATTGGATCTGCCATCGCCGGCCCGATCTCCGACCGAATCGGTCGTCGGGATTCCATCATGTTCGCCTGTCTCTGGTGGTTCGCGGGGACGAGCGTTCAAGTCGCGTGTAACGGTGTGGGTTCTTTGATCGCGGGCCGCGTGATCAATGGCGTGTGTGTCGGGATCACGAGCTCGCAGGTCCCCGTCTACCTCGCGGAGATCGCGAAGAAGGAGAAACGAGGACAGTTGATTGTCGTGCAGCAACTCGCCATCGGTAAGTCTTCACAGATCCTCCCTTTGCCTTCATCAGGCGCCTCATTTTCTCTTCTAACGTCAAATCGAAAATTCAGAATGGGGCATTCTTATCATGTACTTCGTCGGCTTCGGCTGCAGCTTCATCCCGGGCCCGGCTTCCTTCCGCACAACATGGGGCATCCAATTCGTGCCCGCCGTCTTCCTCGCCATCGGCCTCCCCTTCCTCCCTCGTTCGCCGCGCTGGCTGGCGAAAATGGACCGTACGGAAGAGGCCATCAGGACCCTGGCCAACATCCAAGCGGGCGGGAACATCGATGACCCCCTCGTCGTCGCCGAGTGGGAGGAGATCGTCACCACTTTGAACGCCGAACGGAACGCCCTCCCTGGCTGGCGGAAGTTCTTCTATAACGGCATGTGGAAACGCACGATGGCCGGGTTCACGGTGCAGATGTGGCAGCAGAATTCAGGTACGTACTGTGGGGGGGCTCGAGTGTGAAGATGACCCTGTCTAACTCCCACTGTCAATCAGGTGCCAACGTCATGACCTACTACGTCGTCTACATCTTTTCCATGGCGGGCTTAAGCGGGAACATAAATCTTGTCGCTTCAGGCGTTCAGTACGCCCTCTTCATAATCTTCACGACCATCATGTTCTTCTACATCGAAAAGACCGGTCGCCGGACCCTGCTGATCTACGGCGCCCTCGCCATGGGGGCCTGCCACTTCGTCGTCGGCGGCCTCCTCTCCGCGGGCGAATACGTCCCCGGCGGCGTGGACAACAACCCGAACGTCGTGATCCGCCTCACGGGCCCCAAGGCCAACACCGTCATCGCCTTCTCGTATCTGCTCATCATCGTCTACGCCATGACGCTGGCGCCCGTGTGTTGGGTGTACGCGGCCGAGGTCTGGTCGCTGGAGACGCGCGCGACGGGCATGGGCATTTCGGCGATTGGGAATTGGCTGGTAAGTTCTGTCCCTCCCGAGGAAACCCATCCCCTTTTTCTTTCTTTCCTTCTCGCAAGGTGATCCTTCCTGGACGAAATCATTGGTCCCCCCCCCCCCGCTGACGGAAAGCAACTCCACCAGTTCAACTTCGCCCTCGGCCTCTACATCCCCCCCGGCTTCATCAACATCCGCTGGGGCATGTTCCTCGTCTTCGGCGCCATGTGCCTGCTCGCCGCCGCCCAGTTCTACTTCACGTACCCCGAGACGGCGCACAAGTCCCTCGAGGAGATCGAGTCGCTGTTCGCCTCCGGCGGCCCCAAGCCCTGGAAGACCCGGCCCGGCCAATCCTCGCTCGACGCGAGGGTCGTCGAGGTCGAGGAGAAGGCGAGGACGATGGGGGAGAGGATCGAGGTCGTGGGTGGGAAGGAAAGCCTTTGAGGGGATGGGGATGGGGATGGGGACGGGGATAGGGGGTGGAATTGAATGTAAGAGTGCATTTTTCAACAAGTATCCCGGTCTTTATGCTGTTCTCGTGTCTCCTTCTTTCTCCATGCCAAACCCATGAAAGGGGCCCTCTCGCTTACCTTCAGAAAGCTTTCACCAACTAGCATCCCTCCATCTGTACATGTCTTTCTTCTCTTTGGCAGCCGGAAACAGAGAACCCGTCGATTTCTTCCCCCTCGCCTGGGGGAGAAGAAAACAATCACGCCACGCCAAAAACAAAAAGGGAGGGAAACTGGGAAGGAAACAGAAATAATCAAACAAAAAGAAAATTAAGAAAGTAAGAGACGGTACGGATCTCATCGACCGACGATCTCTTTTTCGTCCAACGGAATCGCCACGATGATAATGACGAAGTCGAGAGAAGTCACAAAAAGTCAAGAGGAGAGGAGAAAAGAAAAACATTCCGCAGAGGGCAGAGCCGTAGGGATATGGATATGGAAATGATCCCGGGACGAAAGTAAGATAGGAAGGAGGAGCATACATGCATGATGACCTCTTATTCCATTTTTCATCTTTTTTTTCCATTTTTTCTCTTCATCCTCCTCCTCCTCCTCCTCATCGCCAATGACGACGAGAGCTCCGATTATCTGCAATGAGAAATGATATGATATGATAGGATGTGATATGACATGATAGGATACAATGAGGAAAGAAGAAGAAGAACCAAAAACACAAAGCTCCTTTCGGCGTCCTTCCAACGCGAGGTTTTTCCCCTTTTCCACTCGGGTCGGGTCGTGTCATTGTCGGCGGTGGGGAGGGGAGGGATCGGGCGTTGCTTCCCTTTCCTTTCCGGATCGCCTCCAGCTCGCTTGGACTTTTTTTTGCGGTTCCGACTCGTCGTCGGTGCGGGTTCCGTCGATCGGCATGTCGGTTCACGGTGGCTGGCCGATTGGCTGGCTGGCTGGCTGTGCTGGTCAGCCGGTTGGCGACGCAGAGGGAGGGAAGTCTTTCTTTTGTCTCTTTTTATCTCCTCCTCACGTCGTGGTGGTGCAGCTCGCGTGGTCCTCGGCGGTGGGCGAGTTTTCATATTTTCCTTGTGGGAAGAAAAACTACAATTGGTTGGATGGATGGATGGACGGTTTGGATTTTGGACCGTTTATCATGGAGGGAGGGAGGGACGGAGGGATGGAGGGTAGTGTTTTGGGATCTCCGTAGGATTCATATTAGAATGTGTTCTTTTGTCCCTTGTGGTCATCATGGTCGATCGTGTCTGGCTCCGTCCAACGGCGCTGGCAACGACGGGAAGAAAACGACAGGAAGAAAACGACTACGACGATGACGGAGTTCTCAGTCTCCCGAGGGAGAAGAAAAGGTGCCGGATTCAGATCGATTATCATTCCATTTCATGAATGAATGAAGGCATACATGCATGCATGCCTCCCTTCGCACATAACCTTCGTTCTCCCACCCCCATCTCCTCTTGGTCCCTGTTTGTTTTGCATGTTTTTTTTTCCATAATGGAGACAATTTTCTCCCCTTCGTCTCGTCATTGCACCTGTATCCACCGTCTCTGGTTTCTCCATTCGCCGCCGTCTCTCTCCCTCTTTCCCCCGGATTGTCTCCGGTCATTTAGAAGGCGAAGAACTGGTCCTCCAGCTTGGACACGGCCCGGGCCTTGTCGTAGCCGAGCGACTCGGTGGCCTTCTTGATCGCGGAGACCATGGGCGGGGGCCCGCAGACGAGGATCTTGATGTCCTTGGCGGGCTTGGGGAGGTATTTCTGTTTGCGAGACGGGGATGGTCAGTGGGTGGATTTTCATTTTATTTTTTGGCTTTTTGGCTTTTCACGCCAGGGTGGATGCCAGCAGCAGCAGCGGCGGCAGCAGCGGATGTAATCATGAAAGTAGCCGGTGGCTCCGTGAGGGGAGGTTTGGGGGAAGGAAGAAACTCACCTTGATCATATCAGCAGTGACGAAGCCGACCTCGCCCTTCCAGCCGGCCGGGGGGTTGTTCAGGACGTAGTGGACGCGGACGTTGGGGTCCTTCTTGGCCAGGGCGTCGAGCTCGTCGCGCATCAGGATGTCCTCCTCGTTGACGTTGGCGAAGAGCAGGTCGATCTCGGTGCGGTCGCCGGTGTTGCGGCCGCGCACGACGGCGTTGATGATCTGCAGCATCGGGGTGATGCCGGTGCCGCCGGCGATCATGCCGAAGTGGCGGACGAGGTTGGGCGAGTAGATCATGTTGCCCTTGGGGCCCTTGACCTTCATCGTGTCGCCGACCTTCAGCGTGGCGAGGTGGCGCGAGATGTTGCCGGTCGGGTAGGACTTCACGAGGAGGTCGAAGTAGCCCGGGGTCACGTCGGAGGAGATCGGGGTGTAGGAGCGCACGACCTCCTTGCGCTCGACGGTCTCCATCTTGGGGTCCTTGACGTCGAGGGTGGCGGCGAGGGAGATGTGTTGGCCGATGGGCAGGCCCAGGACGCTGTTCTCCGGGAGCGAGAAGCGGTAGACGGCGGTGTTGTGGGAGATCTTCTTGATCTCGGAGATGGGGAACGACTGGTAGGCTTCGGCGCTGAGGACCTTGGCGTATGAGGTCTTGGTGGCTTCTGAAAGAAGGCGGAGGGTGGTTAGAGATCCAAACGCGTACGGCAAGCTCCTGGGGTCTTCGGTGGTGGAGCGCGAGACTTACCATTGATCTCGTAGACGACGAAGCCGAGGCCGAAGAAGACGGCCAGGACGGAGAAGGGAAGCAATGATCGCTGGTACATGAGAGTGCCGACGATCAAGGCGAACGACGGGATGTAGATCAGGCCGATGTATTTGACGGTGAACATGCTGTGGGCCATGGCATCTTGACCGAGAAGCTGCGGCATGGTGGCGGTGGGTGATGTGAGGATATTGAGGAAGAGGAGGAGGCGGTGGTGGGGACGGAGAGAGAGAGAGAGAGTTGTAGTTCGTGTCTTCGTGAAGTAGAGCGCAACAAAGACTGAACGAAAAATCAGTTGAGATGGCAGAGGAAAGAAGAGAGAGAGAGAGGAGAGATGGTGGTGTTGGCGGTGCCGGTGGTGGTGTCTACAGATAATAATATATTTGCGGCCGAATGAAGCTCGGAATTTATCTCGACATGTGCTTTGGGAGGAAATGAGTGAAATGGAATGGAATGGATGGGCCGGAACTGCAGGGACTTTGCTCATGGATCGTCTCTCTCCTTTTCTCTCTCTCCCTCTCGGTTCTTCGGCGCGCGTTTGTTTGCCAATGGCTCCCTCTCTCTCTCTCTCTTACTCTGCAGCGGAGTCTCCTCGAGTCAAGTGGGCGGAGTCTCGTGCGGGCGGGTGGGTTCCTCCCCTCGCCCAAAGCAAATCTCACTTTTTTAAATCGTTGCCTAACGATGACAATAATGCTAACAAGAAACCCCTCTCTCTGTCTCTCCACATTGATGAGATGAACCGCTCGTTCTCTCTTTCTCTCCTCCTTGGCCGTGCGTGCACAGCCCGATCGCCTGTCACAATTGTACTGCCTAACACCGTAATAATTCATGTGATTGCGAACGGTCCCGGATGATTCCCATGAATGTATCCCCTCGCCGAACGAATAAATGATGAATCAATGACACACGCGATCTCCTCGAATCGGGAAGATCGATCATGGGACAGCGCAAGTCGCAAGGCGAAGACCATCCCCGATGGATTGACCGCCCCGGGTGTCCAGCAGCCAGCAGTTGTACATATGTCGTCGGGAATGAATTCACCCAAATGAGAGGGAAAGAAAGATTGTCCGCGTTATCGAGTCGCAGCTTGGTGCATGTACGGCACCATCAAGAATAACAATCACAATAATAATCACAATCACAATCACCTAGAGACTCGAATCAATAAAAGAGGCCCAAATGCGGGCGAAAGCTTCCGAGGAAATCCTCCCTCGGCTTCCGTCCGGTGTGTGGAATGTGTGTGTACCTATGTGTGTGTATGTGTGTGTACACCACACAGTGTGCTGCACTCCAGGGCTTCCTTCCATCCAAGTGGTTATTTTCCAATGCGGGCGGGCGATCATAGCGCACGCCTTGGGTTCGTTCCAAAGGCTTCCAAGGTTTTTGTTATTTGTGAAAGGACGATATTGTATACAGGAGAGTACCATGACTATTCTGTGATCGATTGAAATCATCGTTTCGTGGCGGTCGATCAATCAATCAACCCATCAGTCAATTCATCAGTCAATCCACTCTCCACCCACGATATGGGAACCCCTCATGCGGTATTCAAGCGACATGAGAGACACACACACATGTACGCACGCACTGCACTGCACTGCACTATATATTCTTGTAGAACAGTTATCCCCATCTGGAACAAGTCTTTGCTTTTCTTGGAGCAATATTGAATACAGAAAAAAACCCCCCAAAAACCAAAATGTATACACACATAAATATATATATGTACAGAAAAAACACCACCTCCTGACAGAGGCGCCGCCGCCATCGCCGGCGGTTCAAGCGAGGTGGCTCCATTGCTCCTGCCACTGCGCGATGCCCTGCTGTAGCCGCACCGCCATGTCCGCGCAGGAGAGCTCGTCGAACGGTCGAGAAGTCGCGATCGCTGCGACGGCGGCGGCGGCGGCGGTTGTTGTAGTCGTCGTCGTCGTCGTCGTCGTCGTCGTCGTCGGTGCTGTCGTGGGTGGAGTCGGTGTCGTCGAAGTCTCCGGCTCGGGGGCGTGGGAAGGTTGTGATTGTGGTTGTGCGGCTTTGGCTTCTTTGGTCGTCGTCGTCGCTGTGGCTCCTTCGCCCTCTGTAGCCGGCAGGATCGCCTTTCTGTCCGACTCGGTGCCTGTTGTGGTCGCGGAAGCAGCAGCGGCGATGGGCGGAGGAGCTGATAACAGCTCTAATTGCTGTCGAGCGACCCAGCGGCTCATGCTCTCGAGCGCCGTCTTCATGTTCGAAAATGACTTCTCCGGGTATAAGAGTGAGGAAGGCGGGGCGGATGTCGCGCCGGCCATCGGCGCGTTAGAATGGAGGTTGTCGTCTAGAAGCCCGCGCGAAGCTCCCGCCGAGGCATTGGCCAGACCATCCAAGCCGGAGGAAGCGGTCACCTGGGCGGAAGCTCCGTGTCCATTGCCTCTCCGGCCACGTGAGAACTTTCCACCGCGGGTGGTGATGATGGTGGTCGCGGAAGCTGTATCGGCCGGCGCCGGGGTGATGACGGTGCTGGGGATCGTGGAAGAAGGCGCGCCGAGCGATGCCGGGGCCGATGCGGCCACGCTTCCGATAGAGGGTGCCGTGGTATTCGTCGAAGTGGAGCCGCCTTCACCTACAGCTCCGAAAGTGGAAGATGCAGGTTTTGTGCCGCTCGCCGCTGTTGACGGGCTCACTTTACGATGCGATGCTGCGATGGCGCCCTTCTCAGTTGAGAGTGGTGCGTCGCCATTTGACAGATTGTCCTCCTCCTCCTCATCCTCCTCGTCATCTTCGTCTTCGTCTCCGCTGAGTGGATTCTCGCCAGAACCAGCGTATGTCCGTCTGCGTGAATGCGGAGAATCCAAAAGATTATTCGAGGTCGCGCCTCGGTTCTTTGTGCTATACTGATTGTTCCCCAGCTTTTTTGACTTCTGAACAGAGCTCTTCCGATGTGAGCTACGATCGCCTTCTGTGGGTGGCGGGGGAGAGTTAGGTTGGGATGAAGGTAAAGGTGGTGAGGTATGGGCGCTCGAATTAGCCTTCGGGGTAGTCTCATCGAGCACATCGAAATCTGGTAGGGACTCGGGTCAGCACATGCGACGCGATAACAATGAATGACACATGATGCTCACCGTCTGCTCTTCGCCGTCCAGCCCTTTCTTGTCGTCGCCCAGCAGCTTCTGCTCGGGCCCTCTCGCGTTCCTTATCCCGGTCCCGTTGTTCTGCTTGACGCGAATTGGACTCAGACTTGACCTTTTTTAACCGCCCGGCTTTGGGAGTGGATTCGTGGTCTTCGGAGTCGAATTCCAGCGACGGAGCTACTGGTAACGATTCGGAAAGTGTGCGCTGGCGCTTCAGGTCGTGTTTGTTGCTGCGAGCCAGTTAGCCAATGCAAACATTGATGCGCCACCGCTCGCTGCTCATCACTTACTCCTCACTGCTGTCATCTCGACCACGCTTCGTGCTCCTTCGACCGCTGCTCTCGGACCCTGCTTCGACCTCTCGTCTGCTCTCTTCGATGGCTCTCTTCAGTTGTTCCTCTTCGTCGTCCAGCTCTTTGCTGCGCATCGTGATCCGCCGCTTGCCAGTTGATGGATCTACACTTGCCCGTGAAAGTAACGATTCCCTCTCTTTCTTCGCTTTGTCGTCATGTTTGACTGTGGACGATTTGCGTGCTCTGGGGTGAAGTGGGAGATACAACGAATATCTTTGTCTGTCATTCGTGTCAGTCTTGTCCCATAGCACGACATTGAAATTCAGCCCTGCATAGCCTGTCGCGAGGCATCACGCACGGTTAACCGAGAAGACGCCATAACAGCTTGGGCAGAGAACATCGTGAACGATGCACTGATGACGAGGCAAGGATATGACGCGCAGCACTTACCCTCTAGAATCAGTGTGTATCCTGTGGAGAGCAGGGTCGCACTCTTCGCCTGTTCCGCTCGTCAGCTTCTTTGTCTTCGCAGTGCGCGCCATCAACTCGAGCTGCCGGTTGTCAATTTACTCACAATAATACTTGTCCGGGACCTGCTTCTCTTCTGCAATGCCCACACAGCCGCCGTGCTGCCAAACGGTGCAGCCGTCGCATTGGATGAACAGATCGCCGGCATCGACAATGCCCGCAAAAGTCTCAATGTCAGGTGGACCAGGATACTCTGTCTGGCCGCAGAGACAGCGAGTGACCTCCTCTTCGTCGCCGCCTATTTCCGCATCGCCGTCGTCGCCAGTGGCGCCGCCTGTGCCGGTCCTTCCGCCAGCCGCCGCCTTGCCGTTGGGTATGTGTGCGCGTTGACTGCGTCGTGGAAGCTCTTCCTCGCTAGACAATGAACGAGGTGTGGTAGATTTGGGATTGGTGGGCTGCTGGGCTCGACCGTGGCGATCGAGGCGGGCAGAAGAAAGCGACGATGACGATGTCGCCGAGGCGGGCGGCGGCGGTGGCCCGCCTCGAGTAGACCGTCGCATTTGTGTGGTGATGATGATCGTGACGCCTGAGCGCGAATGCTGTTCTCACGGGATGTTCGGCCACCCAGGGAGCGGGGCACCAGGTGCGTGAAGGATCGTTGCCAATGGAGGGCGGGTCCACGGGCCCGGGACAGATGATGCGACGGTCTTTCGCGTAGTGAGGTCGAAGCTTGGGTGAGGATCAATGGCAGCGAGATGGTCGGGGCTGAAAGGTGGAAAGACAGGACAAGAGCATTTGTGCCAGTGCGATTGGTGAAGTATTGGCAGAGGCGACAGTGACGTGTTTCGGAAGAGAGTCTGGGAAGGCGATGAGAGATTGGCAGTGTAGTGTGTGTGAAATGCAAGAAAGTTGCAGAGAAGCAGAAGAATGAGAAGAGGTACTCGGTAGTATGGCAAATGGTGGGAGCGGAGGGTGATGATCGGCGCGCGCGCACTGAGATTGATGATGGGAGGAAGCGCAGAAGCTGTGGATGAGCGCAGTGTACTGTACTGTAGCAAGCAGTCGGTAGCAAGCCGACAAAGAATAGAGCCGACTCGAGTGCTCACTCAGTTTTATTGGTCACTTACGTGATGCAACCCTCCTCCTCGTCCTCCTCATCATTCATTCATCATGACCTACAGTTTTGTACCGTTCTGTGCAGTACTGCCAGCGCAGGCGGCGCCAGAATGATGAGATGAGAGAGCGACAAGCAAGCAGAGATAGCAGCAGCAGCATCGGCAATGCGAGGGCATTTCGGGTTTAGCGTGTGGATTCTCTGCGAACTGACTGACTCTTTTCTGCGGGCGCGGACGCCGCCGCGAATTGAACGCGCCCGCGCTATGGCAAATCTCATCTCACGTCGGTCAGTGCAGAGAGGCACGAGGGAAAATGGAGGGGGAAAAAAGAGATGAAACGGATTCGTTCTTGTCGGCGGCATCGGTCAACGAACGGTCTCTCCCTCTTTTCTGAGGATCTTTGTGAGACAGGTGTGATGGCGGGAGCGAGTGACCACACCTGCACATCTGCAAATGCGCCGACGGTCGATACCTGTCATGTCTGATCTCAGCAATGTGTGGTGAACACCATCGCCTTTCCGGGAGCCGGCTGGGGTCTCGCCGCGTGGTGTTGGAGTTTCGCCAGCGGTATTGCGCCGTTGTGCCAAATGACGCTCTTGTGGCCCAAATCGGCGGAAGACAACATCGAATCGTGACACTCAACTGTGCGATGGGAAGTATGGCGAGAAGGCACGTTGAAAGATGTTCAGGACATCCACATCCGTACGTCTTTCCTTTCGTCATAACGTCCAGCTCCAACTGCTCGCAATCGTGCGTAAACCGCTTTCTCCCGCCCATCTGTTCTCTATCGAGATGAGGGGTGCGGGTTTCGATCGTACCTAGGTATGCGACGGGCCAGATTTCTACCCGATGATGGTATCATCTGTGATTAAGCGAGCATCGGCTGCAGGTGTATCAATACCATGGACATGTCGAACATTTGTGGCCATGAGCCTTCTCTGGAGATCGTCGAACAATGATATTGAAATTCATGTGTATTAAAGTTATTATGGCCTATATTGCGATTGCTAGATTGATGCAGGTGGCACAAATTATGGATCTCAGCTATCCACTACCTACCCAGGTACGTACGAATCTGTGGATACGTACGTACCTGTGTAGCTTCGCTCTCTACGACTGGTGCAATGCACCCATTTCGCCATTTGCTATTTTATTACAGGCACTGCGGTGTCCTGTAGTAGTAGTCGTAGTGGTCTTCGGGCTCTAGAGCCGATCTCATTGATGAAAAGTAGAAAAGAATGAATTGTTGCGCGCTGTGGCGTGTTTACGGAGTGCCATACGCAGTATTGGAGAAATGGGAGTCCGACGCCAGCGCCAACGCCAACGCTGTTCGATTACAAGACCAAAGGTATCGCCCGTTTGTTTGTTCAGTGACCACGTCAGCGTGAGAGAGAGTAGGCGAGCATCACAGCAAGACGCCACAATCTCGCCCGGGTGGAAAGCAAAGGTGCGCACGATCTTGATCATCTTCATCATCCTACTGATCGCAAAAGGTCTTTCAGTTATTCGCGTGATGGTGTTACTGACATTTCATTCATTCATTCATTCATCATCAACAGCACCGCAGCGACCCAACTTCGACCTTCCAATGGCCCGATGATGGAAACACCATTCACGAATTCACATTCTCGAGCTACAAACACGACATCTAGGCTTTCCCCCGGACATGCCATCGTGTAGCGTTCATCGCTTCATGCTTCGGCTGCCGGTCTCGCCGACATGACTGATTTACAGAACAGAGATCCTAGGTACCCCTTTGGAGCTTCAGGCGAGGTGGGCTTTGCTTGCGTGTTTCGTTCTTCATCCGCGGCGAGATCCACGCTTCCTTCTTGACTCACCTCCTCCTCTCGCTGTCCCGGTTTGCAACGCGTGCTTCTCTTGACCACTCGAGTTCTCCATCTCGGATTTGTCCTCTTCTTTGCTATCTCAAGAGCCCGGTTGTGACTGTCGCAGCACAGTCGCCATGAGGAACCCGATGCCCGACACCATCTTCCGCCTAGCAACAGACCTGCCCCTCCTCGGTTTCCTGCTTCCTGCTTTCAACCTCTCTGAGGCGGAACAGTGGAAGAGTGGTTCCCAGGAGGGGAGGATGCGGTGAGGCTCCAAGTAATAGTTTTCAATCGGCAGGAAATATCTCATTGCTCCGGTCTCTCCTGTGGCTCATGGGTTGCGTAATGAGGAGATGGCATAGCCGTAGAGAGAGGATTGCGGGAATGGAATTGAGAAGGCGGTGCATCCGACCAACATCAAATCGTCCGGTGATGATGAAAGCAAATGCTTCAAAGCTAAATTTGAACTGGGAGTCATTTCCCTTTTGACAGCCGAGATGCATTCTTCCTTTTGGGAGAGTGGTATTTCAGGTTGTTATTGATCACATAAGAGAGCTAATCTGAGGACGATACGACTGTTGAAATTTCTCTGGACTATCCTATACTTCTTTGTCGTTTCTTGACGGGGAACCCCTCGTGTGGGTGTGTGTTGCGGAAGGCGACTTCTTGTGCTTCAAGGCCCTCGTCGTCACAGGTGTACATCTCACCCAAGTTTTTCAAATTCAAATGCCACCATTATTGTGTACACTCTTATCAACACTCAACACTGGAGATCATTTATGAACAGAGTCGAGAGCCTTATCAATTGTCCATCGACGAACGTCTTGGCTGCGTATGCCCAGGTGCCCAGGTGGCATATATCTTTAGGGTTGGTGCGCGCAAAGCGATGCGAACACGTCAACACGTGATGACTTCAAGATCACATTGGCTTCGGCCTAATACGGACTTCGAACAATACCAAACCAGGCAAATGCCACGAACACCAGCAGGCGCATAACATCATCCTGGTCGTATCGGCGGTCTTGTGTACAGTAGCATGACTTGAACGAACGACCCGGCACATCGACAGATTTCTTGACTGAAATCTTGTCAATTGCGATTCCTTTTCCACCATGGCAGATTTATTTCCTACCCTCCCGCAATGCGCTGCTGTGGCCGTCGCGCTGAAGCTGTTGCTTTGGCCTGCCTAGTAGGTCCCGCCCAACGACATCAGGAGAAAGGATGCAAGCAACACAAAATTGATCCATAGTGTAACGAACAGCAAATCGACCGACTTTGAAGTCCACCGGAACTGGTTAGCTATCACCAACTCATTACCGATTCATGAGTGGTACTACGAGGTGAGCAGAAGCATAGATTCTCTTCCTCTTTGCTGGTCATCAAGTCCCTACGATTATAGATCTCCTAACACAAGTTTCTGTCCCATTTACTGTCTAGAAAACATCAGAATGGACGCTCGACTATCCGCCCTTCTTTGCCTACTTCGAATGGACCATGTCACAAGCTGCGCGTTATATCGACCCAGCCATGCTCGATGTTTCAAATCTTGGCCACGATAGCTGGCCGACAGTCCATTTCCAACGAGCGACAGTCATCATCACCGAATTGGTCCTCGTCTACGCTCTCTACCTGTATGTCGTCCCCGTCCCTTCCTTTGCGAAACGTTAAGCATGTGCTCAACCCGATCAAACAGATTTATTCAGTCGTCTCCTCAGGCAACCAAGAGGCAATCGCATGCCGCTGCTTTATCGATTCTGCTCTCGCCTGGATTGCTCATCATCGATCACATTCATTTCCAATACAACGGCTTCCTTTACGGCGTCTTGATTCTGTCTATCGTCCTTGCGCGATACCAAAAGGACTGGCTCTTGGCAAGCGGCCTTTTATTCATGGCTCTGTTGTGTTTCAAACACATCTACCTCTATCTTGCGCCGGCATATTTCGTCTACCTGCTACGAACATACTGTCTCGGCCAGAAATCGTTATTTACCATTCAATTTACAAACTGCATCAAACTCGGAGGCGGCATTGTGATCGTCGCTGTATTGGCATTCGGTCCTTTCGCCTACTACCAGCAGATCCCGCAAGTCTTCAGCAGATTGTTTCCATTTTCTCGTGGATTGTGTCATGCGTACTGGGCTCCCAACGTTTGGGCGCTGTACTCCTTTGCTGACAGGGTTCTAATCTACCGTGAGTCGCTCCTTTCCCTCCGAGCTTCATTGCATGATACGAAGTACCAGAGCCATCGTTTCGCTAACAAGCACACCTGAACTAGTTGCCCCTCATCTCAAGCTCTCAATCAACTCTGAGGCTGTGAATAGCGTGACTCGTGGGCTCGTGGGCGACTCGACGTTTGCTGTGCTTCCAGAAATCGCTCCCAGGACGACGTTTTTTCTTACTCTTGGCGCTCAAATTGTAAGTGCAATATCCGGACCGCCATCGTCTATTTCGGCGCAGCAGACCTTCGCATGGAAGCAAGTAACTGATGCCACCTCAGCCATCATTGATCAAACTTTTCTTCCAACCGACATGGGACAACTTTGTCGCGACAATCACCCTTTGCGGATATGCATCATTCCTCTTTGGATGGCACGTTCACGAGAAGGCGATTCTACTCGTGATCTTGCCCTTTAGTCTGCTGGCGCTCAAAGATCGTCGCTATCTGGGTGCCTTTCGACCCCTGGCGGTGGCCGGTCATGTCAGCTTGTTCCCACTGCTCTTCACGGCGATGGAGTTTCCCATCAAGGTCATCTATACCATTGCTTGGCTGACCGTAGTTCTGTTGGCGTTCGATCACTTGACCCCAGCGTATGTGGATTGTTCCATCAATACATCTTCGCGAAACACATTTCGGCTGACATTTGTGCAGGTCTCAACAGCAAAGGGTATTCCTCTTTGATCGGTTCTCACTGCTTTACATCGCCGCGGCGATCCCGTTGATCGCTTATTCGTCGCTCGGTCACCAATTGCTGTTTGGCGAGAAATTAGAATTTCTGCCGTTGATGTTCATTAGTTCCTATTCCGCGATCGGTGTCGTTGGGAGCTGGTTGGGTTTCCTGGTCGTCTTTCTCACATCCTGAGCAGCAGACCTAGATCTTGATCAAAAATACGTATTTTGTTAAATCTTGCATCGCTTTGAACCGGCAATACTGTTGAACCGATGCTAAATGTGAGGTTCATAGGATCCAGGAACGAACACGGACGTTCGTTTACGACGAATGCATATCGAGTCACCTCATGAGCCGATTTAGAGCACATACGTCCTCGCATTCTCCCAATATTCGCTCAGCATGTCTATATGCCGCATTAATCCAGAAATTACCAGTATGGACCCGAAGAGACTCTTCTATCGTGTTTGCGATCGAGCGTCATCGAGGTGATAAATTCGGGATGACCAAGAACCCGTTTTTATATTGCGATTCCAAAGATTCAAATCGTTTCAAATCCAAAGACTCGTGGATAAATCTGATTCAGTGCCAACCGCTGATTACAACGACTACAAATATGTCGGGAAGGAGTTGGCGTTGAGATGGTGCGAATTGCGGAAGACGAGTGGATAATAGCAGGACTTGGACCAGGAGCGAAGCCAGGGTGTCGAGGCGCATGGACCCGGCGCGCTAAAATACGTAGTTTGGACCTTATTAAGTAAGCCGAGCAGTCAATCGTTCGGGATCTCAATACCACATGCACAGCACGATGGATCGCTTGTCGACCATCCATTGCTGTTGTTGCTGCCCAGATGTACTTGAAGTCTCCCAGGCCGTCTACCGAAGGATTGGTTCACTCGACGGGTCGTGGTGAATTGTCATGGTGTTGGATGGGCAGATCTGCTGCGTGTTGTCACTTCCGCGTGCGTGCGCGCTACCCAGCTCGCTCACGTTTCTGCATGTCCATACATCCATCCATCCCCACACACCCAAGGCACCACCACCACGCCAACTAAAAGTACTTACCCTGCCTTCTGCTTCTGCTTCTACGTCTTCGCCGCCATGACTTCAAAGCTTTCACCCTCTTCCTCCTCATCTTCATCCTCCGACCCTTCTTCAACACCATCACCACCGTCCATCCGCGTCAACATCACGACTTTTAACCATCATCACGAAGGACCCCACACGCGTCATAACCTCCCTGGACTCAATCTCGAACGCGATTCGATTCACAAATGTCACATCCCTCCTCTTGCCGATCCATACGCGTTCGAAGACCAGCATACAAATACTCGCCAATCAGTTGAAGCACCATCGTTCGCCAGACGTCAATGCAACAGCCTCGTCGTTCCGCATAATTACTTGACTATTCTCGCATTGATTCATTGACGCGATCGATCTCGGGATCCAATTGTACGGCGACCCAAGTGTGGAATCTCAATCAACGATCGCAATTCCTGAGCACCGACCTTGCGCATCGATTTGGCTTCAGTCAGGCCCTGTGCGGAGACCGCATCAATATGGTTCGCATCACCCATCAAAAGTCTGAAGAACTAGGTCGCCAACAATTAGAATTACAGGTTCTGAATAAGAGAAAACCAGTTGGACTTCTGCCCAACCCAGCAGAGGTCTCGGACAATTCCGATGTATGGAGGTCAAGAGCGCATATATGAATAAGGATTAGTTGTAACGGAGAATTTCTAGGTGTTTGTCATGAAAGGCACGAACGAGGTCTTCACAGATTATGAGCAATATCTGAAACGGTATGTTGCATCAAACATCCACAGCGGAATCTGGGCATTGAAAGCTAACAATCGCCTCTTCAAGATATGATTGGTTAAGTCAAGTATGTCGTCGGCGATTGTTACGTCTGCGCCCACTCACTTACCAATCGACAGAGGAAGTTTACAGACGGAGTCAACGGAAAAACTGGTCTCACATACTGGGAAGCATTAGAATCTGAGGTTGGTGATCAATGAATCATTGGTCCGGATCAGAACTGATCGTTTCCTCAGACGAAAAGCTCCGCGACGATCGAGAATGTCTTTCCTGAAGTTTTGCGCCATCCCATACTTCGTCAAGTGCAATTCTCGACGATATCTCGCATGGACGAATTAGGTGAGAGGAGCTCGCCACAGATGATTGAAGACAGGTGCCTGACTGCTACGTTATACAGTCAACACAGTTTTTGAAGAGTTCAAGCATGATTTCTTCCCCGGTGAAGAGGTTCTGGTCGTTTTTGATGCTAGCGATCAGTCAAGAGGCGTCATTCGCGAAAAAGCAAAGTTTCCCATGATCAGAGGACCCGACGGATCGGTACAACGCGAGCCCTTTGCAAGATATTTCGTCCGACTAAAAGACTCTGAGGAAGAAGCACTTCTTGACGACAAACATGTACGACGCGATCGAAATGTTTTCACTAAGCAGAATCTGCGAGCGTTTCTCAAAAACTCACTACAACGCGAGAACTGGATTGGCGCTCCATGGCTCGTGAAAGAGCCTTTGGCGATACACTACCGACTACCTATGGAGATTCCATTTCATCTGCTTCAGGATTCCCGCCCTGTTGCCAACAAGGTAACGATCTTTCCCGAATTTCTGCTACGTGGGCTTTCAATTGCGAATATTGTACTGACACATCACAGCAACAAATGCTTCAAGTTCGACCAGCGAAGGCCACGAAGCCGAAGAAGAATCCACAACTCTATCGTCCTTTTCCCGACGACGGAGATCTCATTCCGATGGTCAAGCGCATACTTCCCGGCGAGATTGACTTTTCGTCAATGCCCAAACCGCCACCGCCGCCGCCTCCACCGCCGCCCAAATATCCAATCGAAGACCTGGAACTTGCGCCGAGAAGGAATGGGGTGACGAGACCGGAGCTTAAATTCTGGACTGACGAAATGGCGGAGTTTGTCAAGGCCAAGGACAAGTCTGCATACAAGTTCTCCGGACTGACCATGAAATCCATGGGAGCATTGCTGGAGATCTGGAACACTCTCAATGTCCAGGCGGAAGTATACGTGCTCGACAGTTTCACCTTTGACGATTTCGTCGACGCGATGACTTACTCCCCGGTCGACACGCCTTGTACGCTGACTGAAGAGATCCATTGCGCGGTGCTCAAATTGTATGTCGATGAAAGTGGCAAAGTTGTCGTCAAGGATCTGCCTGAGATCGAGGAAGAATCAGAAGACGGGTCCGATGAAGAAGAAGAGGAGGAAGAAGAGAGTGAGATCCAGACCCCTGTTCTAGACGTGCCGGCGCGCTCCACACGCAGCCGGAGAAGTTTGATAGAGGCACCTGTCGAAGTCGCGCCCCCGCCGGTAGAGGATAAGAAGAAGGGAAACCGGGCAGTAGAGATGTTGGGAAATCAGAGTTGGACCGAGCGGCTTGTCGCGCGGGATTTCGAGGATGGCGGATGGCAGGTCATCATTGTTGGCCTCTTGCATCAACTCTCAGCAGCACCTTACTACCAGGAACTATGCGAAACACTCTTAGCTGAACTGGCACCGGACGACGAGGATGCCACACGAGAGACTGCCGCAAGACGATTCGCCGGAATAAACGTCAACCTCCGGATAGCAATGCTGCAGGTGCTCGTTCTATTGACGATCCGCACCGACTCCATCAAGAGCTTCCTCGACACTTGCAGCGAAGACATGACCGATGTCCGGAAACGAAAGATTGAGCATCAGCGCGAGAGGAAACTAGCGGTCGACCAACTCCACGCGAAAGAAAAGGAGCGAAAACTTCAAGCACCAAACAATATGCCCGAACCTGCTTCGCCCAAGATTGAGCCCTCTGAATTGGAAGTAAGCGAGATGAAAGACGATACTATCGAGATCAACGGAAGTGGCGTCTTTGATTCCGATGATGATGCTCGATCAGCTGGGAGGGCGTTAAGGCGTGGCGTGGACCGTAAGCGGAAGCGCGACGAGGAGGCTGCTCGTCGGGAGAAGGAACGCGCTGAAAAAGCCGAAGCTGCCAGGTTGGTCGCCAAGCAGACGAAAGAATATCGGAAGCTGCTCAGTGAGATCGATGGCCTCAAGAAGAAGATCATGGAGCTGGAAGCGAAAATCGACGATTGCGATGACGATCTACGCGAGGCTAACGTCCAGCGCACGAAAGTCCTCGGCAAAGATCGATACTGCAATCGCTATTACTGGTTCGAACGGAATGGGCAGCCGTTCGCCGGCCTTCCACGATCAAGCACGGCTAGCTACGGATATGCGAACGGTCGTATATGGGTACAAGGCCCAGATGAGCTCGAGCGGGAAGGTTTCATCGACCGCACCAAAGAAGAACAACAAGAGTATCAAAGGCTGTTCCACTGCACCGTCCCCCAACGCCGCGAGGAAGAAGAAGGCCGGACAATCCTCCGCGACGCCGACGACTGGGGTTACATCGACGACCCCGAGCGCCTCGACGCACTGATCGGCTGGCTCGACGACCGTGGCGAGCGCGAGAAGAAGCTCCGCAAGGAACTCCTCGAATGGCGCGACAAGATCGTCACCTACATGAACGCGCACCACACCTTCTTCGCCGCCGAGCAGGCCCGCCAGTTGGAGGCCGACGAGGAGCTGGCCTCGCGCCGCGCCAATGCCATCTCCACCCGCCACAAGGTCCAGGAGGACCACGTCGCGAGCCTCCCGCGCTGCACCAAATGGACGAACTCCATGGCCCTGGACGACCTGGGCCATCTGCATTCGCGCCCGCCCCGGAGCAAGGCGAAGCGGCAACGGAAATCGGATACGTCGGGGACCTCGGCGGCGGCGAAGGGCGTCGCGGTCGTCTTGGGCAAGAACGGGAAACCGTTGGCTCGGCAGGGGACGAAATAGCGGAGTCTTTTGGGGAGCCGATGTTGAACCATTTAGCTGGTCGTCGTCTGTGGGGAATATCCCGGAGGCGCAAAAAAAGTCATGACGATGCTGGGTGTCGATTTTGGGGAATGCTGCATAGCGGGGACGAAGATGGTGGTTTTAGTAAATTCCTGTATGGAAAACCCGCATTTGTACCGTCTCTGTCTTGGGGGGAATCCCGTCGTCTGAATCATGTTGTCGTGTATCGATGTGGAGATCACGTACCAATCGTCACAGATAACTCGCCGGATCAACTTTTCCGCGTCAATGTCATTAGACCGGTGTGAATTTTGTTTCTCGCATCTATGATGGGTTCCGTTTACAACGACAGAAAATGATGCCCCATATGCCCACCCTCGCCGAACATGTCTATAAGAACAAGTCATCCAGAAAAAAAAGAGAACCAAATCTCCCCCCCCTCGCTGTGGGAGTCGGGAGCTCGAATGCGTGGAAGAAAGAAAGAAAAAAACATGCTATCTCTCCCGCCCTCGTCGTCGTCGTCGCTCAGACGATCTCCTGGAAGAGCTTGTCGTCCTGCTCCCGCAGCTGCACGAACTCCTCGCTGTTGTACAGCTCCAGCATGCGGTTCCACGTGTCGGTCCAGTCGTCGTGCGCCCAGATGGTCTCGGCCATGGGCACCCAGATCTTGCCGTGCACGATGAACAGGTCCTTGCCGTCCTCCTTCAGCTGCGGGTAGCCGTTCCACGCGTTCTCCAGCGCGCCGGGCGGGAACGGCCCATTCGGCCGGAAGATGTAGTTGACGAAGGACTGCTCGGCCAGCCCCTGGTCGAAGTTGGTCATGTTGCTCGACTCCCGGATCAGCATCTCGTGCATGGCCAGGTTCGGCTTGATGACGATCACCCCCGCGTTGACCATGCCGACGCGCTCCTGGTGGCCCGAGAAGACGTAGTCGCACATGTCCCGGCCCTTCTCCGTGAGGTCCTGGGGGAGCATCAGCTCGACCTTGCAGCGCTGCTGCGGCGCCAGGCTGAAGACGCGGTCGATGTTCTCGAGCGCGAAGGCGTCCGAGTCCATGTACATGAGCCGGTCGAAGTCGGTCTGCTTCCACATCTCCAGCTTGCTGAACATGTCGATCAGCCGGCCGGCCACGCCGCCGCCCTGCGGCTGCTTCACCGGGTGGAAGGGCACGAGGTCGAGCTCGCGCACGAGCGCGCCCGCGGCCGCGAACAGGTCCCGCTGGGCCTGGGTGGCGAACTTGGTGACGAAGACGACGACGGGGTAGCGCCGCGACCGCGAGCGTTGGTCCCAGAGGAGCCGGAACACGCCCTGCTGCGTGGCCATGAAGTAGGGGTCGAAGAGCGACGGGCTGCGGGTGGCGAAGAAGGTCGCGAAGGCCTTGCCGCCGGGGCCCTGGTAGTTGTGGGGCGCGAGGTGTTTGAGCTTCTCGATGTCGAAGGAGGGGTTGTCGGTGTTCTCGAGGTCGAACTGGAAGAACCATTTGTCGAAGTCGAAGGAGTCGGTGTTGTTCTCGGCCCAGGCCATCTGCGCCATGCCTTCGTCCTTGGGAGGGTCGGCGGGTTTGGTGGTGGTGTTCTTGTCACCGCCCGTCACGCCGGACGCGGCGGTCGTGACGTGGTTCCAGGCGGTGGTGATGATCTCTTTGCCTTTGTTGGGGATCGGGGTGTGCGGCAGCCACAGGGCGAGGAGGATGAGGACGGCGACGGTCGCGATGATCGCGTTCCGCCATGTCCTCCATGTCTTTTGCCCGCTCGGTGGGAGCATTTTTGTGTGTGAGGTCTCCCTGTGTCTTTCTACGAGGTGTGCTGTAGATATGTACCGGATCTGCAGGACTCCTCTGCAGGCGTCGCAAGGGTCTTGATAGACCGGCTTCCGGGGCGTGAAGCAGAGTTTCCTCCGCAGTACCTAGGGATATCCGGAAACGTCGCGGCGATGGATGAGGTTTGTTTGGGATTCGAGGTTGGATGATGAACGATGGAGGCAGAAATGAGCAGAGGACGAGAGATGGAAGAGAGTGGTGGGAACACCTGGAAGATGGAACGTCGGACCAATACTGGTTGGTTGCAACACTCTCGATACGATTGCGATAGGCACGCCTCACACAGTCGCCCACCCACACAGACAGACACACACACAACACACACACACACACTTACACACACACACACACCTGGACCGAAGCGAGAGAAAGAAGGGAGAGAACCCTGGCGAATGCAGCGAGCCATCAGCGAGACGATTGCGGGACGAGACCCGCATCGCCTGTCCATTTGCACGTGGCGGGCGATAATGTCGCGCCGTTGCTTCTCTTTCCTCCCCGTCCCTCGGTCGGCGTCTCTTTTTGGGGCGGGTTCTATTGGATTGGATTGGGTTTTGGCTCAACCAAGCCGCGCGGGGACGAAAGCACCTGTCAACCGGTTATTATTAAGAATTGACGAAAGCAACGGTGTCGTATACGGTACATGTCGGGCTTCTGTACGTATAGAATGATCTATGGAAGACTCCATCTCTCTCTCTCTCTCCATCTCTCTCTGTGGCTACCTCTTCTCTCTCTCCACGTCTCTACGGAGACTAACACACGCTGCTAGATGATCCGAGAGACGAAGATTGTGGGTCTGTGACGATTCCTCATCGTCGAGAATTTAGATGCCAACGAGAGAGGCAATGATAAATCATGTCTTCCGGCACACCATCTCTCCTTCGGTATCGGGATGATTATATGTGTGTGCGTGTGCCTCTCCCACCAGGAGTCGCCGCACGCGAGATACGAGGCGGTGGATGTGCATTATACCCGTTGAAATCCAACCCCAAACCCTCACACCCACGTATTGATTTTACACGCACACCTAACCCGTACACATCCGAAAAATTGCTGCCAGCCTTCATCCTATCCGTCACGGGGAATGAATTGGCAACAGCACCCTACCTATTTATCCTGGAACCCATCGGCGTGCAACACGTACGATCGGTGCAGTTGCAAAAAGAGCTGGTTTCGCTCGAAGCAGAGATATCTCCCGAGGACGAGCGAGTCGTCTCAGTCTAGACGACGGAAGAGCCTCTTTCCCGCTTTGCCCTAGTAGGTAGGCACTAGGTACGGTCCATACATACTGTAGCAGTGTAGATGGGAAGCGATGGTGGTGTAGGGCCAACCAGGCTCAATGGCGTGGATCGTACATGAGCGGGAACGTGCCGAGCAGAGGAGGAGGAGTAGGGGAGGCGTTCTGTCATTCGCACGCAGCCCTTTGATGCGGAGATGCCAACGTACTGTGTCTTCTGTGCAGTCGAGTCGATGTTTGCGGCCCTTTCTCATCTCCATCTCGAAGCAGGTGCGTGTAGCATCAATGTGTGCCCTGGCCACAGTATACATGGCCAGGGCCTGGATGTAAAGGTCTCTCTTCCACGCCTACAGCCAAACGTGAATAGCTACACTCTAGAATTCGGCGACTGTCTAGTCCACCAGGGCTAGCATTGTCTTTTGTCTAGTGACCTAGTAAGGTACGGAAGGCATGACTAGCTCGGTACCTACCCTCTCCCTCAAATACTGATGTACGGCTCTAGGTCTCAGGATTGAGGAGGAGATAAGCGGAGTATTTGGGAATTCCCTGTGCCTCGGACGCACGTGAAGATGATGTCCATTGAGCCTCCTGTCTCACAATTGATCCGGATACTTCCCGTGATAAATACGACCGCGATCTGTGCGTCAATTGAAAGGACGACATCGAAACGATTTATTCCCTCACTTGTCGGAAGCGGGCTTGGGGCCGACTCCATCACCTGGTTCGTGCTGCTGCTTCATCATCATCATTGACCGACACGGTGTCTCGATGCCGTTCGACTCCAACAGGTGCCAAACATGCGACATGAACGCAGCCGTGTACAGTAAGTACATGAAGCCTGTTCGCCGACATGTCCGCCTCGAAGACGAAGAACGAGATGAGGTGTCATCGACAGTTCCACTTCCCAGATGCTGAAGCTTGACATTGACCTCGCCCATCGTGGCGGCGCAAGCCAGAATTGTATGAAATCTACGGTCGATGTCGATGAGCTCTGGCGACCGGAAGGCAGGCCTTTGTGAACCTCGTTACGTTCGATGTGCGCCGAGCGAGACTGCTTTCATGACGATTGGCCTAGACGCTGCAAGGTACAAGGCATCCAGGTACCATAGACGAGATAGTGTACCATAACGGAAAATAGCACACAGTTGCAACCTGGGAACCCTGGAAAGTATTGTCTACGTACTGTGCTGTCCATTGCAGATTGCCGCTGGAGATGATTCAGCACTGCATAGGGCTCATCATTCGCGTCCGGGGAGAAGACACGTGACGACGCGCGGTGGTCCACAGTAAGCACTGAGCAGTACTAGGTACTGGATCATCGCATCCTCTCCGGGCGCGTATCTTGATGACAGGCATCTCATGCATCCAAGTGGGATATCATGGAGAAACTCCACTCCATGGTTGATCAGAGTACATGGATATTATTTCACGCAAATACACACATCCTGTAATCTATCGGCGTTTGCAGAAGACTGTATAGTCTATCAATTGACAGCCAAACCACGCTCCCAGGCACAGATCTACAGACAGACTGGGCTTCCTTCCCCTGGTGAGAGAGATGTACGCTATACTCCAGGGCTGCAATATGTCTTTCTCGGCGGGCATCCCCTTTAGGAACATCTCATCTCAACTCCCGACCGAAACTGTCCCTGGTGTATTCACCAACCATGAAAGACACATGACGAGTGGAAATGATGATCCCGACCGACGCGTGTCAGAGAAGAAACCACCACAGAGCGGTATCGTTGACCTCACCGAGAAGAAAGACCACCGAGAATGACCAAGACATCTCTCGAACGTCTCGCGATGGACTCGTCGATATAATACTGTACATACCAACATTGGTCGTTTATGCAAGGACCCTGACATGCATCATCACCCAGTCGGCGCCGCTCTCCTTTTCCCGTGGTTAACCTAATTTACAGTATTTTATCATCTCATGCGACAGACAGGACTGTCCACACGTCCAGCGCTGTACCGAATCGAGATCGCTGCCTCCCAGTCTTTTCCGATGCTGCCTTTTATTTTTTTATTGCTTAGCCAACCTTTCCCTTCTCCCAGGCTGACATAATCCTCCCTCTGCGGCGTGTCGGCTCTTGGGTGCAGAACAGTCTTTTTCTCGATTCTGCTTCACGCGGCTTCACGCAGGTCGATCCTCAGAGACCTGTTCCACTTTCGCGTTCCTGTCCCCGGATCAAACATCACAACTTACATTCCTTTCCATCTTCCTTCTCCCGTACATCATCATCCTTGCATTGTTTCCAATCTCTTCATTTTCATCGTCGTGATCGTGGAACGCGTGCTCTCCTTCATCATCGTTCCCCTTTCGTCCTCCACACCGGTAGTTGGTAATTTCCGCATCCGCTCTTTTTCGAGGCCATCAACCGTTGAGTGGGAACCGTTCGTTCGCCCGCCGACCCTGCTTAAGTCGATACCTTTGGCCGCCATTGATTCCTCTGGCTCACACGCAACGCCCGTCACGAGCGAGACGTTCGTCGACACTCCTTCACCTCTACAACAACTCTTGGATCTCACCTGCCGAACGTGCAGAGAGCATCAACCGAACCACACGCTCCGGGTAGGTCCCATCTCCATCTGTCCAATCCACAGTGCCTTCGTGGCTTCTCAGATTCGGTACGGTCTTTGCAGCGTCTGTCCCGTGGATCATCCTCCCCGTGTGCAGCGCTTGAAGCCAAACCATCGAGCAGTTGCTCCGATCATCACTGGCATTCCACGGGATCAACTGCTGACGATTACCCTCCGCATGAGCAGGCCCTCATCCTCACACCCGGAACAGTCCCTGCATCTCCCTCGCGTGCACAAGTCGGCCACCTGACCGACGTTCTTCAACCGTCACCACGGCGGTCCTCACAGCGAACCCGCGGGACAGCATCACGCTGCCGCCGCATCTGCTCGGCATGCAGAACGGTGACTCGATGACCATGGCCTCCAGCTTCGGCCATCGTGCCACACAGTCCTTTGCTGTCAACAAACCATCGGCCAACGGAGATCACGGCTTTTCACATGGCAGCTTTCAGTCGGTACATCCGGGTTTGGGAGGATTCGCAGATCGTCATGCGGCACGCGCGAGCATCTCCAACATCGACACCAGTCGCCTTTCACATGCGGCCTACAACAACTCCGACCTCCAGACGCCGCAGACTGGATACGACTTGAACTACACCCCACTTCTCCCTTCACAACTCCTCATGGGAAGCCCGTTCCAGGCGGGCTCCCCAGCTACCTTTCAATCGCCTCAGTTCCAATCACTCTCGAGCTTTCCTCAGTCGGGTGCACAGCGTATGCAGCAGCAGCAACAGTTGGGAAATGTCTACCAGCAACAACAGGCGGCTCTCTCGCCCACATATCCTACCATGGCTTCTCCCACGTTCGCTGGAACTCCTTCCTTCTTTGGCGGTCTTCAGTCACCGACCGTCGGTTTCAACCCGTTATCCGCAGGCAATGTGGGCTCCTATGGCGCCTCAATGATGACACCGGGTGTCGCTGCTGGCACCAGTCGCACAGTTTACCTTGGCAACATTCCACCAGACACATCGGCCGAGGAGATCCTCAGCCACGTTCGCAGCGGACAGATCGAGTCGGTACGCATACTGCCCGAGAAGAACTGCACATTCATTTCATTCTTGGACGGTAGTTCGGCGACCCATTTTCACTCAGACGCTATCCTGAAGAAGCTCTCGATCAAGGGACAGGATATCAAGATCGGTTGGGGCAAGCCATCATCAGTGCCGACATCAGTCGCCCTCGCGGTACAACAATCAGGAGCCTCGCGGAATGTGTACCTGGGAAACTTGCCAGAAGAGACAACCGAGGAGGATCTACGGGAGGAGTTGAGCAAGTTTGGACCCATTGATACCGTCAAGATCGTACGAGAGAAAGCGATTGGATTTGTTCATTTCCTGTCGATCGGCAATGCCATCAAGGCAGTGACACAGCTTCCCCAAGAGCCAAACTGGCAAGCACCGCGCAGGGTCTATTACGGCAAAGATCGTTGCGCTTACGTCTCAAAGACGCAGCAACAGAACGCTGCACAATATTTGGGCATCGCTCCCGGCTATGCCCATGTCCTGAACGGTGCTGACCGCGATCTGATCACTAATGCACTCGCTCAGCAATCTGTCGCCGCGGCTGCTGTTGCAACCACAGCTGGTGGTGTGAACAATTTGGGCAACCGCACAGTATACCTGGGGAACATCCATCCCGAGACCACGATCGAGGAGATTTGCAACGTCGTCCGTGGTGGTCTACTGCACCACATTCGATACATCCCCGATAAGCACATTTGCTTTGTGACTTTCATCGATCCGACTTCGGCTGCATCCTTCTATGCACTTAGCAATCTACAGGGGCTCATGATTCACAACCGTCGACTGAAGATTGGCTGGGGCAAGCATTCGGGTGCTCTTCCGCCAGCCATTTCATTGGCTGTCTCTGGTGGTGCTTCTCGAAACGTATATGTTGGAAACCTGGATGAGTCCTGGACCGAGGAACGCTTACGTCAGGACTTCCAGGAATACGGAGAGATTGAATTGGTAAACACTCTCCGAGAGAAGAGCTGTGCGTTCGTCAACTTTACCAACATCGCCAATGCCATCAAAGCTATCGAGGCCGTTCGTGGCAAGGAAGAGTACAAGCGATTCAAGGTTAACTTCGGCAAGGATCGATGCGGCAACCCACCGAGACAAATGATGAACAACCAACAGATGCAACAACAGCAGCAGCAGCAGCAAAACGGCCATGATAACAGCCTTGGATCTCCTTCGCCGGTCAATGGTCTCGGACCGAACCGGAATCAAAACTCCATCTCGCCTGCCAGTTCCGCCCCGGGAAACGCACAGAACGGCCACTTCAACCCCCTGCATGGCCCTACGGCGTCGACCATTTTCAACAGCGGAAGCAACAACCCTTTGACCATGTATCTCGCCGCCACGCAACAGAACGCCCAGGCGCTAGCCGAGCAGCAGCAACAGAGCGAAATGAGCGCGTCAGGCTCGCTCTACTCCTCCCAGCAGCCTCAACAGATGTCGTCATCATCGTTCCTCCAGCACCACAACCCTTCTCCCTCGCAGCAATTGACATCCAGCCAACAAGCCTTCTACAGCTCCCCCAACGAGGTCACCAACTCCTCCTCCGGCCGCAAGAATTCCAACGGCCTCGACGCCGCCCAGCCCTCGTCCAACTCCGGATCCTACTTCGGCCACAACAGCCACCAGAGCATGAACCTCTCCGGCCTGAACGGCTCCAGCAACGGCACCCACCTCAACGGCTCCTCCAGCAACAACAGCAACAACCACAGCTCCACCCTCGGCGGCTACAACTCCTCCCAGAACAACGGGGGCATCAACGGCACCTCCTCCAGCTCCCGCGGCGGCGTCAACTCCCTCGGCGGAAACCAACACAGCCGCACCGTCAGCCTCCCGGCGTTCTCCCTCCAGCAAGCCCAATTCAACCAGCAACAACAACAGCTCCAACAACACGGCGGCTTCGTCGGTCTGGGCGGCGGGCTCGTCGGCGGCGCTTTCAGCAGCGGCCTGGGCGCGTACGGGCTGGGCATGACCGAGGGCGCCGCCGGCGCCGGCGGTCTGCCGGGTTGGGCGGAGGAGGAAGTCGCGTGAGGGGGAAGACGCGTCTCCTCGCTCGAAGCATCGTCCGTCCTTTTCTCTCCCGCCCGCGGACCGGATTCTCTGGCGGGCGAATCGGAAGCCCCTTGCTCCCAGCCTCATATTTTTCGGCCAGATCCGAGATCATTTTTCTTTTCTTTTGACTCGGAAATTCTTGGGGGCCTCCTTTCTTTTTTTTTGCTCGGGAGGAGGAGACGGTTCATCTCGGGCCTTCTCCCCCTGCCCGTGTTCTAATTTGTAACCATCTGCTTTTTTGCTTTCACGGGGGGCGGGGCGACCTTATCTAATCTCTTTTTCCTCTGCCATTCCTCCTGGGGAAAAGGGTGAAGAGGACTTAGGCTGTAATTTGGAAAAAAATATCAGAAAACTCATTGGACAATCGTCGTTTCGGTCTTCTTCTCCTTCTCCTTCGCTTGGTGCGATCGTTGCTGGTTCGGATGAGATCGTCTGGACAGTCGCAGCTCGGGTCTACCACTCCTGTGTTGCTTCATATGCAGGTGGCACAATGGTTTTCCCTCCCTATATTAACAACCTCACGAGTGGCGGGAAAAACGAAACCAACAGAAACCCCGTGAAGACCAACGTTCCCCTCAATACAATATCTCATACACATCTGTACACATGCCTACGCGATCCTCCCACCGACAGACACTTCCCCCGTTCTCAGCCCCTCTGCTCCCGAAACGCCCTCTCTTCTCGCTGCCTCTTCTCCACGAGGTCCAGGACATCCTTGTCATAGACCTCCTCGGGCGTCTTCTCCCCGCTCAGCACCAACTTCTCATGCCGCAGCACCTCGTCCTTGGTCATGCAGACCAAATCGCCGAGATCCATCTTCACCGCTTTCTGTCCGGGGACCCGCCGGTCGATCCACGCGTCGTCTCTGTCCGCGGGGGGCGCCCGCCAGCGGACGAGCGCGAGCCGGCTCGCGAGCCCCGAGACGGCGCTGCGGCCCCGGAAGACTTCCTCGACGAGGTAGCCGACGTCGCTGGCGGTGACGGGGATGCGCAGGCCGACGGCGACGTCGGCGGTGGATCTCGGGTCGCCGGGGGATCCGGGGTTGTCGACGCGGTGGCGGTGCCGCGCGAGCCGTTCTTCGAGGGCCTGGAGGTTGGTCAGGATGCCGTCGTACATCTTCTCGCGGGCCTTGGCGGCGATGGAGTTGTCGGCGGCGTGGGCGCCCGGGTAGTCGGCGATGGAGAGCAGGATGTGGTTGGCGAGGCAGAGGCCGAAGACGGCGGGCATGGTCCCCAGCACGGGCAGGATGCGGACGCGGAACGTGGGGAGCACGCCGAGTTCGTTGACGGCGCCTTTTTGGAACTCCTCGTCCGAGAGCGGCTGGAGGGAGGCTTTTCCCGGTCCGGTCTTTTCGGTGGAGAAGACGGTGGGGATCCCCGAGGAGACGCCTGCGATGCGGAGTTTGCGCCGGGTCGCGCGGGAGAGAGGGTCGTCGGTTGAGGTGGCTATGTCTCCTATGAAGACGCGGGTGGGGTCGGATTTGCATCCTGCTCCCATTGAAGCAATGACAGGAAGACCATTCGTGTGACAGTAATGAAGAAGGGCGACCTTGGAATCGATGTTGTCGATGGCATCGATGACAAAGGTTGGCTTCTGGCCATCGCTGGCCCAAGGACCGAGTTGAGTGGCAGCGGTCGCAGCGCCGAAAAGTTCATTTCGGCTGTCATACTGCGTCCATGGGACAATTTGCTCCAGTCGCCTTTGAAGGCAGTTGACCTTGGAAATACCAACATCGGCCAAGGTAGCGACAGCATGACGATTCAGTGAGCTTAGCGTGACTTGGTCGAAGTCGATCAGTCGCAGTCGTCCAACGCCAGAGCGAGCGAGCGCGGCAGCCGCATGTGATCCAACTCCGCCACAGCCAACGACAATGACAAATGCTTTCCGAACTTTGGCGAGACCTTCATCTGTGAGGAATACGCGATTCCGTGCGAGTTGTTCGAGGATGAGAGCTGTGCAAATTCATAAGTATGTATTATGACATCAAAGGCAGTCTACGACGTTCATTACCTTCGTCATAATCTCCCAGGCGTGCCCGTCTGGCTAATGCTCGACTTCGTTCGTCTTCGCGCTCCTCGGCCGACAGTGAAGATCCAGAATGCGCCTTCGCGCCTCCGAAACTATTTATCTATACTTCCGCCGTCAGTCAGCTTCATTGTTGGATATTGGTATGGATGCGATATAATGCGCAATGATGTAGAGCATACGCGTTCAACCGTATGTGGTTCATCCACGTCCGGGATAGATCCTTTGAGATCGCTGACTTCATACTGCCGCCGTGCTTGCTGCAGACCGATTACGGCTGCGACGCCGAGACAACATGATGCCACCGCTGTCAGACTCAACTGAAGTCTATGGGAATTCGCGATATCCGAGAGCCATGTCGACATAATGCTTGTTCCAATGATTGTCCGTTGTGACTTGGCCAAGAATCGAGTGGAATTGGCTATTTTGGTCCAATCGGCATCCAAATTCTACGATGAGGTCGTCTGTCGCGTGCTGCGTGACGGTCCGTGCTCGTCATTAGATGATTCAGCAATGACTCAGCAAACTCGCATGCCTTGCCTGGCCCCACCCTCTATCACCACCGTGAACCGCAGTGCTCGTCACTTGCTGCAACTACTGATGACTGATGATTTACGATTGCATCGCGACAATACCTTCCTTTCCACCCGTGGCCGTGAAAATTTCCTAGATATCGATCTAGCCTCCCAACTCTCAGACCCTGCCCGAGGAGATTGAACATCAAATTCATACAAGTCACCGCTTCGTGCCATAATCATGGCTGGTAAACAGGCGACCGCCAATCCGCTTGTCATCGGCGGCAAAACCCTCGACTCTGCCAACAACGTACAATTACACCCCATTGTTCTCCTCACCATTTCCGACTACATCACGCGACGGACAATACGACAGCAGTCTGGTGCTATCGTTGGTGGGATCATTGGTCAGCAAAATGGTCGCGACATTACACTTGAAAGCGCATACGAGTGTCGTCTCGCCGATGCAGACAATGAAGCTTCTCCTTTGGACGGAGACTGGTTCCTAGAACGACTGTCCATGTTCAAGGAAGTTCACAAAGTCCCTGCTTTAGATCTGACCGCCATCTTCATGATCGGGCCAGTAGAAGGACCACAACCTGCACATCTTGCTATTCTTCAGCAAGTGCAGCAACTCACCTCGACTGACAACACATTGCTGTTGCTATTTCACCCTGATCTTGTCGAGAATCTGGCTGGTGGAAAGCTGCCCATCAGCCTGTATGAGCCGGTGCAAGATCAGGAGGACGGACAGACACAGACTCGTTTCCGCGAGTTGAACTTCGAGATTGAAACGGATGACGCAGAAATGATCAGCGTAGATTTCGTAGCGAAAGGCGCGGCCAACGCAACGGCAGTACCAAGAGCAGGAGATGCGGGAAGTGCAAATGTATCCAAAAAGGTCAAAGGAAAGGGCAAAGGGAAGGAGACGGATAGCGAAGAGCCAGAGGCCGCGAGTACCACCGCTCCGCCTGTGTCTACACTGTCAGCTGAAGACGAAGAGCTTATATCGTCCCTGAACGCCAAGGTCAACGCGATCAAAATGCTAGACGAACGCATCACTCTCCTCCGAAGCTACCTCGAAAGTCTCCCGAAGAGCCATCTTACCTCACCAGATGAGCCAGCGTCAACCGTTGCACAGAACGTCGGCGGTGGCGACGACAGCGAAACTTCCAGCATAGGCGCAGCAATCAACCACCCTCTCCTCCGCAGCATGAACGCTCTTCTCTCGCGGCTGCCACTCCTCGCGCCTCCTCCTCCATCCTCAACCAGCGACTCCACCGATCCTACACAGAACATCACCGCTCTCGCCCACGCCAACATCCAACAAACGCAAGACGTCCAACTCACTGCCCTCCTCACCCAACTCACAAGCTCCGTCGCCGACGTCCAGGCGCTCGCCGAGAAATTCAGCACTGTCCAACGCGAACGGACGAACCGCGATCGAGCCAGTCATCGGGGTGGTGGACCAGGGCGTTATGGCTCTGATCTCGGAGGCGGACCTGGTGGACGTCGTGGTGGGAGGGGAAGCGGTGGCGATGGTGGCGGTAGAGGTCTCATGATAGAGACAGATGTTTACTAGGAAAAAGCATCAAGCTCTAACCTCATCGGACCGGAGCCGCTGGCAAATCGGGAGTAGTTGTTTGAGGTCTATAGCAGGCTCCGTGATCTGGTCACAGCGGTGTCCAACATCCTCCACGGGGTGCACAGGGTCGCGCTTTGCCGATACGACGCTCTAGGAGGCTTCAATAGTTGGCCATCATAGATCGTCAAGAGGAACGAACGTCACGACTTTGATGATTACAAGAGAAATGTAAATATCCGTTTGACTCCGAGATTCCAATCCAAGGGAGTTTCGTGAATGGATGACTCGATGATCAGTTTCTCCATTATGACGATGAGAACCGAGATTCTCCCAAGAGAAGAGAAAATGTAAAGCTAACATGCTGTAGAACTATTCTTTCTATTTGCAATCCACCTGTGCTATATGTTCTTATCGGAATTATGGTCGCATGCCCGTCTCAAAAATAAATCCGTATTCAATTCAACCCATTGTGGGCACTCATCTCGGACATGTCCGTGTAGCCAAACGTAGGCACTCGAGATCACCAGCGAATATGATGACCGTCGGATGTGTTGAGAAGCTAGCGCGGCTATGATCGACAAGACACAAACGCAAGAAAGCCTCACAAAAGTACACCTTCCGCGATCGGCACACAGCGTGGACTCAGATATGACCATTGACTATAGAATCGCATTTCTGATCAAGCGCGCAAAGAAATGTGCCGGCGCGCTCGTTGCCTCTTACGATATTAACGTCGAATAGAGTATTCATCGTCCCAAAGTCAACAAACTCGCGCGAGGTACGTCATCGGCCTTATCGCGTTCACCTAGTAGGATATAATTGTTAGAAAGAGACGCTATGCACCCTCACGTTTTAGGAGGATCAACATCTAGTTCTGTATATTGGCAAGCCCTGCAGTAGGTATATCTCTACCACATCTGGAAATCATCACTTCTTTGCAATGGGTTCAAAGGTTGTGTTTCTCTTGGCCGACTATGGCCATGATCCGACCGGTATGTCATGGACCAACACACTCAGTTCTACACAAACACACTCACAAATTTCAAACAGAGACTGCGGTCCCATACAAGGCTTTCGTAGAAGCAGGCTTTCAAGTGACATTCTTCACCGAGAATGGCAATGTGCCTAAATGCGATGCCAAAATGCTCGAGGGCATCACAGGCACCCTGCTCGGTGCCCCCAAGGCCGCTGTCGAGGCTTACAAGAAGATGACGCAAAGCACAGAATGGCAGAATCCCAAGGCCTGGACGAGCGAGGGCATTTCGTTGCTCGACTATGACCTGCTTATGCTTCCGGGAGGACACGAAAAGGTACGAACTTCCATCAACCATTGTACCAAATCACGAGCGCCACGTCCGCCTTCTAACGATTCTTTATAGGGTGTGCGTCAAATCCTTGATTCGCCAAAAGCTCAGGCACTCATCGCAGAGTACTTCCCTGCCTGCCAAAAACCCGGCAAGAAAGCCACGGCGGCGATATGCCATGGCGTACAAGCTCTGGCCCACACCAAAGGTGCGGATGGCAACAGCGTGATCCACGAGGTCAACACTACCGCGCTGCCAGGCGTCTTTGAAAACGCCGCATACCACAGTACCCGACTTTTCTTGGGAGACTACTACAAGACCTATGGCGCCGGCACTGCCAATGTCGAGGAGATTGTGAAGGCCGCTCTTCGGGATCCGGCGAAGCAGTGGAAAAGCTCGGCTAACCCTGCTGCTCCGTTTTTGGTCGAGAACCAGGACTGGAATTACATATCTGGCAGATGGCCGGGAGATGCGCCTCTTTTGGCTGAGAGCGCGGTCAAAATGGTCCAGCAACTGCAAAAGGCATAAGCTAGGAGGTTTCGACTTCTCTCAGGAGCTTCGTGGGCTCGCCATAATATTTCAGAAACGCGTCAGTACAATTAATGTTTGGGTATCTCAGATCTAGCTTATTGTGATAGTGATGCATCTAGCATCAAGTCGAGCGTGATGTATACTTCCGGCAAAATCTCATATTCGCCTTTCGATCACTGCTCTTTCGTCGTCTTGGACTCGTCATTGACAACGACCTCAAACAGCTCCGCCGCCATTTGCTTCACGTCTTCATCTCCAGTGCCCGCAAGACCAGCCTTGATGTCAGCGATAGTCGCCGCAGAGAGTCCTGTTCGGTCCTTCGAGTACACGTCAATCCCCGCTGGTGTGAACAGGGTCTTCGCAAAGATTGTGACGACCCATTTGTTCGCAGTGGCCTCCTCTGTTCCCCAGCCAATGACCTCCCAGTGGCTAGTGATGGGCTTGAGCCAGCCGGACCCTCTCCAGTTCCATTCGCCCAAGCTGCCAGCGGTAGCTGCCGTGTCGACGCCCTTGACGGTGCTGACTTTTGTGCTCTCGAGACCTTGGTATGATACCAGATCGTTGATGCGCTGCGCGTCGGCAGCATTCGAAGAGGCGATTGGTTCGTAAGTGATGGCAACGTTGCGCTCTGCGAGATGCGCCGTCAGTATCGCGATCAGCTTAGTAGAAGTGTGTAGCAGTCCGTACTATCCTTCCACATGGGAAGAGTCGAGTGCGTGACGTGCCATTTCTCAGTAAGGAACGGCAGGTCGGGAGCTACGAAGCCAGCTGATGTCCTGACCTTCGAGAAGGTAGGTGTGCGAATCACGATAGCGGAAGCCATGGCGGAAAATTGATGATTATACAGCGATAACACCACGATGGAATGTTTTCGTTTCTACAAAAAACAACGGCGATTCGAACATTCATGTACGCGAATATACGATCCAGCAACGGCTTTCGAGGCGCTTTGGTCAATGTCCAGCACCACTCCACGGAACAATCGAAAGCCGAAATTGGAGCTACTCAAGCCGCTCTTATTACTCGTTTCGCGTGACATCACAGCTGGAGTCAGTCTAAATCGCACGCCACATTAGGGTTGTCGACCCTTGTCAATGAGGCGATCAACCGCATGTCCGTTGACTCATATCACCAGACTTCTAGAAACACCACATTCATATAGTCGGGACTGATCGCGAGTCAAGTTCAGCCCTCAGTTTAGCTCTGTGGTCATCGACCGCGTCGACGGTATCTCACTCATGCCCAAGAGGCGTTCCTACAACCTCAAACAATTCCAAGGGGCTTCATCGAGCAGCAAACCTGCCGGTGGCAAAAGCGAAGCTGGTGATAGTAGCTCGGTCAAACAACGTATAGAGGACTCCCGCAAACTACAAGGAAGAGACGCTTTCCTGAAGAAGCAAGAATTTGCTGAGCTTTCCAGCAATCACATTTCAGTGCCGCCAACAGTCGGAAATCTTATCGGTCTGCCAGTAGGCCAACCGCCACAACGAGTCAATGGCCCGCGTTCTACGACAAGACCTCGAGTGCCGGGGCCAGCAGCGCCGGAGAGCTGGTCCCGACGATCATCGCTGAATACTCTGCTGTCTATACGTGCTCGTCGAAGGTCAAATCCAGCTGTGTTCGCAAAGCGCAGCCGCCCTGATGCTCTATTGAGATTTGAATCATTGACAGGATTAGAACCCAAAGCAAGCCAAGGCTTTCCAGCTTTGCTGCACTTGGCTCTCAAGGCCGCTGCACAGCACTGGGATTTGTTTGATCGAGACGACCTGCCAGCCCTCGTTGAACTTCCTATCAGGCTCCGTCTACGGCTCTTGTCATATTTAGGTTATTTCGGACCTACCATAGATATCGTGACTTTCGAAGCTCTCACCAAAAGCGATGAACCCGTTCGATGCCTTGATCTTGGCGGGCTCGTAGGGCATGGGGCCTTGACATTGCCGCGCTTGACAAAAACATTGAAAGCTGCCAAATCAGATGCTGCAGCCTCTTCGAACGTGCAACATATTGCCGACTCGTGGGACAGCGAAGACGCGATGGTACCTATTCTTGGGCCTTCTCCAAATGTCTCGCATTTTGACCAATTAACGCACCTCTGCCTCTCCCACCCTCCTCCGAGCATCTTATGGAAAGACTTACTGTCATTGTCGAAGCAGGTCCCCAAGCTGACGCACTTGTCTCTGGCTTACTGGGCCCGGCCCACCCTGACACCTAATCTAGCCACAACTACCGTGACTAGTGCACACCTACCTGAAATGTCAGCAGGAGGCTCGCATCTTTATTCAGGCATCGATCGGGACTACTCGGAACCAGCCTCGCTGTTGCGTCAACTTAGCGGCAACCTCCTTCGTCTGAAGTGGCTTGACCTCGAAGGTTGCGGTGATTGGATGCCAGCCTTGGGCGAACTTGGCGAGCTCGGAAGCGAGAACACAGCAAGGCCGGAGGACAATTTCGGTGCTTCAGTGACGAAGACTACTGTCAGCATGATATTTGTCGACCACTGGAAGAACCTCGAATATCTGAACTGTGCTCAGGGCTGGTCACCGAGTGCCACTGGTGTGGATGCTCTCCCGAAGCAGACAATTTGTCCCACCCACAAGTCAATAGTAAATGCGTTTCTCAAATCCGCAAAGACGATCGGCGCGACGATTGGCGAAGACGATGTTCACAGCACTGCGAGAAAACAGGCAGAAGTTTGGATCCTCGAAGAAGCGCCCTGTGTCGCAGCTGGCGCGCGCATCAATGCGTGCAGACGTATGCATGCTTGCAAACCTGTAGAGATCGACCACGGCTGGACGAAGAGACTCATTTGATAGATAGAACAAATCAATGAAATATTGATCGCAACCTTTGTTGCGAAGATGCGGCCGTGATTGTATGTATGTACATGATAGATGAACGCTCAAATGACAAAAGACCGATTGGCTAGAATGCATAATCCAATCTGTTCGCGCAAAATAGGAGCATCAGAAGACGGGATGATCACGACTCGTTGCTCTTGGCCACAGTCTTGACTATTTCACCGACGCCATGCGCAGCAGCCGAACCAACATTTTCCGCGCCCTCTACAATATTTTCTTGGATCTGATGCGCTTTAGCAGGCCACTGTTTCGTGAGTCGGAGCACGGTGTAGTAGAAGATAATCACTCCGCCGTGGACCCTGTCCTTCGCCATCATGGTCAACCCATGTTGAATAAAGCCCTTCATCACCTCGCCTTCGATTCCGGAGTACAAGCCAGCGATGCCTTCTTGCGAATAAATTCGATGTAGCGATCGGAATATTTTGAGTTGACCCTCGAAGACTTTCAGGACGGGATTCTTTCGTTGTTTGTCGTGATCTTCTTTCCCAGAAGTCTGAGCGCGGGCTTTTGCCAGCATAACGGGGTAAGTAAGGGTCGTTGCGATGACCTTTGAGAGTGCTGCTATTAGGAAGGTGATGGCTGGTGGAGGATCCCTCCTCCTCTCGCGGGGAATCAAGCGTTTTAGGAAGTTCTCCGCAGCGAAGGTAATGGCTGGGTTTAGTGTCAGGATAATGGAGGCACTGTAACCGGCCCAGAAGCCGGCAATGCCCTTCTCGGCCTTGATCTGCTGTGCGATTTCGCGGACACTTGGAGCCTTTCGTGATGACGAGCCCTTCGACTCCGGATGCCGGGCTGCGATGAGCGCTGCCGTTTGTTGTCGCGTTACGATATTCTGTATGGGAGATGTGATTGACTTGCTGATACAACCGGAAATTACTCCGACAGCAAGCTCCTGGAATACTGGCAAGTTTTTGGCATTCCGACGAGCTCTCAAGTACGTGCGAATGGCTTGATATGCTAGGAAGAAGAGGAACGAGTCGATAATGCCCTTTGTGACGTCTGATCCAAGTCCAGTGTAAAAAGATCCCATGCCGCCCTCGGTGCGATAGATCTTCTGAATGGCATCTGCAATCGATTTGTACTCGGCGTCGGCGTCGGCGGCTGCTGAAGGAGCTTCATTCTTGGATTTGAATTGCTTCTGAACTTGCATTCGCGTGATGACGATTTCGACAGGATATACCAAGGTTTTGGCCAATGCCGAGGCTATGGCACCTGCGACAGCATGTCCGACAGCAGGAAGCACAGGTCCTCCATCGCGACTTGAAGGTCTCGCTTCATTCTCCTCAATCAGGTGGTAAAGCTCGAAAACGTCCTTCGGTGGTCATTAGCGGTCGCACACGATCAAACTCCCCACGAACGAATACGTACGAGCTGACTGAGCTCGATCTCATCATCAGACATGTCTGGGTCGCTTTGCCTGCGGCAGCGATGCCGGTAATGCTTGTGTTCGTCGCGAAAACTACAGTGCCAGATGGTCACGAGACGCTATCGCCGCGATTCCCGTGGCTTGAGACTCTGATTTACTCGCCAGTCGCAGGTCTTCGCGAAGCGCCGGGTGAAAATCAAATAAGCTGGCGAGTTTGCACCTCCGGGAGAAATGGCGACGAGTATATCCGAGGATACAGTATTGAGAGAAGTGTAATCAACGTTGAAAGAATCGATTTTGCGCATACAGTCCAGCCACCAAGTACTGTGTACCTAGGCATCTCAGCTCTCACGCGATTATGCTGTCATCGGCGTTGATCGGGTGCCGGCTGTTCGATTGACTACTCCCAAAACGGTAACGCCTTTCATACACATGAGAAACGGTACTCGTGGGTTCGAGTTCTGGCTTCTCCGTTCATGAAGACTACGCCTCATGACATTTTCTTATCAGAACAAAGTGAGGTTCTTAATCTCCCAATCGAATGAGGTGGAACAGTGTCCGTGTGATATTTTGCAATGAATCGTGAATAAAGAGTTTTGATCGTAAGCTGTGATATCGAGTTGGTTTGTGAACCTCGGAATTTATTTTGGTTCGGCACTGTACCGGGTTCAAGAGTTAGATAAGATGCCAATTTTGGATCAAACTATAATGCCGATCATCACTAGATCTCGCGAATGAAATATGCATATAGTCATTATCTATCTTGAATACAGATGAAAGAAACAAATCCACTTGCGCCAAATCGCTAATGTCCCGAGGTATGCGCTACCAAATTCACGCATAGACAAACCACAAGCACAACAAAACCGTAGATAGCGAGTGCCAGACTCAGCTTCCTGGTCCAATCTCGCTTCCATTGCTTGCCTTTCAAGCGCTGCCTGAGAGCTTCGGCCCACGAACGGTGTCTCAACTCGTCGGGAGAGAGATCATCGTCGGATCCCGATGAACCATCGTATTCTTCATCGTCCTCGTCCTTGAGGAGGCGTTGATGGTGCGGGGAATTTGGCGAGCTGATTTTGTAGTAGAACAGACCTGGAAGTATGAAAGAGATGGAGGTGCTTCCAGTAGCACCCACGTACGCCAGGACTTTGTCCAGGCTATTAATGGTCATGGCGACGATGTAAGAAAGAATGATAATGACAGTGGTGATGACGGCGAACCGGAGCTCGCTCATCTCCTCTTTGGGTCTGTGGACTGCGACCTTCGCGGGCACAATTAGCGAATGTCGCGTTGGCGATCCACGCGTGCTTGAAACGGCCGATTCGTCCGAATGTTTCCCGGCTGATCGCCATCGCCACTTCGAGACAGCATCGAGTGATGCACGACACGGGTGCACCTGTAGAGGATAGCTGAACATGACCAGAACCACAATGGCGGCCCGGCCGACTGTTGATGCAATACTAGGCGTGTATTGAGAGATGATGTTACCAACAACATTGGTGCCGAATGACAGGTATCCAGTGATCGCAACCAGTATGTATATCGATGCAGCCGTGCCGATAGAAGCGACCACCACCGTGGCTGTGCGAGTTGGAGAAGGCTTGTGCATTTCGTTCAAGATTGAGAACATCTGAGACCATGTCAGTGTGTGCAATTCGCTGCTCGTAGACCGCTTGACTTACATTTTGATGGCAGGTATAGGCAAAAACGATGACAGGAAAACTGGAGAGCGTCGCAATAGCGCCCTGCCATTTGATGAGATGTATCTCGCCTCTTGCTGGGATTGTATCTCCGGTTGAATAATGATAGACAACCAACACGACCAAATAAGCGATCGAGACCAGTGCGACCACTGACGTGTATTTCAAGCTATCCAGCTTGCGGAGGAAAGATAAGGGGATGATTAGTAGCCTGGAGTTGGTCGTCAGCATACCACGAGCTTGAAGGTCTGCTCAGCGCAGGTAGAGCCTGCTTACATGAAAGCCGTCACCCAGAAATGCCTGTCGAGTAGAAATAGTGCATTGCCATGCTCCACGTTTGATGAGAAACCTCTAACGACCCCTGGCATGAGGTCTCCGATAATGATAAGGTATGACACACCAACACCGAAGCACTTGATCGCGATTGCGGCGTCAAATATTACTGCGGCGTTCGGGTATGTGAGCTGGCTGAGCGCAAAGAAGGACGATGACCCGCGATCCAGATACTTTGCGCACTGTGTTTGTAGGTATAGCCCGAACCCGCTCATCAGACCAGACCATAGTATTACAGCGACGCCCAGCGTCACTCCCATGTTCGAAAGCGCATGTGGCATAGCCAGTACACCAGCACCAACAATCGTGTTGACCAAATTTATGACGGACGAGCCCCATGATGCCGAACCCGAGTATACTGATGGTTTCACATGTCGAGTTCGTCGCGTCTGCGAAGCGGCCGAAGGTGGTCTGGATTCCGCAGCCAGGTACTCATTGCTGTTGATCGCGGCGTACGTGGCCATGATAAGGAGCTGAAAAGGTCGAGTCTATGGCGTCGCAGTGTGTCGCGGCATTGAGCTGCCGCTTTCTCTGGACGAGCGCGCTCCTGGACGAGAAGGTGATGATGCGATCTCGAGAGTTGCGACGTCCGTTTTGCCGCGGAGATGTCCAGAGAGATGTTGGTGACGAAGTATCCCAGTTCGAGGAAGGACTGGGTGGAGAAGATGACGACTTTCCAAGGCTTGGAGATCAGGGTCGTCCGCGATTGTGGTTGGTGAGATTTCAAGCGGCTTACGTAGCGCGGGTCGCCGAAACGCCTGGCGGCTCAGTGTTTCTGAGCATGGACTCCTCGGATGTGAGCCCTGGAAGGTTTGACATATGTACTTCCAGCCATTCACAAACCTCATCTAATCGTGACGCGAGCGAGCTGATATGGGACTCGTCATACGGTAGCCAAACCCGAACGAAATATGGCATCCGTTCAGCAGACAGCCGCAGAGACTTTGACGATGTTAGAAGAGCGCCTGCGGAGATTGGAGTTTCTCGTTGAAGGTGATTTATCACACCCTACAGAGGAGCTTGAAAGTAAACCGTCTTCGCGGAACGCTGTGAGCACGCGACTCCATAACCTTGAGAGAGGACTTGAATCATTGATCAATCGCTCAAATTCAATTTACGACATTCTCCTGCTGCACCAGCAAGTACCGGATCTATTCCACGCGTCTGCTGTAAATTCAGTGCCTACCACGCTAGCGCCTGCCTCCCTCGCTCAGTTGATACTCGCGCACGAACAATTGCTTAAGTCCACGTCGGCTGGTCTGCAAACCATTCACGACATTGGTTCGATTCCGGATTCCACAGCATTTGTGCAGCTAGTAGCGACACAGCCGCAGCTGGCGAAAGTGGAAGCTAAACAAGCCGAGCAGGTCCGAGAATTTGCCGCTCTACGAGCACGAAGTGCACAACTTGTCGAGCAATGGTACGAGTCCGGTGTGCTTAAGATGGGCGGTCGATGGGCAGATTGGGAAGAAAAGTTACGAGATTGTGAGATTCTCGTACGACGACAAGAAGCTTCACGAAAACGGGAGGAAAGTGATGCATGATGGGGCAATGGTTATGCTCCAAATCAAGAAGAGCGAGCGCGATGTTCGTGCGCTCGCCATGAATCGATGTTCTGCCATCGAAGTTTATCTCGTGGTCTATATGCAGTCATGCTCGACCATCACATGCAGCAACAGCACCAAACCAGCGCAGTGCCATCATTGTCATCGAATGCGGCATACGATCCAATCTCGATACCTTCGCCAAAATTGACTCAGGATCTAGATGTGTCCGCTCAGCACCCACCATCAACGTTGTCGCGGACGGAAAGAATTGCTTGCGCGGGGTGAAACTCCCGAGAGTGACCTAAAGCATTTGTTACTGTGCCATTGTCCTCGGATTGCTTGAAATGCTGCATCGCGAAACATCGGGGTGAGAAAGCCTTCTCTCGGTACCTGGACAAGTCAAAGATCGAACTCAAGGGCTCCGAACGGGACAGTCGAACAGGACTGGGTGACGCTTAATCGTCAACAAGAATACCGAATGCACTGCAACGGTACCTTGTAACGGCTATCCCGTCCCTAGCAGCCGCTCTTATAATAGCGGTAGAAATTGATTATGAAGATGAGGATTAGAAGCGTAGTATTGGAGATTATAGATGATGTTCTCAAGTAGCCACTCACCGATGTAGAGACTTTGTACTTTCACATCGTCGGCAGAATTCTGCGACTTTCATCAGCAGCAACCTTGACGGTAATGCTGACGAGAATCGACGCACAACGATGAAATGTTCGCGACGTAATCGAGTCGAACGACCCCCAACGACCCCAAACGATCTTGAAAGCACTATTGGTATCATCATTTGAGATAAAAACAACGCCGTTTACTGGTGATTCTGATGCCTTGCGAAAGACGAACTGGAATCGTTGTGAAAACTCCATATGTTGCTAACCCAAACCCTAATCCCACGTTGATCCATGAATCACTGGAATCTCGCGGTGGTGGACGTCACTCCGACGCCCACATGCACCAAGCCCCAAATTTAAGCATCGACAAGCCTCTGTCAACGCGTCATATTTTGGTCGGGATAATCGCTAATATTGAATTGATATAAAGCTTGAGTATCTTCATCATCCAGCATATCATTAAGCAGGGAGTATTCCAAGTTGACAATAGCATTATGGCCTCATCAATCACCCATAGACTATCAGGAGGACTTATCGGTTCCTCAGGCGAGACAGCATCTGAGGAGGAAGCGGCGAAATACAGACTGCTCGTTACAGCAGGGCCAGCCTACGATCAGAAAACGCATCAAATCGTCCGTGTCAACACCAACAGAGTCACCACCATCGAGAACGAATTTCTTACGGCCAAGATATCCGTGCGAGTGAAAGATTACCGTGGTCTGCCCGCATCAAGCCCATCATCCTCGCCATACTTTGAAGACCCGATCCATAAGCACGACCTTTATTCCGTTGCCTTCAGTTTCGTTCCCAAGCGTGACCTACCGAGCGTCGACACCGTCTGGGGGAATGATTTCGATCATCCCATCCGCGATCGCATCCCGCCAGGCTTTAACACGGCCTTCCGCATCGTGAAGGAATTTATTGATCCTGGTCTTTCATGTGATGCATACGCCGATGAGCCATGGTTGTATGGGCCGAGTCTGAGTTGTTGGTTCGGCCTCCGCATCGGCGATGTGTACGAGCCCGGACAAGATTTTCCAGCTCCTGATGAGAACAACGTGCTGACCGAGGGAGCCGACGGCTCTGGTCAGGAGAAACGTGAGGCTCTTGGATTACCGGCCAACAACGAAAAGCGACGGAAGCACTTCCTGTCACAAACCCATCGAGAAGCATTCGTTTTTGAAAAAGGCCGGTGCTACCAAGGCGATTTCTACAATCCGTACATCGACTTTGGAAACTTCTTATTGAAATTGCCCGGGTTCAGCCTGAAAGTCATCAAATATGTCGAGGGCAAGACGCATTGCTTGCGATATGTTTTCAAGAATCGAGCCACAAATGAGGTGTACTTCAACGTCAATTTCTTCCTCGTGTGGGGCGAGCAGCTCGAGCGCGCTCTTGCCGAAGATAAGGAGCAAGAGGGAGTACAGGGTGGCGATCTCGCAAGTGTTCTACTGCCGCCGGGCCAAACAACCAACCGTTCTTTACAAAATTCGGGCGTGGCAGTCAAGCCGCAAGCTCAGCGGACCACATCTCATCCAAGCCCAGGCCTTGACGACGTAGAATGAGAAGTGCGAGACTACGTTCAAAACGAAATAAAGATATACAAACGCTGCGACACGGAGAGCCAAGTTTTGATCTGACCATTTAAACGGGCGATATGATACATCAGATATACAGCGATACTTTGCGATTCACATGGTTCACGACAACCAATCACACATGCCATCCACTATGGCTATCTCACAGCATTCCTCTCCGCCAAGCACGAGTGGCGAGTTCTTCGATCTCTTTGATCTCAACCGGTCCCTTGGTGGAGTCATTAGATAACGCCTCGACCACAGCCTCCGCAACGAGATCCGCCTTAAGTGGCTTCGAACCACCGGCACCCATCAACCAAGTCAAATTGCCCCCAGTTAATGAATTGGCGACGAAGCCACCGTAAGTGACAGCTGCAAGGGGCATTGTGAATGTCCGCGACGAATCGTACAAGAAGCCTGGTCGAATGAAGACATTACGCATGCGAGGATACGCCGAAGCGATCGTGCTCTCGGCCTCGCGTTTCGTGGAGATATATCGTCCTGGCAGGATCGGTGCGCCGGCCGCAGCAGAAATGTAACAAAAGGCCTTTGCACCGGCTTCGTTGGCCTCGCGGGCAAGCGTGATGGCCGAGTCGCGGTTCATCAGCTCATATGTGATCTGGCCGTCCTGCTCTCCTGCTTGAAGGGTCTGTCCCGGCTTGCGTTCCAGCGGGTTGAGATTTGAACCTTGCTTCGTTGCGGAGAAGGCTCGCCTCAGGCCTGCGATGGGTGATTCTCGTCCCGATAACACGCCTTTGTAATCCGCCTCCAATAGAATGCCCATAGAATGTACCACGGCGTGTGCGCCTTTCAAGTCCTCCTTGTATGATTCCGGGTGCAGGATGTTCGCGGCCCGCCAGGTGACTGAGTTGGACCATTGCGGTGCGATTTGGTGTGCTGAGACGGATGGCCAGTGAGGCTCTCCTGATCGACTGATCAATCCATTGCAATTAGCACAATACTTGTAGTGGTCATCCTTTCGATGAGAGCTTCGTCGGCCTACCTTATTGACACCACGTCCCAGTCCCTCGCTACGGCTGCTTTGCATATTCTGCTACCGAGGAAGCCATTACCTCCACACACTACCAACTTCTTCTTTGCTGCCGCAGTCGTGCCCGACATTTTGCCGAAAAAATCTCGGGAGTCGAATTAAGTATGTGTGACGACGTTGTGCTTTCAACCTTGGAATGTTTGAATTGCAGATCGCGTTTCAATGACGAGGGAGCTGTGGGACCAAGCTGGTGCTGAAAGTGGTCATTGCTGACATCACCATGGACTTTGGGCCGTCTCGGGTAGATCCGAGATTTTGATAAGACATTCTCCCAACCTTGGGATGCTCCAGAGTCCTTTCTGGTGTTGCACCGTGAGTTCCTTTAAATCACAAACGTCACTACATTGATCATCAGTCAATCACTACCAAGAGCACACGAACGAGCTAAGTTCGTCATATCATCACAAGCTCCTAACAAGGCCACGAAAATGGCGATGCTGTTGATCGCAAGACTCGATCGTGTCATCCGCGAATTCCGCAGAGACTGACCAGTCACCGTATCGAAAAACTCCTTTGGCACCCCATAAGCACTTGACACAACGGCCTCAAAATATAGCTGCTGGAGCGATAGCTCTTGTGAGGTCAAACGACAGCTGTCCTGATTGGCCGCGCTGTATTCCGATTGGCGGAAATCTGATCCTGTGAGAGCACAATACAATGGCAGAGGTGAGATTGGTGCTTCTTTGAGAGATCCTTGAACGAGTAATGATACTTCTATGGGTATGATGAAGCAAATTTCCTTACAAGTTGAGCATGTGATGTACAGCTTAACTCACTTCGACCTTGCTCGAACGCTCCTATTCCAGTCTATGAATTGAAAGTCAGCATTGTCAATGAGCAAAGCGTGTTGCGCGATTGAGTTAATAATCCGTCCGACTCATAGCTGCGTACCTCTCGATCAGATGGACACCGGATTGAGTCTCTACAATGGTCGAGATCTCAGTAGGCTTGAGAGCAAACGAAGCCTGTTCGAATTCTGCCTGCATATCGCCTCGTCCGAAGAATCCACTGTAATCTCAGATTAGCGACAAGACTCGCGAAACGCTAAACCTGGGGCAGGTGTGCTTGGTTGTAACTATTCGATAAGGAAATGTAAGACGTTCATGAAAAAGGGTAGCTTACAGGTCTCCTCGCTTGCGTGCTGAGCTACAGTCGCTTTCAGTGACGGCGAGATCACCGAGGCTGGTCTCGCCGCTCTTGATGCGCGATTCATACCCACGCATGATCTGCATGGCTTCGCTCTTGGTACGAGTGATGTTGGCCTCGCGCCACGACGACGGTCTCCGGGAGTCCTTGTGCTTCACGAGAAGATGGGCACATCGGATTTTGCCTTCGAGACTCTGTTGCGCTGCAGCACCGTCGGGTCGCATATTTTCAGTGTGGTATTGGCCCATGTAATGTTTCAACGCTTCGCTGTCGGTTTCGGCCGGAGGCTCCCACCGCGACTCCTTAGTGCTGGGATTGAAGTAATACGGCAGGTTCTTGCTATTGGAATGGCGGACTTCCCAGCCGGATGGTAGACCTGTAGCCTGCTTATTCGGTTAATTTCGATCGGCCAAAGCAGTATCCTTTGCTGAATGATCTTCTCTCTATAGCTTACCATGATGTCGACGCAGGGTGTGTGGGGAACGTGGAGAGCTGGTTTGGGTCTGGGGTAGGCTCGATGGTTTCCAACAAAGTGTGGCGCGCAGGAGATTGTTACGTGCGATAGCCCTTGCTGCTGTGTGTGCTATCTGTCTCAAAGTAGCGGACTGCTTGTGGATTACGATTGTCGAGAGATTGTTTTGTTCATTGAAATAGCAACCAAGAGTCGACCCAAACTCCGTCATTCCACGAAGCAAATGCCAAGATGTATTACATGCGCGGGCGATGATGAAGTTGCCCCACTTGCAACTGTCACGTGGTTGCTGGGTACACAAAGTCTATTCGACACAACCCAGGAACATTTCCCCTGGCAGCGTGCTGCAAGCATACCTACAGGCACATGGTGTAAACGTGATTTTGTAAAGGCCTGTGTGCATAGCAACCATGTTCGCCAGATGTGAATGTAAATGCCCTCGCATAGAGATGATGGCCGAGAGCAGACGTTTCAGTCAATTGACCACACAGATGACATGCAGGTCCAAAAAGACATTCTGTACGCTGTCTGATAGTCCACATCCGCCGAAATGATGAAACCTGATATCTGCACCGCGAGATTCTACATTTTCCATCGCCAAACCGTCCATTCAAACGGAGCGCTCTCGTCCCAATGATCGTCGCCAACCTCACAGCCGTAATCAAAACATTCCAACCCCGCAGTCTCCAACCTCTCCCACAATTCGCGAATCGCATCGAGATACGCCACTCGCTGCGCATACGTGATGAATACTCTCGCCGTCGGTCCCGCTGCCAACCAGGCCTGAATCGTCTGCACCATGAGTTCTGGGTGCTCGTCCGAGTAGCACGTATCCGCTGCCATGATGACCTGAGCTTTCGAGTTCGCGGACTTCAAAACTATGTCATCCGCGTCGCCTGGTTGTGCGATTGAGAGTTGTGTTGGAGATGTCCAGTCGAGCGTGCCATATGACGGCTCGACGCCGGCGGCTGCCAATTGTGAGGCATTGAGCTCTAGATTTTGAGCGAGGCCGGGAAGGATGGGTGCGAGGTCGGTCAGGATGACGGGACGTTTCCAGATCAAAGATGCTGAAAGGCCGACCAGGCCTGTGCCGGCACCTAGCTCTAGAATTGGGATCGTATGTGCATCTTGAAAATCGCCCACACTATTTTCATGGAGATGGTCGGTAAATCGATATAATATGTTGGAAAGGATGAATGAAGAGCCCCATGTCGCAAGGGATAGATTATCGGCTTGTACTCCGGCTTTTTCGCTGATCTCTACATGTATTTGTCGTCCCGACGAATCGGTCTTGATCCCAAAGGATCGACTTGATGGTTTATTATTAGAACTCGGCATTTTTGTATGGCTTGGAATGTGGAATTTGTCTTGTGCACGTAGAGATTTCGTTCGTGGCTTGGCGCTACTTGTTGAGCCATCAAGAAAATCTTCAACTCATTTACCAAGACTATCAAAGTATACTGCTACATGGCAAGATGCTACACTGATTGATCAATAGAAAACTTTTAGTATTGATATTATAAAACCACACAATTATTCATCGGCTTCTTCATCATCGTCGTCCTCAAACTCAACTTCCAAACTTCCCGTGAAGTCATAACGGTCGCCTGGCGCTGCTTTGGACACATACTTAACAAACTTCAAAGTTCCTCGGTCTCGTAGAACAATGCTCAATGTATTCCAGTTCGCCGCGTTGCTGAAGAGAATGCCATCATCCTCGTCATCGCCAGCCGCTTGATACACAGCAGGGTCGGCTTTCTTCTGCTTTGTGGAGCGTCGATCACCTGCACCAGTCTGAGACTTACTGCCTGACGGAACGACAACACCGTTGTCGGAGCCATCGTCGGGATCATCACCGGCAATGTAGAGCTCATAGCCTCCGACGTTGTCCTCTTCCGCAATTTCGGTTTGTTTCGTTTGACCGTTACTTGCACCATCGCCAGCAGTCTTATCATCATCCTCCGCTTCCTCGCCGCCCCAGCCTCGAGTCGGGGTTACGCAAAGTGTGTACTCGAGTAGAGGCTCCTCGCCTTCGTATTCTTGCGCGAGCTGATAGTCGACTCCTCTCCTGAACCTCCTCGCCATGGCCGTCCATGCTTTGATCCTGACGCCCGTGACCAAGGCTAACCATTTGGCGAATGCCTGGCTCGGAAGTAACTCCTCCAAGACTCGCCTGAAAGGTACATCATTTTCTTGCGCTTGCGATGTCCAAGGTGCTTGTATGAACTGGTAATGGTGTTTGTGAGGTGGACGCGAGGTTTCAAAGTCGTATTTCGACCCTGCGTCTGACAAGAGATCTTCTCGCAACAGAGGCGCGAACTTGCTACCAAGGAAGTTGCTCAGCTGCAAGACTGACTCGTCGCTGAATAGCTCGTTCAACTCTTCCACCGTGTCCGGCGTTAGATAATTCGGAGTCATGAATTGAAGCAGAAACTGGCAGTCTTCTTCTGTCAGTCCCTCATCCGCGTCCTCGACCTCGCTCGGGACATTGCTAGCATGCCATTGAGTTCGAGGAGTGTCAAACTCGTCAGCCTTGCCCTGAAGTTGCTGTAGTGAGCTGCTCTCGGCTAACTTTTCCTCAAGCCCCGGCTCAAACCCGTCCTCGCCCTTTTGTGGAATATGGAACCAACCACTGATGGCCATCCGTACACGGCCTCCGTCATCCTCACTCTCACCCACCTGACGCCGATAAACCTCCTCGACATCATGGAAGCTCTCGCCTGGCTGTACAGCAAAGAAAGACAGCTGATTCCAAGCCGGTGGTACGGTCTTACTGAAGTTGGATTGAGGCAGCTTAAATTTCTTGCCACTCTTGTCGGCCACCTCATCGGTCGAGAACAATCTCAAAGCTCCGCCCCACTCGGCCTGCCAGGGCTTATCTGGATCATTCAGGTACAAGATATAGCTGACTCTTCGGCTTCCGATTACATCATCATGGCAAAGTAGATGGCATCCGGGTACATATACATTCACAGCCATATCGGTCTTTTCTCCTGACAGCAGACCGGCTCCAGAAACGGAAGAGATCCATTTTCGGAAGTCCAGACTGTACATTGCATCTCTCAGCTTCAAAAGTGATGGCAATCGCTCCAATGCGGATGCAGGCAGGCCATTGAGGTTGGCCAAGTCGCCCGACTGGTGGATCTTGTAAATATCGGTCTCTTTGGGAGTGAAGTGTATGTTTTCCTTGATCTCATTTCTCACTGCTCGGAGCAGGTCATCATCAATTAGTTCGGTGATGACAGCATGTTTGTAGGGCTCTGATGTTGCGTAGTTTTGGGCACATTTCGAAATGCTTTCTGCTTCGAAAAGACCTTTACGGAAATGATCTTGCACCGGCTTTGCCTCGGTGGCTGGCCTCTTGTTCGAAGATCGACCCGAATCGGCATCTCCGCTCACGTCTTCGTTCTTGCGCTTCATTTTTGTTCTCTGAATGTTGAAGGACAATGCACATTAGACTATACTTCTTACGCAAGCATTCAACAATGGAATTAATTTATTTCGAGGATTTTCACAGGGCTAGGGTTCGCACAACATGCAGGGCATTTAGCCTCCCGAGGTCATCATCAAGTAAAAAAGAGATTTGTGTGTAATGCCCGTCCTATTCGGTCAAGGAACAATACTCTCCCCCCATCTCCTCCATTGTCGCCATGGCTGTCACGAGATCTGGTATCACAATTATCACTCATTGTTTGTCCATCACTGTTTGTCGACGCGGTCAACAATAAAACAGCTGATGAGCAAGCGTCGAGTTAAAATCCTGAGGCATCCAAACCGTCAGTGTGTTTCAGCCGTTGTTTGAAACACAGGATATGAAACAAGAAGCCGAATGCCTAGAAGAATTACGAGTGAAGCATGCACATGCTATTCATTCGCTCAGAATATTGTTCTTGTGCTGCATGCCTCGATGATCAGACCGACACAAGTGCATCAGTCGGGGCACGAGAGCCAATCGGAGTGCTGCCTGGACGCGCTCTCAGACAGCCTGGGGGAAAAGCTCTGTAGCCGCCGGCGCTCCACAGCCAAAATTGGGCGCTTCCGTCCTATGGCATTATCTCCAGTACAACACCAAATAGCATATTTTAGTCGTGCGACCATATGAAATGATCGCCCTCAATGCTGAGATGCGCAAGTCCGCGCGTTCAACACCATTGTTTCGCGCGCGCCAGGCCATGGACTCGTAAGCGTCCGCGTTTGAAAGAATGGCTTACCACTGGGCATGTAGCTATGGCTCGAGCCCACATATAAGCACCTCGATGCCCTTCAGGCCTGAAGCTCATGCGATCACATCGTCTCTTTGTTTCCTATTTTCTTCTGTTTGCTCATTCATTTCTTTGCCGTTACATTGTGGCTGGCCCACAATCACTTTCTCTCAAGTCATTGCCGTTGCCACGTTCAATTGATACCCTTATTTCCTCTCATTTACACCGAATCTACTCCGCGGAAACTACGAGCCGTGACGACCAGCTCTGGGCAGCAACTACATGATCACTTGAAACTGGCAACGCCGAATTCTAGCAATCCTACACCATTCCAATTCGAACACCTCTGCCCTCAGATTCGAAATCATGGTCAAGATTGAGGTTGGCAAACCTTCAGGTGCGCACGGTAAGACCGGCGCGTGTCTGAGGATATTCTTACGCCTCATTCAATTCGCCCTCGCCATCACCATCGCCGGATTGTATGGCGTCGACCTTAATAATGCACGTCTGAACGGCGAATATATGGATGCTCGCTGGGTGTTTGCTGTGGTCGTTGCTGGATTGTCTGCCCTGACGTGCATCGCCTATGGTGTGCTCACTTGCGTCCTCAGCCATTTCCTCTTCGCCTGGGACTGGATCTTATTGTAAGCGAGACGATTGTATAAATTATTCATCTTCACCCTTGCTAACAACGCGGAACTAGCATTCTTTGGATCACCGCCTTTGGTATCTTTGGCAAAATGTTTATCGCTTACCAGCCACAGCCCGATCAATATGGCCAAATTCGGATGAAGCACGCCGTGTGGGTTGACCTTGCGAACGTCGCCTTGTGGTTCATGACGGCATCCTACTCAACCTTGATCTTCTTCCGTCGACCAGGCGGCTCGTCGGGAAAGTCTGAGATGGCATAGGAGCCAGTATTCAAGGTCAAGAAGGTCCCGAGTCCGATGGTGGAAATCAGGGATGCCATTGTTACTGCAGCTTCTGAAATACGCGGCGCAATCAAAGCGCCATCGGAAGTGACGACAGCTTCGAGCACAACGCTCGTCAATCCAGGAGAACCGAAGTCTCGAGTATAATGCTCGCTTAAGAATGCTGTGGGTGTGGGTGGGTGTATCTCATTCTTCAGTTCTCAACGAAGAAGAAATAGCACGTGCTTTGCAAATATGCTTATTAGTGGCTGCTGTGATCTGACTATCAACTCCATGACCATGATATTGATGACTTCTAATTTCCGAATCAACTTGTAGTTGGACGTGCGATCGATTAGGTCCACGGGTAGAAAGCTTCACACGTCGAAAGGGTGAAGAATGTCGACAATTGCTAATAGAAGAATCCGTCTGTCGTGGTTGTTTCCTACCAGTTGACGATGACGACAGCCCGGGCGATCATGGTTTGGCTGCGCCAAGAAGAACCCTGAAGGAGGGGAGAAGCAGTTGAACCATTATTACGGCACCCGCGGCTGCACAACTGATAAAGCTCAACAGCGTCGATGATGCATCTGGCGAGCCCTCACATCAAACCAAAGTGCTTGCCGACAACAGCGCTGATCGCAATTCGTGACATGGCCTCGCGTTGACGTATCATCGCCCAGCGCGACATGAGGTCGCAACTTACAGTGATTTATCGGCCATGTTTCTCTCCAATCTGGTGCAGAAAGCTCAACAGCTAATCGACCCAGCTGTGCTCCCAGGTCCTCTCGGAGGATCTGCCAACGCAGGACGTCCAACGAAGGCGCAATTGTTTAGATCACAATTCAGACTGCCCGATACGCAAAACCCACTATACGAAATCACTGCCGAATTGACCTTACCGACGAAGAAAAATAGTACGCCTGGCAAGTCGCATAGCCCGAAGAGCTGGGACAAGGGCAACTGGGATCGCGATAGAGGTACACACCATGTTGGACAACTGCACCTGAGCGAACAATTCCTGTGCTTCTCGACAGTGCACACCTCTTTTGCAAATACTGCCAGCACAAATGCCAGCACCGCATTTACGGGCAGGACCCACGGCACTGGCCCGGGTGGAAATGGCTTCACTCTGCCACTGTGCGCAGTCCGACGCGTCGAAAGACTTCAAACTCAAAGCTACATGTTTGCACTGTCAATCACCACCTGGAACGGTTTCGAACCTGGCAGTGAGGAGAAGCAAGGAGCGCCTAGCCCGCCAAAGCTCACATTACAGCTAGAAGGGAGTAGACAGCAATGCGAACGATTCTGCGATGGGCTGAAGCGGGGACTTAGGCAGGGAATCAAAGAAGTTGATAGCATGCGCGCCGTGGCGCAAGAGTGCTACTCGGAGTACTTTCTGTTTGATGAATTCGATGCGACTCCTGCTCAAACAAAGCCGGACGGCACACCTAGAACGCCGCCAGATACAGGACTTGGGAGCATATTCAAATACCCCGGAAATTCGCGGAAGCTACGAGACCGAAGCAAGATGCGACTTTGGCATGAATACATGAAGGAACACGGTCGCAATACAACTCTTGTACGACAGCCTGACTTCCATCGGTTGATTCGCGTTGGTCTACCAAACCTCCTACGAGGTGAGATCTGGGAGCTGTCTTCTGGTTCGCTATATCTTCGTCTGCAAAGGCCAAAGCTGTATCAGGAGACGCTTGAGAAATATGAGGGTCAAGGATCGCTCGCCATCGATGAGATCGAAAAAGACTTGAACAGGAGTCTGCCCGAATATGCTGGATTTCAAAGCGAGGAAGGCATTGGCAGACTGCGTCGCGTTTTGACCGCCTACAGCTGGACTAATCCCGAAGTCGGATACTGTCAGGCGATGAACATCGTGACAGCCGCGCTTTTGATGTACTTCTTATCCCTCCCTTACCGCTGGGAATGCGAGCTGACCTCTTCGCAGATACCTGTCCGAGACGCAAGCTTTTTACACCTTATCAATCCTTTGCGATAGGCTGCTTCCTGGATACTACTCTACAACTATGTACGGCACTTTGCTCGACCAGCGTGTGTTCGAGAGTCTCGTAGAGAAGACCATGCCCATTATCTGGGACCACTTGGTCAAAAACGACATACAATTATCCGTAGTCTCACTCCCTTGGTTCCTGTCCCTGTACATCAACAGCATGCCACTGATATTCGCTTTTCGGGTACTCGACGTTTTCTTCCTCGAAGGCTCGAAAGTCTTATTCCAAGTCGGATTGGCGATCTTGCGTATCAATGGCGAGGAGCTTCTGGACGCAACGGACGACGGTACATTCATTTCAGTACTGAAATCATACTTCGCCCGGCTCGGCGAATCCGCGCATCCCAAGTCTGAGAATCCGAAGCACCGCGCGATTACCAATTTTCAAGCGCTCATGGTTGTTGCGTTCAAGGAATTTGAGGGCATCACTCAGCATACTGTTACGGAACAGCGCCAAAAGCACAAACCGGCAGTGCTTGAAAACATCGAGTCTTTCGCAAAGCGCACATCTATCCGTAATCTTGGTCCCGAGAGCAAGAAGCTGTCTCAGAACGACCTTGGTTTCCTCTATGACCGATTCTACACGATACTCTACGAGCGACAGCAACGGTCGGAAGTAATCCAATCCGAAAAGGAACGCAAGCTAAAAGCTGCCCGAAGCAGGATGTCCGAGCTTGTAACAAATGTGCCGAACAACGCACCTGAAATGGGGAGAGTGGCCCTAGGACCAAGCGCGTCACAGATGGACTATGATGCATTCCGAGAATTTCTCGCAGGCATCACTAAATGGGCAGTCACAGATTCACCGAGCTCTGTTGCCAATGACAAGTCGGCAAACAACTACTTTAGCAATACCCTGCGTGCTAAAGCAGCGTCTTCTTCACCGTGGGGCCTCGGCCCGGAGCCTGCTGACCACGAATTCCTCCAGCGACTTTTCATGAAGTGGCTTCCTGAAGGCAGTTTCACTTTGAGTCTGCAAAATGTGGTTGCTGGTCTTGCTCCTATCAAAGGAGACCGCGACATCATGAGCAGCATCGCATACTTTTTCGAACTTTATGATGATGACAAGGATGGAAGGGTCGACAGGGAGGGAATCCTACGTATGTCCGAAGCGTTACTCTTTCTTTCGCGCAGGGGCATCCTGGGAAACATGACCCCTACTTCAACCGCCCCGGAGGTGATCGGACCTGACGGCATTCCGATTCCACGAGAGAGCAAAGATGAGCTATTCTTGTCGGCAGTGTCGGCATTCATACGACGTTGTTTTGAGTACGCAGATCCCGACCAAGAAGGTGCTGCGAATGAGGCTGCGGCGGACGCACCAATGGACGACTTGCTGGATCTGAGCGAAGAAAAGGCGCAAGCCGCGGAATCCGAGACTCCTGCTGAGGCTGAAGAACCTACACAGACCCCTTCAGCTAAGGACGACTCGTTGCTATCGCGCCCCTCTACTAATTCATTTGGCCAAACCTCGAGGCCAAAGCATGCGTCACACAACGCAGCCCTGGATCCCTCAAGATCCGTGCATATAACGTTACCAACCTTCCGCATGCTCGTCCTGGCCGACGAAACACTCGAGGCGTTCTTCGACTCTGGATTTGCTAACAGCTTCCACCTGGCCGATGCACCCTTACCTTCAACCACTTTGACGTCACCTTCTTTCCTGAGCATCCACAGCGGCGCTGCAGCTCCGCGCTCAAACCTCTCAGCAGGCGGCACCGGCTCATCAGGCGCCATCAGCCCAGGCCCGTCTTCCGCAGGCGTGGTCGCACCAGGCAAAGGACTACGGGGTATGCTCGATAACATCGTCACGGACGGAATGCGCGTCGCCGCGGAAGTTCGCCGCCGAATGGAGGAAGCCCAACGGGAGCTTGATCGCGGCGCCGTCACTCGCGGCACAGAAGACGATGACGATGATGATGATGACCATGGAAGGGATCTTCTCGAGGGCGCAGAAGCCGATGCTGGCGCAGCGACGAAATCCGAGGCGCAGGGATCGCCGACCCTACTGGACAAACCGCTCGTGGCCGAGCCGAGTGCGAGTTCTGCAGCGAGCATTAGGAGCACGAGTAGTGAGGTGGAGAAGAGTACCATGTTTGAGCGATGATGGAATGGGATGTTTTTCTTCATAGTCCTGGACAGCTTGTACGAATGCCGAGCGACACGGCCGTTGATGCCCCTGTTCAGACCAGAAAGCTCGATCGTGCTATTTCCCTGGAATGGACCATTGTCGCTGTTCACTGTAATAGTCCTGTTTTGTCCGTGACATCGACTCAACAAGATCCCATGAATTATGAAAGTGCAAATACAGTGGCCAAATACTTCGTCTGGCAATACATGGGGGTATTCTGGTTCGTTATGTCGCACTATATTCTACATTCCGAGTCATTCATTTGGCATCTTGGTGACCAACGAGCACAGTCGATCTGAAGGGTCACGATGTCAGTAAGCTGCGCGATGTGGCCAATCCAGTAATTAATGCACTTACGCGGACTCGACACCCTCCTGAACTGTCTCCTTGACCTTCTCAGCAGTCTTCTCTGCGCCACTCTTCCACTTCTCAACGTCGATGACTTGTCGGCCGTTCCACTTTGTCATGATGTTCTCGCCACGCGCTCTCATGCCTACCTGCATCCAGTGCGGGTAAGTGCGAATAAAAGGCAGCGTGGTGGCGAACTCCGGCACGAGTACCTGTCCAGCAGTGCCACTCAGAACCTTCTTAACAATAGCTTCGGCCACAGTCTCGGGCTCCAGCGATGGCATCAAGAAGCCGGCATCGTTGTTGTAGCCTTGGAACAGTGGGGTCTTGGTGTAGCCCTGGTTGACGATCACCGTGCGGACCTTCGGCGCGTTGTATCGGGTCTTGAGCTCAGCTGTGAGACCCTCATGGAAGGAGTGTGCGGCGGCCTTGGATGAGGCGTAGTCGACCATGTTGGGAACAGTGATATAGGCCGCGACGGACGCGACGGTCACGATCATTCCGTGGTCGTTCTTCACCATCGAAGGTAGGAACTCCTTCGCGAGCCAGTAGTGGGCCATGGTGTTGACCTCGAATGTGAAGCGCACATCCTTCTCTGTTGAGTCAAGAATGCTCTTGCCGCGCGCGACACCGGCATTGTTGATGAGGATGGTGGGCTCACCGACCTCGGCGCGGATCTGTGTCGCGACCTTGGCGATCGTCTCAATAGAGGTGATGTCGCACTTGTAGTAGCGGACATTGGCGGGAGCCTCATAGGTCATAGGAATGACATCCAGGACCACGACCTTGATGCCGCGCTCCGCGAGCAACGTGACGACCTTGCCACCGATACCGCCCGCACCACCAGTCACAATCACAATCTCTTTCTTCCAGTCATATTCGTCCTTCTTCCAGTTGTTCAGGACGCCATTGTCAAGGAATGTGGTCGCCCATCGCCATGCGCCATAGTAGAAGAATCGTCGAATCCATGTCAATGCGAGCTTGTGCTCCGCTGCAAGCTCTCCACCCTGCTTGGTATATTTGGCTGCGAGGAGGACAGCGAGAGTGAGGACAGGGTTGAAAGCAGTCCGGTTCAAGATTCGGCCGACGACATCGCCGTGGAAGCCCTCACGAGGTAACCAGCCATTGTGGAAGGGCATATTTGCAGATTGACGGGGTGAATTGGTCGGATGATCGATGTGCTTGAAAGCGGCTTCAAGCCCACTTGAGCACGATGTGGCGCATCAGTATATATGAGAATCACCTGCATTCGCGACTCATTCGCTGCGAGTCACGAGCTCCAGGTACAGCAGAGGTATGCTGCCCGCCACCAAAGTCAAATTTAAGAAATCTGGGGAAAGCGTGCTGCACAAGCTCTCTAGCACCTCCAGGGTCGAGCGACGAGTCAACAACAAAGGGGAGAGAGCCCTGGAGCTCATTACTGTGTTGACGGGCGACATGATCTCTGTAGTGAAAGCGACTACGTAAACAGAGCCTCACGCACGTTTATAGCCCTGAAGTGCAGCTTCCTCGTGTCTTAAATCCTGAGTCAATAGTATGAATGCCTCAGAACTCGCTCGATGTTCTCTTGTTACCGCCAGCGCAACCCAAACTATCCTGGCTCCTGCTCCAATACGCCTCTTAATTATGAAAACATTGCCCTCGCCGCGAACGCATAAATTACACCTTTGTCGACTCTCAGCTTTGCGTTGTGGTTGAAATGAATGCATTTGACATCTATCAGATCTTTTCGTAGTCGCGAACTACATAGCATTCCATCCCGAACCGTCTAACAGTACGGAATGACCATTGTGGTAGGTGCAGTCCATCACCATCATCTGTTTAAAACGCTACGCCCATAATCGATGTTCAGATTCGTGGTGGGTGATTGAAGCACTCGTAGCGACCTCATTGCCTGCTCAGAGTATGGTGCTGCCGTCTCGATGCCTCTCATGTTATCGCCGTGATTGTAAGGCAGGTTCGCTGCTATGCTCGGCAGGACGACACGGACTCGACATACGGGTTGTCTGCAGAGCGACTGTCTCGCTTTCAATGACCATCAAATTGTCGCAGCGCCAACACTTCTGCTTCTGCCAGGGAACGGCGAAGCTCTTCTGCTTGATGTCTGACATCAGCTCCGTAAATCGCATCGGCACCGGCGTTGCCAGGTGAAGTTTGGATCATCATGATGTTCCCGAAGCGAATGCATTTCATTGAAAATGATGGGTTTTGGTCAGCAGATGGTTCAACATGCCTTGATCGAGGCGACCGTCGCCGCACAGAGCCTCGGGATCCTCATTTTCATAAGTGTTTGCCCGTGCGATGCCATGGTCTTGAGTGCGAAGTGAGCAACTCCGAGGATCTACCTTTCGCCTTGCCCGTGAGAGGGTCGAGGTTTAAAAACTTTGATGTGCTGCACACTGTGTGCAGGCATGAATACTATCATTCGCATATTGGACATATGGAAGTTGACCGCTATGTCTGCTAGGCTACCCATGTTTGTAGTCCATGCATCTGACCAGCGGCTCAGGATCTTGATTCAGGAGTCCTGGTCTCGTCACTGGCATAAGAACGTGAAGCTCCTCAAAACGTAGCGGAATCGAACTTCGTCTTTAGCGGGCCGACCACATCCATGGACAGGACAAAGACGGGGTGCACAAAATTGACTACATCTCCCTGGTCGTATCCCCAAGCCTGCTTCTCTTCGGCAGTAGCATTATTCGCACGCCAATTGAAAGCTGCCGTCAATCTGCCCGTCGAAGTATCGACTGTTGGACCGTCTCGGTCGTATGTGTAGTGATGTTGAGCAGCGCTCAACCCAGAGAGGGAATAGCAAGTGTGATATGCGTCCGCGCGAGCAGAAGGTTTATCTCTCATGCCACCACGTTTGCCGGTCTCTTGACAGCAGCAGAGGAGATATCGAATTTGCGCTTCTCGGTTCCAGATATCAAGCAACCGAGAACCGCCGAGTGCGGCGTGCAGGAGTGCCCAGCAAGAGCCACTCCAGTGGCTGTAGCACGCATCCACGAGTTTGTTCGTCCGACCCTGAAACCCCCCCTCTGGACTTGTCTGAGACCCCGCTAGCCATGAGATCAGCGCAGGCACATCAAGATATTTCGGTATACTGATGGACGGAGCGTTGAGGAGACTCAAGCATGCCAATGCGCAGAACGCATATGCGCCATGAGCCTCATTGGTAGGCGCTCCAGCTATGCCTCCTTCGTAGGTCTGACAACGTCCAACCCACTCGCCCAGTCCATCGGTGAAAGTCTGCAGGCCTTTTGCACGTGCAGGAGCGTCGGGAGGTAGTTCGAGAGGAAGGTTGAGTAGTACGATCGCTGTCATGGCACAGTAAGCACCTCGAACGTCCTGTTCGGCGCCGACCGCCATGGAAAACCCGCCATTGGAATGCTTGATGCTACCAAGAAAATGCCACATGGATTTCCTGTCGACCATATCTAGGCCGTCCACACAAGCGAGGGCAAGAAGACTAGCATACGTGCTAGCGATATGACTGAGCTGACCATGGCCGCTACCAAATCCACCAACTTTGTTTTGTAGTGGCTGGAGGCTTTCGATCAATCGTTGTTTATATTTCGTCTCTATCTCCTCTCCGAGAAAAGACAATCCAGCAAGGACCCAATAAAACATCCACGGTCGACTGGCGTCCAGCGCAACATAAGGTGCCGGTAGTCTGCCAAGATTACTGTGAAGGAACCTGATGTGATCCAGGCGACGGAGTTGAAGTAAACCATGGCTGTTGAGCGGCAGGTCAAGATGTGCTTCTCCTAGAAGTAGAGCAACGCAGTCGTCTCTGACTTTCTCTTCCGCAATCGAACTAGACGTAATTAAATCGTCACGGATGAAAGGTTGTGTATCCTCGAGCCACGGAGGAATCGTCTGCAGAGGGTTTACAAGCCCGTCGATGTCTTCGAAATCCTCGTCATTTTCGCCATTAGCACCGGAGTTGATCTCTGTCAGCTTCATTTCGTCTACGATTCCATCCAGAGATTGATCAACATCACGCTCGATACGATCGGTTGGCTCCGTCATGACACTGCGAGCAAATACAAATTTCTTGCGCTTTCTTACATGCACCGACCGAGGGCGCATGAACGTGGTTCGCGAAGTCCTTTTCCACTGCGGGACACACGATCAGCTCAACGTCCGTCCAAAAGGGCTTGACCACATCGATACGCAGGAAACTGCGGCTCGGAGGTCCAAATTTTCTAGGATGTGGTCAATGCCAATGATCACACTAGCAGCAAAGAGAAAGTTTGTCAATATCGTGATTGCATTATGGGAAGATGAAAGTTATACTCTGTGATACTTGAATGGTGGGTTGTCGTAGTGCGTCACTAGCGTTCCTGCAGTGACGAACTTCCAAACGGTTTATTATTGATCTACGACTATTCGACGCGACTGCAGCCCTGTGAATGACGTTCGCAACGACAATGAGACGACAGAGGAACACACTGCTGGACCGAATCAACACGCCGAGATCATGCGTCAAATACTCATTCTTACTCCGCCGACATATGTGACGTAGAGAGATCGGCAGAAACATGGCGCTCCGAAGACATGGCAGCCGCATGCTGCCCCTCCGACTACCGATCTTTCGCATCTTCTACAGTTTCACCTACACTATCCTGTATCTATTGTTACTGGTAGTGCTATCAGCCACGCCAATATCGCTCATCTACAGCGCGTTTCAAGTCCGCGCCTGGCAATATGTATTCATGATCGGAGGCACCTACATCTTGACCTTCATCTTCGCCATCATCATCTACAGCAGCAGGATTTACACTAATAGATCGACCCTGGCTGCCGTGGGCAAAGCATATGTGCCGATTGAAGATGGAGAGGTCAATAAGAAAGTACGGAAGATGATAGTGAAGGAGCTGGAGAAGAGCGCCATTGTGGCATGGGAGAGTCGGCCGAGGGACATTGATGGCGAGGTATTGGCAGCGGAACACGATGGCTTTTGGTCAGCAGATGGACCTATATTGAACCATGCTAGCCAACCAATTGGACAGTATGTGGTTGTCTATCCCTTGAATCCTCCATGGGGCAACATCCAGCACGACGGCTGGTCTTCGCCGAGCACACGGCAAACAAACAAGAATCCTCATGTGCAATTTGCAAAGGTAATTGCTGAGATGCCTCACATCATCGAAGCGCGAGCGGTTTCGCTGGCGCCGCCTGCGGACTACGACAGCACTCTCCAAACTCAAAGGCTAGTTGTGGATCCGTTGGTGGTGAACGTCTTGCGGAGACCGCGCAACGCAGCTCTGCGCGAGTACCTTATTCAACTATCCTTTCTCGGTCTGATCCAACCCTTATCTATTGGAGATATTTTTCTGGCGCAATACGAGAGGGCACGCTTTTGTGGAAAGCCAATACCTGACCACGACTTTGATCAATTAATGACAACCTTTGCGCGCCTACTCTCGGGCATGACCGGTCTAGCCCCTGAGATTGTGCACGAGATCAGGAAACAGTCTGATCAAACCCCACTGCTGGAAGTGAATGCTACTGGCGATGACTCGTCGATCCATGCTGTGGAAATTGACCTGCTGCAGGTTCCACTAGCAGTGCCACGAACACCCGTCTCACGCACCCTGACTCCAGTGACTGCTCGAGAGTCACGTTCTCGAACGGAAACCGTCTACATGACTGATAGCAGTGCAAGCCAGGAGACTATTGGCTCGGTGATACAGCGATCACCGATCTCGCATCGTGGACGTTGGCCTACACAGACTCAACCAGGCCCCGAAAGTAGCTCATGGAGTTTACCTAGCGATGCGGGTAGTGTTCTGCATCACACACCATCCGACTCTTTTGGGTGAAATACTTTTCGCGCCTACTTAGCCCTCAAAACATTGTTCTCCTGTAACGCTGCTTCAGTATATGCAAGAAGATGGCACTTACAGAAAGAACGAAGCATCCTTCGTCGAATCGAGAAGACGTTCACGGAAACGAGGATTCGTTTCAAAGCAGAGCAAGTTCATTCTTACAGGAATTGAATGTCTCTAATCCATGCCCGGATCACCAGGCTTCTCATCCTCAGCTGCTGCGCCTACTTCGCGATCGCCCGGTAATTGTCTGGTACGCTCAATCTCTTTGATCGCCTCCTGACCTTCCTCCGTCGTGGCATCAATCACGCCGTCCGAAGACAAACTGATCATGCCACCTTCGCCAAGCTGCTCGACCACACGCTCGGCATCTTCCACGCTCATCTTCCCCAGGACCACATTGATCTTGTCAATCTCTCCGCTGGCAATAGCCGTCTGAAGATCAGGTCTGAATGACTCATAGATTTGACGGCTGGCACGTTCCTCCTCGCTCTCACACTGATCGAGCGGACGCGGAGTCACCACATTGATCTTGGTATCGGGGTCGACTGCATGCAATTGGATTTGTTCGCGGTCGCCGCCACTCTCTTCAGCCAACTTGTCCAACTCAGCGCAGCGTTCGCGGATGCGGGCGTAGGTCGAGTTCACATCGTCCAAGAACAACTGTTGTGCTTTATGGCCTCGCGTCTGGACCCGCTGGAAGAAGAGACCCACGCCATCTTTTCCGAGTTGACGGCAGTATTGCAGAAGCAAAGCTTGGTGAACACATTGGCGGGCGTACTCTTCATGTTGTTTGCCTTTTTGCGCATCAAAGGCTTCGGCGAGTAGACCATCTGTCTCCTTTTCCGACACGATTTGCGGATATTGACCAATGAACTGCAAGCTAGTGCGATAGTCGCCAAACTTGATCTGACCAAATTTCTTCGCAAGTGGCGACGCCTTGATATCATCTTCGTCAAGTTCCTCGTCAGCGCTGCTCGAATCCCCGGGACCTCCGATTTGCAACGGCACAGTTGTGCTCGGTCGTGCCGGGTTCAGCAGCTCCGGCTCAGCTGGCTTTGTGCTCCCGCTTGATTTCGCGACGTGCGAACTATTGAAGCCTTCCCGAATAGAATCACTCGTAATCTTGGTCTTCTCCTCATTCTCCAAGCTCGTCAATTCTGTCTCAAGCTCTTTCTGAAGATCCTTGACCTTGGTGTCGTGGCTTTGAATTTCTTTCACAAACGAAGCGTAACGCGCAGAGACCTCGGGCTTTGCCTTCTCCACCTCGGATTTCACTTGATCCACAAGTGCGCCCATCATTTGACTGTACGAAGGTTGCTGCTCTTTCGAGTGTACGCCGGGCGGTGCACCAAGCGGCTGGTCCGCGCCTAGACCGGCGTCGCTAGTGACATCCATCAAAGATTCGAAAACCACTCCATCGATATCCGAAGCATCGGTCTTGCCTTCGATCGCGGCACGATGGCTCTCTAGCGCCTTCAAGAGAGCGTCGATACGCGAGAGGAGACCGTTGTTGATGGTTCTCTCATACTTTAACGTCTCGATGCGGTGCTTGCGCTCGATGCGCTGTTGGTGGATTTGATTCTGCTTGGCTCTGATGAAAGACTTCTTGTCGACGTTTGGGTGGACTTCGATGTCGCTGTCGTCGCTCAACTCGAGATTGTCCCACTTACTGTAGCTAAAGCCGGACATGATTGCAGACTTGCTCCGCTGACCTGGGTTGTCAAACAGTGTCAATCTGTTGAAATCTTTTACTCGTAAATCAGGAAGAGAATTCAAGCCGAGAGTCTATTGGAATTGTACGGGGGGAAGCGCTTTGCTCTTTTCCTGCATTCATTGTACGAGTTGCATGCCGTCAGCTATTCCGACTGAATGTTCTCGAATCGTGCCCGCCATTCCGTCTACCAAGCGCCTACTACTGCGCCCGCCGACTGGCCCCGCGCTTCGCACGGGCCGCTATCATGACATCTCCAGGACTACCAGGCGAAACTTGATGTCGACGCGGGACAGTATGATCAACAAACGTTGGTCATTGAAATACAGCATTATGCAGCCAGAGAGCCCTCGAGGAGTCTGAAGGCCAATCGTCAGATCTTGTTTGATATATACATCAAACATTGAGTCACAGCCGTCCCCAGTGCACCGCGTGGCTCCGAACGAAGCCAAAACGACTGCGACAAACAAAATACACAGTCTTGACCTTTCTTGATTGAATTCCCTTCCTCAAAGTAAGTCAGTCCATATATGAAGAAGTGTTGTCCTCGCCATGAAGCAGACACCTTTGATACTCAATTTATCTTGGTGATTGGATCGTCTCTATCAAGATTCGGTGTTTGGCTCCGTAAGTTTCGTAACCCTAGGGGTCAACCAGCACTACGCACAGGTGATGCACCCCCAAATGAAAATAAAATTTTCTAGCATCTCTCGGGCTTCATGGTGGTCAAGTCGGATGGCTCGAATTGAGCGCAGATGTTATGTATGAAGCGATCTTCGCCTCGGTGGTTTGCTTACACAATCCACGAGAGTAGTACGCGGACGTCCAACGGGTTGCACGTAGTCTCTGTCCAGTCTCCGAGGCCGATTCGCTGGCTCGAGAAACTCCTCGAAGGAAGATCGAGTGAATCCTCTTCAGGTATCCTCATCGCGTTTCTTGGTAAAAATGCAGAGCCCTTCGAAGATGTTAGGATCCTCAACGAATGTCGGAAATCTATGCATTTGATATCTTCGCTCAAAGGCCAACGCTAATTTGTTCTGTTCCTCGATATCATCAAGCCCAGAATTGGTAGCCGGATCATGGCTGGGTAAACTTCTGTTGGCCTTTGGGCCCTTCACGTGTGTCGTCCCGGCGCGATCAATCCTGGATTGCAAAGATGAGCCGATGTATACCTCAACGTCCGCCTCCACGAGCTCTCTGATGCCCTGTGTTTCCATATCCATAAAGAGCTCGAGGATGAATGAGTTCTCGCCGCACTGAGTCTGTGCTGGTCCGAGACCTGGTTTCCTAGTCGTGTTCAAGACAAGGGGAAGATCAGACATTCCTAACTCGCGGAAAAAGTCACGATCGAGATCCGTGAAAGCAGGATCTTGTAGTGCCGCTTCAATAGTATTCTGGGTGTCTTCTTCAAGCAAGCTGATGATATCTACGAAGACGGCCATCTGCCACATGCTCCGTCGTCGACACTCCAGATTGTCTCGACTAAGACTTCCCATAGCAAGGCAAATTGCATTTTGCACTTGCCAACCAGCATCAGGCCTCAGAGTTTTAAAGACTCGCTGCAATGTTTGTCGGCAGGTGCTACTCCTCCATGCCTTGAGTTTGCGGTCGTGATCTTTGCGAATCGTGGCAATCTTCAGATCTTTAGAGATGGCTGGGAAGCTATTGAGGATAGGTGGTCGTGCTGATGCGCGCTTGCCACGACCTCTTGAAACGTGCATCCATTCGTCATTGACGGAGTCTTGTGGAGTCGACATTGCGATTTCTGGCTTGCTTGCTTCTGTCGTATTTACTGGCCTCGACACGGGTGTGAGCAGTGCTCAAAGTCTTTGTAGTATGGTTCAAATCAAACAATGTTGTACGATCTACTGTCCAGAAGCGCGCTGCTCTTAGCGTTGCGTCCAGGTGGACATCCAGGTCATCGCCTCGACGAACGTTAAATCTAGACGAACTGTTCGTCGAATTAAATCTGAGACTTTCAAGTGCACGTCATAACGTTGTGAGCTGCAGTTTTCTTTGGTTTTGATCAAATGCTGAAGTCATGTTCAGGATAGGGTTTGTTAAAGAGAAGCAGGAAAATGAACAGTGAACAGGAATAACGCGTCAAATGAAATCTATAGAGTTGAGACGTCTTGCAAATTTTTTGACCGTATTACACCGTGCACATGTGACCTGCGACACTGCCAGGCTGACTACCCACTCCCAATCGCAAACCATCATCGCGCAAACGCCGCTCTAAACCGATGTCAACGACGTCTATTTCTTCCCCTTGGCTGGTGTTCATTTGTCCTCCTTGGCTGGCACATCGACGGCCTCTTGCTCTACGGCCGACTCGCCATCTGCTGGCGACGACTCTCCGAGCTTTTGTAATCGCCGCTCCTCTTCCGTCAATTCCTCACTGACTTCTTCAGTCGACTGCTTCTTAACGGGTAGTTGTCCGCTGCTGATTTGAAACTCCATCAAGGTCGCAAATGCGCCGTTCTTATCCTTGGAAAGTTCGGAGTAAGGTCCGACTTGAGCCACCTGGCCATCGGCACCGAGGCATACGATGGTGTCGCTGCGTTGAATTGTGCTTAGACGGTGAGCAATGGAGATGGTCGTGTTGCTGCCTTCAAGCAGGTTCTGGAGAGCCTGGTTGACGAGTGTCTCAGATTCCGCATCAAGCGCCGAAGTAGCTTCATCCAAGATGAGAATATCGGGGTTCTTGAGAAGCGCGCGTGCAATGGCGATTCTTTGCTTCTGTCCACCAGATAATTGTGCGCCACGAGCACCGACGAAAGTCTCTAGACCATCAGGCTATAACGAAGTCAGCATTGCAATGTGATGAACAATAATATTGAGCCACTCACGAAGTCACTAATGAATTGACAGTTGGCCTGTCGAGCAGCTGCGACAATCTGGCTTCGGGAAGCCATGGGTCGACCATAAGCGATGTTTTCGGCAATGGTACCGGAGAACAGCACGGGTTCTTGTCCGACATATCCAATCTTTCTTCGCAATTGCTTCGCGTTCATCTCGCTGATATTCTTGCCACCAATCGTGATTGTGCCAGAAGTCGGGTCGTAGAAACGCAACAACAAGCTAGCCACAGTGGATTTGCCAGCTCCGGAGGGAGCCACAATCGCCACGTTGCTGCCTTGGGGGATCGTGAAGTTGAGGTTCGAGAAAATTTGTACTGCAGGACGCGTTGGGTACGAAAAAGCCACGTTCTTGAACTCGATCGGGCCGCGCGCGCTCGGCACTGGATCACCCTTGGTCGGGCTGATTGTCGGGTTTCGGTCTTGAAGTTCAAAGAGTCTGCTGGCAGCACCCACACCCTTCATGAGCTCGGAATAGAAGCTGGATAGACCAAACAGACTACTGCCGGCATACCCCGTGTACATGAGGAAGGTCGTAAGATCACCGACACTGATGGCGCCAGATCGTACCATACCGCCACCAACATACAGGACAGCAAGGAATGTCATGTTACCCATAAATCCAGTCGCTGAGAAGAAGGAGGCTGAAATGAAAGCTTCCGTCTTGCCAAGTCCGAAGATCTTTCGGGTCTGATTGTTGTATCGGTGGACTTCTTGCAGCTCACCAGCAAAGGCCTGACTCGTCCTGACATTGCCCAGCCGTTCTTCCGCAATTTTGGTGAGAGTACCAAGATTCTTCTGGATTTTTCTGCTAAGGTTTCTAATGGCGCGACCGTAGAGGAAAGCTCCGAGAGCGACAGGCGGGAAAGCAATGAGAAGGATACTGGTCAGCTTGACGCTGACGTAGGTCATGAGCGTAAATCCAGCGACTGCTGAGACCAAGGATCGAAGACCATCCGAGACGTTCTGGGTGATACTCTTGCCGACAATGATTGTGTCGCTACCCAGTCTGCTGATAAGATCACCGACTCGGTTTGCGTCAAAGAACTCAGCATTTTGAACGAAAGTCCGGCGGAACAGTTGACTTCTGAGTTTAGTGACGATCCGTTCACCTACTATCCTGAGCAGAATGATGCGACCATAGTTGGCAGAAGCACCAATCGCAAGGAGAGCGCTCAGAGCGATGAAAAATTGCTCAGTCTGCAGGCCCAGGAGAGTTCCATCTTCTTTTGTCGCGGCGTCTAGGATCTTTCCGATGCTAAAAGGCACAGTCATTGAGATACTGCTGCCAACGAGCAAGAAGACGAATGCTAGACCCAATGTTCGGATCTCAGGAGCCGCAATCTTTAGTAATCGCGCAATCTCGCGCCAGCCCCCGCTGTTCTTGTCCTTTCCATCTTTGTCAGGACTTGACAACTTTGCACTCAGATTGATCTGAGACGCCCGCTCTGCTCTTTCCGACTTTTTGAATACCTGGGACTCATCCTCCTCTACATCCTCATCAGCGGGATCGCTGGATTTCCGGAGACTGGCTCGATAAGGGACTTCCTGCGTGGTTTGTGGTGGAGCGGCAACTTCACGCTTTGCAGGGGAGTTGTGAAGACCCCGGCTATACTGCAGTATGCGAGATGAGCGCGTGTTCTGAGTGCCGAAGGCCGATGGCGTGACTACCGTACGACGGTGGATTGAATGAGATTGAAGGCGATGCACAATACTTGTCGACTGTGCACCATCAGTTGCCCGTGATGAATTCTGTGTTGTACAAAAGGCTCTAGATTTTGGTGTCTGTGCAAGTTTATGTATAGAGACCAACAATGCACCGGCTAAGTCGGTCCGCGCGCGCTGCGCAACCATGCTGGGTGCACGTAATGCCATGGTGAAAAGTGAGTAGTGAAGGAAATGCCGCGTGGAAGCGTGTCTGAACACTTATGAGCTCCGAGATATCATTGTAGGACCCGTCCGAGATCGCTGTTTGAGTAAACCAAAGGAGCGAGATGCACAGATCGTTCGTCTCGATGGTTGAAACGCGCGGTCAATGATCGAATGTTATAAGAACTCGGCTCCAGAGATGTCCTTTCGTTGTCGGGAGTTTACGAAAGAAGGTGTTGCGATAAAAGCCGAAAGGTGACAAGCTCCGGTACTGTACGTCAGCTGGAACAATACTAGGGATTCGATGATGCATGCAGGTCAACTTTCATTAGAAGAAGGGCTCGCCTCGGCAGGCACGGGAAGGGAAAGCTTGAATCACCCACGTTTCATCGTCTCAACCACGTATGGAAACATCAGCCACTGTGCCATTAGCCAATTTTCACGTGTCGACTGATTACAGACGGACCTTGCCATGGTTACAATGATGTCTGTTAATAAAAGATCCGAACTTGACAATCATTCCCAACGATGACATACTCCTAAGACACCGGAATAAGCTCATCATCTGGCATGTTCACACCATTTGCGTCACTGTACAAAGCGAAGGTTTTAGATATTTTCATGAACACTATCATTATATCAACACTTCCTAGTAACCGGTAGCACCAGGAGCCTTCTCATCCTTTCGTAAGCTCAATAGAATCTCCCGCATCTTGGCCTTGCCACTTCCTGCTGCACCACCCGCTGTCCCCTTCCCGCTCAGGTCGACTAGCTTCGCGCTCCGCTCCCAACTTGTGCCTCCGCTCGTCGTATCTTCACGGTTCTTCAAGAACTCTTCGGCCTCTTTCCGGGTCTGTGCAATCTGCTTGTCCTTGCGGTTGTTGTAGTTCTCGTAGAATTCATCAATGGCCTCCTGAGCCGCCTTGACAGTCTCAGCCTTCTTTGACGCTGAGACCTCGTCACGGTGCTGGATCTGGAGATCGCGTCGTTCGCGCCACGCTCGCAGTACCTCGGGTTCCTCTTCGTAAGTGTCTTGGTATGTGGAAGCATCGGGCGCACGGTATGGGAGGGTGGAGCCTGTGATTGTGCCTCCAGGAGCGACAGCCTCATTGGCTGTGTCTATCGCGGGAAATGATGACTCGAAATCGCCCATTGCATTGGCTCCGCTGCTTGCGCCTGCACCCAGGAGGTCATCATCGTCATCGTCGGCGTCAGCGACTGAAGCGAGGTTTGCGTCTGTGGAGCTGGCGAATTGTTGTGCATCGTCGCCCAATGCAGCGCGTTCACGTGCGAGGAAGTCGGAAGGAGCATCTGAGTCGACAGCGTTTGCTGATGTGCCTGGGGCTGATGTTTGACCTGTGTTACGATCAGTGGACGGCACATGCGCTGATGTCAATTGCTGCGATCATACCAGCGTCGAAGTCGTCTAATGAAGGGAATCGGTCGGCCATGATTGTGATTGATCTCGTCGCGCAATATTGTGAAATCCAGAAGTTGTGGTCGGCGAAAAGGTCTATTTGTTGTGCGGGCAATATGTAGAATGCTTCATGAACCCTCAGACATGCCTGAACATGCAAGCTGGATTGACGTGTCTGTAAAGTTCGGCATACCTTCCTTGACGAAACGCGAGTGCACCACACATATAAACAACATACCTAGTATTAATAAGCCGCACCTCCGTTGTCATCGGAAAAAGAAGCACGCCCGCGGCCATTCGCTGCTTTCACTTGTGTCGCGCATCACAGTCATTCCCATCCGAGCGCCGCGTCTCCATGTTCTAGTAGCTCTCGTGTTAATTGACTGTATTTGCACTATAATTTCGGCAGTGATCGGCTGCGGAAAAGAAAGAAGATGGCGTATTCCGACGACGCTGTCAGAGCGAAGCTCGCTGCACTGAACGAAACCCAAGACAGCATCGTCTCCAATGCACAATGGATTATGTTCCATCGTCGATTTGCAGCCAAGACGGCTTCCGTCTGGCTAAACCGATTGCAAGAAAACACCAACGCATCAAAGCGATTGAATCTGATCTATCTCGCAAATGAAGTCGTGCAACAATCTCGAGCACGCTCCAAGCAGGACTTCTTACTCGCATTTGAGCCACTGATCGCCGATGCCACTGCAGCTGCATACAAAGGCTCTAGTCAAGATATCCAAGGGAAGATCCGGAGGGTGGTTGAAGTCTGGCGGCAACGCGGCATTTTCGATAACCGGATTCAGGAGCAAATCGAAAAGAGATTGGAAGAACTTGACAAGCAGAAGGGAGGGAAGACTCTAGGCGGCGGAGGAGGTGGTCGACTCGGTGGAAGCCTGTTTGGGGGAAGCACAGCCGCGAGTGGAGTCGTATCTGAGTTGGAAGGGATAAATAAATCCTTCACGGCTCTGAACAAGGCTACATCGACGGCCAAAGTTCCGGTCGCAACCGCAAGTGATGAGTACTCGAAATGGAATGATCCCAGCACATCAATCCCGTCAGCACCTGTACATGCAGCGCGACTTCGAGGATTGGTCAAGGATCTCACTGCCGCACATCTCGCAGTCGGCGAGAAGATCAAAACGCAACGGGAATTGATCGAGGGCCTCGAGAAGCTATTAGAAAGCACGCGCACAAAACTCGCTGAAGATGAGGAGATTTCCAACGACTTCAGTGCGAAGATCGACAGCACCCAAGCGAAGGTGACCGAAGTAGAGGACAGCATCATGCGCGGCCAGGAATCCACCTTGGGGGCGGAATCCTACGATCGTGATGGATCAGCGCCCGCAAGACCTGACACAGAAGGTTTCACGCCGCCCCCTCCTGATGTCGAATCCTTCACTCCACCTCCCAACAACGACGATGACTTACCATTCAACGGCGCAAATATCATGACCAATACCGAACCCCTAGAGACCCAAGACCCTAGCTCAATCTCCAATGACCAAATCCCCACGCAATCCAATACCTTCAACGAGCCACCTCCATCGTTCGAAATCTCCTCCTCACTCGCCCAACAACAAGCGGCCGCCGCCGCGCAGGACTTCCTGAAAAATCTTATGCCGCACATCCGTAAGGCTTCAGACGAGATTCCGGAACACGCGAGCAATGGAAGCGAGGGCGATCCACGACTCAAGCGGTCAAAGCAAAGCAATTACGAGGACGACGATGGCTTTGGGGGTGTATCCGTCGGTGGTGTGGACGAGGATGGTGTTAGTGCTTTATTGGGATCGTGAGGGGATGTTGTATGATAATCCGGAGGATTGAATGATTTCCGATGGCGAGTTGGGCTGTGTATGAGTTGTCCTTGTATTTATTGTTGGGGGAGGGTACAATTTGTCAGATTTGCTTGTAACGAGTTGGGAATCGCTTAAGAGAAAAGAAGGGGGCCGAGAAATGTATTGCAGAGGGGAGGAATCTTTCGCCGCGACACTTTCATCCCGAATAATGAGGGACATTTTGTGGTCCCAAAATCATTAATTCATAAGATAATTTCTTTCCGACGAGTCGTCGTCTACGCGATACGAGAGTGCTTCTAAACAGACCAATTTCAATAATATGGAAAACCCCTCCATTAACCCAACGCCTCTCGCCTCCGATCCTGTTTTCTCGCTCGCCGAGCCTCCTTCTCCAACATCCACCCATCCGGTCTCTCGCCATTCTGCCATCCGGCATCCAGAACTCTCTTGCGCTTGCGGTCACCGACGCTGCTCTGCGTATGGGCATCTTTACTAAAGGAGCCGCCGATAGGCGGGGCTTGCGAGTGCCTGGAAGAGGTATTATGTGGAATGGCATCGCGCACGAGGCCGACCTCTTGCAGCAATGTCTCGAAATCGGGACCGAGCGGGTATTCCGCGATCATGGAGGTATGATCGCAGCAGGGGCTGCGCTTGATAGGCAGGAACCATTCATCGGGCGTGGAGCCGAAGACTTCGGAGAGGTTCGCCCATGGACTTTTGAGGTCCCAGGGGTTCATACGGGCGGGGAGTTCGAGGATGGCGAAGGTTCTTGGGGTCGGCGCGGGGAGGGGCGGTCGGTCGGTGGGGAGATTGAGGGGAAAAGAAATGGTTCCTTTCCAGTGCTTGGAGCTTGGAGGCTGTGATGATGGTGAAGATGGCGCGGAGGATAGCCGGGGCGGCTTCTTAGACTGCTGGAAGTAGCTTTGATGAGCGGGATCGTCGAGCTCGGATTGGAGCGGTTGTTGGCTGTCAGCGTCGGAGTGAGGGGATGATCGTCGAGCTGGCGGAGGAAGTGTAATCGGGTCCGCTTGTAGCTCAGGGGGGAGGACAACGGCGATATAAGTCGTTCGACTTCCACCGATGTTCAAGTGTTCCACAGTGGTGACGTTTTGTGCCGCCAGATATAGGCTGTTGAGAAACATGCCCAGAGTGAACATGAGGAAGAATGCAGAAAGGCCGAGAGCTACGCACCACTGCGCATCCTTTTCCTCCGTTGCAATAAAATAAGCCAGTACGATCATCACGTAGGCCGTCAAAAGACTCGTGTACCCAACGAATTGGATAAAGAACTTCATCGAATTCTCCCCCACCACCCCACCAACCCAGGGGCAGAAATGATCCATTTTCCGGGTACATCGTCCGACGTCCTGATTATGATGCGTTCGATCCGGCTTCCAACTATGGCAATACGAGCACCAAATCGGCATGCCATTCGCATCACACACGAAGGCATCTCTCTCCCAAAACGCCTCTAGTCCAGGTGGCGGTCGATCGTCTGGGACTCCCGGTTTCGGCCGTTTCGGTCCTTGCGCCGTATAACCCGGTTGCGTGAAGACGACGAGGGTCAACCGCATCCATGATGCAGCAACCGGAAGTAATAAAAAGAAATAACAAATCGGTATTGCGATTCCCGCAACATCCCGGACGGGCTGACCCCAGGGTGGGTTGAGAAGGTAATTGATGGAGAGCGGTCCAACGATGACATAGCTGCAATATATCGCGACCAGGACAAGAAAGACGGGGATGACACGCGCAGTTGCGAGCGCCACCCTGGAATCGCGAGGTTTCTTATTTGGCTTCATCGATGCTGCTGCTGGTGGCTCGGCGATGGTTGATGCCGCGCCTTCATATTGAGCGGGAAGACTCCCAGTCGGGCTTGGAAGGAACTTGCGCGGCGCTTCGCGCACAAGGATAAAGAAGTTGTCGTTAAAATAAAGAGCAGAAACTTGTCCTGTGCGACCCGATATATGTCGTGTTGAAGATGAATGAATCACTATCAGAGTCTGTGTGACGTGCAGCAGCGGGACGACATGCAGTCTTGAATCGTCGTCATTAGCGGGAGCTCGAAAGCGGGTCGAGGCGCAGATTGTATGGCTTTCTTGGTGGCTGGACGGGATGTTGCCGCTCGCGTGCTGACCTGGGGAAGTTTTACCCGATTAGGCCCTTCCCCAGCCACGAGCAGATATCAGTCCAGTCTCTTCACAACAGGTCACATAACGATGTTATCAGGGACCGCTCAATCACATGAATGCATTATACTGCAGAGCTCACTACCCCGTCCCTTGCTCCAGGCACGGAAGATGAATATTACATGTTGTTGCAAGCGTGATGCGCAATGTGCCAAGTTTTAAATGATTATCAATCTCTAGTCGTAGCCAACGGGAAACGCCCGTGACCTGCACCAATGCTTGGAATCGACATGTATAATGACACGCACGTCAGGGTCATGATCCACGCAAAGGAAGAACCTGCTCTTCAGTCCATTGGCTTGGTTACACTGAAGGTAGACACACACATGGGATAAACTACTGGCATGAAATGAGCACGCGCGAAGTAATCCTTTCCATTTCCATATCGGCATCGCTGCCACTCGTTCAATCATGCCGTCTAGTAGAGAAAGACGGGTTTAAGTGAGAATCATTCCACGATGTTTTCCGAGTCATGCATTGCCGCATGAGACTATGTCACGACTTCCACACGTGGGTGGATTCCACCGACGAACGTAACAGCATAAACGAGAAGCAGGTTGTTCCACGTGTTCGAATCACCTGCATCCGCATTTCAGGGCATGTGAAAACATGAGACCCCCCAACACGCCCATTCATTTTTGGCAAAACAGTTCGATCTCACCCAAAAGTCCGCCCATGCCGTAGCCGCCATCCGCCTGTGCCAAATGCCCATTGGCCTCCCGCCACGCCTCAAACGCCGTTTGTACATCCTCATCGGATTGTATGCTGACGTAGTCATCCTCGTCCAGATACTTCAGTTTGACCTGGTTCTCTTTTGGCCCACGGTCACCGAGTGAGAGGTTCGTGCTGCGTTGCAGTTTCGCATCGATGCGGTCTTTGAGTGATGAATATGTGATGGTGGTGGGGACGACAAGGGTGAGAACCTGGCCGGCGGTTGTGCAGTGGACCTTGACGCGGAGTTGGGAGGATGTTCCGGAATCGGCCGGGAAGGCTTGAAGTTGAGGGGGCATTTGTTGGTAGGATTGTTGTGAGGAGAGGGGAGTCATGCTGCGGCTTGGGGCACCGCTTGCCGGCTGGATGTGTCGTGATGCACTGTGTGGATATTCAGTCGGCGACGCTTCTTGTCGGCTGATAGAGTACAATCGTTCGCGTGAACCGTGCGGGACGTTCGGTGAATTGTTTTGACTTCGGTTTATGACATGAGCTGAATGTTGGTACGATGTAGGCATGTCAGGAACTGGAGGCTGGTTACTACGCAAGGCCAAGCGCTGAGCATTGTGAATATCCGGACTGCTTGCTGAGCGATTTCTGTATGCGGTAGCTTGAGCGCTATGCATGTTGTTGGAGAAGCTAGGTCGCGAAGCTGGTGCCCTACCTGGCGGTGCATAGCCGTTCGACGCACCACTTGATTCACGACTTGCTTGTGGTCGTGGCATGGCAGGCGCAGTGAAACGAGTCTGTCCGTGGTTCTCACCATAATATGAGTTTTGAGGAATCTGTTGCGTGGGGAAAGGGTACACGCCCGAGTTTGCGCTGGTCCTGATGCTGGAAGCTGGCGATTCACCTGTAGGTGAAAAGTAGCTGTCCATGTTCGCACCAATACCAGGCGATGGTCCGCTGAAAGAAGAAAGATCTCGTGTCCGCACAGCAAGTGCCTGTTGTTGCTGTAGGGAGCCGACAGGGAACCTGGGTGGTGGTGATCGTGAGGACGCCATTCCGATTGATGCCTGTGTACTCTCGCTAGTAGTGCTCCGAGATCGTAATGAGGTCGTACTGTCATTTTGGTTCTGTGTGTATGCTGTTCGTCCAGGGAAGTTATTGGAAGACCAGCTTCTCATGCTGCCGGCCATGGCCTCTCCATCCTCGTCCTCTTCTTCGTCGTCATCATCTTGTAAGTGTGGATTCTCCAGTGTCGGTTGATTTTGTAGATATGAGAATTCGGTAGAGCTGGTACCGCTTCGTACGCCGTCACTTGCACGTGCATGCATCCTTTTGCGGTTCTCCCTGTCGACGGCGATTTGCCGCTGGGTCTGAAGCTGTGCCGACCATTTCGTCAAGAGCTCCTCTGAAGCAAACCGGACGACGAAATGCTCCATGGTAGAGCCGCCGTTCCAGAAAACTTGACATGTGTATGAGCCTGGAAGTATATGTCAGCCGAGCGTAAAGGACCAGGGAGATGTCGTTTCAGCAACATCAGGAAGCATACCTGGCTTGATGAAAGACACGACGTCTGTGACGTTTTGCATGAAGATCCGACCTTTGAGCTGATATTTCGGCTTCGCGTTCTTGTCAGCCGGCACATTGTTCCTGGACCCAAGCTTGCTCTTCGGCTTGGCAGGATCAATTGGCTTGCAGCAACAAAGAATCTTCTCAAAGAGATAAATGAAGAATTGCTCCTCCTGATCACTCTTGAGGAAAAACTAAACAAACAAATTAGTACGACGAGAAGTGAGTATGAACTCGCCATTGTACGTACCTGACTTTCCGAATCCTTGCTGTTTGACACGTTATCGCCTTTCAGCAATGTGACTGGGCTGTATAGCAGCAATTTTCCAAAGGCATCTGGGTCCAGCCCTTTCCAATCATCGACGCGCGCACTGAGTTCCCGGACCAATCCGAGCTTTTGCTCGGCGTCCACAGCCTTATTCGCATCCTGCAGAATGGTGGTGACGACTTCTTTTCCGAGGAGAAGATCCTGTTTCTTTTGCTCATCCAGATCACCTTTCTTATACAAGTCGTCTAAGAGCAGCGGATATTTACTCAATCTTTGAAAGGGTTTCATGAGGAAGCCATAAAGAGAAGCTGCGGACTCCACCATCTGTCGCATCTCGATGCTTCCACCTGCTTCCTTTAATCGAGGAAACTCCGCTACGACCATGCGCTCGCATTTTGCCTGATTGGCGATGTATGGTTCGTAGACTTTGAAGCCTTGATCCCATTGTTGAAATATGGATCCCCAATTTTGCTCCTCTTCGGGTAAGAAGTTAATTTGTTCCACACGGATCAAAAATCTTCGCTGAAAATCCAAAAGGTTGTTGAGGTTGAGGAAAATGTGATGGCACGCGTCTCCTGGAATAATACCTTTCTCCTCTACCATGTTTTTGAAAGCTTGGAGGATTTCCAGATGTGTGACATATGTGCGTTCAGTCGTGACCAATTCCGCAATAATGTGCTGCCGTTGTGTTCGTTTTCCTTTACCCGCTCCTTCAAGGTCGGATCCCCGCGTGCGAAAGTCTTCAATATCTCCTCGGCGTACCAACTCATCCAATCCCCAATTTACAACTCTCGCTACTTTGACAAATCCAGTTGTGTCATCGGCATAGAGGTCTGTGATGATGAAAAGTTTTTCCTGCGGAATTTTGAGGTCGGTGATACAGGCTTGCAAAAATTTGAACGCTGCAGCCTTTCCTCTCTTGATGTCTGAATTTGGACCAGTGGCAGAAGGGAGATTCATAGGCTGCCCCGGACGCAGCAATGTGTAAATTGAAATAAGAGGTTGTCCTCGGCGTATTGTGCGCCACAGCAATGTTACGGGGTCAGTGTCATCTTCCGCCTCTTGCTCAATCTGCAGGAACGCCTCCTCACAACCCGGCACGCCTTTCAACCGCTGGCGTAGCCCAACACAGATCTGAAATAGCGATTTGCTCGCATCTGCAACCGAGTTCATGACGTTGTCATTGGCGGTAACTTCATTGCCATTTGGAGTGCCCGGTCCGGGCGGGGAGGACATGGGTGGAGGAGGAAACAGAGTGCTGTGTGAGGTTCCCTCGGTGGTATTACTGCTGCGATTCGATGTGCGGGACTGAATGCTGTAGCTGGAGCCGGTGTGAGCCTGCGAGTGCACCAGCGGACTCGTGGCGGCGTATGCCGCGTTCATGGCGGGGTCGGTGGTGGAGGTGATGGTAGATTGGGCGGCGGGGCGGAGAGCGGAACGAGCGACGCTGGAGAGACTGAAGGATGTGGTCAAAGTGCGGCCGAGTTGAGGAGTCGCATTCGCATGGGTCGCAATTTCCATGCCCGCTGACGCTCTACGCGACAGCCGTTGAAGTCATGAATCGAACGGCGGTGAAGTTGTGTGTCTGTAGTCGAAGGGCGGCGAGGAAGCGAGTCGGGACAAGAATGGTGACGGTGTCGAGGACGGCAATATGATTCTCTCGCAGACGGGCGAACTGTAGTATAGAAAAGAGACAGAGCACGATTGTCGTGAAAATCGAGGGTGGTGTGATGCGGAGATTGTGAGTGGATGTGCAAAGTGTAGTGGTGTCGGCACTGTTCCCTTCTCATACAAAACTCCTGCGTGTCAGGGTCGAGAGAAAAGCGCCCTATTCTTTCTTGCCCCCCAGCCGTGAGCCGGAGGAGAGGAGAAGACGATGGTGGTGATGGTGGCATGCACCCACCCTCTCTCTGTTCTCTTCTCCCTTCTCACGCCCACTGGCCGTGCATACTATCTACCGGGACACCCACCCACCCACACTTCTCTCACACACACACGCATGTATGCCTCCAGTCCTGTGCGCTGTATGGGCGAATTCACTTTCCCCTAGATCGCTCCTGCAAGCCCTGAAGTGGAGGAATTCGGCGGCTACTGCGCGGGGCCCTTTTGGTATCCCTCAGATTCTGCAGGTTAGTGCCACCGATGCGCGTTGCTTCTCATTCGATTTGTTCCTCCAAGGTTCCTGTTATTTTTGTAGGCGGACAAGACAATGTTAACGGCTATCAAACTGCAGCAATATGTCGAAGGTGATGTAGTAGCTCATTGTTAGTGTGAGGCACATCCCGACACTGCCAGGGTGTGTCGGGTTTATCACAAACAGAAGCAAATTGGCTATCACGGGCATGTGTCAGTCCCGTAATCAGCTGGAAGCGACGAGCGCCCTCTCTCTGTCGCGCGCTACCAGCAACGTCGAATCCCAACGACGCGATTCCCGGTATCGCTATCGATCTTGTCATTCTCGATCAAAATAGCCTCCGCGATCCCGAGACTATTGGAACTTCAATTCTATCGAATATCGCGACGTGATTAGAAACGGCCGCGCCTGGGAAGACGACAGCTTTCTGCTTGGCCATCGAAAGCGACGATGAAACGGGGCACTGGCCCCTGAAACCTCCCGATGGTTGAATACACTTGATGTATGCCCAGGTGTAAATTGGTACGGACCTCGGGATGTACCTTACACACAAAGAACTACTAGGTAGGGACGTGGGTTCAGAACAACCAGGATCTACCCGCTCCTCGATATACTGTCGACCGAGTTGTGCCCCACCAGTAGTAATGAACAGGAGGCATTCATGGATGTCATACTCGATCTGCTGCTTTGCAAGGCCTGTCCATCTCACTGTTTGCGACGACTGCAAAGTCGAACTGGTAGATACTTTCGCTTGCGCAACATAATCGTGTGATATACATGCAGACGAGCTGGGATACAGCGTCGGGAGGGTACATGTTGTGACAATGCACTCCACTTGTTCGAGTGTTCAGTGGTGTAGTGCCGGTTTGTCGCTAGAGCTTGTTTCTTCCGACTTGCCGCGGTCACATTTCTTCGACCCGTAACGCCAAGGGATGGGGGATTTGAAGGAACCAACCAATCATGTCTTGATCGCATGAGGTTTCCCATCTCTAACCAAAGAAGAAACAGACAAGGACTACATACGACATATATAGATATACTATGGCGAGTCATCGCCAGCTGACTTCCTTCCTTGTAATGTCGTTCTGCTCACGGATGACGCTGCTGATGGCGAAGGCGTTGTTGCGCTTGCCGCCCGGTCATTCTGCTGACTTCTAAGGTTCGGTGGTACTTAAATTCTCACGATCGAGGGTCCTCGTCGCTTTCAGCAAGGCGCTTGAATAGGGGCCTTGTTTCTCACGCACGCGAGCAGCCATCATAGGCGAGTCATGGCTGTCGCAGGGCCCAGTTTCCGATGCCGAATTTTGTCTTGGACAGCAGGCACACGTGGGCTGCTTTTTGTCTCTGATGACGGTCGATCAAGCAGGGGCCAAGATCGCGACAAACGGAATTACAACAGGTAAGGCGGAACTCTCGCCCGAATGTCGCGTGCTGTGCTGGCGCGTGGTACGACTTCCAGCCAGGCCCAGCTTTGCGCGGTGCTGACATCGGACAACGATGACAATTGTACCAATCGGCTCGTCGTTCTAGAGGTTCATGGTTCTGGCCTCTCATGGACGCAATCGATCGAGAGTTATCGTATGCGATCGACAACTGCTACAGAGCGATCACGACACGTTACGGAACGTAACGGTTACAACCTCCCTCTTTTTCGTTTCTTTGATGAATAGCCATCCACCACTCTGGGACTTATGTGCACAGGGCACGTGAGCAGCCGCCGAGTCGGCACAGACATAGAGAGTCGGCGGCTGGAGGGTCGTATCTAGATGTCAACTAAAACACACACTGCCCAGTTACCTGTACGTCTGCTTCCTTCTGATTCCTTCGTTTGTTGATCCCATGCGAACTGAGCTCGCCGAGAGAGTACTTTGCGATGGACCCAAGGAATTCCCAAATTTCGCCATTTACCTCCTTTCCACACAATAAATGTTGTATAGCACCTGGCACCTATGCTTAATTCCCTTGGGCCGCTAGGGTTGATTCCGGTCTACTGTATCACTAAAAGGCCCTGATATAAACACGCCCGGGCGACCATCATTAACGTCCAAGCGCCCGCATCGACCCCGTCACATGTGTGTGTAGGTACGATTGCACTCGAACATCACATTGACGACTATTGTATATGACCAAAGTACACCCAGACGCAATCATCGTTGGTCCGGAGTCGTGAGCAGTGCGCAAAGTCGCCGACGGCGATACACTGCAGCCTCGTGGCTCAACAGTCAATCCTTCCTTGCCACGCTGCCCCACGCACCATGATGGGCGCGAATTGCAGATCCTCTCCACAAACATAATCAACTAGACGGTTCACGATTCAGTTCATATTTGTAACGTCACCATCCTGGCTCTGGCATGACTTCATACGATTCTTCTGATGCAGACTCTTTGAACGCGCGCACCGCTGCCATCATGAGGCACCAACAATCACTACCCGACGAGAGTTATGCCAGTGACACAAACAGCGCGGCTGGAGCCGATGAGGAGATGCTTACACAATCGGATCACGCACCCAGCACTGCGAGTCAATTATTGAAAAGCATATCGGGTCTCCCAGAGAGCGAACGTATTGGTATGGACACCAGAAATCCATGGTCTTGGTCAAAACGAAGCATGTGCTAATTTGCGATCAGTTCTGGTACAGCATATGCTTCGCACATTTCCCGTTGCTCGCCTGGTAGAATTTCACGAACATCTCGCAACTATGGTTTACTTCGATCCTGTTTCAAAGCTTCCCAACGAGCTCATACTTCACACATTTTCGAATCTGTCACCACACGACCTTCTCACTTGCTCGCTTGTGTCAAGAGGATGGAGAGAACGGGCACTGGATGAAAGACTTTGGCGAGACTGCTTTTCAAGAGAAGGTTGGGACATGGATACAGCCAAATTTAGGGAGCACGAGCGTAGCGCCAGGTCGTTTGGGTTCACCTCAGCATCGCGCAGACTCAACGATGAATCAAATAGTTCTGCCAAGCGAGAGGGTCGGAAGAGACCCCGAGACGAAGCGTTTAACGACAATGGGAAGCAACCAATCGCCGACGAAGTCGAGGACCACGATATGGATTTTGACGAAAACGATCACATGGAGGGAGTCAAGTCTAGCTCGGAGGATGGTCGGGCTTCGTCATCAGAAAAAGGAGTCATAGCATCAACGTCACCCTCAAAATTCAGTTGGCCATGGATTTATAAGCAGAGGCGATTGTTGGAGAGAAATTGGGAAAAGGGAAAGTATGCGAGCTTTCGCCTGCCGCATCCACAACACGAACACGAAGGGCATACAGAATGCGTATACACCATCCAACACATTGGGGACACTCTGGTATCCGGATCGCGCGACGCGTCTATTCGGATCTGGGATTTGAGCACATACCGTTTGAAAGCGAAGCCTCTCTATGGTCACGATGCCAGCGTACTCTGTCTTCAATTCGACGATCGCCCCGAAGAAGACATAATCATCAGTGGAGGCAGTGACAATTATGTTATTGTGTGGAAATTCTCAACAGGTGAAATCATCAAGAAGATGACCGATGCACATACCGAAAGTGTGCTCAATCTGCGGTTCGATGAACGCTATTTAGTGACATGTTCCAAGGATAAAACCATCAAGATTTGGAACCGCAAAGAGATAAGCAATACTGACCCCATCATCCCGATGCGAGCTATCAATGCATTTGCAAACATGGATATTATCCCGCCATTGACGCTGCTTGATGCTTTTGGGGGATCGAGAGACGGCCATGGCGCTGCTGTCAATGCCGTGCAAATCCATGGCGATATCATCGTCTCGGCATCTGGCGATCGTTGCGTCAAGGCATGGAATATCCACACAGGATACCCGATGAAAAAGTATGAAGGCCATACCAAGGGAATCGCGTGTGTACAATTTGATGGTCGTCGTGTTGTTAGCGGATCATCAGACAACACGGTGCGCATCTTCGACTACGAAACCTATCAGGAGATAGCATGCCTCGATGGACACAGTGATCTGGTTCGCACAGTGCAGGCGCGATTTGGTGATCTGCGGATCATCTCTGATGAGGAACTACACGCTCAAGCCCGACAAGTTGACGCGAATTTCAGGCGAGCTGCTGCCGCTGGCGCGATTGAGGAAAGGAAGATCTCTCGACGTGGACCAGGAAGGAACGCTGGGTCTAGCGATCCGAATAAAGTGCTCAGCTTAGGCAATAAAATCCCTCCTGGAGGCGGCGGCAGTAAATGGGCGAGAATTGTTTCGGGCTCCTACGACGAGACGGTCATCGTTTGGAAGCGGGACGGCGAGGGAAATTGGAAACCAAACCAACGTCTTCACCAGGGTATGCTGCCGAATACTCGTGCGGCTGCAGCAGCTCGCTCGGGGGCTGCCTTCCAACCAGCAATCACACCGGCACTCGCTGTATACCCTCTGACGGCCGCTGATGCAGCTGCGCAGCAAGCACAGGTTCAACAAGCGCAGATCCGTCAACAGGCCGCCACTGCAGCCTTGGCACAGAGGCAACAAGCTCAGCAACAGCGTTTACTTAACGCGCAGCAAGCTCAAAGAGACGCTCTCCAGCGCAGCCCACTTGCCGCGAACGCTGTCCAGAATTTCGGCGCCGCAAGCGATGCCCAACCTTCTACACATCCACACAATTCCGCTCCGCGCTACGCCCAACCTCGAGATGGCCTCAGCGCAGGACCGGTTTCGGGCGCACCTCCCGTTGTCGTCTCTCCTGCGGCTATCGGCGGCGCTCTCCCAGTGGCCGCACCCGCAGCAGGACCTAGCACAGCATCACGACCAATCCTCGCGCAGACCGCTGTCGGCCCTGGCACTCAAGGCCCTTCCATTGCCACAGCAGCTCCAGCACCCGGTCCAGCAAATCTGCAGCCTCATCACCACCATCACGGCCACCATCATCACCACCATCACCATCACCGCAATCCCGCCGCTGCAGCCGCCGCCCGCGCAGAGTCGAATCGTGTTTTCAAACTCCAATTCGATGCGAGGAGGATCATCGCTTGCAGTCAGAACCGCGTTATCGTGGGATGGGATTTCGCCGCCGGTAATAAGGACCTCGAGATGATTGGTGATTGGAGCTCGGAGACGCCTTGATCGCCGCTTCCTTGCATCACTCAATTTGCCTCTGTCGCTCTCGGTATCATTACTTCCTGGGTATTCATTTGAGTTTGCACGCTATTGGTCGTTGATCGCTTGCTCTTGGAGGGCGATTCTTGGCGGTCAGTCGGTGGGCCCGATCGTGTGCTTTCTCTCGGCTTGTCCTCTTTTTTTCCACGTGCGCGTCTCTGGTTCTCATCACGATTATATCCTTGTCAGTCTTGTTTATTTCCTGCATTCATTCCCAGGGATATGCATTTGTTCTTCCTTTTCCGAATTATTTTTTGATGTCTTTTCTTTTCTTACGAAAGCGGAGATGGGTGGATTATTATTGATGAGCGGGTTCGATTAGTTGTCATCGTATGCATTGTAGAAACTTTCAACACTAGCTAGCATAGCAGGTTTGAGAACAAAATCCGCACGCTCTGGATGACCTGGCACGGAATAGACAATGTGCGCTGTTCGTGAAAACGGCCCGCTCTCTCCAAAACCATTGCAGGAGGCAAATCGCTCAAGTCGTTCATCCTGTCGGTGCTGTAACTGCATCCCGGAAGATCTCCGCTCAGCTTATATCACATGTCGTAAACCACAGTCAATCGGGATCGTGATACAAGGAGGTTTTCACACAATGATCAAGATCATGAATGATTTCCCCTGTCAAGACCAAATCCTCCGTGATATCGCTTGCGAATTCTACCTCAAATCTATATTTTCTTGACCTCGGAGCATAAAGCAGCGTCTCGGGGCAGGATCACACGATTATTTCGAAAAGTTAGTTTATGCTGGAACATCAATGTGTTCGTCATGCGGTGTTTGGCAAAAGCGCGGCGTACGCGAACTCGTCATCCTGATTTCACTACAGAACTTCCTTGCTCATTAGTGATGCCGATATGCCGTCAACCCGAACGAGCCCACTTCAGCTCGCCATTGTCCACATGCAGATAGTGAACTTCAAGGCAGTCCTCGTCGTAGATAAAAGTGTGGTCGTTGTGTCAAAGGTTTGTACTCCCGACGCGATAAACCCGATCTTCATTCCTCGATCCAACACGCTCCAACGCAACGATCTGCCATTGGCGTCCAGGGCCTCAGCAAAATAGATATATGTCGAATCTCTTACCAGTGTACTCGTGAGCTTTGAGGACTGAATCGCATCGAATCTGACTTACCTTTGCCAAAGGACCAGTACAGTCCAGGATTGTCGCGTCCGTTCCACGCGACGTCACCATTGCGGCAGTCCTTGGACATATATGCGCGAGTCCGTCGCCGGTCCAGCATCCTCCTTCGCGGAGCAGGTTCAATGCGCAAGTACTGAAGGTCTTCCTTGGCCATGCCCCCATCGCACCTACACTTGAGTAATTTCGTTTCAGCTCTGCCGACGCCACCAGAAAGGAGAACGATTTGCTCCCTATTAATTGACGGCATCGTGAGGGGAAGCTTCTCCATGGACACAAGGACAGGTTCTTGCTAGATGCAGGGCTTCAGCCAGCCCGGGCGCTCCGCATGCAGCCCGTCCTATGGATAGGTAGGCAATGAACTCTTGAACGGGCTCCGTGAACGAGCAATCTGCAGAAAGATTCAATTTTCTCAGGCTCTTCAATCTGCCCAGACCTGGCTTTTAGCTCTCTTTCCAAACTTGTCTTGCATGGATGTTCAATAGCTTGACTCTATTCTTGATGGAAAAAGTCCTGGCAATTTGGTGTTCTTGCAATTTTCATTTCGAGATCTTGCCCAGGTGTGCAACAAGAGGTCGGCTTATAGCTGCGTGCGGAGCGCATTCCGACCCGAGGAGAGAATTAAAAATAATGGGCATATATAGTCGTGGGCAAGAGCCACCAGTAGACCACAATTCCATCACGACTTCGTCGACCTCAACGACAAGAATGAATTTGGCTGTTCTTAACCCGCAACCGAAGTGGACTTATCATTCGACGGACGCTTCCTTAGCTATGATGTTTATTGTCTCGGAAGAAGCTCACTTGCAATGACTTCGATGTACTCAGGTAGTAAAGTATGTGTATATATGGATGGCGCTTTTGTAGCACTAAACGCTTGGACGAAAAAGCGCACTTGAAAGACAGCACCTTATTGTCTTCTTCATTCCTCTGGATTATACTCTCTATATCGCCCCGATCAAACAGTAGCATTGTTTGGTGAGAGGCGCATACTCAATAAATCCTGGTAGCCCTAGTTGGTTTCTAGTCCAAATATACATCCAGGTCTTATATGCACAAATTGAATGGCGACGATCGCACGTGCGGAGCTGTTTAAACGAGGATCATACTGCCGGAAATCGGCACGTTTGGCGGTCAGGATCGGACGTTTCAGGCCCGACACGAAGCTCAATAGCGCAGTCAAGCGTAATACTTGCGGAAGGGCATTGTGCTTTCGTCCCGCTAATTGTCTGTTGCAGCGTTGGAAACAACGCCATTGGTGATTCAAGTTCTTCGCCGCGAATTTTGTTCAGTTTCGCGACGCTGTCAACGTGGGCTCACAAGACACAGTTATACGCCTGAGCTATGGGCACAGCTGACATTGGTGACCCGACAGATGTAAGAGCCCCAGGGCTTGGGTTCACTTTCAAGCAATTCATGCAGAAAGTTTGTTATGCAGAAACTTTAATGTGCAGCCGGACATGACTCCACCACGAGCAAAAAAAGGCACATGCGTTGTCGTGTTATTCAATCATGAAGTTCCCATTAGAGCTTGCATCAATAGCAATCGAGTCCGCTCAATTACCTAGTGCCCCCAATTCTCTAGTGGCATTCAAAGCTCTCAAGGAGATCACTCCGCTCTGCTCCAATCCCCTCGCCGACTGAGTCCACGCTCTTGTTATTCCACGCTCCTATTCCCCCTCGCTTGTAAGCTCTAACGTTTGACCAATTTTTTTCCCTTTCAGCTCGGTTCAATGGTGAAATTATCTTTTTGACGCGAAGGATTTGCAGTCCATGCTGCTGCGCTGCCAGGCATTCCTTCGCGCGTTGCTGGCCCTACAAATACCGTCATCGAGGCTTGAGATGACAGCAGCCTCTGACGGTTTACGTGCATTTTCTCGGCCGAATGCCGTGAATCTGAGACTGCGAGGATACGTCGTAGACACACGAGCGTTATTTAGTCGAGAAAGATGTGTATTGCATCGTGGGTTAATTCCAGTGGAGAGGTTGTCCCAGTACCGAATATTGGGCACTTGTGGGCTGCTGGAAGGTTTGCGCTGGAAGTGATCTACGTGAAGACGAAAGCTTATGGGCGAAGTGGTGGGGGCGAAGTCAGAGTTGCGCCAACCCATGAGTTTCGCGTCGGAGCTAGTCGAACGACATCACACCATACTAGGTATTGTGCATTGCGAATGTTCAGCTATTTCACATTATGATCCGTTTAGCATTTCGGTGGCTCGTCTGCGTAGGCACAGGGGCAGCATTTACTATGCAATGAGCCGAGTCGTTTTCGCGAAAACGAACAAGGCATTCATTATTTCTTCCACATATCGTATGATGATCTACAACAACGCGTTTTTGATGCAATGCAAAGTGCAGATGGGATGACTCTAAACCCGCAAGTGGGCAAGGGATTTTCAGTTGATCCCCCTTTCTCCTCCTCCGTGATGCCCCGAAATGTGTCAAAGTTCCGTATATCCACACGGCAAATAAATCCTCTCTAATGCTTTTGATGCTGCCAGGATTAAGTTCAAACAAAATGAAGCGCGCCAATTCATCAATTATTCTGTCGAGCCGGCTTGTGCAATGCAGAAAAAGCTCAAGATCAGCCTGTCCTCCGGAATGCGATGCCAGTGCAGCGAAGCCGATTATGTCTATGTATCCGTCTGTAATGATCATTCTGGGGAGCAATCAGCACATCATTTCAACAGCGATGACTAATCACACAATCATACCATATTGTCAAGTCTTGAAAACATCCGTGGACATCCCACTGCCGCACACGCTATTTGCGGCATGTGAGACGCGCTGTGCCTTCTAAGGTCTTTGGCAGTGGCAAACACCATGCTGCAATCCGCATTTGTGCAGGCATGGGTCTTCTGATGTGTTGCGAAATGTTTTCGGAGGTCACAGGCCCGGTAGAAAATCTTCTTCTGCTTGCAAGACTCCCATTTGCATGTCCACCCGCCATCTGTACTTGATCGATAGCCCATTCCCTGGAGGTCGTCGGGGGCCTCGAGATCTGCGTCGGACATGGTTTGGTCGAATGCATATGATGATGACTCGTCCGTCGTCTCAGAGAAGCATACATCAAGCATCTGCGGCGAAGTATCCGACTCCGAACATGTGAGCAGTTCCGGGCAGTCTCCCGTTTCGCCAGTTGCAGTATTCGCAACCTCCACCGGCTGAGGGTCCCAGTCGCTTCCAACTTCCGGAAACATCGGAATCTCGGAAAGCTCAAGCATGAACTTGTCAGAAGAATTGAGCCCAGCATTTGTATCCGAGCCGGAAAAGAGTGAGAGATCGGCGTCCACCCGATTCAAAGCCGGATCGAGCACAATTGGCGAGAATGAGTTGAATGATGAAAAATATGAAGAAGCGTGCAACGCACGGTCAAGTGGACCTGTTGATGTCGGAAATGTAAACGGTTCTAACTCTGTAGATGGTATGCTTGTTGGTGCTGGCTGCTCATCTATTTGATAGGTTTCGGCGGATTGTTCCAGGAGCTCGGCGATATCCTGAGAAATGTATTGGCGGTGGTCGGCAGTCTCGTGCGCCAGACATCGCTTCCCATGATTGCAAGTGTGTGAATTGCGCCGCTCGCATGCTTGGCCAAGAACTCCCATGGTCATGATTCTCTTATTGTTGATCGCGCTCGCCTGGGAATGTTGTTACAATGCTCGTGGGAAATACGTCAATTGTACTCATCAATACTCGGCGAGGAGCAACCACAAGTTGATCTAATGTCGAGGCATGATGCTGCCTACACGTTCGCACATGCGATCGGGTTGGACTGTCATTGGTGAGCAGGAGCCCAAGCAGGTCCGCAGTAACGTCTCCACGACAATGGTGATGACGATCGATGACCAATACGCAGCCTTGAATTGCTCATTGTGATTTGCTGTTGAGTGCAGACTGAAGCTTGTCTCCACAACATTGCTCGAGCCGACGCACATGCACAAAAAGCTTCGGAAGGACAGGCACGGGCGGCGTGCAAACGAACGCCGGTCGTGCGCTAATGTGGGTGAGATGATAGAGAAGAGGGAAATGCTGTCGACGTCGACGTGAATCTTGCATGGATCTAATTTAAAATGTCGAGGACCTGCAAAGTGTCTGGGGCGTGGAGCGAAAGGCTGCCAAGACCCACTTGGAGGTCGGCATCACCCCTCGAGTTCGGCAGCAGCCTACTTAACCAAGCTTTCCGTTCCTGTTTGGGGCACTGTTGGCAGCCCGCGCCGCACTGGCATTGGGCGCTGGTTTGCAAGGATCTAGGGCTTGCAGGGGGGCTTCCGCCTGTTGAGCTCCACCTCGTCATTCTGCATTACTTTCTCTCCTCGCTCCCCGGCTGGTCTTTCACAATTTCGTTCAACTCCAGCCGACACGATGACTAGACAGAAGCCATTCCTTGGTGATGCTGTCCTTCACGGTGAGAAGCTGAGCAATGGCGTGCTCCCTCAACCTGGCGCGACGGTACCTTACTGGCGTTCCCAGCTTCATTGGCTGGACGAACATCGATCGAGCGACAACTTGCCCACGGACTGTGACATTGTCGTCATTGGAGCAGGCCTGAGTGGTGTCTCCTTCGTTTATCATCTATTGCAGATGTATGAAAAGGGCTGTGCGCCCTCAATCGTACTTCTTGAAGCTCGACAAGTGTGTTCAGGTAGGACGATGATCTCAACACGGCATCACGGATATTTAGGGCTGATCGGTTCCCCGCAGGCGCCACTGGGCGAAACGGCGTGAGTTTCGCGCTGTCCTCTGGCAATAACTTTCGCATCTGCTCTAATTTCGTAGGAAACAACGCGCTGAATTTCTTTGAATTAATAGGGCCATGTGAAGGTTCGAAGCACAGGCGTCCAGTTGAATAAGCGCCGTCATGGTGTCGCGACCGCAGAGGACATAGCACGATTCGTAACCGCTCAAATTGATGCGCTCAAAAACGTCATCGAGAAGGAGGAGATCGAATGCGAGTTTGAACTCAGGCGTAGCTTCGATGTCTTTCTCGATGAGAAGGAGGCGTCTGCAGCCCGGAAGGACTTCCAAAACAGTGTGCGTGCCAAGGAACGCTGGACACGCGACATTGCTCCAGTGCCTGAGCAGTACATCGAGCAGGTTGGTGTTCCCTGCAGATGGTTACACCGCACCATCTTGACAGAGCTCACAAAAAAACTGATGCTTGGCAGATAACATCTGTCCGCGGAGCCAAATTTGCGCTATCGATGCCCGCCTGCTCTTTCTGGCCTTACAAGCTTGTCACTGGCTTGCTGGAGAAGTGCATTGGCTCTATCAACCTCCAGACTAATACAGTCGTCACTCGAGTCGTCGGAGGCACGAAATATAGTGACGTGCATACCAGTCGCGGTACCATTCGCGCGACTAGAGTAGTGTTTGCAAGTAATGCCTACACAGGTGGCATCGCTCCAACATACACCGGACGCATTGTGCCCTACAAGGGCAGCAACTCGCACATCGTTTCACAGATCGGTGCTATCGCGCCACAGCTAACACAGACGTACAATATCGCGTTCAAGACAGGGTTTACGGATTATCTGAATCCACGACCTGACGGTAGTATCGTTGTGGGCGGAGCCGAGTCCGCCTTCAGAACTTTGCCGACGCGTGAATCATGGTATGACAATTGGGATGATGCGTCTTTGTTACCTGGAATCCAGGAATATTACGAAGGTTACATGCAGCGAACCTTTCGAGGTTGGACGGCAACCGACGGGAAGCTCTGGACGGGCATCATGGGTCAAACCTCCGATGGCCTTCCTCACGTCGGCCGCGTAGTCGGGCGTAATAACCAATTCATCATGGCTGGCTTTAATGGCGGAGGGATGACCATGATCTATCTCACTGCACGAGGCCTGGCTCGAATCGTCAAGGACGACGTAGTATTCTCCGACACTGGCATCCCGTTGTGTTTCGAGACGTCTGCAGAAAGACTTGCGCAAATGCCGATGACAGCGAGCACGAACGGCTGCGCTTAAATTGAGTTCAGGGACCGGCTCGTAGTTTGAATAATGATATGGTTATCATATTGTTCTTCGAGCCATAAACTTGTTTTCGCAAATGAAAGAACATTGTGGATCGCTGGGATGATCTACATGGGCTGCAGAGCTAATTTAGCACCGCACTTGCAAAGGCGTGCGTCCATGGCGCGTAACGCTGGAGCTTTCCCTAAGTGGAAGGCATACCTCTCTGATCACGATGGCCATGATGCACACAAGCAAAGTAAGGCCATCCTCGACATTGTCGTTCACGTTTCCTGTGAACTCGCTCTTCACATGAGTATGCCACGAATTATGATCCTTCTGTCAGACATTCGTCGAAGGACCTTGTGATGGGCAATGTTGGACCTCACATTGAGAGCCGAAGATAATCGAGACCTTGTTACAGCAACATCATCGCTTCTGGAGAAATGTCTACCGGATCTTGTCCAATTGCCAGCCGCCTACGAAGACTTTGGATCTGACCTTTTCGATCCAATTGCGCCCTCATCTCTGCTGCAATTATGCTTCGAATATGCATCGAATCGAGCGACGGCGTTGATGACGAACAACGGCAGTAATGGTCCTCTTCACGTACGACTTTACGAGGCCAGCTCTACTGTGCTTCGGACGACCGCATCTCATCCAGCATCCGTTGCGCCTGACGCTACTCTAGAGGATTGGTGTCGAGCTGTGGCCGGCGATCGACTAGGTCTCGATATGCTTGGACTGCTGTTGATCATCGCTGCACAGATTCAGCACATTGCGAGCGCTACCTCTTCGTCTCCGTCTCGGTCATCAAGCTTCGTCAAGTTATATGAATGCGGGACCATTTGTTTGCAGACTTGTCGAGAAATTTCCCAAATTGCAAGCGATGTGCAAGTTTGGTTGGCCTATCATCAGCTCCTGCTTACCATGCGACTGTACGGACATTCTGGTAATTATTACTCTCACACATCTTTGACAATGCATGTTCTGACGAAGAACGATCTCGCAGCTCCGCAGGTCTGGCGGCTCCTGGGCGACCTCGGCACCGATGTCACATCCGCTGGTTTGTACAAAAACAGCACCATGTGTTTAAAATCTACTCCAGGATTTCTCTCCGAATGTCGTCGCAATTCTTTTGCTGCATGTTTCACAATCGATAAGATCCTCGCTACAGTGTTCGAGCGCCCGCCTCGTCTATCGTTTCGTTTTTGCGACATCGAGCCAGACATGAAACACGCACACAATGGTCTATCTAGCCATCAACGATCCCGATGTTCGACACGCCAGTCTACATCTAAGGCCACCACATGCCAACACAACACGAATCAGAGTGCTTTCACATGGGTTTGGGCGAGCTACGGTGCTAGTCGGCTTCGAGAAGAGATCCTTGAAGCACTTTTCGAAACCGAGACCACAGATGATGGCAACATCAAGCTCAGGTCAGAATGCGATCTTATGATTTCTTTCTTCGTCACGTGCTGAAATGTCATCATAGTCAACTACTCCAAAGCTGTGAGCAACATTGGCTCTCTCTCCCAGAGCACGTTCGATACGACGCCGTCGACGAAAGCAATACAGAGCGCGACACCCAAGAGAACCTCGTGTGCGCAGCGACATATCTATTCCACCTGCAAAACCTTGTTTGTATTCTACGCCAGCTGCAACAAGGCGAAGGAGGACAAATTTTCCGCCGCCGTCTGCTAGAAACCTCAACCAAAATCCTCGTCGTATTGAATAAGATCGGCACAAACACCGCGCCCCACCTACGCCCGACATGCGTGAATCTTGTGAGTAGAGATCGACGATATGATAGTTTCCTCGATCAACGTGCTGACGCAGAAGCACTAGTTTTGCATCTACGGACTGTCCAGCGCAGCTGCTCTGATCAAGGCCCTGCGGCAAGCTTCGGCCGAATCTCCGGTCGACCGATCGCAAGTTGTCCGAAGTCTGACGATTTTCTCAATCAACCTGGAAGCGTGCTGCTCACCGCCCGATGCCGTCTATGGCCTGTGCACCGAGGCTTCACGTGCAATTTCGAAGGCACTCGATCGGTCTATGTAATGTTGCAAGAATTGCGTTGGTGTTCGTTAAGTTTGTTGCTTGGTGACAAGGCGATGATGGATGAACAGTGTCTTGGTGAATGAAATCGTAATCGTCGTGGTTTCTTGGTCGAACTTTATTCAGAAAAACAGTGACGTGAATTCCTATCAGTGCCATCTCGCTGAATATATCAACTCGCCTCTATGACACATTTTCTTCTAAGTCCTAGGGTCGTCAGCGAAAAGCAGGAACGTTGAATGTTCCATCGCAGATTGTCGTTCCACTAAATTGCTCGCCACGAGATTACACCTAACCCAAACCCTAATCCCAAGCTTATATTTTGCCTAACGCGTTTCTGCGATCACGATGGGTGACACGATGGTAACTCACCAGAGAAAAACCAGATGTATTCAAATGTCTATGTCTATCAAGCGTTGGACACAAATTTTATTCCAAGCGGGAGATGCGAGTTGGAGAAGAAGACGAAGCCGATCTTTCCTGCCAAATTAACTTAACACTCTCGATGACTTGAGGTCATCGGAAATAGCATGCATCGCACGCACGAAAGCTGCGTCGAGCTCCGCGATCATTGATTCATCAACGCGATTTCTCCAGTAAGTGAACTGAGCCTCCACGGCCCCGTTCAGCTTTAAGTCAATCTCGACAACGATGGAGAAGTGAAACGGATCTCTGGCGTCCACAAGGTTAAACATGCGGGCATGTGAGCTCGCTTCAGGCGCTTCTGTGCGGATGTTGATAATGGTGTCTGCTTCCGGACACTCGATTTCGAGAGCTGCTGCTTGGTGGTCCAGAGATGAGAGAAATTCTACTTGATGCTCGAATGTCTGGGCGTGTAATGCTTGAGTCCTGTCCAAGATGATTCTGCATGGAAGGAAGGTGATACAAGGTCCACATGCTTTTTGATTATCAGTACGTTGCTGAGATCTTGTGGAAACGACGGCCTTGAACAAGATGTCAGGTCGATTGAGATGATCACCGAGGGCCGTGGCCCAAGCGAGGCGTGCGACAGCAGGGACGTTGGTTCCGTGAGAAGCGAATGAGGTGGTGGTGAAGGCCTTGAGGTCGATTTTGCGAATTTGAACGAAGTCAGAATCACGCAGGTCAGCCTTTCCAATCACCGTCGGTGGAGAGGATTGTAAGAGCTTGCCCCAATATTGTCGTGCTTCTATGGACGGCCTTGCGGACTGACCCCGAGCATACAGAGTGTACGGAATTTCAGTATCAGAAGCCTGCAGAACACCTTGCATTGCAGTTGAAAGATCATCAAGAATGTTCCCCATGGTTGCGGCATCGACAATGGCATGGCTCATCTCAAGCAGGAGCAATGAACGTCCATCTGATCTCGGGAACACGCGCAGGCGATGCGGGAGCTCTTGCTGGGACAAGTCCAGACACTGCGTCTCCAGAGCTCTTTGCGCAGTCCATATCTCATTTCCTGAGGCAACGGAAATTGTAGAGCTGGCTGTGGAGGTGACTATCTGGTATAGCTCGTCATTGCAGCTGCGGAACACAGTTCGCAGTGACGGATACCTTTCGATGATGTGCTGCCAAGCAGATGCGATTGTCTCCTCGGCGACATCACTTCGTGTCATCTCAAGAACAAGCCGAGGAATATAGACTTCGTTGTTCATAGTCTGAGCACCCAGCATTATCTTCTGGATCGAAGATACTTTGCTCACGTCCTCGATCGAGCCTTTTACAGAACCAAGCATCGCTCGTGTAGCCTCAGGTGTTAGCGATGGCAACATGAACGCCGGGGTCAGCAAGTCTTCAGCAGCGTACGCTGTAAGGCGTTGTCTGAGATCCACAAAGCAGGTCTGAATCGCGTCTTGACGGGCCATCTGTTTGTTGTGAATCACCGCAATTGACAGGCAACCATCAACGACGTCCACGGAGATGTCGAATAAAGCGAAGCGAGGCATGTTCGGGCTCATATCTAGCAGATCGCCCTCCTCGAGGATGATTTTCCGGAAAAGGCTGTCTGATGATTCAAGACTCTGGAAACTACCTGTAAAGTTGAACAAGATCTCCGGAATGTTCACTCCGTCAAGCGGACTAGAGGAAAACTGCTTGGCTGCAAACCATCGCTCGGCATCATAGGCTTGTGCTTGGCGCAGGGCGTGCACATGAGATGTCAAGCTGTGGAGATCCTGTCCTTCAGATGCCTGTAAGGGGATAGGATACAGAGTCGTGAACCAGCCTACCGTATCCGAAATATCCAAATTGTGGTGGTGGGCTTGCCGTCCGTGACCCTCGCAAAATACCGTTGGTGCAGGTCGTTCAGGGAAATGTGAGTGGAAGGTAAGGCCGATGGAAGCAAGGAACACATCTGTGATGCTAGGTCGATCTATTCCCTTGGACATGGCAAGGAGCTTTTGTGAGGTCTGCATATCCAGGGAAAACGCATGACGTGTGGCCGACGCATATGAATTATCCTTCGAGGTTAAGCCCCAGAAAGCACGATGGTCGAAGGGATTATTGACCGGTCGTTCCATAGTCGATGACGCCGATTTTCCTACTCTCAAGAGCATCTCTTGAGACGAGCACCATTCTTGGAATGAGTGTGAGTCGCTGTGGAGCGGATTCTGGCCCGCTAGAATTTCTTCTAGATCGCGTAGGACGATCCTCCAAGAGACTAGATCGATAAAGAAGTGATGAACGACAAGGAAAAGATACTCTTCCGAATCGATCTCGATCATATCAGCACGAAAGATCGGACCGTTGATGAGATCAAGCGAAGCCTCCGCCTCGCCGATTATGGAAAGCAGCTCGTTCCAGTCTTTGGCGTGAGAATGATGCTGGAAAGAAAATGAGGAGTTATCTTTGAGGATAATTTGAGACCAAGTGCCATCCGGGTTGCGTAGCGCGCGAGCTCGAAGCATCTCGTGTCGTTGAATTACGAGATTTAATGCGTTCCGCAATGCATCGGCAGACTCCGGCTTCTGCAGATGTAGAAGAAAGCTTTGATTGAAGTAGTGCTTCTCTGTTGGGGCCATGCTCGCGTACCACATTTGTACCGGGGACAGGGGAAAGGGCCGATGGATGTTCCTGGGGGTCGGGGCAGCAGCAATAGTGTCACCGAACGTCACGTTTTTGCCGAGTCTGGAAATGGTGGAGTGAACGAGTAAGTCTCTTACCGTGATTTTTAGGCGGCGCTGTCGAGCCAAGCTAACGATCTGCATGGCAACGATACTGTCTGCGCCCTGCAGTGAGTAGAAGCCACGGTCAACGGGAACTTTCTCGGCCGAGAGATTCAGTGCCCGGCACCAGATCTGTTGTAGCATAAGTTCTACCTCTGTGGCAGGTGCCTGGTATTCAGCTATGTCTTCGCTGTCGTCATGCGCAATGGTATCGATCACATCTGCCGACTCCTGTGAAAGGTTCTCCACCCAGGTTGTGACTGCCTTGCGGTCGGTCTTGTGTGATGCCTGAACGGGGAGCTGATCGATGGGAGCCCAGGCAGTGGGAATCATGAATGTCGGTAGGTTCTTCTGAATGGTAGCTCTGCACTCAGAGATGACTTGGCGCGCTGCTTCATGACGTGATTTGTGCACAACATTCAACTGATGTGAATTTCGCTCACCGTGAGATGAGAAGGTGAAACAAGCCACCAATCGTTTCTCCAGAGGACCACATCGCGGATAAACCACGATGGCTGATCCGACCGATTCGTGACGAAGTAGTGTCTCAATTTCACCTATTTCAAGGCGTTGTCCTCGGATCTGTTCAAGTTAGCTTCACCTGCTGCTTAAACAATGGGTGAATGAGAAGCACTGACCTTCACCTGAGTATCGATACGACCGAGATAATTGATCTCGCCCGTCCGGCTCATCTGGCACAGATCACCGGTCTTATAGATACGGCCTGTCCTTGAGCTGGTAGTCATTAATAGTGTTGTACCGGATGAGTCGACGAAGGCTGCGTTAGTTTTAACGCTATCGTTGAGATATCCCCTCGCGAGCGATCCTCCGACGACAAGTTCACCTGCCACACCCAAAGGGACCAATTGAGTATGATCGTCGGGCCGCACAATCCACGCTGGTCCGGACGTTGGTCTCCCAATCGTCCTGATGTTATATTCGCCTTCACTGTAAGGGTACATCGTGGCAATGATCGAGGTTTCGGTTGGGCCATAGCAATTGTAAAGCTGCAGGCTGTTTTTCCATACTTTGATAAGGCCCTCGTCTATCGCCTCGCCACCGGTGCAGAGCTTCTTCAGAGTCGGCACATCTGCGGGGAGGAGTGTTCGCAGAAACGTCGGTGTGAGGAGCGAGAAGTTGACGTTCATGCGACTGCATGCAGCGGCGAATCCGTCGAGCCGTTCTTCGTCCCCAAGGACACAGACAGTGCCGCCGACCAGGAGGGTCATGAAAATTTCGAAAATGGAGGCGTCAAATGCATAGCTGGCGAATAGTGCGCCGCGCGTAGTTTCATCGACTTGAAGGTACCGGTTCAACCCATACAATGAGGTCAGAATTGCGGAATGTTGAATCACGACTCCTGGTACCCAAGATTAGCATGCATACAGACGAGAGACTTTATATGGTACAAACCTTTTGGACGACCGGTGGAGCCGCTAGTGAACAGAACATATGCTGCATCTCGAGGATCAACGATGTTACGCTTAGTAGCCAGCCCCACACACAATTGCGCGATAGATGTCGCGTCAACAACGGCAGCCCGATTGTCAGGCCAATCGTGAGCATATCGCCGGGAGGTCAGGATGATCGATGGTTGTGTCTGCGCGATGATTTCGGCATGTCTCGCGGGAGGATGACCCATATCAAGAGGGACGAAGCCAGCTCCAGCTTTCATGGCCGAGATCATGCCTACCACGCTCCATATGGTCTTCTCAAATCCAAGTACGACAAGGTCGCCACAGCCACAACCGTTCTGGAGCAGCCAGGTCGCCAGTCTATCAGTCATATCCATGAGTTGGGCATAAGTCAAGGTCTCCGCGCCGGAGACTACTGCCGGCTTGTCACACAGATGAATGGCGACCTCATCGATCTTGTCGTGTAAAGTGGAGTTGATGGAAGCCACACTCGCGAGCTCGTTCCACTTTCGCAAGAGATTTAGATCGCTCAATGGCACATTTGGTAATTGTGCGCAGGGCGCAAGTGGATCGGCCTCGCCTAGAGTAACCAACATGTGACTGAAATGGCGCATGAAGGACTCAACTAGCTCTTCACTGATGACCTTGTTGTCAAAATGAGCAACAGCGCTCCAAGTATCCTCATTCTCGAGTGTAACCTCGACGGTCAGGGGGTACGCGTCGATGTTTTCCGTGCTATGTGCAAGTGTTTCCTGTGATAACAATATTGGCTCGCCGTATAGTGGAACATCATGCGCGCCTGGACGCTGGACCACAAACAGCGTCTGGAAGCTTGTTGCAGCTACGAGCGCTGGCGACTTTGGTTCAAATGAACGAATGTCAGCTACACCAACGTGACCATGCTCAAGTAGAGAAATGCTCATGTTTTGCACGTCGGAAAGGAGACGCTCAACGGTCGTTGTTCGGGAACTATCGAGCTGCACACGAAATGGAATCGTTGACAGCGTTGGCCCGAAGATGTGCTCAATGCCTTGCAGAGCATGATGCCGCCCGTCGATTGTAACACCGAAAACGACGTCATCGTTCGCATCATGAAACGCACGCAATGATAGACCGCAGGCGGCGCGCATTAACGACGAATCGGTGATTCCGGGCACACGCGATCTGACCCTTCTGCCGGCAAAATGAAATTGATTCTTGACATCCACTTCGTAACCTTGATGCGGTAAAGGCGGATAAGCCGAGCCTTGGAAACCACCGAGAGAAGTTTGCCAGAAAGATTTTGCAGTGTCATAATCACGTCCAGCAAGATAGTTGACAAAAGCGGAGAAGGGCGGCCTGCCAGGCGCTGGCGTCGTCTGATTTGTGTAGAGTATGCTGACATCGCGGCAAATATCCCATAAACAGCCACCATCGTAGATAGAATGATGCACATCCCATCGTAGCTTGAGTACGTCCTCGTTGGTGTCTAAAGAGACGTGGTGCAAAGCCTGTCCGTAAGCTCCAATGGGCATTTCGTGTGTATAGTCAAGTATCGAGTCGACATCGGCTGCTACGATTGCCTGCCATGCCTTGTGCGAATCGTCAACAAATATCCGCGTTCGGAGGATCGGGTTGGCCGCAATCACAGTCTTCCAGGCGTGTCGCAGCAAATCAGGAATCACTCCCTTTGGCAATCGGAAATGGTATGTCGCAACAAAGGCATTCTCTCGGGCAGAGCTAAGCGCCACCAAGCTGGCTTGGAGTGTCGTGCAGGGATATACATCCTCAATTTGCGATAGGTCTATATTGCAGCTCTTGCTGGCTTGCTGCAAAAGGGCTGTGGTTGCAAAATTATTATCGCCGAATGCCCCAGAATTTGGGCTATCGCTTGCGGCTGCCGGTTTTTTCGCTGGGCCAACAAGCTCAGCTAGCTCATGAATAGATCGAGCTCGTAGGACGTCCTGAAAGCTGAGGCTGAAACCCGAAGTCCTCAGATAGCTCAGAGCTCGAAGACCAGTGATGGAATCTGAGAACGTCAGCACGCTGCTCTCGGGATCGATATTTTCGACCGTAACGCCCGAGGCACGTGACCATGCATTCGTAATGATTTCTGCATTCTTGCTTCGCGGCTTCGCTACCACGCTCGAAGTAGGCGATGATCGTTGCTGAGCTTGCCACGTTTGGCCAAGATGACGGAGGGCTTTGCGATCCACTTTTCCGGAGAGTGAAAGAGGTATTCTCTCGAGATATAGATACAAGTTCGGTATCTTATAGCGGGCGAGAACAGCTCCAAGGCTGTCCCTCCATCGCGAAACAGTCTCTGAACGGGACTCATCAGCTAAGACGACTGGGTTTCTTTTCCCTTCGGCAAGTCTCCCAGCAGTGTAGAAGGCGGTGAGAATGCTCCCGCCGATTGGAGATTCGATGACATCCACCACGAACACGCGGGACTGGTCGAGTCTCTGCAGGTACATCTCGATTTCCTTCAATTCGATTCTCTGTCCGCGCAATTTGACCTAGAGGAAATCAGTGCTCTGCGAAGCATTTGCAAGCCCCAAAGTCTTGGACCTACCTGAGAGTCCTTTCGTCCAATATATTCCATGTCTCCATTCGGGTTCAACCGGCAAATATCGCCCGTTTTGTACATGATTTGCCCATTCTTATCAGACTCTTCGGTGCCACGAACCAGGAATTGCACGAAGGCAGCAGCTGTTCGAGTCGGATCGCCCAAGTAGCCGTCCGCGAGGATTGAGCCTCGGATAACAAGTTCACCCTCACTACCAGCAGGAACAAGTTTACTGTGATCTTCCGGATCCACAAGAAATCCTTCGCATCCGATAGGTCGGCCTATGGTTGAAGGAGAGTTGCAGTCGGTGGGAATTTCACGACCGTAACAGAAGCAGCAGCATTCGGTAGGCCCATAGCCATTGATGACTCGCCTCTGAGGTACCCATCTCTCAGCGCACTCTTGTGTTACCGCCTCTCCGCCTAGGACTAGTGTTGCCAAAGATGGAAATCTTGAAGCATCGAGCGAAAGGGCGAATGAGGGAGTCAAAAATGCCCAATTGATACCCATCGAAGAGACGTACAGGTCCAAGCCCTCAAACCGTGTCTCTGACTTGGGGATGTAAAGGCAAGCACCGTTGAGGAGACATCCATAAATTTCTGTGAGGCAGGGGTCAAAAACAAGCGATGTCAACTGGAGGACCTTTGAATCGGGTGTGATGCCGAAGAAATGACTGTGCGCCGTGATGCTGTGAGCCATCGCCTCCTGTCGGATTAAGACGCCCTTTGGAAGCCCGGTGCTGCCGCTTGTTGTCAGGCAGTACGCGAGACGATCAGTGGACGCAGGAAGCAGCGGCCTCTCGGCTTGTGCAAAGTCTGAATCCACTTCGGCTGCAAAGATCACTTTCTGGTGTTTGAGCGATTCCGCCCGTTTCTTCGCGATAGTACGAGAAGCTATGACAAGCGTAGCCTCGGTCATCTTTAGTACGTTCTCTATGTTGGCTGTTGGAGAATGCTTGTCCAGTGTAACAAAAGCGGCGCCGGCTCGATGAATACTCAGCATAGAGATTATTGCCCATGGAGATTCCTCGAAGCAGATAGGAATAATCTGATTCTCATATGGAGGGCGGAGTGCAGTCTGGATTCGTTGAGCGAGTCGATCTACTATTCGCATGAGCTCCCCATAACTAAGGTTGAGCTCAGGGGAACGAATTGCTGGCCGGGCAGGGTCTACCGCAGCAATCATATCGCAAAGTGGCATCCACGTCGAATTTGCGTCCTCGATACGATCGGCCGAAAGCGAGAGCGTGGGGATCGACTTTTCCACGAAAATGACGGAGTCATTTCTGCTGGCTAGACCAGAGGCCGGCGAGCTGTGATTTGTTCCGGTGGGTGATGGGGTGTCCTGCCGACCATTTCCAGGTGGTGATAATGCAACGACCTCCCGAGGTGTCCAGTTAGTAATGCCGACCATGTTTGTTTACCTGTTGGGAAGTGGTCGACAACAGCGCTTCGTTGGAATTTTCATGAATTAAAGGCCGTGTAACCAAACAACATTGCTCATGTTCTTTGGTCAAGGATGCTGACGGTAGAGATTGAAGTTGATCAGCATTTCCACAGCACCTGGTCGGTCTATCTGGCATTAGCAGCAGCATGATCTTGTCGCTTGGGGCTCTGCGCAACGTAAGCAGATTTCTAAGGCCAGTAACCATGGGGCCCGACAGATAATGCAGGAGTGAGCGACCGAAGAGATCACGTCTTGGAGCGATGTTAATCGCATCGTCAAAGTCGGACACAATGCATGACATGTCATTGTCCCGTTTGAGAATTGGACGCGCCGTCCCTCTCGGTCAGGTGCCTCGACATCACCATGATGCATGCTATCACCGTCTCGGAGGAGCGATCTCGAACGAAGTCGCCGCCACGTCTCAATGTCTCTTCAAATGGAGATTCTGTAAGTCAGTATTCCGAATAACGTGCGGCAATTTACCGTTGTGAATTTGCAAAAGTAAAATCCAACCTAAACACCTCTACTGTTGCTGAACATCGTTCCAGTCACCATTGCGCGCAGGCCATGTCGACCCTGCCCATTTTCACAATACATTGATCACCAATCTTGGGATTGAACAACGATACGCTACAATCCCAACTCTCCGCCTAGAAACGGGCTTTGTGTTGTCAAACATCACCGTCGCATACACCTGCTACGGCACCTTGAATGAGCGCAGGGATAATGCCGTGGTCATCTGCCATGCAATGACTGGCAACGCAGATCCCAAGGGCAGTTGGTGGAAGTCGATATTTGATACACCGGATGCGGTCCTGAATGATCCGAGACTATGTGTATTCTGCCTCAACGTTCTCGGTTCTCCCTACGGTTCAACGTGCCCACTCTCTTATATCGACAACGATCCGGCGAGAGGAACGTGGGGCCGCAAGTTTCCCATCACCACCATTCGTGATGATGTTCGGTGAGATTGCCTTCCTACACAGGGCGCCGCGTTCTTCATGTAGACCTAGGCTAACTCGTGCAGTCTCCACAAACTTGTGCTCGACAACATTGGCGTCCGCTCGGTGGCGTGCGTCATCGGGGGTTCGATGGGCGGTATGCAGGCTCTGGAATGGGCCTATCTGGGCGACGAGTATGTGAAGTCCATCATTGTCATGGCATGTGGAGCACAGCAAAGTGCATGGGCATTGGGCCAAAATCACCTCCAGCGTAATCTCATCATACAATCTTCGGACGCTCCCGCTTCGCTGGCCGCAGCCAGGGTGGCCGCGATGATGACGTACAGGTCCTACGCAAGCATCAACAGACGATTTCCGCGCAAAGACCGTCTCCTCCCCGACGCCAATCATGACCCCACGTGCCAATATGCGGTTCAAAGCTACTTGAATTATCAGGGAGCAAAGTTCGTGTCGCGATTCGATGCGAATTGCTACCTTGCGATTATGGACAAGCTGGACAGCCACGATCTGATACGACGGCCTAGTAACCGTAACGTTTGCGCTGCGACTTCCAGCGATGAGAATGATGACAATATAGAGCACAGCAGCAGGAGAGACTCCGCAACGGCTTCGTCACCTACTGACACTGCAGAGGCTATATGCATTCGGCAGCCTGCGCTCATCATCGGCATCACGAGCGACACCCTCTACCCACCCATCGAGCAGCGGAATATGGCTGAGAGTATCCCAAAGGCAGAGCTCCATATCCTTGACAGCGAGGAGGGTCACGACGCCTTTCTTCTGGAGCCGATCCGCATCAATAAGCTCATGGCAGACTTCATGTATCAGCATCTGCCTGTGATTTCATAGCTGAGATAACCAGTCTTCGAGCAGAACGCGGAACGACATTCCATTTGACTCTACCTCCTAAGTATTTGACCCAGGACACGAGCGGGTAGCATATTAGTCATCAGCAAGAAGTAGTTTCTGATGAGTCATCAGAGTGCCCTGTCCGATTTGACCTATGCCTGTAGACGAGCACTCACAAGAAACAATGGTATACACATGGTGGTAGCTCTTTGTAGCCTGCAGAAAATTGAAGGTGTCACCAATTGGATAGCGCAGATGGCAAGTGATTGATTGATTGGAAATAATCACACACATGGCTCCACGAGATGCTTCATCCACAGTCTTTCCTGAGCTGCCCATGTTGCGCGAAGTACGTCTCCAGCTGGAAGTTTGTGACCCCAATCAGGAATGAGAATCAACTCAACTTCGTTTGATACACTCTGAAGGCGTTCATGCATAGATTTGGCCTGCGCTGGCACGACCACGGTGTCTGTATTTCCGTGGATCAAGAGCACAGCAGAATCGAAGTTCCGTGCATGGTGAATCGGGCTCCGGGCAATCCCTCGAGCCTTACGCTCTTCCTGGCTCATCTCATCGCCTTGCTCGCCGAAGACCAAGTGTTCGGAATATTGACTCTCGAACTTGTGCGACGTTAGCGAGAAGGAATCAACATCCGAAATACCGCACATGACAATGGAAACACGCCAAGTCTGCGGAAACAGAGCTGCGGTTGCAAGCGCAAGATAACCTCCTGCACTTGGACCTTCGATGCTCATGCGGTTCCCGTCGACCAACTTCTCGACATTGGCCAGGTATTCGGCAGCCATGGCTGCATCAGCCGCGTCAAGCTCGCCCCATCGACCGTTGAGTAGCTCCCGATATTGCTTTCCATAACCCGTAGACCCAGCATAGTTGAGCAGGAAGACTGCAAATCCACGAGAAGTGAGGTACTGTACTTGTGGGCTAAATCCAGCTCGCCAGTGATTCGTCGGACCACCATGAGCGTGGACAACGAGAGGCGGCCGTGTATTTTCAAGCCCTTTGTACTCTGGGCTGTAAGGTAGGTGAAGGAAACCATGGATGATACCGTGTGTACCTGGAAGCGTGCGTGGGATTTGCATAGCCTTGGGCATTGATATCTGCTGAGCACCCAGGCGCAAATGCGAGCGCCGAATGGGATCGAGCTGACCACTGCTTGTCGTCATTCGATACAAACCATGGCCTTCGATCACTGATGAGCCCACCACGAGGACGTTGCCCCGGCCATCAGCGGAGAGAGCATCATACTGAATGTCGACGAGTGGGCAGGCCAATGGCGTAAAACGGCCCGAAGCTATGTCAACCAAAGCGAGGTGTGATGTCCCTTCTTTGACGTACGCGAGCGCAATGGTTTTAGAGTTTGGAAACACGTACGTAGAGCTGAAATCTGTCAGCGAACTTCCGGTTTGTTTGCTCTTTGCAAAGGTGTTGACCAACCTCCCAAGCTTGAATTCGGATCCCGCATGATCGGTCTCTTCGAGCCCAGAGACCACAGGAGTGACGGTACCGTCCTCATGGACTCGAAACAACTGCCAGTATCCAGAGATATCATCGGCGAAGAAGAGGGAGCTATCGCTGTTCCATCTTGGCTGGCTGATGCTTCTTTTCAATCGTGCCCCGGCTACCTGTCTTGAGTTTATAATCTCGAGCGAGCCCTCCAGTAAATGAACGTCTCCCACAAAAAGCAGACTTCCCGTCCAAGGCATAGATGGATGGTTCCATTCCAACCAACACATCCGAGATCCATCGGGGCTGAATCGAGGGCTAGAATAAAAGTCTGCACCTCTGACCAGAATCGCGGTTGTGTTGCCCGGGCCAATCACGACGAGTTCATTCTTGACTTCTTTGCCTTCATGTGTCTCACGGATCGCGATGACTAACCCACTTGTTGGATGGACGGCAAAGTCAGCAAAGTGGGCATGCGCACTTGTTGCCACTGGTTCAACTGTGGAACTATCGAGGAATACCCTGTAAACTCCATGGTCAACAGCGTTGGAAAAGATGATTGAATTTCTCTCTTCGTCAAGAGTGAACGCAGCTCCGCCGTAGCCATGCACAATCGTACCAACACTGTACGGACTTGGCAGGACTTCCTTCACATCATCTTGAATATCCTGGTTCAGCAGGAAGATGGAAGTTCTGTTTCCCGAAAAGGACTCTACAGTATAGATCGCACCGGATGATTTCTGATACGATCAATAAGCTTGAAATCTAATGCACAGTCTCACCGTGACCCACAAGTATCCTAGCTCCATCGATGTGAAGGTCAGGCTCACAGAGCATATCCAAACTCAATGGGGACCTCCATGTTCCGAATGCTTGTGGTGTAGGCATGATGAGCAGTCGCTTGCTGTGCCGTCGGCGTTTGCACTGGATACCGGCAACACAGGCTGTGCGCACGAATTACAAGGTTCGTACTTATTACAGGTTCGATCTGTGATCGCCAGATTGTCAAGTAACTCTTCAGAGCCTGAGATGTAAGACGATGTAGTGCTCAACCGTGCAGGTTGCGACTTCTGAATAAGGCATCGCGTACGTTCGGTCTGAGGCTTATAATCGAGCTTCCTGTGTCGACCGTTACGACGATCCGTTCTTTCGGACACACTGGCTATGCTAGATGAAGTCATTGTGAGGTGTGAGGTCTCGACGAAGTAGGACGTGCAAAGAACGGCCGTCGTCCTTTAGGGTTGACTAACCCCAACTTCACCTCTTCACCCGGTGGATCATTTCCGGCCTTAAAATTGGCTTGCTTGAGGCCGGCCTCAGGGCGTCTGTGTGCTGTTTCGACGTCAGTATAGTGATGTAGAAGGATATTTGTCAGTACTATTTCTCCGCACGATACGCCGACGGGGGCCAACATGTCGTCCGGGTTTTGCAAAGTATCATTGGCAATTGAAGATGCCTGCGGTTACACAAATGGCTGAGAGGCCAAGAGCCTCACAACATCGGTTCGAGACCCGACAATTGCATGCAGGCCGAATGCCAGATATACTCAACTCATGTGCAACGCCTATATACAACACAGCAGTGAGTTTGAGATTTGTGGTATTGCTGAACCGACTGTTCGTCTAACCCAACGACCAGGCGTTCGGATTCAATGACAGCCAGCATGGGACTAGGTTGCTAGAATTTCAAGAATTAGGCCCGATTTATTCGCGTATTGGAAATCCGACAGTATCTGTCTTGGAGAATCGGTGAGAAAGATTGTACGACTTGATCCTTCGATCTGCTGATGTCTATGAAGTATTGCGGCGATGGAAGGCGGCGTGGCGGCAGTCGCAGTAGCATCCGGAACTGCTGCAGTGACGATGACATTAATGGCACTGGCAGCTGTCGGCGACAACATCGTGTCTGCATCCTCCGTGCATGGCGGTACCTATCACTTGTTCAAGGCATTGGGCCCGCAGATAGGCATTGAGTGCCGCTTCATCTCCGACACGAATCCAGCAAGTTTTGAAGCAAAAATCGACAGTAAGACTAAGTTCATCTTCGTTGAGACCGTCAGCAACCCAAAGTATGAAGTACCGGATATGTCTCCGCTCGCCAAGATCGCTCACGACCATGGAATTCCATTCATTGTAGACAACACTTTCGGCTGTGGCGGGTTTGTCGGTCGCCCGATCGATCACGGAGCCGACGTGGTCTTGCACAGCGCCACAAAATGGATTGGCGGCCACGGCACAACGCTGGGTGGCCTCATAGTCGACGCGGGCACGTTTGACTGGGGCAAAAACCGCGATCGCTTCCCTCAATTCCATGCCGACGCTTCGGCAGAAGGCAGTGGAGAGCTCAGCCTGTGGGAATCCTTCGGCCGGCGAGCGTTCGCTGTGCGCGTACAATTCGAGATTCTTCGAGATGTAGGCAGTTGTCTTAGTGCCACGGCAGCGCAGCAATTACTCATCGGCATCGAGTCTTTGGCCCTTCGCTGTGAGCGACATTCGGCGAACACTGAGGCCCTGGCAGCTTGGTTGAAGGAGCAACCGAACGTGACCTGGGTATCTTACCTCGGTGATCCAGAACACCCGAGTCACGCAAATGCGCGAAAGTACCTCCGCAGCGGCTTTGGATCGATGTTGTCGTTTGGCGTGCGTGGCGGACGAGATGCCGGATTTGCTTTCTGCGATTCTCTCGACTTCATAACTACATGCACCAATCTGGGGGACTCCAAAACATTGGTGGTACACCCATGGACAACCACCCACCAGCAGCTTACCGATGCTGAGCGGTGGGCAGCGGGAGTCACCGAAGACCATATTCGCGTATCTGTTGGCATCGAGCACATCGACGATCTCAAAGCTGAGATCGCCTATGCCCTCGAACAAAGCCAGAAACGCACTGCCGGTGATACCGCCTCCTCTGATGCAGTCAAGAAGAGTCACGTTGCGGCTGCACAAGCTATGATGATTACTGCGTTGTACGGCGAGGGTCCAAAGGTAATTGCCAAGGGGAATGCTGTTCCGGCAACAGGGCCTTTGTAAATATACAAGATCATTGGTTGGCGAGTTTACCTGAACAAAGCCGTGATAAAATTCTTCGTGGACTAATTTCACACATGAATAATTCATGTTGACTGTGCTCGAGCAAGGCTTCCACAGATCGCTCGTAGCGATCGTTGAGAAAGAAATAATCTTGAACGTAGTGACGAGCTTTTGCTCGACGTGAATACTATACACGTGAATGTGAGCGTGACAAGCAAGGCCTTAAAAGCGAGCACTGGAGGGTTTGGCCCAGAACACGCATTAAGTCGCGTTGCTTGCCGGAAACGGTCTGTGCGCAATATGTCATCACCATGGGGCAGCCATGGATCCCGTCTCTCGAATCTGTCAGCATTGGCGTCTCATCGATACCCATCAGGATGCATCGCAAGAGCATTCTGGAGAGCCGACTGTAGGAGAGCGCACTGCCATACCGAGACCATGTGATGTATCAGTCGTGCTCTGCGGAAGCATGCAACCAAAAGCGAGATACAGAAGACCACTCGACATCACGCATTCTCAAGTATTTTTGGATCCGTGTCATTCATATGTCACGCTTATCTAGGCACTTCGATGAAAGTACTCGCCAACATGAATTTGCTATGACCTAGTCTACTGCGCAGCCTTTTGGTCTTGCTCTAAAACATGTGATTTGTACAGGCCGAGCAAACGCGAAGATGTCTCGATGGCATGGTCACGGCTCTTAGAGGACTTGACCACAACACACGCCGTCCAATCCCAAGTATCTTCGCGAGATCCAAAAGGTTTCGAGCTGAATACGTAAGCGTAGTTCTGCATCACACAGGGCGCCAGATCAGGATTTTTCTTCAAGAGTGCTGGAAGCGGGTCATTTTGGGAATCGATCACTGCGTAATGCCAATTGTCGCCGCTGCGCTGAGGAAAGGTTCTTCGAAGAAGCGTAGGTCGTACGGGAATGACAACTACATCGAGAATGGCGTGCTCATGCTGCGGCTTGGGCAAGAAAGGTTGAGCTAAAGCCTTGAAACGAGTCCAGTCGTTGATGGTGCACAATACGGAAAGCGCCCAGAAATCAATGCCCTGGGCGAAATAGCTAATGGCACTACTCATGAAGCCAGGAGCCCTGGCATTGACCTCGTGGAGGAAAACCTCCGGTGACGCAGTCGACTTTTGCTTGACGTATTCGAGATCCGGCACAACGGAATCAGGCTTAAGCACATATGCCATCGATGAGCCTTGCATTCGAGCTTCGCAATGAAACACTCCAGTATGGAAACCCTGCTTTGCGATGACGACCCTCATAGTGTCGATGATGGCACTCTGCTCCGCCGAGGGTAGGCGTGATGGGATGACGGCCTGTGTATCCATGAAAGACCCCGCTGCATCGCCGGATAGCAGATCTCCAGGGCTTGGGAAGTCGTCTACGACTTCGGAGTACAACAGCTCACCTTGAAGAAGTATGAGGTTCGCATCAACCTCCGGTCCATCACAGAATGGCTCGATCAATAAGCCGTTGGTAGCATCAAAATCGTTCAAAGTTCGGGATGCCTTTTCACGAAGTTGAGTGCTAGTGTCAGCCCTAAAAACACCTTCACTGAAGCGTCCACAGGATGGCTTCCCAATCACAGGGAAACTGAGCCCATCGATCCGCAGTTCCAATTCAGCCACTGTCCTGACGATGCATACTCGAGACGCGGTCGATTCGAAGAGCTGGCTGGTCAAGTATTTATTTGTTGAGATCGTGAGAGCTTTCGAGCTCAACGTCCACAGGCCTAGCTCTTCAGCAGCTCTCGCCGCTGGTAAGAGTAGGGGGTCGTTCGAAGGGGCATACAATCCATCCACAGGCAGTGGGTACGCGCGTATGGCATCGACTATTCGTTTCGACAGTCCCTCGTCTGGCGTCATATCGAAGGGAATGAACTGCTCCCGGAGCTCGTGATATTTCCCATGGTTGTCATCCCACCAATTACCAGTGCTCAGAATGACCACTGCAATGCCGAGCGCTGCTAATGCGGACCAACGTCTTTTGGTTGCATCCAAGTTCTCGTAGCCCACTATGACGATGACACGCTTGCGAGCCAGCGGCTCCGAGAAGCACCATTGAAGTGTTAATCGACGACGAAGTTCGTCAATCACCTGTGTTGGGTTACTTGCTAGCAATGCGGCTTCTGTCGCAACGACACCAACACTGGCGGAGATAGCCTGTTGAAGGGTCGGGAAAGAAGAGCCATCGACAAGCTTAACGGCTTTTACTTCTGCGAGAGGCTCGAGAAAGCTGCGGATGTGGCTGAATAGCTGGCATCCAGCTAGACGTTGTGTGAACACCTCCGAATGGCCCACGAACCCGCTCTTCTGCGGCACTAGTAAAGCGGCCGCAAGAGCCTGGGATTCAGAGATGTCTGACGTCGCCTGAAAGATGCCTAGAAAAGAATCGACCAGCTTCGCACTCTCGCTTATCACTGTTGTGTCATCCGAGACCTGTTGAGATTCTGTGTCGGCCACACGGATACTCCAAGATTTTTCTGCGACTTCGATTTGTCGAACATGTTCAGCTTGGATAAACAGCACTCGTAAGTGTCCATCAATCGCCGAATCTGCGAACCAACTTCTACAATTCGCGCTCACTGTGTCGAAAGTCAATACGAATCATGATTCTGCAGTACACGAGGCTGGCCTACCACTTCGTGTAGGAGACGAGAAAATCAACTGGATCGTGTGGCTCTGCATGACGTAATCGGTGCATGAAAAGCGCGGGCGTGCATTCCGAATAGGCGCGTCGATGTGAAGCACTCACTCCAAGGAAGTAGTCGTGGATTCTAGGGCCACCACAACTTCAGGCCCGCAACGGCGTCGATCACCACACGCGACATTTTGAAATACGCCGAATACATGACTCAAATCGCTCGCTATCAGGAAGATGCTGTCGTCATCCGGTTCGAAATCAACACTTCGACGCTACTCGTCGTTATTGCTAGATCTCGTCACTGGTCGCTGGTCATTTTCACCGACGCCCGCCATGCATTGTGATCTGCATGCACTTTACCATCTTTACTGCAACACGTGACGTCCGTACTTGCAGCAGTCGATGCGCTTATATTTCACCACCTCGGATTGTGTCCAATTCACGCTCAAAATTATCGCTTTGAAGGCGGAATTGATTTCAAAATGTTTGGAAAACGTCACGTAGCGGAAACTCCAGCTGTGCGCGCTCAATGCGCAGAACAAGAAGCCGGAATTTGGGCAAGCGTCTTGTTCAGTTGGCTTAATCCTCTAATGCAGGTGAGTTGTGAGTGGTGAAATCTAGGTCATCAGCGTCGAACTGATGCCGTTTCAGACGGGTTACCGGCGTCGACTACAGTGGAATGATATACCGACAGTACATGACGCCCGCACATCCAGTCTCATACAGGCGAAACTCCAAAACGCATTTCGCAGACATGTGCAGAGGCGTGCTAGCTATCCGATGCTTCGTGCGATTTACGAAGCCTTTCGTTATGACTTTTGGCTCAGCGCCATCTGCCAAGCTCTCACTGCAATATTACAAGTCGTTGCGCCATTCACGTTGCGATACCTCCTTGTTTACGCACAAGACTCGTACAATGCGCGTCAGGTCGGCAGCAAAGGACCGTCAATTGGTGTCGGTTTGGGGCTAACTTTCGGCATCACCGCAATGCTCATGATTCAGAGTCTCACTGTGAGCCATTTCCACTACCGCGCGTCGTTGATGGGAGGCCAGACTCGCGGCGCTTTGACGTCCATGATATTCCTGAAGTCCTTAAGGATCTCACGACGGGCTAAGGCGGGTGGCAGTGGTGATGCGTACCGTCGAGATTCTCAGGATGATCAAATAGTATGGGATCCGATAGGATGGTCAGAGGGCCGCATCATGAACTTGATCGGAACAGATGCCAACAGGATTTTGCAAGGATTGGAGCTGGTACATTTCTTATGGTCCGCTCCCTTACAAATTTTGCTGACCAGCGCACTGTTGATCGTCAATCTGGGCTACAGTGCATTGCCCGGCATCGCTTTTCTGTTTATAGGCATGGCAATTGTGGTACACTCAACCAAAATGTACACCACCGCTCGGATCAAGATCAGCAAGAGCACCGACGCCAGAGTCGGGCTTACTCAAGAGATGCTCCAGGCTTTCCGTTTCATCAAAGTCTTCGCGGTCGAGAATGTATTTCTGTCGCGTCTCAAGCCGTTGCGTGCTGCAGAAAGTCGCGCTTCGGAGCACCTGCACCTTTTAAGATCGTTCTTGGAAAGTGTCAGCGTGTCCTTACCCATACTGACGAATCTCGTAATAGTCGTTGTCTATGTGGTCACGGGACACACATTGATTCCGGCAACAATATTTTCCTCCGTGGCATTGATTAACGCACTCAGAACGCCTCTGAACTATTTCCCAGTAGCGGTAGGTCATTGCTCGGATGGTCTGAATGCCCTTGAGCGTGTCAAGACTTTTCTGCTTGCGGAAGAGTCTTCTGACCGCTTTCTTCCTTCAAGGGAAGCTGATTTGGCAATCGAGACCGAAGCTGCTGCTTTCACATGGGAATGCAATGTTGAGGGAGATGTCCCTGTGCAAGACGAGGAAAAAGGTTCTAAAAACTGGCGAGGCCGGAAGAAAGAGGTCACCATACCTGAGACGCAGGCCAGCTCCGTAAAGGAGCTCAGCCCGAAGTCTTCAAATTCTGACTTGAAAGGCGTCTTCAAATTGTCGAACGTGAGCCTCAAGCTGCGAAAAGGTGAGCTTATCGGCATTGCTGGCAGGGTAAGCAACATCATTTGAATGCTCATCGTTATCTTTCTTTGCTGACTCGCATCGACGTCACAGGTTGGGGCCGGGAAGTCATCTATGCTGTCAGCGTTTGCTGGAGAAATGCGATTAGAGCATGGCACCGTTCGGCTAGACGGTTCTCGTGCTTATTGTCCACAGCACGCCTGGGCTCAAAACGCAACTGTTCGCGACAATATTCTATTTGGAAAGCCATATGATTCAGCCCACTATGACCGCGTCGTGGAGGCCTGCGCTCTTCTTCCTGATTTCCGCATTCTACCTAGAGGAGATCTTACCGAAGTTGGGGAAAGAGGCATCTCCTTATCAGGCGGCCAGCGACAACGGATCAGCCTCGCTCGAGCTGTATACGCTGATGCAGATGTCTACATACTTGATGACGTCTTATCTGCTGTAGATGCTCATGTCGGAGAGCATATTTTTCGTCGTGCGATTCGTGGTCTCCTGCAATCCAAGTGTAGGATTGTTGCTATGCACAGCCCAACATTTCTCCGCCAATGTGATCGCATTGTCTGGATGGAAGACGGCGAAATCAGAGGTGTGGGAACCTACGAGCAACTACAGCTGACGACGTTTTCTGCACTTTCTGCAGACGAAGGTGTACGACAAGAAGAAAGTACTGTCAAAACAGCGGTCCAAGAAGCCGTCGAACCCGAGAACTCAGCTGAGCGGGGCAATGAGGTCGAAGCACTATATCGTGCCGACACTGCTGTGGTGGAGACAGTACCATGGCGCATCTACATCATCTGGCTGCAGGCAGCTGGTAGTATGGTGGCCGTCTCTATGGTCGTTCTATCACAAATTCTTTTCAGGTCAGCAAACATCATGACGAATCAATGGCTTTCTTGGTGGGTTGCTGATCAATGGAAATTTAATATCGGAGGTTATGTAAGTGCCATCTGACCGACCGGCCGATCAAAATGCTGACGTGACCCCTCAGGCGGGTATATTCACAGGTCTTGCCGTGGTGCAAGGAGTCCTGCTGTTCATATCGTCGGTATTTCCATCCGTGGTTGGCATTCGCGCAAGCCGTAACCTCTCCGACGAGGCGATGTGGCGGATCATGTCCGCGTCCGTGCCGTTCTTTGAAGGAACACCTCTCGGTAGAATCGTTCAACGCTTCAGTGGTGACGTTGATATCCTGGACAACACTCTTACGGATGCAGTCCGACAATTCCTGACTATGATCAGTGCGATCCTGGGTTCTGTGATCCTCATCATCATCTACTACTATCACTTCGCGATCGCCGCTTTCGTAGGCACGGGAGCAATCATCGCGGCTGTTTCATATTACCAAAAGAGTGCCAGAGAGATAAAGCGGCACCATGCGGTCATGGAAGGCGCATCTTTTGCACGATTCAGCGAAGGCCTCATCGGAGCCGGCACTATTCGAGCATATGGAGTACAGGCAAAATTTGTGCAAAGTCTGTACAAGGCGCTGGATGATAGTCACAGCGCATATTTCTTGACTTTTGCCAACCAGAGATGGCTTGCAGTACGGCTGGACAGCATCGGAAACCTTCTCACGTTCACCGTAGCACTTCTCGTGGCAATCGACCAGTTTTCAGTTTCGCCTTCAGTCAGCGGCCTCGTTCTAAGCTACAGTATGTCTCTGGGTGGCTTGATCCAAATTCTGATAAAGTACTTTGCAGAAGTGGAGAATGGAATGTCCAGCACGGAAAGGCTGCACGAGTATGCCACGTCCGTTCCATTCGAGACCACAGCAGGTCTCACCGCCGCACAACTAAGACCTTCGTGGCCCGAACGAGGTCAAATCGAGTACAGCGATGTCACAATGCGATACCGGCCCGACTTACCAGTCGTCATTGACAAGTTCTCGCTGCAGATCCGCGCTGGCGAGCGAATCGGGATTGTCGGCCGCACAGGAGCAGGCAAGAGCACCATCCTCAGCACGATTTTCCGCCTCTATGATCTGCAGAGCGGCAATATCACGATCGATGGCATCGATATAGCTAGCGTCAACCTCAAAGAACTTCGCTCAAGGTTGGCGATAGTACCTCAAGATCCGACCTTGTTCCAGGGAACCATCCGCTCAAACCTTGACCCCGAGAACCGTCATTCCGACCTCGAGCTTTGGCAGGCGCTTCGACAAGCCCATCTCAATCCAAGCGATCCGACTTCGCAGTCCGAGAAGTCTGGCAGACCGGTCATCAATATCCACCTCGACGATACAGTTGAAGCAGAAGCCGCCAACCTTTCACTGGGACAGCGTCAACTACTGGCCCTCGCCCGCGTGCTTCTCCGAGACTCGCGGATCATCCTCGTAGACGAAGGCACGAGCAGTGTGGATAGACAGACCGACGCCATGATTCAGCATACCCTTGCCCATGACCTCCAGGGAAAGACATTGATCGCAATCGCGCACAGGTTGCGGACGATCATCAATTTCGACCGTGTATGTGTTATGAGCAAGGGCCAGATCATTGAGCTGGGGCCGCCCAAGCTTCTTTGGCAACAGGGAAATCTATTCAGGGATATGTGTAATGCGAATGGGATCACCGAGAAGGACTTTTTGTGACATATCAGTCATCAATGTAAAACAGTATCTGATGTCAAGGAAATGCCTCGCCTCATTTAATCGATGCCTTATGCACATGTGGGCATCGATACCAATGATGATATTATGTCCTGCACTCAATTGACGACAAGAAGAACGATGCGTTCCAAGATGATTCCAAGATCTTGTTCGATACAAACTAGAAACGCGATGGTAATAGACAACCGGATACAACATATTGACGCAGTGCAGGCTTTGATTAGTATCATCAAGGCAGGGCATCCGACGTCTGGGAGCAACTGAGCGATCCCTTACGATGGCCTGCGGATATCAAGACAGAGTGTCTCTCGTCGGGGTAATCCCTTAAACCAGAGGAGGGCTCTGTTTTCAACACAAGGAGATTCGACCTTCCAGAGCTCCGCTGTGTTGTGACGAATGCCGTGCCACCTACGCAAAGGGATGCAGGCGGTCTAGCCTGAAGGTCGACTTCACAAGACCCCTCGCAATCTGACTTGAAGACCTACCATGGCTGGCTCATCGAGGACGTTGGAGATGACTGCGTGCGGATCCTCACGCACGAGGTTCAGATAGGTTCTTTGGCGGCACAATTGCGCAAGGAGCGATCGAGCAGGCTTCTACTCGGGCATCAGGAATGGATTGAGGGACTTCTGGACGCTGCTGCTTTGGAGAAATGAGGTAGATCATTCGAGGGATTACTCATCAGACAGAACTTTTGGCGGATTAGTCATTCTACCTATCAACACACGCATCTGCCACTGGCAGGATCATTTCGTCTCCATTTAGAGTCGCTGCGCCCCCAAGAAGTCCTTCACAGCTGCGGCGATTTCATGGACCTTGGTCTCGAGCGCAAAGTGACCCGAGTCGACGAACCGCACGATCGCATGAGGTAAATCTTTCTTGAAGGCCTCTGCTCCAGGGGGGATGAATGCCGGATCTCCTTTACCCCACACAGCCAGAAGAGGGACCTGAGTCTTACGGAACCATTCGTGTACCTTCGGGTACATCGCAACGTTCGTGCGGTAGTCGTAGAAAAGATCGGTCTGTCGCTCCTGCTCCGCCGGGCCAGCCAAATTCTTGAGATAATCGAATGTGTACGTGAAGGGGTTGATCAACTTCAAATCCGCCTCCGGTACGCCGGCTTCGTATTGGTACTTGGTACCTTCGAGGGTGAGGACGTTTTCCTGCACGATCTTTCGCTCGGCTACGCCATTGCTGGAATTCCAGAGGTTGAAGACGGGTTGCCAGAACTCTTGTCCGAAGCCTTCTTCGTAGGCGTTGCCGTTTTGGCTGATGATGGCGCTGATCTGGTCGGGAAGGGCAAGTGAGAGTCTCCAGCCGACGGGAGCGCCGTAGTCGAAGACGTAGATGGAGAAGTTCTTGAGTTGTAGTGTCTTCACCCACTCGATGATGACGGCGGCAAGGTTGTCGAAAGTATATTTGAAGCCATCGGGGGAGGTAGTGAAACCGAAGCCAGGCAGGTCGGGGGCCAAGATGTGGTAGGAGACAGCGAGAAGAGGGATCAGGTCTCGGAATTGAGTAGTGGCTGAGGTCGGGTAGCCGTGAAGTAAGAGCACTGTCGGATTGCATGGTTCACCGGCCTCGACATACTGAACCCCGAAATTTCCCAGGGTCGTATTGACCTGTGAGGTCAAGTATGCAGGTGCAAGAGCCATGGAATTGAGTGCCAAGTCGTGTGTTGGGAGTGGGGATTCAGTTTTCAGTGATGCTGTAATTTGGGCCCGGTTAAGGTTGAGAGGCAAGCTCGATTATATGTCGATTTTCCTGAAGCTTGACCATGACGATACGGATCAGCGCGGCATTCTTGACGATGCCGTGACCGCTTTGAACCTGCAGAAACATTGCATTAGGGCTGATGTGAGCACATTCGTGCGATCAGACATTAAATTCTCGAGTCTAGACCAGTCTCTCCGACGAAACCACTGAAGGCTTGACAGAGTTGAAGGCTTGAGAGTGGTAGCGGCGGCGGGTTTGCGCGTTCCTGGTGCGGAAATGGTTCCTAGCGTAATACTTTGATGCCCTGCTGCATATGCGCCCGGACCGATGACGTCGACAATGATGTTCTGCTTTCGCACGTCTTAGTCTCGGAGTGTGGTGGCCGCGGGTGGTGACATCGAGGTTCAAGCGGTGGTGAGGCATGATCGCCATGGACGCCGGTGATGGCGAACATGAGTGATGAGTCACGGTTGATTGTATGTGCGCCGCTTTCGGCGCCGCCTGGCCCATGACCGCAGCACTGTATGCTACTTTCAAGTTCCCATCATGGCACGTGGAATGACCCAGAGTGCTTGGTATGTTTTGGTTTCTCTGTGCAGGTTCGAATCGACCATGCTACCGAAGGTCTCTCAGTCCGTCACATTCATATGCAAAATCGTGGGTGATCCTTACTGCTCACTTTGAGAGTGATTACTCATCAAAAGCACACATCCGCAGATTAGTCATCTGGGCGTAGTCAGCCAGCGGGATGAGGGCAATTCGCTCGAGGCTGCAAAATTTGTACTCTTTTCACCACGGTATCTGTTCATGCAACAAATATGAGATTCGCTTCGTTCTATCGTCTTTTTCATGTGTCACGAAAAGTCGCAACCATACAGGAATTCTCAGTGTGTCGGAGTGGTGTCAATCGCCAGCTATGGACGAACGGGTGGATTCGACGCGACCGAATTCGGCATCAATGCTCACAATGCTGGTGCCGAATGCTGGTGCCGATCCCGCTCGGACCGCCGTCGCTGGCGCCTATTTCGTCAGGTGGGCGTTGAATAGTTCCAAAGCCATCGCAAGCCACCAGAATATTTTCAGGAAAGAATTGACGGGATCAACAGTCATCGCTTGAAATCCGGACCATGTCGGACTCGGAGCGCAACAGTGACTGTAGGACTGCTCCATGTGTTGTGGGCGTGCGAAAAGCGTGACCCACGTGTATGGCCCCCTGTGCTCCAAGATAAAATGTCGCGCATGCTGTGCCGCAGAGGCGCATGAAATTAAAATGAGCGTCTCAGGCCGCCCCTGTATCATCGCACACTTTTGGATGCCCGAATCAGGCTCACCACTTGCTCCACGAGCTTTCTTTTTACTTGGACATCGCGAAACGTGAGTTTGTCGCCAGTGGTCGCATCGCTGCGTGCCCAGGTGGATGCTCACGACCAGAGGCAATTCCCCATCGCCATGCTAGATAAGGTTGAGGCTATGCACGAACTAATTTCCTTCATTACAAAAATGCGCGGAAAGTGACCAGCTCGTGTTATCCACCATCCACTGGTTCTCATTGCGCCCACTAGTCGCTCTATTTTGGTGTTGACGTTGCAACGATCCTCACCTTCGCCCGTCGAGCGGCCATCTCGGCCTTTCAGGTCCTTCCCGAAGTAGACTCCCTTATGATCTGCTATGCCCCCGTATTGACCCTCTAATCCTACATCATTCTGCACCGCCACGGGGTCGTTTCTCTGTTGTAAACTATCTCTGTTACTGAACTTCATACGCTTCTTCAGTCGCTCATTATCTTATTTCCTGTCACACAACTGCAACTTGCTCACCAACAGCTTCACGCGCATCGCACATCTCACATTCGCTTACGTTCTCGCTTCCAGAGTTTTTGCTCAACCATGGTCAACATCAAACTTGGCCTCTTCTCCCTGCTCCCATTCGCAAGCGCATATTGGGCTCTAACAGACCCCAAGACAGATCATGCAACGCGAGGCGTCTTCGAGGTCGACCTTATCTTTCCGCGAGAGGGTACCTTTTCTCCCACAAACACCACACCCATAATTTTTGCCGTCCAGAACCCCCAACGAGCCAAGGACCTGGGCGCTTACATCATTTGGACACTTGTTCAGCCTTCGAACGCGACCCAAGCCGATGGTTATAATATTCCAGGCCTGCGGGAACACGGCGTCATTGAGCTCGGAGATCTCAACATATCGACCATCTCAAACCCTTACCTTGCATGGGATCGCATCACAGCTATCGGAGACACCGAAGATTCGTGGGATTTCCAATGGACGATCCGTTACAGTAACTGCACCGAATTTTACACCGAGAGGAACACCACCGTCATTGGAGTAGAACATGGCATTTCCTCGTATTCGATCAACATCACCACCAAGAGAACAGCGCCCCAATCAGCGTCCCTCGAGACAGCCTTTTTGAACGACTCATGCCGCGTCGGAGATTACTTCAATCTCAATGTCACGAGGTACAACCTCCTTCCAGGCAGCGGCCCAGAACACTGTTCCGAGCTGGGCGACCCAGTCACCGAGGAGAACCGAAACTGCCGAATCGGATCCGATGCGAAGGAAGCCGTCAAGGCCGAATTCGCTTACCAGGCCTGTAAGGATGCTCTACGTTATCCGCTCACTTCTGCAAACTGCACGAAACCTAGAGAGCCCCAAAAGGTACCCGCAAAACCTGTGGTACCCTCTATGGCGACTCATGATATGCACGTCTCAATATCTTGGATGTTCGCTGCTTTGCTCGGTCTTGGTGCTTTCATGCTCTAAGAAAAGCTGCGCAGTCACTTTATAATCTAGAACAACGTCAAATGATCATGTGAATCAGTTCTCGGTGTCCAGTCTCGTATCGATGGTTTCTTCTCGCACGGTCCATTCGTACTTTGGTTAGAAGCCCAAAAATCTATGTTTGCCACACCTGTGGTGTGTGTGAATCCGTTCCACCATTCCTGTGTTTTGCTCACTACTCATGGTCGCTTCCGGTCGATTCGTTTGCTTCGTCATGAGCGCTCATCATTGCTACTTTGTCATCGGCACTATTTGCTGCTGCTTTGTCATCCGCACTCATATTTCCTGCTCTGTCATCCGCGATCGGTCTTTATACTCGGATGACGACTTTCAATGCCTCCATCCCCATCGTTTCGTCCGTGGCGAGATGCGGCGCCACAATGGGCGTCTGCGTAAGCTCGGGGACAGCCCACGCTCCGCCGTTGCCACTGCCACCATTGTAGCTACAGCCTCCTCCTCCTCCTCCTCCGCTCTGCCACTCCTCCCGCCGCTGCTCTGCCTGCCGCCGCGCCCCCGGTCTTCTCGCATGCGCCTGCTACTCTGTCTCCTCCTGCAGCGGCCCCGGGTCTTAGCACCGCGGCCGCTTCTCTCACCCCTCCACCAGCCGCCTCGTGCCCTCGCCCGGCTCTCGGTGAGCTTACCGGCTAGCATTATAAATTTTTATGGATAATACGATTTACTCCTCAAACCTCACTCAAACCGCTGCCTTACTCTCATGTTTCCAGTCCGGTCTAAAAGCCCCCGCGTCTTTTGTACTTCTGTACAAATTCTATCATTGGCCGTTCTCCCGCACCTGTGATCTTCGTGTCTTGTAGCAAGAAATGCCCTCGATAGTAATTTGTTGAGATGCTTGGTTCTTGTACGGTGCCGCGATCTATGCTATCGCGAATGGGAAAAACGCGTGGTCTTCGAAAGCTGGTCAAAATATCATCAATTCATATCTATATATTGCTGGCTCCTTGTCACGCGACGAACGACAGAGTCTGCTCTCAACTACAATATTCGCTGTGTAGTCTATTTGAGTCCAACACAGATGTAGTAGTCAACCCACAGGCTTTGGCAGTTCGAGCCGACGTCAGGGTTCCAGGACATGATCTGAGACGACGAAATCCTGTACTGAGAAGCGATCTTGTCGCAGTAGTCGCCCGACTGCACCTTGTAGAAGGTCTTGCAGGACTTGGTCATGTTTGGTTGCCGGGGCGTCGGAGTGGTGATCCCGTTACCAGTGGTGGTAGTTGGTGGAGGAGTAGTGGTGGCGCCAGGAACGCCGACACAGTAGTAGTAGTCGGCCAGGAGGTTGGTGCAGCCTGTGTCATCTGTTTTAGCAATGATCCTGGATCAAAATCGAAGTCTCGAATGGAATTCTCACCTGAATTGATGGCAGTGTTCCAGGATCGCAATTGGTTAAGGCTGATACCAAACTTTGAGTCAATCGAGTCGCACGAATCACCACTTTGCACTTTATAGTAGCGGTTGCAGTTGCTCGCTGTACCAGAGTTCTGGGGTTGGTTGGAAGCAGCAGGGGCGGTTGTGGTAGCCGTGGTCTTGGTCGCGGCGGTTGTGGCGCCGGGGACTCCAACGCAGTAGTAGTAGTCGACGAAGAGGTTGGTGCACCCTATGACAAATGCGTTAATGATCGTAACGGGTTGCGATCGGATGAAATCGATGTACGTACCAGAATTGACTGCTGGGTTCCATGAACGGAATTGGTCAAAGCTTATAGAAAACTTCGCATCGATCGAGTCACAACCGTCTCCACTGACTACCTTGTAATACTTGGAGCAGTTGCTGACTGTTCCGCTGTTTTGAGGCTGGTTTGCAGCAGCGGTGGTCGTTGTGACCTGCGTGCTGGTGGTTGTTGGACGTGTGCTCGTAGGCTGAGTAGTCACTGGAGCTGAGCTGGTAGTTGTCTTGAGAGTTGAGGACGTCGTCGGCTGAGTTGCCTTTGTGCTCGAAGTGGTTGCGTCCTGAGTGACTTTGCCGACCACACACCAAGTTGTGGTGGTATCGAGGTTCGGGCAGGTGATGGTGGGGTTGAGGTCGATCAATTGTTGAACACTCAAGCCCCAGTTATTGGCGAAAACATCGCAAGTGTCGCCATCGTCAGGAGCAGTTTGGAAGTCGCAAGAGACCGAGGCGAAGGCTGTTTGGCCAAGGAGCACAGCGGCCAGGAAGATGGACTTGAATGCCATGGTGATGTGGTGATCAAACAGAAGATCGGATTTGCAGTACCAGAGAAGTGACAAGTGCTTCAGATGGCCTTTGCATCAATGTGAATGCGATGCGGTTATATAACAATGGTTCCATGATGGTGATGTTCGCCATGCTGACAGTAGTGCTGATCAGATGCAGCAGAATTTTGTTAGCTCCACCTGCATCCCGTGTCGTCTATGATAGTCTCAATTGGTGTTCTCGCCGGACTGTTGATGTGGCTGCATGTGTGCATGGTACGGACCGAGGTGTTCACCCACGTTGTCGTTTGGAGGTGGCAGAGGTGTTCAGCCCTAGGTTGCAGTAGACAAAGTCAGCGCCAAGGAATTGTGCTGCAGGGCAAACGCCCACTACTGATCGACACCAAAGTGGCGGAGGCCAAAATAACAGGGATGGTGGTGTTGGTCGTTGCACCTACCACGAGTTTATCGAGCCAAAACGTTACAGCAATCCATGGATGCCACAATTTTGTGCCACCTGCAGGACAACTTCGGGATAAAGCTGACAGCCTTGCAATCTGATAAGCACCATAATGTCGTCTGCAAACGCATGTGAATTCTGCTGCTCGAAATTCCTGCTCACGTCGCCTAGATTGGACACGAGCATACTCAGTCTACCACTTTTCCAAAAATCGACTTCCCTCAAGCCATTCAACCGACTGCGGGTTTAAAGTAGCGATGTCGCGAGCTCGCACTTTCTGCGCAAACATCCTCATGTTCACATCAAGAGGCGGCGACTTAGCTTCCGAGAGCTGAAAAATCGCGCGAAATGGGATTCGTCGAAAAATGCGAGCAGTGCTTGGCAATACTGAACGACTGTGGGTCCCTCGCGAAGGGTTTCACCTGGGGCGGTGTAAGCGGAGCTGTCCTTGTCGAGGGCCGCTAGTCCATCTTGCTAAATATTGGGTAATGCAAACGGGAAAAATGGAATTATGCATACCATGCTCCGTGTTGGGCTCTGGCAGCCACGTTCTGTTGGTGATGGCGAACGTGCACCGCAGTGCGTACCTGAATAGAAAGGCGCTACTGTTGCTTGTTGGTGGCTGCGCTACGATCAACCACTTGGGCAAGCAGCAATCTGAACTTGGGGCTCAAGCCGCCATGCAAGAATCACCCCAAGCCAATCATTGTCAGTAAACGCATACACGTGCTCTTCCATTCCTGGATTTCTACTTAAAACCCGCTTCACAACTCGCATTCGGCACAAGTCTCTGTAGTATACGCCCGCTGACACATCATACAACCCGCGCGCTGATGAATCATCCGCAGTCACGGCGGAACCTCTGTCACACATTCGAAGGATTTGCCTTCTATAGGGTTCACACCCTCCTGGAAAGGCTCTCTCGCGTGGGGAAATTTGCCAAGACCCCTCTAGGGCTTATGTTGCTTCGCATGGCGACACCCTTCCGTCTCTCTGATGTACTGTAGCACGTGGCGCATCTACTGAACAAGGGGCTCTCAACTTCGATATTTCCATCGTTGCTTCCATTGCGAAACACGAGCCCGAGGTCATTTGCGCTGATCTCGTTGCGGCTTGCATACCAACATAACCCCTACTGCGGCCTTACGACCGCACATACGTTCATCTGATCGTGGGTCGCGTGCTTGCAACTTTTGCACTGCTATAGTCGGTTTTCATACTGATTTTTCTAATGATGGCTCGCCTCAGCCGTGCATTGTTATGGCTGTGCTGTGCCATAGCCAACCTCGTTGCAGCTCAATCTGGCATCTTCGAAATCGACCTCGTCTTCCCTAAGAACGGCACCTGGTCATCAACGAGTGGCTTGCCAATTGTGTTCGCGGTGCAGCAACCGCAGTTGGGAGTGCTAGTCCAAAGACAAGTCATCCGATGGACACTCGATCGGGAGAGTAATTCGTTCAACAGCTCTGGCTTCTCAGGCCAGGTAACCTTCGAAACCAATGCCACCGCATCAAATCAGAACCTGTTCATCGCTACCGGTTTCACAAATGCCATCTCTGGAATCGAGGGTGACTGGGCATTCCGGTGGCAAGTTTCGACTCGCAACTGTTCTTTGATCACAAGCGACAATGCATTGACTACATTTTCCTCCTCATCCCAAGGCAGAGGAGTTGGTTTCCGAACAAGCAAATCAGCACCGGTACCAAACATCGATACAGCTCTGGCCTTAGATGCTTGTCGCGACAGCCGATGGCTTGCCTACAATGTGTCTGCTGTTCAAAAGATCCCAGAAGGCTCCGACGCTTTGCTTTCATCCTCCTGCGCTGCGCTTGCAGCCCAACCAACAGTCACTGGAAATCCATGCGCAGTCACTATTAGTGCAGCGGCCTCATCGAGTGCTTCGGCCGCCATCTCGTACTCGGCCTGCCAGGCTACTTCTACAGCGTGTGCATCGCCGACAACGACGACAAAACCTTCAGCAGCTGATCGCCCGGAAAGTCGCTCATTTCTTCTATGGTTGGTAGTTGGTGCACTCGGACTGGTGGCAGCCTAGAAGGGATTCGGAAAGGAGTCAAGCCTGAAGGATGCTTGGCATTTAGTCCAGGGTGCGAGTTTTTGGGGCCGTCCTTTTGACGGCGCATGTGTTCTAGAAGATTTGATTCAGGGTCTGTACATATCTTTCTACCTAGCATCTTGCATTCTGGTAGTCACATCAATGCAGTCATAAATTCTCAACGGTCACAAGGCCCGCTCGCGTTTCATGCACTGGCTTGGCCTCAGTCGTGGGTTCCGCCACAATCCTTCCGTGTCAGGTTACATCTTGAAGGCAGGCGATGTGCCTGCAGCGCCTCGTGGTAAGCGGCAAATTTCCGTAGAGCTAATGCAACAGTTGAAGCCATAAGTATCACGTTATGTTCTGCGAGATATGCCTCAGTGTGCATAGCTTAAGTATCCTATAAATAACTAGTTGTGATTTCTCCAAAATGCAAGGGTCAGTCGTCCCACGTGCGTTCAATTAAATCCAATGACGATGGCAAATCATTAAATGTATTTGCCATCAAAGAACTCTTTCGTTAAGTTCACGCGAGGAACGGTCGTCGTCCAACTCAATTATGCGATGTGAACCCCCACTGGATGAATGCCAAGACATCTCAATGTACATGTCCTTCGGGGGCCGCAGCGCAGACAGGTGCGCAATATCTTCGGGGCGAGCCAGCGAAAAGTTTGCGGGCGAATTTGGCCGAGGGCCGATTTTCTTCCCGCCGCTTGTATTCACTAGCGCAAGATCGCCATTCTCCATATAGAATAATGGTGCCCAGTGCACAATTGGAAATCTGCCACCCAATACGCTGTCGCACGTGTAAGCTTAGATGCGATCCTTGTTCTTGGCATCACTACGCGACCCACACCCCTCCGAATGTCCTTCGACATTAACGTGCGGGCCCTTGTGACCCTGGAAGGATGCGTAGTCCGCAAACACCCGTGCAAGCACAAGCAATTCACCAACCGCCGACTAAACAGAGCCGATTTTCGTGGCTTGGCCATCTCGCACTTTTCGGCGTATTTTGTCGCGACAAGCCCCGTGGCGTGACGATCAGTGTTTGGCTTCGAGCCAGGTGCAACCGATCTACTTGCTCTAGTGTTGGTTTCCAAAATGCCTCTTCAGAAGGATCACCAGCATCATATGGAACCCTCAAATAAAGTCTCTGTTGATCAGCCATGTTGGACTTTTGCCACGAAGGATTGATCTTTGCAGAAGCGAGCAATGCATGACGGCGCACAATACACACATGTGGTGCACCTCCGCGTCTGACGCCCACGACCATGTCCGAAACGAGCGATGGCCTTGCCAGTTGCGCTAGCGTGGTTGATCGCACTAGACCTGCAACGCTCCCATGGCGCGACAATGCAGAGGCGAAGTCTCGGAGGCCGTCCCAAAGTCGCGGGCAGTAAGCTGACTGCATACTCAGACATGCTCGTGCAATAAAGTTTGGCGGGGACATCCCAACCTCAGCTTGTAATGCTAGCACGTTTTCTGTTCAGGGCAAGATCGCCAGGTACTCCAACATGACAGGGAATATATTAAGGACTCCCGCAGGGATGGTGGTTCTCGAAGTTCTTCGAAGCACTCATCTCAAACCACATTCATCGAGACGCAGTCATGGCTTTCGACATGTCTGCAGTCAGGCTTCGGCCCACCATCGTTAAGGCGTTGCTTGCCTTCTCGACTCTTCTTCACAGCTCCACCGCTGAAGTCATCTCCAACGTCTCATCGACCTTTCCCGACTCTCGAAGCCGGACCTGGTGTCCTGAGCGCTGCGATGGTTCCGTGCCGAGTAAATGGTCTGCGTACCCGAACCTCAACCGCTTCTCGAGCTGCCCTCAATCAATCTACTATGGCTTCTCACTGTCAGACCGCATCGACGACCCCGAGGAAGCCCAGCGCATCTATGCTTGTGCCTCTGACGATGCCGGCTGGGCCAGCGTCGGCAAGAACGGCAACGGTGCAGCCCCCAAGCCAGCCTCCTCCATCGACGATGCCAAGTACCAGATTGGATCATGGTCCGATGCAAAGGGCTCGCCTGTCGGATCCGCCGCCAAGACCGTCGTTGCTCAACTCCAAGGGTATCTCGCTAACGGCCTTGCCCCTGTTAAAGGCCCGGCGATTGTCATCAGCTCCCTAGGTACGGTCAACTTCGGATTATATATCGGAGAAGGTCTCCAGAATCAGATTATTGGAAGCTCCGCTCTTAAGACCCTCGAGGCCAGCCTTGCCGGAGACCTCGCCAGCACGGCGAAGGTCGCTATGCAATACTGCCACCCGAACCAGACTGCCGATCACATCTTTGGATTCATTGCTACTAATGACGGAACCTTCGGTACCGTCCAACAGGCTCTATCGTCATGGAATAACGCCAGCTGCTTAGACATCCCCTCGGTCAGCGAAATCACTGGTCCGGCTGTCTTCAACACACCTTTGTATGACGCAGCCAACTCGACTCTTTCATCAAACTCCACATCCGTGGTGAACAACTCCACCTCGAACACAAACCTCACCTTGAGCGCCACTAACTCCAGCACACTTCAAAATGCGACACTTTCGTCCCGATTCGCTCACCTGAAGCGTGCTGACTGCAGCACCCAAACGGTTGTGTCCGGAGACAGTTGTGGATCTTTAGCTCAAAAGTGCGGCATCTCCGGCGCCGACTTTACGAAGTACAACCCAAGTGACGGCTTTTGCTCCAAGCTGCAAGTTGGTCAGCACGTTTGCTGCTCCGCCGGCACCCTTCCGGACTTTGCTCCGAAGCCGAACTCGGACGGAAGCTGCGCCGCCTACACCGTTGTCGAGAACGACAATTGCGCTGTGATTGCTAACAAATATTCGTTAACGAACGACAAGCTCGAGGAATTCAATAAGAAGACTTGGGGCTGGAACGGATGCGCTACACTTTGGCTCGGAACCGTTATGTGTGTAAGCAGCGGTGACCCACCAATGCCTGCTGCTGTAAAGAACGCTCAGTGTGGACCGCAGAAGCCCGGCACAAGCAAGCCAGCTTCCGGTACTGATTTGTCCACTTTGAACCCCTGCCCGCTTAACGCATGCTGCAACATCTGGGGACAGTGCGGTGTCACTGCTCCATACTGCACGATCTCCAAGTCCGAGACTGGTGCGCCAGGCACAGCAAAGAAGGGCGAGAACGGTTGTATCTCCAACTGCGGCACCAAAATCATCCGTGGCTCGGCGCCCGCCACGCAGATGACCGTAGGCTTCTACGAGGGATACAACCTGGGCCGTGACTGTTTGTACCAGAGTGCAGGTCAGGTCGACACCTCCGGAAACACACACGTCATGTACTCGTTCGGTACCTTCGATGCAAGCTACACGATTTCAGTGGGTGACATTTATGGTCAATATGAGTTCGCACGGTTCAAACAACTTCCGCGAGTGAAGAAGATCCTTTCTATTGGAGGCTGGGACTTTAGCACGTTCCCGCAGTACTATCAGTTCTTCAGAAATGCTGTCACAACGGCCAACCGTCAAGCTTTTGTCAACAGCGTGGCCGCGTTCATCAAACAGCACAATCTGGATGGAGTCAACATTGACTGGGAGTACCCCGGTGCCCAGGACATGCCAGGAATTCCTGCTGCGGACCCGAATGAGGGTTACAGCTACTATGCCATGCTTCGTTTGCTGCGTGCGGCTCTTCCGGACAAGGAAATATCCATCTGCGCCCCCGCTTCGTATTGGTACCTCAAAGGCTTTCCAATTAAGCAAATGGCTGAGGTTACCGACTACATTATCTACATGACGTACGACTTGCACGGTCAATGGGATGCTAACAACCAGTGGGCTCAATCCGGATGTCCATCCGGTTACTGCTTGCAGTCCCAGATCAACATCACCGAGACCCTCGGCGCTTTGAGTATGATCACCAAGGCGGGTGTGCCCTCGGGCAAGATCGTTCCTGGTGTCACTAGCTACGGCCGATCTTTCAAGATGTCTCAAGCCGGCTGCTACGGTCCTCAGTGCACCTACACCGGTTCAGCTACACAATCCAACGCTAAGCCGGGAGTCTGCACCAAGACCGGTGGTTACATCTCAAACGCAGAGATCTTCCAGATCATCAGCAACAAGAAGCGTGACGGCCGTGTCCAACAGAACTTCTACGACTCCACTTCTGCTTCCAACATTCTTGTCTACGATGATACTGAATACGTCGCCTATATGGACGACAAGACCAAGGAGACCCGCAGAGCGATCTTTTCCTCCTTGAACATGGGAGGATCAGCCAATTGGGCAACTGATCTGGAGATTTATAACCCTGCTCCTGCTCGATCTGACTCATGGCCCGCATACAAGAAAGCCATTGCGAACGGTGGGGACCCCAACCAAGTCGAGCCTCCCACTGGAGACTGGAACAAAATCACCTGTGATGCCGAGGTCATCAAGAACCTTCGCTCCTACACTTCCTCGCAACGATGGGATGCCCTCAAGGTCAAGGATGCCTGGGACTATGCTGTCGGCATCTGGAAGAAGACCGACCGAGACGCCAAGACTTTTACATTCTCTCAATCGATCTGGCTCTCACTCCATGGTCCTCAACAGACTAACTGCAACTTGATCGACGGAACTTGCGATTCATTCAAGACCTGCGTTGAGTTCCAAGGTATCGGAGCGGGTGGTAAGACAGTCCTTACATCGATCTTAAAGTTGTCAATGCTGATGAAACTTGTAGCATATGAACTGTGGAACAGTCTAGCTTTTATCAACAGCGTAAGTTTTTATCTGCACTACCGCCTCATGTGTGGAATTTTTCTTTTTTCGCTTTTTCGCTTTTTTCGTTTCTTCCAGCATACGAGACTAACGCACTCTACAGTTGTACAGCAGACACCGAGCTGCTATTGTCGGCGCCGCCTCAACTATCATCAGTAATTCAATGACTCACTTCCAGGACACTTTTGCGCCTCTACCACCACCAGACCCAACTCAGGCTGAGATCGAGATGATCATTGCGCTCATCACTCTTGGTGCTTCGGCAGCAGCTGCGCCTCTGTTCAACTCGGTATTCAAGCTGGTTCCCTACTTCGCAAAGAACCCAAACACCCTTGGTGTCGTCAAGGATGAAACCAACGCTTTGATCGCTTTCAGTGCCAGCGCTGCTCGTGCCAATATCAAGGCCTCACCACCGTAAGTATACCAATCTCATCGGATCATTGGGCTCGATGCATTACTCATCACCAATAACAACGACGTGCTGACGAATCGCAGAGCCGAATGGACCCTGAAGAAGCAAAACGGCTTCACCGCGACCCTGGGCGAGTCCCTCCACGGCTGGGCCGCCGTCGACGACATCGGTCTCAACCACCTCTTCAATGGAGACGACGCCTCCATCGATGCTCTCTTCTCAGTGATCAACAACGGCAAACTCATCGCTGGAAGTGAGGGTATTCCTTCATCCATCAAAGTCTCGCAAGAGATGCAGTCCGAACTTGAAGATGCAGTCGCCAGAGCATTCTGGGCATTTGCTATTCCTGCGGTGTGGAACACCCAGGGCAAGAGCGTCTTTGTCATTGATTCGGGAACTCCTTGTGGAGATGGCGACAAGATGGGTGATTACCTCGATGACAAGACAATAAAAGCAACTTCCACCTGCGTTGGTAAGTCGGGATTTTTGCCCTCAGGACAAAATAAATTATTTCTTGTCTCCAACCGCTAACTTATGTCAAGACGGTTCTTTATACTACCTTGCTTATCCTGACGGTGACGCCACTACTTATCTGGAGAACGGCGACGACATCAAGAACAAGTTCAAAATGGCCCCTGGCACCGACGCCCTTGACGGCGGAAATTGGGGGAAGGTCACGGCCCAGGACATTGTCAAGGGTTCGGTACGAACCTACAAGCAGAATGGCAGTAGTAACGGAGGAGGTGTCGCCGACCCCACCAACTCCGGCACTCTCGAAGATCTCACAAACCAGGACATCACCACTCCTGGTTACATGCGCCTGCCAGTCTGCTCTCCAGCCTATGCCTTCAAGGCTTGGGACAACCCGAAGACAGCCAACAAGACCGATCCAATGTGGCCTTGTGTGTACACCAAGGCCCGCTCCGAATGCTGGGACATCACCTTCGAGGACCAGACCAGCGACGCATCTGCCTCCGTCGATGACTGCAAGGGCATTATCCGCAACATCGCGGGTACCGACGGCCGCTGGGACACCGGAATCGGCTCTCAGAAGCGCATTGCGCAGTTCGGCCACTGTGCTTTTGGTGTCGAGGCCGCTGGAGTTAAGGGCTCTGTCGACTACTTCACCGGCGCTCAGGATATTGTCGACGCCATTCAGGGGTCGATCGATAAATTTGGAGGCAGCACTGGCAAGATTGGTGCGAAAGGTACTATGACTTGCAACGGAAATGCCTCGAAGCAGCCCGTGAAATGGGGTCTCTACAAGTATTAGGAGAATACCATACGAAGCACGGCATTACGATTTTTGTTTAGACATAGATTTTCAATTTGACGACGCGTGAGTTTGAGGTATCTTTTTGGACAGCACAGAAAATTTGCGTATCTCTTTCGACAACCAGATTCATCCACATATGCTCGCAACAAATAAGATCAAGTCATGTTTTGTCACAAGTTTCATGGCAGCAGACTTCCTCAAATTATCGCATTCAAATCTGAGCTTGACGGCAAGGAAATGTAGACTATTCTGTTGAATATTGAAGGGTCCATTTGCGGATGAGAGGCGACGTCTCGTAGCCCTCCCGCGCAAGGGTCTTATGGTTTGGGTTGGAACAATTATCGAGATTTGCCTACTACCACCTGGGCAGGTTTGGAAACTCATGTGATCTGAGACACACATCAACGTGCTCAACGCCGCGCTCGGCCCTCTCTGAAGCGCATTCGTGATGAGCGCACGCTCGTGAAGCTTTTCTGTACCATGGTTCAAGATACATCAGCCATCTCCGATCTCAGCTCGCATTTGGATCTGAAGGACGTACGATGCATTTCTTATCAAAAGTCCAACTTTCGGCAAGCTGAATGTACTGCGACAGTGTTGACGTGTAATTGGCGCTATGTCGTGAGCAGGTGAGGGTTGAAGCGAGCTGATAATTGTGGCAGGCTGAAACCTGCACCAGAACGCCACGTTCGCTTTGCCCGATGCATTGACTGAATTTACTGCCTCTTAGTGTCGCTTTGCCTTCAGCGAAGCTGCCTCGATGCGGACTAAAGCTCTCGGGGTATCCAATCACATGCACCTTTGAATATTCGCTGTCAATCATCATCTTTGACTACATCCTCCGTCCGCAGAGGCGTACGCAGAGGATAGTGCACAAAGGTTTCGATTATATGCAGGCAGAATGATTGGAGAGCTGAACTCTACGCCACAACTACATGTAGAGGCGTCCTTGCATTGCATACGAACATAGAAATCTGCACGAGCATGTTCACAGAGGTCGTCCCTAAACACTAGCTGGATATATAAAGCATCGAGTCTCACTCGTATTGTCAGGAACATTACAGGCTGCCTCAAGTACTTGCCGCTTGACTTTCCGAAGCCGGACTTCTGCTTTGTTTACGACCATGCTCGCCATCCTCTGCACGGCAGCGTATGCCTTCGCTGTTGGCCATGCCGCCACGACTGGGCTTACTACAAAGCCCGGTGACACGACTAGCTCCGCATGTGGTGTCCGCGACGCGAGTAGCACGATCGTCGCCTCGAGCCTACAGCCATTTTGTACTACCTATCTTGGATACAACAGCGCAACTCGTACGACATATCAGTCCATGGCCGTTGCGACGAGTACATCCACGTTCATCATCACTACAACGCAGATCACCCTTCAGACCACCACCAGGACACTCAATGGTACGAAGAACGCCGACGCGACTGTTCCTGGCGGACCGAACCAGAACAAAAGGGGCGTTGCAACCAGCTCCACGGAAGACATACCTCCTGCCTTGACCCAATGCGACACTTCAATCATCTCCTCGGCCTGCTCTATCGCTGCCCCACCGCCAAAGTCAACACCCGTCACGACAATCTTCATCAGCTACACAAGTACAGCGACGAAGACAACTACGGCCACAGTTTCTGCTACCAGCACTGTCACAATCTCTGTCTTGCCGCCATTCGCCAGTAGGTCATCCTCGATATGGTTGGGCGAATACATGATCCCACCAGAGCGCTTGTGTGCTCTTCAAGCCAGACGACTCGCCCATTGCATAGCTGACGTGATACGTGTACAGAAACCTGCACCAAGCCTTCGTCTTGTGGAAAGGTCAACTTGTGTAACGACAGCCGAGGCTTCAGAGGCGCCTGTGTCTGCTACAAAACGGTCGAAGACATCAACATCTGCAGCAACAATGTTTCCTGCGGCCAAGCATGCGACGTCAGCACTGATTGCGGCGATGGCTACTTTTGTGTCCGTGATACGTGCTGTGGCGAAACGGGCAAAGTATGCATGGCGGTCGGAAGTGTGCAGTACTGCGACAATGCACGCACTCCCTTCAACATGTTTAGGCGGGCTCAAAGTAAAGATGGGACATTAGCACTTGGCGAGGATCCGCTATTTTTTGATCTCGAATAGCTTAGCATACCTATTGCCGTGGCAGCACAAAGAACAGAGTCAACAGAAATCTATATCACAATGACGAAATATACTGTCGATGGGAATCATCTACACTATCCGATCGTAGTAGCAAACTGTTTATGAGGGCCTCCAACATGAGTTCCTTAGGCTTCACCGTTCCATGGGCCATGCAATGCGTTTAGACTCGTGACCCGATTTGTCAGATGTAGGCCGCCCCAGATCCTGTTACAGTCAACGCTTCGCGCCGGAGATTGCCGCGTTGTGGCAGACGAGCCCACACATCGAGATGTAGATCTGCGATTACAAAGTGCAAAGCCTCGTTGTGCAGCGAAAGCTTTTGGACGCCTTATAATCAGGGCTGTCAGCAAATCCTGGTGACCACACTGTGTTTGAATCTCCATACTGTGGACAAGGTTTTGTGGTACATGTCCAAGCCACTGCGACCACATGCGCCCCGCCTCTGACCACTACCAGGCCATCAGCAGCCACCAGTCTACATAATGACTGGATCTTCTTCTGAGCGATCTTCAAATCTACAGGCTTCGCGTCATTCTGAGAGAAAGTCCTCATTGTTTGGTAGGTGCTTGGTTCCTTGTATATGGTTTTGAGAGCACCTACATTCGTAGCCTATCGGCGCTGAATGCTGTGGTTTCATTCAAACGCAGGACGATCGAACTGGCGATGTTCCGGGCCAAACCCTTGCAACTGCGCCGAAAGATGGGCATCACACCAAGCTTCGATTGTAGATAATGCTTAGCCGAATTGTAGTCGAGCATGGATATTCAGACGTCTAGAAATGCGCGGAGACAGGCTTTGGATTACTCGTTCAGACAAAGTGTTTTGCAGAGCAAGCCAGCATTGTCATTTCATATGCTGAACACTTTCCGCCGGTGACCCACCTGCTTGGATTGCACCAAATCAGGCGCAGACACCCAAATGCCCGTAGGCTGCACAATGCAGTGATCAAAAACGTTGGACACGCTTGGTGCAAAGAGCGATTTCTGACGGTTCCACGCCAAAACTGAAGCGAGGCTAGAGATGAAGAAGATTGGCGCAGACTTGGGCAGGCGATTTTCTTCGCATGGTCCGATCGAGCACGGGCCATGCCGCTGGCTCCGAATTGTCTCGACTCAGCGCCATCTTCGCCCTGCCCGAATGCTTAATTTGTATTCTGCCTACCACTTTCGGCTCGACAGGCCAAATCTATCTCAAATACAGATCGTGGCGCTCAATAGATCCGATCATATTGTGGAGGGTTGGCTCTGACACGCTGGCATCTGCGCCCTCGCACTTCACTTGATCCGACATGCGACGACAGCGATGCATGCGAATTGTGCCGAACGTGGCAGTAGCCGGCCGCGATGCTGCATCGCCGTGGCCGAAACAAATTGTTGAATGGCGATCAGCGAATTGTGATTCCAGGACCTACTCCTTCAAATCCTCCTCGCCGCTACAGTGCTGAATCGAATCATACATGGCGAATTTCACGCGATCCGTGTTGCCTGGGTCGCCAGCGCAAATTCGCATAAATGCACGAAGCTCGCACGCCACTCCATTCTGTTGCCGGCCGCCATTGACACTACCTTTCATTCATCCGTCCCCACGTCGCCGCCATCATGCTCGCCATCCTCTGTGTGGCTTTGAGTGCCCTTGCCGTTGGCCATGCCGCTCCACAAGGTATTGACTTCAACTTGGTGCTCGCTGCACCCAAATCTACCCTCTCCCAAGACTTTGGCGCGATCAGTCAAGTTGTTACGGTCAACACCGCCGCGCTGCTGGCTCAAGCCACCGGCGTGAGCAGTGTCGACGTCTCCTTCAACAATGCGGCCACTGTAGCTGCGCCGAAACGCGATCTTGAAGCACGCGCTGCCTGCGCTTCTCAGTCTCCCGGTGCTCAGGCACCCGCATACTCACCAGACACGGCGTCTGCATTCCGAGCTGCTCAGGCTTCTTTTGGAGCTGTCGCAACCTCTGCCCCTGTCCCGCCAGGCTACAATAAGGTCTTCGATGGCCTGTATGGCGCTACCAAGATGTGAGTACAGCTTGCGAAAGCTTCCGCATGAACATCTCAGCCTAATGAATTGTATCAAGGGCGTATGGATACCTTGGCTTTTCCACGCTGCCTAAGTACGACACGATCGAGTGTGCCAATCGCTGCAACAAGGTCGTAGGGTGTAGCTCGATTAACATCTATTTTGAGAGAGATCCGAGCCTCGAACCAGGTGCTGCCTGCTCCAACCCTTCGTCGGTCACGAGGGTAAAATGTGCTTATTACGGTGCACCCATCGCTCCCGATAGTGCTGCCAACAAGGGCCAATTCCGTGCCGGCTTCGAAGTCGTGATCGCGGGCTCTAATGGCTACGTTAACCAAGCTGTTTCTACTCCACCGGGCTACACACAACCAACATACCTTGGAAACGGCGCAATTGATGCTCCGCCGGATGTCCTTGGATGTAATTCCTATCTCGGAGCTAAGATCTTCAGTCAGGGGACCTTCAATATTAACCTCTGCGCCGACTATTGCACGTCTCAGAGCCAATACAACCTGGCACATCCTCCTACCGATGGAAGCCCTGTCCAGACTTGCCAATTTTTCAACACATACATTCTATACGTCAACCGCACCACTAACACACAAGGTCAATACTGCGCCATCTACTCCGAATCCTGGCCGGCATCATATGCGACAAACAAGGGCCAGTATCGAGGTTCAGATCACTACCTTATCCAGTCCTCATACTCCTCGTCGAACGCCACGGACCCCGGCATCAAGCCCAACGCGCAGTGCGCCGTCGCACAGGCAAGTCAGGCTATTGTCGCTCAGACGCTGCAGCCTGCATGTTTCAACTTCCTTGGCTACTCTACCGCGACTATATTTCAAACGAGTGTTGTCGCCACAACTAATCCTATCGCCACGATTAGCACGACAAGCACTGTCGTCGAACCTACTTCCACTACTCAAGCCAGTACATTACTCACTACCACTGTGATGCGTGTCACGATCTTTGTCAGTGATCTCGCACGGCGCACAGCGCCCACTGGAGCAGTACCCGTCCCAGCTTTTCCGACGCAATTCTCTTCAAACATTCTCTCATCAGCATGTTCACTAGTCGCGACACCTACGACTACCACTTCCGTGATCAGCGCAACATCAACCGGCGACGCCTCGAGTGCGTTCGTGACACTGCTTGTAAACAGCACCTCGACTTGGACTACAAGCGTCACCGTGAGCAATATCGTCACAAGAACTCAAACTATCATCGTGTTCTAAAGTTGGTTGTATGAATACATTTGCCTTCCTCTATTACATTTTACGCATTTTACGAATTTCAAAATCCGAGATGAGACATGACCAGTCATCCAGTGCCTAAACTCACATTCCTGTTCAACTTTCGTCAAAGCTACCGCTTTCGAGGCCGTCAAAATCATCTCGCAAATCCATACTCCACGTCCCGTGAATGAGAACAATCTTCGTCGCAGTTCATCAAAAAGGCTCACAGCTTTCACTGCTCATGGAGATTAATCTATTACCCGCACCAACAAAGGTGCCTTGACTGCATCATCATTTGTTGTTAGTTCGGTGTGAGTACAGAAACTACTCAATTCTAGAGCACGCCGATCTTCATTAATCAGATTCGCAGATGCAATGTTGGAGTTAGGCCCTGAATTTCAGTGTGGTTTACACAAATTCACCTCTGATCATATGGCTCCATATACGTAAGACTTGTGGATCAATAGAAGGCATGGATCGATATGACTGGCATCTTTTTATTCAATTTGCTGCAGACTGTCTACATCTGGCCAATCTTGTCACACCACTGCAGGGTGGGCATCATCTGCATTGCAGGTATGAAAATTCCCAACACATCCTCGGGAGTTTTCTTGAGGACATAGTCGTTTAGCAGTTGTTGGCGGAACATCTGGTACCTCCGACGAAACGGACCGACTGGTAGGCGGTCAAGTCGATAGCCAGGCAGAACGGATTGCTGGCGTGAGCGTTCAAGTTGATAGGGTCGCAGTGAGACTGGCAAGGGCAGTTCTGGCCAGGGCTCTCGACGAGCATAACGTCGGAGTCATTGAATCCACCTTGGAAATAGATGGATCGGCGGCCAGACTCGTTGAGGCAGCCTGGGTTGCGGACGTTGACAGCAATGCCCTTGTTCTGGGTGCAAGAATCGTCATTGTAGAAGGTCGCATAGATGTCTTCGTTGCGAGGGGAAAGTGTCGGAGCGGCAGCGGCCAGGGCGGCCAGGGCGCTGAGGATGATGGTGTACTTCATGATGGCGATGATTTTGCTTTAGAGCTGGTCTTGACGTTGACAAGTTGCTGGAAATTGCTGTTGGGTTGAGGAGCTGTGGATGGCTTGAGTTTGGGCGTCGAGCTGCTTCATATATATGTAGTTCAGCCTCAACCACTTCCACGAGAGGTCGGCGTCAGCATGATGTCTCTCCCAAGGACAGAGCATCCGTCGCAGACAGCCTTGTTGGCGGATTGTACCTGGTCAGGAAGGACCGCACGTGTTTCCTGGAATACTTCTCAAGACAGCTATGCTAAACATGAGCGTCATTGAAGCATCAGGGAAACCAAGATGGCAGCAGGTGGGTGTTGAACGCATGCGTGTTCCCGGTACGCCTGGCAGGACAGTCGAACTAGAGATTTGAGCTCCACTCCAGCATCAGCGCAGCCTACATAATAGGTTTGCATTCGATGAGGTGTGTACCGATCGAGAAGGTTCGCTTCCCGTTAGGACATTCGAGAAGAGTATTTAGTCGCGCTCGGCGCTCGCATTCAATATTCAAAGCCGAGCGGATCAATCTAACGACACAAGCTTAATCAATATTAGCATCACATTGATGACGCTAAAGTCCAGACCCTGCATCACGGGAATTCACGCATGCACCTGGCCATGTAATAATACACGTAATATTTATACGGGCTTGAAGGACAGCGGACGCGCTACTGTCTCGATTCATGGAGAACTGCTCGAGTCATGTATCCAATTCCGCAAGTTTACGGTTATCCAAAATTGCCAATGCATTTGCCATGCTCCGTATGTTTCATCGGGCTGTCCTTCTTACTGTCCTTCAAGCTACCAAATTGACGTCACGCAATGTGGGAGTAATGTCTTTGATGGAATTCTCCGCACGCGAATGCAATTCTAACTCGTGTGCTACATGGTCATTCGAACCACAGCCTGAGGCCTGTAACACCGAGTCCACATAGGCCTCTACTACCATATCGAACTCGAAGCAGCAAAACGCGATGATAGCCCTGCCTGGTAAATCGTATTGTAAGATCAGAGTGATGAGAAATATCCCACTACTGTTGCTATTACTTTCAAAGATCACGGTTTTACACACGTGGCGCTTAAACTTAAGAGGTAAGATATGAATCATTGTTGGTAGAGCTATTTCAAGTAACCCAACATCTGCCACCAAGACCGTTCGCCGATTCATATCTGGTGTACCGCTAGTATGTCACCTTCGTCGTTCGACAAGCTCCTAGCAGTTGTCGGCATCGCAACGGCCCTGGATGAAACGGAAGGATTCGGCGTTGGGTTTACCGTCGAGGCTCTCGCAACGCGGCAGGTACTTGAGTCCGACGATGGCAGTCTCGCAGTGATTTTGACACGGGCAGTTAGGGGAGGGGCTGAAGACCAGGTTGTAGATGTTGTCGGTAGAAGCCTTCTGGAAATAGATGGAGTGACGGCCATTTTCGTTCAAGCATCCCGGGTTGTTGCAGCTGACAGCCTCGCCTGGGTTTTGAGTGCAGGCGTTGTCGTCATAGAACGTAGCATAAATGACGGTGTTGCGAGGCGACAAGACCGGGGCAGCGGTGACGCTGGTGGCGATGCCGAGGGCAACAGCAATGACGGTTGTGATGTGCATCTTGAGGGACTTGTGGACGAGGTCAGTGGAGAAGTCCACATAGACTAGACGAGCTGATAGGCTTACACTTGAAGGTTTAAGGACTTGATTATGAATTTGAAGTTGATAGAGTTGCAGGTTCGATATAAGTCCTGAAGAGAAGCTGAAGAGAAGGGGCTGCGATGTCTTTATGTCGAGATGCTGATTGCTCACATAGCCCACGATGCATGGCACTCGTCATACCATAGATCATCTCAGGACCATCCCAGGATCTCAGAACCCTCGGCCTCGGAGACGACACTCGAGTCAGGCGACCCTCTTTTGACACCTTGATGTCAGGAGGTTCGTTCCACGCTCATTCGACAGGAAGTGTCCTTTCGCCGATCATGGCTAAAGACATGACTAGCACTAGCCAATTGCCCGCAGCGCACGTGTCCCAAAATTCGACGGAAGACTCTAGATCAGCCGTCATTCGTCATACAGTGTTGTGCGCCCGAAGTACGAAGTGGAGTATTGACCAAGCTGGATATAAGCTTCGTCAAAACGAGAGTAGGTCAAAGTGAACTTCGTGCATGTGTGTTGAATGGATCATGGAGTTCCCCGCGAGGAGTTCACAGTACAAGCGGTGGCAAACCTTCAAGACGACAAAGTTCTCACCTCTCGCTGGAATGGGATCGAGCTCCGTAGCGCAGACGTCAGGGCATGCGCTAGAGTTTTTGCTTGTTGGCGCTCCAGCCGCGCAACAAACTTGAGAAGGACAGCAGGTTTCTTATCCGCATGGTATGGATGATTCTACCTTTGTCATAATGCGTGCGTCATGGGGTGATAGGCATGGTTTTGAGGCAGATTCAATCCATCCTGGTGTGGTTGCGACGCTCGGATTGCCACATTAGACGACCGTCTGAGCCCGTGGCGTATATAGCCGACTGTCGTCGTTGAGCCTATCATAGTAAGTATAGTCATTTCTGATAAGCTAGAATATTGCTTCGTCATGTTCTCGACATCAACCAGAACCTCTGCTTTATGGGAAGGAATAGTGTAATGTGCTAAGCTCGGGCTTCGGCGAAAGCTCCATAGTCCGATCAAATAAGGTTTTTGGAAGGATTACCACTAGTGCACCGCAGGACAGGTAGACCATCGACCCCATCGTCATATCCACGTAATCACACGCGCGGCTTAACTTCATCATCAGAAGGGTCGTCACACATCGACAAAAGCGATCAGCTCTTCATGACCCACTCTGGGAAAATGCGCTGCCTTTCATGATTCTAGCATGAGATCCTTCCACATACGTTTCTCGCGTGGCTCTCGGGGAGCGAAGGATTCTCCTCCTCAAAGCTTTACTACATACATACTTGGCACCTCATCGAACCTCACGGCACAACCTCGATCTGGAGATATTTTCACGAGCAGCATGGCGCCAGACTAGCATGACTCGTATTGTGTCTCTGCCTTCTCATGACTCGTGATGGATTTGACGGAGGAAGCATTCATATCGAGCTCTTGAAGGACATCAGAGCTAAAATGTAGCGTCAAGCGCATCCATCTACCGAGAATGGTTCACCTAGCGCGCAGACCAGTGCCTTCGTCGCTTTCAACGAGGCCGACGCAGACCAATGCTCATTTCCGCCACGTGTTCGCGTTTCGCCAGTGTTCTTGGAGCAATATACTTATTCATGGGTGCTCTGTCATTAGCACTCATGTCTATCCAGCTCATTGAACAGAATCATATCTCGGGACAGAACTTCTCAACGTCAGTACACGATGCATAGCTACGCTCTCCTTGCACTCGGCATTGCGGCCACTCTGCCACGCGTCATTGCAACAACAGCTGGTCCGGTAGACCTAACAGTCGAGACCTTCGACCAATACATATCTTCATACGATGCCGTCATGGTCGAGTTTTTCGCGCCGTGGTGAGTGCTCATTCTTGAAAGGTCGTTGTAGGCGGGAAGTTAACACGAATGGCAGGTGCGCTGTCTGCAAAGAATTGGAACCTTTGTACGAGGAAACCGCATCGATTGTCGCCGCGAATTCGAGCGACATACGATTTGCGAGAGTGAATTGCGTCGAGCAGAATGAGCTCTGCGAGACGTATGAAACGCCAATGTATCCCACACTGCGACTCTTCCAGGGTGTTGGGCGAGAGACTGTATACAATGGCCCTCGGGAGTCAGCAGAGTATGTCCCTCCTTGCGTCCATCGATGGTGGAATTCCTGCAAGACACAAATTTCCGTATGACTCTCCGATCCCGCCATGAGAATGCTGACCGATTTGATAGGATGATTTCGTTCGCCGAGGTTCGTTTAAAGCCAGCGATACATGTTCTTACGGAAGGCGAACTTGAAAGCTTCAAGCATAGCAATCAAGTTGTCGTTGTAGGCTCATGGAGCGAAAATGACGCAGCATCCAATCAAACCTTCACTCGTGTTGCCGAAGAGCTCCTGGACTACTACACTTTCGCCGCCACGAGCGACAAAGCCAAAACCGCGAAACCCAGCATCACCCTCTACAAGCAGTACGACACGCGAGAACTTCATTTCGACGGCGACTTCGACGACGATGCGATCATCGACTTCATCGCGTTGAACTCGGTTCCTATCGTGGGCGAGTACAGCCAGAAATGGTCGTGGTACTACCCACCAAACGCCTCCGTCCCTCTAGTAGCAGGTTTTGCCCATTCCGCTGCGGAGCGCGAAACCCTCACCGACCTCATGCGCCCGCTCGCAAAGACCAACGAAAATATTATGCGTTTTGTGACCGTCGATCCTGCAAGGGAGCCGATTTTCGCTGCGAGACTTTTAGTTCCAGGTGAAAACAAGGGCACGACTCTGGTCATGCGCGATACTTCCGATCGAGTCTTTCACCTGTCCGAAGGTGAAGATCTTACACCACAGGTGCTGAGTAAATGGATCGAAGACTTCCGACAGGGGACACTCACACCGTACGAGGTGCCTGAGCCTGCGCCCGAGCCCGAAGTTCCAGAAGAGTCCGTTGTTATACTCGAAGCAGCGAGTTTCGACAGTGTAGTGTATGACGCTGACTACGACGTTCTCGTCGAGTTCTACGCGCCGTGGTGCGGCCACTGCAAGAAGTACGTCGCTCCCACCGTAATTTCGAGGATCACCAGCTAACCAGAAATCAATCACAGGCTCGTACCCACCTATGCCAAACTTGCCCAGCACTTCGCAGAGACCGGCGAGAAAGTCCGCATTGCGAAAATTGATGCTACAGAACATCAAATCCCCGAACATCCGATCAAGAGCTATCCTACGATCATGTTCTTCCCAGCAGATACCAGGAAGGACGCCATGGCATATGAAGGTGACCGATCCCTTGAGGATTTCGTGAAGTTCATTGGCGCGAACAGCGGGTCACGGCAGGCACCGAAGGACTCCGTCCCTCCTCTTGACAGCACTGCACCTGAGCAGCTGAAAAGGGTAGTGCGAGATGAGTTGTGAGGCGACGACTGGCACGATATACACGATCTGCGAAGTAATTTGAATAGCATTTCCCTGAAGCACAGGCCAATTGCTTTCTCCCGTCCCATGATTTGCAATTTCAGACTTCCACGTCTGTGATTATGATGAGCCTCCTTTGATCAGGCATGCAAGGTCGCTATTGCCGTTGCGGGTCCTATCTTCCTACCAACCCCCATCCACTCGGAGGCCCCATCCTCCATCAAAAAGATTGAAGCATCAGACACGATGAAAAAGCAAAAACATACAGCACGAGGGATTCCCACGTGGTCACCCACCGTAGTACTAATCTCGCGGTCAGCTGCTTAAATATGGGAGAGCGGACGGGATCCCTTGTTCTCAGCTGCCTGTGGCCGTATGTGCTGGGTGATGATCTTTCCAAAATATATCGTGTAAACCAAAGTCTTGAAGATTCTGGCAGGCGGAACCGTGGAGGCGACATATCAGACCGCGAAGACGAGCAGTGCGAACTCAACCGATTGGTTCTCAGTGGCAAATGTTACTGGATGGATCAGAGATGATCACGATGATGAGTACATGCTTGTCGTCCGAGGTCGTGGGGGCTGTGAGTGAGGGCGATTTGGAAAGAGGTTCCGCAAGACAATCGCAAATCGAGATCCGCCTGAGGATTGCGGGCGGCGAGCGTGACGATCCGGAAAGAAGTCGAGCGAATCTCGATCTCGGACTCCAGATATAAAATGCGGTTGTATTCCTGTGCAACGCGAAACATTTCAGGTGAGGATTTTAAGCACGCCGTGTTATATGTGGTCGGTGTTTGTCGGTGAGTGACGCGCGTGGGTCGCATCTGGTAGTTTTAACGAGGGTTGTGACGTCGTGGTAGGACCCGTGAAAACGCAAAGATCCACTAGCCTAGGCTGATCTTTATTGTGCAGCTATTTTAGAAGGGAACGATGGGCGATGAGTGCAAACGAGATGGAACAATTTTACTCAGGATGTTATGAAGGTGATTGTGGTGATTAGACATTTAAATTTTTGGTGATGCTAATTTTCTAGTACGGAGAAAACCGTAATGATGATGATAAATGACGGAATACGAGCTTTTCTTCCTCTCACTGTCGCTACGCGACTTCTTGATCTTCGTTACACTTTCATGATTTCCTTATCTCGTCTCTGAGAACCCTGAGAGGATGATCCGCTTACGCGACGGCAGTGGCGCGGCTCTGCTTGACGGTGAAGTTCTTCTTCTGCTTGGAGGCGTTGGAGCCAGTGGCGGAGTAGACCTGGGTCTCGCCGTAGTAGCGGTAGGTGGCGGTCTGCTCGGGGATGGAAACGACGTATTGGAGGTTGAGCTGGCTGGTCTCGCGGTCGATGTAGGCGAGGAGCTGGCTGTTCTCCTTGCCGGTGGCAGCGCACTGGATGTAGTCCTTGCCGGTCTCGGGCTTCGCGCCGGTGAAGGAGCCCTGGCAGTGGACGGGAGTGGTGATGGCCGGGTGGGTCGGGGCGTGGTCACCGGTGACCTTCACGTCGAAGTACCAGTCGCACTCGTTGGTGCAGCCGAAGATGAAGTTGGTGACCTCGAAGGTGTTGCCTGCGGTCTTGTAGGTGGTGGCAGCTGGTGCGGCGGCGACCAGGGTGGAGCCGGCGACAGCGAGGATGGTAGAGGCACGCATATTGATGGAGTTGGAAGGTAGTTGAGGTGGTTTGAGTTGAGTTAAGTTGAGTTGGTAAGATTGTATTGGTGGTTGTTGATGAGGAAAATGAGAAGGAGGAGCGGATTGGATGTTTATATATTCTGATGCTGTCCAAGTAAAGCTCTCGGTGGCCGTGCTCCTTCGTATTCCTCCGCCAATGTGGCCCTTGTCTCATGAATAGCACGAGCGGAAATAGTGTTTATGCGACCATCAAGGCGCAAGACGCCACCGAATCACCATTGTTTATGACGGTTGTATTGCCAATGCTCCAAAATGGCACGTCCGGTTGCCCGCCGAGGCAAATGCAAATAGACGACAGTAACGGTAAAGCTGGAGGGTAGCATTGGAGGGACAACGGAAGGGCCCGAGCATACGAGAAATGACGTGGAAGTGCAGCAGAGGATCCTAAATCAAGCCATTCAGTCCAGGAACCAGAGGGCACCACCCCACAATACTAGGTCTTCAATGGAACCTTCGGCAAGTTCCACAGGATTTCTTTCTCAGATGCAGGTGATGCAGATGGTCTGGACTGTGGAGGCGGTCTCGATGATCGGCAACGGAACTTCCTCTATTTTCCTCTCTTTCTTTTAAGCTTTCTAAGAATAGCAGACCCGATACGACCGCCGCTTGCCGCACATGCAATGAACCTGATGCTTCTCTGGCTGGTCAAAGGGACGAAGCGCGGGGTCATTATCATTCATCGTTGATCGTATCCTCATGCCAGTACTTCCCCTCGTCGGTACATGCGGTATTGTACATACATTCTTTCATTAGACGGTGAACCTCATGTACCGCAACATGTTACATCCTCGGAGCGGACATGTCGTTAAATGACCAGGTCGTTGCACCGGCCATGGCAGCGCTCGTGTTCTAACAGACTTGACGCCAGCGTCCGATTGCCAGAGACCTCCATCAAGAGCCGAGAGATACGATAATTGCAAACGAGGGGTCAACATCATGAGACACACAACAGGGAAACGGGTCAATAACGGCAATCATCGGCGTATTTCGACGCCGGATCTTCTCCGCACTTTGTTCTGGGGCCGAAGGTTAGCGCAGCCCTGGGTCCCTCGGGAGCGTTAGGGTTTGGGCTGTTTCGTTCGGCGTTCACACATGCGACTTCACTGTCGAGGACGAGGATTGGTCCATCCCACTTGAGTAGCCGACCTATCTTTTGCATAGCTTTCATGTCTCATCGCGATGGTGTTTGTGGCTGAATCGAACGTCATCACAGATATAGCATGCCTGGAACTTTTCAATCTCGATCTGTACAGAGTTCAAAGCCTAGGGTAATGCCAATGTTTGTTACACGCACCTGCGTTTTGCGAGCGAGTGCACGCAGCATGAAACATGACAAGTGAACTGCAATGCCGTTGTGTCATCTACTCCGGATCTTTTCGGTCAAACAACAATACTGCTTTGAGCAACGATGCGCAGTCTGTGGCAGCAGTAATGCGAGCGATCTCTATTCGGCCTACACGCAGAAAGCAAAGGCCGCACTGTGCTGCCCTCTAGGTTTGGGAAATGCATATCTACACATAAAGCGAAAAGGCCAATGATCGAATCTGCCGCTCAGGCGAAATAGCTCTTCCATAACACTCCTTCGAGATCTTCAAGTTGTTCGGGTTGGAAAGCCTGTGAAGATAGTAAAAGTGGTTAGTAAAAGTTCTGCAATGTGTAGAAAAACATGAATCAAGAGGGAAAATCTTACCTTGACATCAACGTGCCAAGTGTCCTGCCTGGTCTTTTTGAAATCACTCAGTGCCTGCTTGACACTCTTGCCGACCGTACCAGTATCAGATGCCGCTCGGGATGCGAGTGTCGCCAGGACTTCGGGTAGCCATGCCGGTGGTGGCGAGGTGTATGGGAAAGCTTGGACCAAGGCACTGAGACCAAGCACTGCGGCGTGGCGGGTGAGAGTGAGCTTGTTTTGTTCTGGAGTCGGTGTGCTGGCACCGCTCTCACGGTTGATGACGGCAGCTGCGGCGTTGGTGGCCTTGACAGAGCGCTTGTTCGGGAGCGGATTGTCGACGAGGAGACGGGTGAAGTGGTTCTTGAGGGCTTTGATCTTCTTGTCGCGAAGGGCGTGGGGTGAGCAGCGGATCATGCCACTGAGCGTGGCAGCTGCACCTAGACGGACCTCAAGTTGCGCATCATGCAGCATCTCCCGGACGCAAAGGAACAACGCCTCGGCTTGAGCAGGGAGCATGAGGAAGAGATTTCGGAAGTACAGGACCTGAATGTTGATGAGAACGCGAAGGCGCTGATGCCAGGACGGCGAAGCGCGACCGATGCGGACGAGAGAATCGATTAATGCGCCAGACTCTTCACCAGGTCTGTGAGGAATGTTGGGAAGGTGGCGGAAAACGTGGTATGCAAGAGACTGCAACTCGGGGTCTTCTTTGATATCCATCATGTGAAGCAGCTGTTCCATCACAGCACCAGGGAAGAAGGGAATGAGCGACGTGCATTCGTAGTTGGAGAGACAGGTATCGAGCCACAGCAGAACGGTCTTGCTGGCTTGAGTGTACGGTGTCGGTGTCTGTATCCCAGCAGGTCGTTCCAGGCGCCACTTTTCAAGTCGACTGAAAATGTCCATAACCATTTTCGAGAATTCCTCTGTAGCCTGGTATGGCCTCGTTCCGAGAGATGATGCTTGTCTCTGAGCGTCCAGCAATGTCGGGATGTCTTTGTATGACTCGTGGTACCGAGTTCGGAAAATGGTGGCCAGCGTTGTACCCATGACTTCACGGACACCCTTATATGGATGATCCAGATGAGCGACAAAGTCTTCCACGATTGGTTTCTCAAGCTGGAAATGCCAACCTGTCGAACTGACCAGTAGCTGAAGAAGCGTGATTTTCGAACTTTCTTTGAAAGCTGCATTGGTATCCATGTCAAGCCTGAAGCTTGCAAGCCATTCCACCAAAGGCCAGGCACGGCGAGGATCCTTACCACTCACGATGATGGTAACAAACGTTGACCAGTATGAGATGTTCTCGGGCGTCAAGCCGTCGCTGAAGATCTTGCGAACAATGGGGAATGCAAACTCCCAGACTTGTTCCCGGAAGGCTGGCGCGGTCTCTTCGGCGCTGGAAATCATGGCTCCGAGGATTTCGGCCATAGCACGGTGTTGATGTTTGTCGCTGCCATCTTCATACACTGCCAAGGCGAGGTCTTTGAAATCGTCAAATGTCACCGACGTAAGCCCGTCGCTCATGAGATCCATCGCGTAGGCGACGATCATCGAGTTCGTCATGCGGAATCGATCAACGTTGGCATCCCGGGGTTCTTGCTTCATGTATCCGAACAAGGTAGAAAGCCAGTTGCGGTCGATGTATGTGCCCATCTTTTGACGGACATGTTTCTCAACATCATCATATTCAAGCAAGCTGGCCCCGGTCTGGAAACCACGAATGTTCTTTTGCCAAACGAGCCAACCAGCGTAGTCGCCATCGATGTATGCTTGTGCGTCCGCTTTGGAAAAGTCAGTGAGGTAGCGCTTGGTCCAAGTCGGATCATCACGCTCAGAAGGTATGAAAACTTGATCGGGATCTTGTTGACTGTCGATCAAGTAGTTCTCGTATTTGTGTCCGACTAGAGCACGAGTCTGTGCAAGACTGAAGATGGCGTTCATAGAAGTCGCGTATAGTGCACGGAGATTGGGATGAGGATCAATGACACCTTTGATCACCATCTCAATCATTGCATCGGATGTGATCGTCTCGAAGCGGTAATCCAAACCTATCGCCAATACAGCAGTGCGGCTTGCCTTTTTCCAATGACTATTCTTGGCAATCTCTATCAGCTCGACTGCGAGTGCAGTCTTGCGATCTTCGACAAATTTTCTTCGCTTCTTGATGGCGGCTTGCTTAGCGGGGATCAGCTTCTGAGCATCTTGCAGCGTTACAGCGACAGTCTTCGCATCTGCAGGAGGATCTGCGGGCCAGATGTCGTTGAGAATATCTTGATCGAGTATGACCATTCGATCAAGTGCTTTGGTCATGTCTTGAATTGTGAAACTCGACTGCATAACCAGCTTTTGAATGCTAGGGCGATCGCCCTCTGACACGAGAATGGCAAGCTTTATCATCCTTGGCGCGAAATTCCAATTCCTACCAATTGGTTTGCCCAGGCTTCCGAACAGTAGCGAAAACATTGCTCCTTTGATCCGTGAGTGGTCATTCTTCTTCAACGCATCTTCGAGTGCGTCGAGCAAAGGCGGGATGACCAATGTCTTGGACCCAGCGATGCTCTTGACCGCCTGCTCAGCGGCCGACTGCGCCGTGCGGCGAATGTCGGTGTAAGAAGAAGTAGCAGATTGTGCTAGATCCAACAACAGGGTTTTATCGAGATCCGAAGCCGCTCGTTCATGTTCATTGAAGCGTAATCGCTGGAAGTGGTAAAGGTTCGCGCGACGTACGAGCAACGGTCGAGGGTACTGTTTGCGGGTGCCTGAGAACTTGAATGGATGGATGTCGGCGGCTAAAAGACGAGTGAGGCGATCCAGGACGTGAGCAGAACGCTCAATGCCCAGATCCACGAACCACGAGCGGTACGCGGTGTAAAGGGAGTTGAAGCAAGGGACGTCGTCCTCTTGATGCTCGACCAAGAAGAGATGCACCCGGTGCAGGGTCTCGCCAGCAACTCTGCGCAACTCATGGATTGACTTGTACTGAGCGCTGTCTATGTCCAGAGGATAGCCGGTTGCGTAGTTAAATCCGCGCTTGAGCTCATCTTCCTCTGCCAGAGTCAGCTCTGACACGTGACCATTCGCACCAGCGTGGGCTTCATCGGCGTCTGCCATGGATACGTCGCCTCCAACTTGACCGGTGGCTCCATCAAAGACACGAGGTGTGACGGAGGGATCGTCGGAGCGGAACAAACGAGACATGCCGGAAATGACGAGTCGTAGCAAAACCAAATTCCGAGAGACTTCGTCAGACCACTCCTTACCAACGCCATCCTTTTTGATTGAGCCTTTGCCGGAAATAAGCTCGTTCAGTGACTCCAACGCGCGACGACCATGGGCCTCGTAAACTTTCTCTGCGAATTCCAATTCTTCCCCATCAGGAACATGCCATCCGACTTCCAAGGACGCAGGATCAATCGTGACGCCCCAATTCTTCGATGTAATGCCGTCTTCCAGTTCCTCTGCGTTGAACAAGCTGTAGTCGTTAGTGTAGGTGACCGTCAGATTGAGGAGGAGATGGTGAACATAATTCGACACATGCACCAGTGGAATGCCCTTGCAGGTATCCTGCATGAAAATGGCAATGTCGAACAGTTCGTCTTTGAAATCGAGGACATCTCTGCCGACATGCACCACGCACATGCTCAGCAAGGACACATGCCAGACGAGTGCTCGATCACGCGGGAGGATTTCACTGCCTGTTGTCCGTGTAGAGCCGGCACCATTCTCACTTATTTCGGTGCGGATGCTGGTGAGCAGATCGGGGAGCAGACGATGCAAGGCCTTCTTTGGCGAGATCTTCACAAGTGCGTTACAAATGAAAGCCATGGCATCACGCGCTTGATGTACGACATGATTCGAGGCGAATCTAGCAACGTGTTCGAGAGCAACATCGTAAAGCTCAGGACTCAAGCTAGCCAACAGAGGGCTAAATGTAGCAGGAAGCGTATTGATAACGTTCTCTTCCGGGCTGCCACTCTTAACACGTGCAGCATCGGGAAGATTCTGGAGCAAGGTAAACACTCGAGCAAGCAGGCTTATGACGAATTCTGAAAAGCCCGCGGTTGACGACTTGAGGATCATTTCTTCGTCTGCCGCGGATAGTTCATTTTCATAGTCGACCTCGACTCCAGGACCTTCTTGCTCGAAGCGAGCCACTTGCGCAGTAATCCATTCGACGGCGATCGCAGTTCCACTGACGCCTGACGAAGATGAGTCCTCGTCTTCGTCCATGTCATCGCGGCCACGAGAGCCATTTTGCTTCCTTTTAGACGTCTTTGTCAGATCGTAGAGCGGAATGTTATAGCAAACAGCCTGGATGAACGCCAGACTGTGCATAGTCTTATCCAGATCGTTCGCATCAATGCCCGGCAATGCCAGGCCGAGCAGAGTTGTGAGATGACAACGGAAACCTTTGGTTTTGGCAATGACGCGGCTCAGCATTTGCAATGCGCGGATGGAAGAGATGGTGCGATGGACTTCCACCAAGCCTTGCATGGCTGGGTAAATGCGCTGCAGCGCGCCAGGGAGGACCAGAGTGGGCTCCAAATAGGCTAAGCTGGAGAGAGTGCTCAAGTTGAAGTTCATAGCTGTGGAGCTCTTCGCATAGATACCCAGGAAGACGACCTCACGTAAGCAAAGAACGAAGCGACGTCGAACCTCAGCGTTGAGCTTACGCTCTGGCGGAATATCATATTCGCCGCTCTGCTCACGGTTCCAGCGCATGACGAAAAAGTCGGCGAGGTAGTATACAAGTTGCGCCAGAGGCTTTGTCCAAGCACCGGAATTCGAAGGATGAGCGAAAGTCTCAATTCCTTGAATCAAGGTCTCGAGTTGGTGTAGCGTAGAGGTAGAATCGCTGGCTTCGAGGCACTTTGGTGACAATGACATGATGATCCATCGCGCAATGTGATGAGCGATAGGGTGTTTGCGCGGATCACGATCGATCAGGACAGCGGATCCGGCACCAAGATCTACAACACCACTATAGGGAGTTGTAGCTTGGCCTACAGGAATTTCAAGCAGCCGTAAGATGGAAGTGAAAATCAACGATGATTGTTCTTCGGTAAAAATACCACACGCCCCAAAAGGTATCGATTCCTCGACGAGGCAATCGCGTGCTAGCCGAGAGAAGATGTCGAGAAAGCGGATATCTACCATCATGGATCGATTGATGGTAGACCACAAATGGAAGAAGGTTGGGAGGTAATATTCCGGCTGCAGCTTGGGCTCGTCTGCTGGTGGTGCGCTAGTGGGCAACATCAAGTTGAACAGTCCCAAGACTACGAAAGCATGTTCAGAGTATGACATGGTGTAGAATGGCAAGAACTCTTCCATCATGGCAGGGATTTCGCGAGGATCGAAGAAAAGCTGAGCAAATGTGCAAAGTTTCGTCAACGTTCGAACATTTCTCTTCGAACTGTATGTGTTGTGTGTGCCACTCTCCGACGGCAACACGAAAACTTTCAACTCTTTATAGATCGGTCTCCAATCAAGATAGAGATCTTTGCCGGGCCGCAAGTAGTGTTTGCGTTTGGTCAAAACCATGAACATGCTGGCGAAGCGCTCAGCAATAGCATATTCTAGGCCCGGTGCTAGCGAAAGCTCGTAATAGAGCTTGACCAAGGCAATGCGCTGCTGTTTGGTCAAGTCAAACTTGAGGCTCATCCAGCCGCGAATCTCCTTCGTCCAGTGTACAGCACCGCGGACAAAGTCACCCGCCGCCACGCATATATAGAGATGCCGGATCATCTCGTCGAGGTCATTCTCTCGATGATCCCTTGATTCCGTCTCATACGGGAGGTATCGAGTGTAGGGAAACACACGCGGCCGTGTCCGACCAAGCCGTTCACATTCTGCCTCCTCTTCCACAGTGCCCTTTTTGATACGAGGAGCTCCAACACCGGGAGATGTCGCTCGGGAGGCATCCTGCCCGTCGCCGTGTAAGAGACCATCCATAGCCTGACTGATCAGCGCTGAGACGCGTGCCGGCTCTGCAGCCATGTTTATTGTAGGAAGAGAAGGAGTCGCGTGACTCGCTGGCTCATTGAGGACGTTGAGTAAGATCGGAAGGAAGGAACCAGTACTATAGGTTTACGCTGAGAAGCGCTTGAGAGAATAGTCCTGCCTTTTGCACGACCGGTGGATGAACTTTGACGCGGATTGTAGCGAGCGATTGACAGGTGTGAGGTGTCGTAGGCGTCTTGCTGTAGATCGTGTCGTGGTCGCACGAGCACAAATGATACCCGTAAGAGGAAAGCGGAAGGCAACCCAAGAATGGCTTTGTCGCTACGTATGGAATGTGATTTTCGGGTAATCGGTGCCTGTCTGCTGTGCACCAAGATATGTTCCGTCGTGAGAGGGGCGATGTATGTCTGTATGTGCTGGAATGCAATGCTCTCCAGACAGGCAACAAGCGCAGTCGTCACCGATGGAGCTTTGACGCCACCAAGCTGGAGAACATTAATGACCACAGTGTTTATTGGATGGGACAAGTACCGTGAAACTGGTTCGCATGCTGGTCACTTCAAGAAATGAAGCAATTTAGAAGAGTTTATCGAAATAACTTTGTCATGCCTTCAAGAACACCTGGGCATATAACGGATTGATGACGATGTCATACTTGTCTCGCCTTCTGTCGCATTCCAGTGACGCCTTGTTTAGTAATAGCCATAAGTCCGCAATCGTGCTCCGGGTTATGCGGAGACACAAAGCCGTATCTTACCTGGGCAGTGAGCGATCGTCCACGCAATCGACTTGCCGCCTGATGGCGATTGTCTGACGAAAGCGAATATGAAATAGTCGTATACAGATAGTCGGGAAGTACCCACAGAGGTTTCGAAAATTCCAGAAGCGTGTCATCTATATTTCATAGGAGTCGTAAAGGTGAATAGATTAACCAGCACACATAGGCGTGAATCTCGTTATCGCGTCCACGAACGCGTCTGGGAACAATCAAAATAGTCATCTCGTCGAGAACAAGACCGCCATGCAGATCTGAGCACTTCCTGTAACACCAAGACAACCACAAAAAAGACCGCGAGCAACAAACTATATGCAATGGCCGCTTCATTTCCAGCGTCCTACTATTCACCCGACAGCATCCTCACCGATGCGCAGAAAGTCCCATGCACGATGAACCTCGCGCTACCCACTACGCATCTGCCCGCTCTGAACCATGGCGCTGCTGTAACGGCAGGCCTCAAACTTGACCTTCCACTATGGCTCGCCGAGATGCTTGCGGTCACGAAACCGGGCCAAGGCCGCGGCGGAATGGTAGACGACGAAGCTGCATCTCTGGCGTCAATTGACATGCCGACTGCGCTTGGTCATCGCGTGCTGAACGCATTGCGAGCAGAGCCTCGGAGTGTGGATATCCGAGCGCAAGCGGGCTGGTTCTACGGACTCGGCGAGCGTATGCTGGAGCTGTTCGAGGAGGAAGAGTTGATCGAGGTTCTTGAAGATGTAAGTCCCATCAATTTGATTGCTAACAGAATACTTGGCCAACGCGGCCAGATATTTGCATCATATCGTAGTTTGTCCACGGACGGCATACAGTATTGCGATGCACTCCTCGATGATCTCATACCCATCTGTGCCTACGTGTATCAACACGTGCAGGCTCTCAACCGGTGTATCAATCGTCGGAGGTAAAAGAAATTAATCACTAAGATGCCATACCTTCTAGTCATTCAAGATTCGAGCCTTCGAAATCGCCGACAAGGCACAGAATACTCGCGCAGTCCAACACGGTGCTGACGGCAACGAATTCACCAATGGCCTTGACGAGACCGAACGCCGGCGTAAGTGCTAACCCATCACGCTGAGCAGCGAAAATTGTGCTCACCGTTTTCGCAGTATTCCGCGCTGCTCATGACGGCACAAGCTCGGTCAAGAGGTGGTTCGAGCATACAAGCAAATCTTGAGCGAAAAGCCAATACCGTCATATCCCAGTATACATAGGCGATGCAAGCAGATCATGTTCTGCATCTCCCGAACACGAGTGATCGACAGTCTTCCATCGACAAGGACTCACAAAGCTCCTCTAAATTGATCAAATAATCCGCCAACAACACCTCTCCTTCTCGCCTGATCTTCTCCACCAGCATTACCGCTGCCGCCATCTCGCTCGACGCCCGTTGCCCGACCAGCAGCCACCTCGCCTTCCATGCGACGTCGCAAATGGTTATACCGTTCTTTCTGCTCATATCCCGCGGCCACCAGCCAAGTGGGTACGCGCCATCTGACTGCGCCCTGCAGTATTTCGCGACGATATGCAATACCCACACACCAGCCCACAGCCGCAGCTAGTGCCGAGCCGGGTAGTTGTGAAAGGGCAAGTTGGAGTGGGAGAAGATATGATGTCGCTTTCGATGTGAGCAGTATGCCTGTCGATTGATCTGAGGACGAGGTTGACCCGGAGACGCGGTATTTGTAGATGTAGGGCACCACGGCATGGTACTGTGCCAGAAGGGCGAAGAGAAGTGGCGTTGGGCCTGCGGGAAGGTAATTGATCCGCCCGAAGCTCAGCGGTCGGAGAACCGCAATCAAGATGAAGGGAGTAAGGAAGGCGGAATAGAAAAATGTCAAGAGGAGAAATGACTGCAGGAAAAGAGAATCACGCCGACCTACCGCGTCAGCGAGTGATCGCTCATATAATAGTTGTGATCTCCAGCGCATCGGCTTTCCAAGATCCATGTGAAGGGTTGTCACCTACAGCAAATTTACGACTGCCCCATAATCTTTCTATCACGCGCAGCTGGTAAAACGTCATGGCCGCGAAGAGTACTTCAGTGCTGTTCGTGTAGCATAGCTGCCAGGTGAAAACCCGCCAGTACTGGCCGTATTCCCATAGATGCGGGCGCACTTCGATCCATGCGAAGACTTTCGTGTCGGTCAAGCTGGCAAGGAAGCTGGTGACGACAACGCCCACGACTAATAGTCGTGAGATTGGTGCATGTGTGAAGCCGGACGCGAGCATGGTGATCGTAATCGCCCAGAAGTCGATAGGCTATGCAGTAGCTTGTGAACAAGTCCAGTATTATCAAGATAATTCGCGCGAAAGTGTAGTAATGGAAGGACCGTTTGGAGATATGAATCCTAAGCTGATGAGCAGTGTGGCCTCGGGACAGATCTGTCGTAGACGTGGTCAATGATGACCCTGCTTGACCACGGGAGGCGGGCGCGGGCGGGCCCTCGGTCGCGTGGGTGGGCGTTCTCGATCATATATACCTCCCGCTAGCTCAATGCAATTCGTGGAACAACAATTGCTGAACGAATGACTTTGATCATCACTTTCCGACGTCATCTAGCTGAAAATTCACTGATATATCTGCCAACAGACATTCGTGATGAGCCTTTGATCGCCAAGAACTGAAATCACGAAGCCTCGTCATATTAGACACCGAACTATGCTGTCAAACTGGAGAACGCTTGGGGCCAGGTTCAGGCACAACACTATGATTAACGCATCGGCGCTCGACCTCTCCATAAAAATCGCTAACATGTAGGAGTGCGATGGCACCGCCTGTACTTGAGTCAATCGAGGGCATACCGCTTCCAGATCGGTCCCGAGTAGGAGCATCTACGCCAGGCTGTTCGGTGAATTGAGCTGCCTCAAGTCCGTCGCACAAAAACATCAAGATTGTTTTATATTTATTCTCGAGAGTCTCCGGTGTTTCACGAGCGAGAGGTCTGGGGTGGTGGAGCGGAGGAGCCGGACCCTTCACGTGTGCCAGCAACTGTGTATGAGCCTTGTTGAGCTTCTTATCACCCTCTCCGGGCTCCGCACAAACTAGTCGATCGGGAACGCAAATTTCGATCTCCTTCACAAACTGCGAGAAGCCTGGGTGCTCGGCATTTCTTTGGAACTAAAATCCTAAAGATAAAATCTCGATCTCGACGGTCCCCCTGAGGTCATCGGACGAATTATCAGTCGTCATCTTTTCGAATAACGGCAAGATGAGCTTTGCATAATTCGGCGGTGACAACATTCGATAGCGGCACGAGTTGACGGTGCTATTGGGCGCATCATGGTATCTGTAGTCCTTCACACGCGAGAAACAGAAGTGCTCTGAAGTGATCTTCTCGAAGACCAACCCAATTGTCGAGCTTGAATCCGAGTATCTCAGACAGTGGCGTTGCATGTTTTAGTCCTGAGAGAAATTGCGCATGTGCCGCCAACACATCCACTTCTCGACTGATGCGAACATCCGAGTTGGAGACACGCATGTCAATCTCTTTTATACAACGCAGAAGATAGGGATACTGGGCGGGTCGCACTAGCCGATTTCCTGGCGAAATCTTACTTTATTCTAGACTCGGACGTAATATCGCATTTGTCGCGGGTTTGGCACCACGGGGATATACTTTGCAGAACGCAAAAGTCCCTATCAGAGCATTGAACCGTTTCGTCGTCTTGCGTAAGGACAATTTTGTATTTCTGTCTGCTGCGCGATCCAGATAGCCAAAGACCTGTAGCCACAGCTCGTCAGGAAAATCGGCATATTTTGACTTGGCCGTCCTTCGTGGCATGATAGCTGGCGAATTATGGATTGAAGCACTGTGCTCTCCTTTATCGAAAACACTACGTTCTTCATGGTGTGTCGATTCTATGAGCTGTTGACGATCGCAAATGATCCTTGAAATGTTTTGCGTAGCTTGAGATTATTACAGCGACGACTTTACAAGGGCATACTTACCCAAGTATTGCGCAGTCGAAAGACCAGCGCCCGCCTAAATATACGAGGAAGCTAGATACTTTCATGAGTTCAAGGCTGCATTGCAGATGCTGGATAATATGCCAATCTCAGCGACACGAAGAGATCTAGTGCGGCCTTCATAAAACCCTGCACGCGACGTAATACCCCGAGAACGACAATGACGACTACCCCTGTGGCGGAATTTCCAATTTGATTATCCTTACAGGTTCCTCCCTCAACCCACCCCACGCATACGTTTCTACGTACTTGAAGACGGCTTCGTTCGATCCAGACTTTGGAACAAAAATTCTAACAAATCAGTCGGTGAGTCAAAAGCCTATTGTTTTCACAGCACCTACAACTTTCCGTCCTTTTGGCACCCAAGGTAACATTCATGGCGTATTTGCCGCAAGTCTGAGCGCCTCACGAGCCCTTTCACATTGAAATCGAAGATGAACCAGCGCTTCACATCATTCTCAGAGTCGAAACCTGGTGGAATAGTGACATGATCGCGGCCACTCGCCGCTTCGAAATTGCGGTTGAGATGGGTCTCGCAAAACATCTCACCAAGTGTGACAGGGCGTCGAAGAATGGCGCCGGGAATGTATTTTAGTGGTATTCGAATGCAGACGCGGACACTTTCCGAATCGATGGCACTCGACTGATCATGCGGCTGGGTGGCTTCCATTTTGATTTGTAATGGAGCTGCGGAAGAGTGCACTTGCACTGCGTCGAAGCGGCCCAGATGATACTTCTGTCGTTGACGCGAATTGCAGGGTGATAGATCAACGCAGTGAAGTTCCACCGAGCGAGAAGCTCATGCCAACGAGCCAAGCTACCGGCAAGCTGGGTAGGGTACCTTTGGTGTCGAGAATCATATGGTCACGTGGTCCCCGTGGGTGAAGCAATCCATGGATGGATCTAGTTGATTCGGCTTGGTCGTCGTGCTCAAATTGTGAAGCAAAACTCGCCTATCGAATGGTGAGCGGCCCAGCGTCATCGCGGAACTGTTTGCAAATCTGTTTCGTGTATACAAAATTGCTTTCAAAGTTTCATCAATTCGTGCAGTATTTTTTGATTGCCCAGGGTGGTGACTCAGCATGTAAAGGTTGAATGCCCAGGCTAGTAAAGCTTTACCTAAACGGGGCAGAATGCGAGCCTGGAATGTGGCTCTCGACCTAGGCATGTTCAAATTCTAGGGCTCATGTCAGAAAGAAGCATAAAACTCCGATTGCGTGTCCAAAATGTGGCTTGATCGCCAACCTTGGAATCTGAGCATCATGGACATTGACGCGGAAGATAAGAATTATCGGGAATCGTGGTTGATCCGCTGTCGCCGTTGCGCGATAGTGGCAGGTGCGGAACTACGACGGGACTTGTAGCCATCGGCATGGTAGTAGATCGGCATGTGATATCATCTTAATCATGATAATTTCGAATATAGGAAGCGAGTCCGATAGAGTTCGCCCTTAATTCGGATATCATTGGCCAGGGACATGAGTGTGCTTTTCCTCATGCTTGAGGGCGATGTGGCTCATGGTACTGTCAAAAAGCCTCGGAAGTCCGAGTAGAACACGCCCACAATCAGCCGCCCGGAGGCACGATGAGCAGGTACAAATTCTCGGTGTTGCTGCCCTTGGGTAAAATTTGATTGGCTGTACAAGCGATGTCTGATACCATGCGTGCAGATTGATTGATAAGTCCATTCGCCGCCATTTTGTCCTTCGCGCACGGGCAGTCCCGGCGTGTGTTATTTTCGATACCAATCAAAGCTACAGGCGTCTCTCTAGCGAGCACGTTGAGGCCGGGACCAGCGCCACGTGGAGCGATGAACTGCAGTAGTCCTGGTACCACATTTCTCCGACTCTAGGGCACGACCATCCAAAATGTCTTCACGATCATGCCAAACAAGCAAACATAAGCAATCTCACGCTTCGTTCCTGCAGCCAGAAGAGGGGCATATGCACTGTCAAGATGCTGACCTTTAAGTTGTGAAGATTTACCGACAGATAATTGACACTCAAGCATGGCCATTTCAGCGAGTTGCCCACCTAGAAGTGAATCCTGTCAGTCAAAAACATACCTGGTGCAAAGTCAAACATGCGCTTTGACGGCGTTTGATATTGCAATAGCCACGCAGAAATATTCAAGAGGAAGTTTTTGCTATGTCAAGGCTTGCTCGATGACCTCGAGTAGATAACTGGAGAGCCGCGGCAAGATAGTTTATCCTTGTCGGGGTCTCCTGTCAATTGGTAAATCTGCATGATCAAGCTTGGCAATCTTACACACCACTACACAACCAACATATGCTTGACAAGACTTCATTGTGCCTCTCAACTTGCTGGATCAACGCCACTTCAAGCCAAAGCAATTATTATCGTGTGCAATGCATATTTCCAAGATCTAGAATGGTTTGAGCAATCAGCACTAATTTGATCGCTTGACAGCCACGAAAATCACACTGCTCTGCATATCTATCATGATAACTTGAAAAATGACCATGCTTCAGCAGCAATCATCAATCCGAGCCGCGGTACTAGGATTTGCTACAGACACTACCATTTACGATGTGGCATTGTGGCACTTTTCGGCCGGTGCGATGGTGTATGTGCGGCACACCATTTCATCGCCCTCGTCAGGCCTTATACATGCTTGAACACGCCTCATCAGTCGACTCGAGCATCCAAGGTCGACCTTACCATCTGTGTTGTATCCCAACCCGCGTCTGAGACTACGTGGTTTCTTGATCTCAGTCGCCGCTCTCGGAATTAGCACAGATACATTGAGAAGATTTGGTCTCGACTAAGAACACAAAATGGGCTTCTTCTCGACGAGCAGACCGACAGCTCCGGCACCAGCCGCCACAGATACTGTCATTCCGTTTCACACCCTGGACGGCCATGCGGTGGTGCAGGCAATGGTCCTGGAGTTCGCTTACAGATTCGATGATGCCCTTGAGTATGAGAGACTACGGAGTTCCCTGGAACGACTACTTGAAATTGGCGACTGGCGGAAACTCGGTGCGCGGATCCGCAAGAAGGTATCGTCTGCTGTGAAGTGTCAAGTCTTCGCGTCACTGACCTATCCTCAGGGCAAGAACAAATTCGAATACCATCTGCCGAAGCACTATACCGAGGAGCGACCCGGTGTCTACTTTAGTAACACACGACACGCGACGAGAATCAATGACCACCCGGTCGCGTCGAGGATGCCGCGCGCAGTCGCTGTACCTACAATCTTCGGCTCCCCGGATGAATTCAAGCCCGTCATCCATGGCCCCGATCATCCCCAAAATATCGACGATTGGTTACACTCTGATCGTTCGCCATTGAGCGTCCACGTCGGAAGCTTCCACGACGCTACTCTCCTTACACTAACATTCTCTCACATGGTTCTTGACGCATGCGGAGTGGCCGAGCTTATGACAGCATGGCTTTGCGTTCTCGAACGCAGAGAGGAGGAGATCAAGCCTTTTCTTGGTTTCGCTGAAGATCCTCTGCAGAAGGCCGTCGGTCGCGTCCCAAAGGAGAAGCACATGTTCTATGATCAGGTCGCCGGACCTCTTGGCTTGGCAAGTTTCGTCGTTGGCGTTCTCCTCGAACTGATCCGATATCCTCAAGAAGAGACAAGGACGATTTGCATTCCTGACAGATACGTCCGAGTACTGAAAGCCGAAGCTAAGAACGACCTCAAAGCGCTGTCGGCAGAGAAAGGCGAAGATATATTCGTGAGCGACAGTGACGTTCTCTTCGCTTGGTGGGCGAAGTTGACCATCGCATGCCAATGTCCTCGACTCAGCCGACCAGTGAGACTCGGCAACATCTTCACTTGGAGAGGTGTTATCGACGACGTCTTACCACCGGACACGGCCTACGTCGGCAATGCTATTTCATGCGCTTACATGACCACCACAGTCAAGGAGGTACTAGCACGGCCCCTTGGCCGCCTCGCGTTGGATCTGCGAAACATGCTCGCGCGACAGCGGAATAAGGAACAGATTTTCGCATCCCTCTCTTTACTTTTCGAATTCATCGCCAAGGGCAAATTCATGATCTTTGTGCCTGGCAATGCGCTCAGACTTACATGGTCGAATTGGTAAGCACCTACATCACCAACATCACCAGCATCCACACGAACAAATTACCTAACATTCTCGCAGGCAAAAAGCAAAATTCTTCGACATGGACTTTTCCGCCGCCGTGAGACCTGACTCTCCGCTCGAACGCCCGGACCTCAAGAACACAATTGGCCGACCGACCTACATGAACTACACAGGACGCATGGTCGGCATGCGTGGGTCTGGACCCGTGCTCGGGCGGGATGCCCAGGGCAATTGGTGGTTCCAGTGGGCTCTGCGGAAGAGCATGTGGTCAACCGTGGAAAAACGTCTGCAAGAGTTGGCCGAGATGCCTGTGTGAATTGGAACGTCTCGCGAATAGTCCCCGAGGCGTTGAGGATTTATTGGACTTGCCGCCGGGGGAGTTTTGGAGTGCTCCGTGATGCTCGGTGCGATGTCGCTTAGCCTTACTTTCTCTTGATATCCACATGGTGTATATGGCACATTCTATGCTTCATGTCTTCCTCTACCAAAATATCAATTAAATGATGTCGGTGGTCGGTAGCGCGGTTGTGCGAAGATCGACGAACAAATTTTGGTGCGCCCGCGCCCGTCGTTCGCGGCGGACTTGCGACCGACCGGACATGGCATGTAACCCTAACGCCTTACTGGTCCACGGGTTGCGCGAAACACATGGCACCGCGTGTACACTCGTACTCATTTATGTCTATACCAGATATGTGAAGACCTGGTGTGTTACATGGTGAACGCGACGCGAGTTCAGGGGATCATGCATATCCCGCGACGTGGGATCTGCACATCAAAGACCCATACCCAGCACCGACACATCTTCTGGCCGGTCTGTCCGTTTGACTGTGGAGAAAGCTGAGTGTGACGGCGTGTGAGGCTGTGAAGAGAAGAGCTGAACACGGCTTTTGGAGGTGTCCAGGGCGTCACCACTGCATAAGAAATTGTTCGTAATATCACGCCTGCTCGGGCTGACTCATGGCGATTTTATTGCGAATGTAGGACATGGCAAGGGAGGTGCAGCAGAGTGACTGATTTCGAGGTCAGATCTCGGGCTTCGCTGACGCAACTTGGATACTCAGAAGTCAGACTGAGGATGCAGGGACACGCTCTTGCATGTGGAGACTTTTAGTCGAGCGAGATCAATTAAAAAGCGACGCGATTGACATGCTTAAAGAGAAAGGGATATTGGTTGTTTTTGTTTGGAATCGAGGCTGTACGTATCAAGAATGCATGCATTTTTTCCAAGGCAGATCAGTGACCGGAGCCACCAGTGTAGCGGCCCACGACCAGGCTGCCAGCGAAAGTGCCTCCCAGGACGGACATAAAGTATCCGACATTCATCGTCATGACCGCAATCATCCTGTAGAGAACGAATAAAGTCAGCGCATGATTCCGACGACACAGCAGTCGAGCCGCACAAACTCTTCCACAACAGAAAGAAAACTTACAGTAGGTAACCGACACCAGCCAGTACCGTGTCGATGGAAGCGGTGATCAACGCATCGTTGAGCGTCCACCTTGCCTTCGCCCTCGGAACGACATGCTGTCCTCCATGCGCCGCGCGGTCTCCATCCGACAAGGTTTCCGCTTCCGTCTTCACGAGCAGGGCGGTTTCGCGTTTCCTCGCTGCCGCAGCCGCAACCGTAGTCATGTTCGTCCGGAGAGCGAGGATGAAGCGGAAGATGATGGCGAGGACGATGAGGAAGATGCAGGTTCCGGCGTAACCGCCACCGGTAGAGGGGGCCCAGTCCAGGCTGAAGAGAGGCGTGTCGTAGCTGTTGAAGAAATTCATCGCCATGTCTTGCATGGACATGACCATGTGGCCCGAGGGCGTCATGTACATGTTCATGTCGCTGTGTGAGGAGGAGGAGGACGAGCTACCGCCCATGTCCATGTCGGAGGACATGCCGGAGGAGTGTCGTCGGAATGCCATGGTCTGCTGGTCTTCTTGGGATTGAAGAGGTGAATGTTGTTCTCTTCTCTCTACGATGCCGGTGGTGTCTTGAAATGTGCTTGTACCCAGAGATGACGGTTGGAATCTGATTGAATGGTCGCGTGCGCGAAGTAAAGGTTTCTGCGTTCGGAAGGAAGACTCTGCTCGCCCGCTTGATCGGAGGTTCGTCGGAGGTGGTGGTGGTAGTAGTCTATCACGCGGTGAGTGAAAATAGAGGTTGTTTGACTTTGATGAGGGTGAACAGAACCCCCACACGTGAAAAGAAGCCGACGACACACACACGGTAGGCACAGCCGGACGGACGCAGTTCTCGAACAAATGTGATATGCATCCACGCCGTTTGGCTGCACTAAATCTCTCGGCAGGGCCGGTACGGTCTTGCCCAGGCTCTCGTCATATTTTGCGCAGAGTCCGGGGCGGTTCACAGAGACAGGGAAATGTTTATCGAGGCGATGACAGCCGAATCGTCGTGAGACCGAACCATTCAGGGTCTACGAAAGGTCGAAAGGTGACGGAGGATTTCATGCTCACCAACTAAACTCAAGCCTCGTGGGACGTGATTGGTCGCACGGAGGAAAACTTGCTCAACGAAGGTGGAATTTGAGCAAGTTTCCGTCCGAATCGGGTAATTGAGTGTACGCCAAATCCTTCCGCATGTCACCTCTTTCTCACTGCACCTACTGTAGTCACTCAACTCGCGGGCGGAATTTCGCTTTTCTGGAACCCATCTCCAGGGCTGATGACCATCCGAGACTCCGAGTGGATTCGTTCTCGCTCACCACGGTGGAGATTTGCTTTCATTCCAACGGGATGTGTCAATGACGCCGCTCTAGCCGTGTGCTGCTGCATCTCCCACGTTTTTCTTCCGCGCGTGTGAATCACGCGATTGGCCACCAAGCGAGATCTCGGCTCCGTCATCCAGGCGAACCGTATGGGTGTGGGTGGTTTTGGGAGACAAGGGCACTGAACATCCTCTACACCACTTCTCTCTCACCCACAAGCCGCGTGTGTGACATTCTCGCCGCCCGAATCCTATCCTCTTGTGAATTAGCGATTATTAACGGGAAAGTAATTCGTGAAATACCACATGGTCATCGGAGCCTGCGACCGTGCATGAGGCGCATTCCAAGACTTTTCTTCACCACCTCCCTCGTGTGACTTGCCTCTAACATTAGTCGCCAAGCGCCTTTGACCAAGACCTGTGAGAAGCAGCACCACTCGTCGATCTCATCGTTTGGGTCAAGTGCACTCGCATCTGTTGGACGAGAGATCGCAGTCAGATATTCTCTCAAGCTGGACATCAGCGACGACATCAACATGGCACTCTTCAAGCGTCACGACGAAATGGTGATGCCCGCGGGCACACCGTGGTTCGATCTGCCCGTCACTCTCGAGATGGACCGCACGTACATGTGCATGTCCAACGATACCACCGTTTGCTCGACTCAAGAAGGCTACTGGGTGTTCTGGTACGAAGCCGATCACCGGTACGGTCTGACGACTGTCGCATTCTTCATGACGGCCATCATCTTGTTTGGTCTCGTCCACCTCGCTTCTGTCTTCACACCGAGGAGCATTTCGCAATCGAATTTTGTCGCTCAGCGCCTGGTTGCACCATTCCGATGGCTATCATACCGCAGACTACGGATCAGCTTCTTGGACTGGAACTCGGCGCCTGTCGGTACCCTATTGCTCGGAGCGGTCGGAACCATCTTCTTCATGGCTATGACACTTGCACCGATGCCATACTACTGGCCGAATTACACCGACCCTGATGCGACCGAATATGGAAGCTCGATGCCCATCGCCACACGCGCCGGGTGGTTGGCCACTGGATGTTTGCCATTCGTTATCATGACCGCTGGAAAGAGCAATTTGATCACTCTTGCGACGGGAGTCTCGTACGATAAGCTTCAGGTGTTCCACCGATGGATCTCCTACGCCATGTTCGTTTTGGCGTTGATTCACACTTTTCCATTCATTGTTTTCAATCTACGGTTTGGAACTATGGTCGCGGTTTGGCAGACTTCGATTTTCTACTGGACGGGTGTGGTAGCTCTTCTGGCGCAGGCATGGCTTACATTTGCCTCCCTCTCGCCTTTGAGGTATGTGGAATTCGACAGTGGTTGAGGACGGGCAGAACGTACTAACGACAAGTGCAGGACTCTTGCATACGAGTGGTTCAAGTTCTCCCACTTTGTGGCAGGTCTAATTTTCACTCTGTTCTTCTTCTTCCACTGTGACTGGATCTTGACCTCTGCGTGAGTATATCCTCATCATCACGGGTATACGGCTCGAGTCGACTAACTTCATGGTAGGCAATTCTTCGTCGCAACTCTTGTCCTCTTCGCGGCGTCATGGTTGCACCGCCAAGCCCGACTCTATCTCGAGCACGGCATCAACCACAAAGCCACCATCAGCCTTGCTGCGAACGGCTTCATTCGAGTTGCCGTCCCTACTCAAATCCGTTGGTCCGTCGGCCAGCACTTCTTCGTCCGTTTCGCCGGTCTCGGACCTCTGCACCTCTTGAGCACTCACCCTTTCAGCGCATGCTCACTGCCCGTACGCGCATCTCCCGACGAATCACCCGAATCCGAACTCGTCTTCTTCATCCGACCTCGCGGCGGTCTCACCGCCCGCCTCGCCAAATACGCCGAAAAGCACCCCGAAGGCCAGATGCGCGTTCTCCTCGACGGACCTTACTCCGGCATCAACATGGACACCTTCGCCTCAAGCGACCGTTCCATCATCATCGCCGGTGGCTCCGGTGCAGGCTGGGCTCTACCCTTCATCTCGGCTTTCCTCCGCCGTCGCCAACTCCAACCTCTCTCACAACAAAAATCCTCCTCCCTCCGCGTCATCCTCGCGACCCGCGACTTGGCCACGCAGTCCTGGTTCGAGCAGACTGTCGCGCAAGAAGTCAACGCCTTCGAGGGCATCGACTCCCTCACCCCCGAAGACCTCAGCATCGAAATCTTCTACACGGGCGACTCCTCCACGCAAGAGAAGAACCCCTCGGAGGGCCAATTCCTCTCCAAACTCGACGACCCGGAAAAGATCCCCATCTCCACCATCGCTGCCGATCCCGAGACCATCTCCTCCTCGGGATCCTCTACCAACGCCTCCACCAGCAGGCATGTCCGCCGCGTCTGCTGCCCATCCCATAATCTGCACCGGCCGCTCCTCCCTTCGATCATCGTGGAAGAGCACGAGGCACAGCTGGTGGGCAGCTCCACAAGTATCTACTTGTGCGGACCGCTTAGTATGCAGAAGGATGTCGCGAATGCGGTTGCTGCGCGGCAGGCGCATGTTGTGCAAGACGGAGGAGTCAAAGCGCTGGAGTTGGATATTGAACATTTCAGCTGGGCGTGATGAATGAGACTTCCTCCGTGGTAGGAAATGTAGTCCCTTTTCGGCGGCGTTGTGATATCCTCAAACTTTACGATTATTTTCTCCGAGTTTCGATCGCTTTTCTCATAACATATCCGGGATGAATAGCACCTAGGTCATGTTACATTTGTTCAAGGTCCTGTAGCAAGCTGACGAGAACTCTCAGTTCTTACAGTACCAAATGACGACTAGGCTGGCTTAGGCTTCACCTTTGGCGAGCATCACTACGCGTGAAATCAACCGTCCCAAGTCTCGTCAGTATGAAAAGGTCAAATGCCCGATCATTGCCTTCAAATCATTATCGTCTTTGCTTTGGTGAGACTTCTCAATACAGCACATGCATAGCGAATGCATCGATGAATGCATAAACCAATGTAGCGATGAGAGGCTAGAGCGGCCCTGCATCACGAAACCGTTTTGGTCGTTACCAACCCCCGCACGTGCGCTGGTTGATTTCCGGGCAAGGGTGGAAAAAAGATTTGTACCTAGAGACGAACTTCTGGTGACGTACAGTAGGATCCCATCAATGGCCCCGCACCATATCGTCAGGACACACTAAATCCGATGCCAATGGATGGTGTAATTCAATAGTCTAATTGCTCAAACTTGCTCAGTATGGCGAGAGCCTTTCATTCATTCGATAGGAGGAAATAGCTTCTTTGAAACGGACATGCATTCGAGATGGATGCTCCAATGCTCACCACAGATAAGTAATCTCAATGTAAGGGTTTTCGTAGTCCGCGTGTCACCGTAGAGAGACTACCAACATATCCATCACATCCTCCACCATCATGACCGACCGCAAGGATACGAAAGAGTTGGCCAGCGGCTACACCACCGTCAATACCACCCAATTCAACGCCGCCCTATTCCTCCTCGACCGTCTCAAAGTCTCGCCTGAAGACCATGTCCTCGACGTCGGCTGCGGGCCTGGTAACCTGACCCTGCACCTCAAGAACCTCGTCGGCAACGCAGGCACGGTCATCGGCTTCGACCCAAGCTCCCAACGGATCGGCATCGCCAACGAGACGCAGACCCCAGGCGTATTCTTCTACGTGGGCATCGCGGAGGATCTCTCGCGACATGCAGATGCAACCTTCGACATCGTCTTCGTCAACTCAACGCTCCACTGGGTCCAAGACCAACCCAAGGCGATCCGGGAATTCGGCCGCGTCCTGAAATCCGGCGGCCGCCTGGGGATCTCGGGAGGTTCGGGAGACTTCGTCGCAATCCACGAGAAGATCAAGGAGGACGTCCTTTCGCGGGAACCTTACAGGCAATACCCTGAGACGGGTGGGCCGAATTTCCTCAAGAAAAAGGAACTGGAGACTCTCTTGGCCGACGCGGGATTCGCGCAGACGGATATCGTGACGAATACGATTGTCAAGTCGGCGGGGAGTCCGGATGAGATGATTAATTGGTTGGATACGAGTTCGTCCGGCCAGACGTATGGTGGGATCCCGTTGGATCTGAGACCGAAGGCGAGGGAGGAGATGAAGCGGGAATGGGAGAAGTATATTAACGAGGCGGGAGGGATTGATATGGATATGGAGCTGCTTGTGACGGTTGCTGTCAAGGGCTGAATTAATGACATCGAGAGACATTGTTGTGTCTATTTCCATCAACAAAAGCATTCACTTCGAATTCTTTCCATGTTCATGCTTTTTCTTTCATGCTTTTTGAACATCGAAATGTAAATCAATGAATGCGGAACTTTTCTAAAATCTCCTCTCTTGACGAATGCTGCAGACCAAGCCTGGTCAGATTCCTGCCTTCCTCCAAATAATCCTTCCCAGCCGTCATGCCCGCCAACGCAATCACCGCCGTCAGAGCCTTATTGTCGATCCCCAACTTCTCCGCCAGACCATGCCAGCAGACCAACAGATCGCCCACATCCTCGGAGATGTTCCGCGTATCGACAACCTCCGGCGCTTTTAACCTCCGATGCGGTTTCGAATTCTGCGCGAGATCCACCAGATCCTTGAAATCGTGGTTGTAGCATTCATTCGACATGGCCACCACGCTCTTCATCTTGAACCCAAGCGCCCTCCCGACTTCGATCCTCACTTCATCCACCGCACGAATAGCCTTAGCCACCGAAGGCGTCAGCCCCTCCGCATAATAGAAGAAGTCTCCCTGCGTACTCTCAATCCTTCCCGCGTTCATGAGGACCATTAGAGGGTGAAAGACCCCGTTGATGTTCGACAGGCAGACCTCGACAACATTCCGACACCAAAGCAACTCCATGGGGAAAATCCCTTCCACCAATTCCTTGACTCGGAGATTCTGGTCCTTGCCCAACATCGCGATCGAAACCAATTTCTTCTTCCCCAAGACGACCAGTTCCGCGCTGTCGTCCATCCGGCATGAATACGGGCTCAGATTCGTCTCGAGGATCCACCCCGCATTCAACGGGAAATCTCGCATCATCGAGAACAAATTCCCGGGAACGGCGATCACGACGTGGCTCGAGAGGTCGAAGCGCGCCAACTCCCGCCAGATCGTCTCCTGGCCCGTCGAGGGCACCGTGATGATGATCACCGTCGCGAACGCCACGACGGCGCTCATATCGCTGGTGATTCGTGGCAGGAGACATGCGTCGATCAGGCCCTTGGAACGCAATTGCCCGCCTTGCGCGAGGATGCTCTTCGTGTACCGTTGGTGGGAGGGATGGGAGTAGACGAGCACGGAGGTCCCGTGGTCCTCGAGATCTACGGCGAGGGCATAGCCTGCGGGACCGGCGCCGACGATGGCGGCTCGAGAGCGTTGTTGTGTTGTTGTTATTGTTGCTGCGGTCGAAGGCGACGAGCGCGAGGACTCGAATTCGGCGAACGACGGTGCCATCTTATGTCTTCTTGGGCGGTTTCAAGTACTCGAGATCAGAAATGCTTTTGCCCTCCGGCAGCGATGGGATAGTTCTACATCGCGTCTTTACAGAGTATTCCATTTGTCTAATATGTATCATTTGTCTGGCATTGTATACATCTGTTTTCCGCTCTCCCCACGACAGTGCCATGGTGTGTGTATTTGAGCAAGATTCGAGAGAATGGGGAATAGCGAAGTCTACCAAGATGTCCTCTTAGCCGCTTGCGTGCTTCCGGGTCGGCCTGTTATAGTGCAGTAAATTCTGGAGGAGCGAACGCCCCTTTGGCATGGAAAAACGGTGTATCCAAGCTAGCAAGGGTCCAGATCACCGGTTTCGCGCACGATCGCCGCAGCTTGTGCAGGTGCTCGAGCGCGGTGGTACGAATATCCATACGTGTAGTTACTGCACGTACTTCAATGCTTATGCATTAGGATCGTTCGCTAATATTCAAGTCCAATTATCTGATCTCAGTCCGGACTGTACAATACCATTTGAAGCCGGGATTCCCTCCCAACCCTGTCGTGGGCTCGTCGTGTGCTCACGTTCAACGACTGCGGACGGACTTCAGACAAAACCGATAGATGATCGCAGTTGGCTGGGTGTCCCATTCGACCGCTCTGAACAAAGTTGACAGTGCTGCTCCAAATCATCGATTCTCCTACTTAAACACATATTTCGGGCACACATATCTCCGCGAACATATAACCTGAAGCCAGTGCCGAACAGTCGGAAATGTATTCATTTACCGCAACAGAGGAATACGACGACGCAGGGCGGAGCTTGGCCCCGTCTTCCGCTTCTCTCATCAGCCTTACCCCCACGAGGACGCGGGAGGACTTGTCGATGTCGCGATCAATGAAGAAAAAATCACCACGTGTGCGGAGAGTTTCTGAAGCGTTTCCCAATCTCATTTCGGAAATGACTACCGGTTTCTGAGCTATCTGAAAAATACCGAGTGTGGCGGGAAAGTCGGCCTTCGGCTTGCCATCTTGAGAATTGCCCGTTCACCGCCGGACTAAATCGTTTCGCTTGAAGGTAGCATTTGGTCAGCGATGCACGTCGTGCCTGATCCTCGCGATGCAGCCGGTCTTGTCGCGCGAGCCAATGATTCTGTCATGGCTCATGCAGATCATTAGCCGAGACTTTGCTCAATATGGAGAGACTGCTAACAGAGCGTAGAGGACAAATTTCAAGATGTCATGTGAACAGAGTCGACAACACAGCGCTTAACAGTCATGAAGTAGGTCTCGAATCACCCGTCGGGCCCATATTGCGCGAGATTTGCATGTCTTCCATCCACGACAGGGCCATACTCTCCGATGTGTTCCAAAAAGTAGCGCAGGTGTATCTCCTCTTCGGATTCAACCCTGTTCCTGTAAGAATGAGAGCACAGACAGACCAAACAAAGGAATCCGGAAACCGCTCTAGGCATTCCGATTTGGAACCATGGAGCACGAACGGTTGCCATGAAAATCCTGCAAGCGAACGATGCTGTGTCGCGGCGCTGCAACGCTTCAACTCGTTCGGACGTTTTCTCACGAGCAGATTGCCTCGGTCTTGTCGCAGCTTCTTTGGTAGCTACCGCAATATCGTACTCTGTGCCTCATAAGAGCAATTTTGCTTCGCGGGTGGCCTCATAAGCGAAGAATTTAGTGCGTTCAACTTGGACTGCCCAAAAAGTACTGTATGTACCTCGAATGGACCTCATGTGGCGAACAGGCTCGAGAAGGTCGATGGAGTGAGCGCGTACCATTATTGCAGTATGCGGATCAGAGTTGATAGCAATGCACAACGGTCGACTGGAGTACAACAACGTGACATATGCTGTAGATGGGTCATACCTGGACCATGTGATTTCAGTAAGAAACTACATGGGTTTATCGCCGAACACCTATTCATCGTTCTCTCACCCATTGACAGCCTTCAGTTTTGAAAGAGGGGTCGTAAGAACGGGGGAGGGACAAGGGGCTGCTTGGGCGAGTAAATCCCGCGACGTGATCCAGGCGATGGTTTTCGCGTGGCCCAAATAAAGCTAAAGCTGTGATTTATTGTAACGCTTATACGGTCAGGATGTAAGGAATAGATCCAGAAAGTGCTTGCCTACTTCTCACGCTGTGGGTATATTGACCTTGTTTTTGCTATCTGCATTTTATTGCAATTTGTGACTTCCCGGGCTGGTCGCGCTTGTTAGTTGACGTTCACATAACCATAAACGAACCTGCTTCGAGACTGTTGCTCTTGCTGTATCCCTAAGATACTGAATGAGCAAGAAATAATTGCCTATGCAATAGTCAGCTTCTAACAGGAAACTGCGACAATATACTCTAGCTGATTCTGCTCTTTGTTTACTGTTCAATAAGCTCTACCCTCGCAACAGAACTTAAACTTTCGCCAGCCTCTATTTCTCCCTCGTTTGACAGATGTCTTCTTGTCGTCTGCGGATGACCCACAATCTTATTCACCCTGTTTGTTAGCAATCTTCATCCTTCTGCTGCCAGCGTCAATGCGAGAAGTTTGACTGAGATGTACTGACCTTCGAGCCGTGGGAAGGTTGCGAGGGGGCTTCACGCCACACCAACGACTTCGAAACCCGACAGAACATTCACGATCCTGAGATTCGCCAGGGAAATGGTATCGAGACCTGCCAGGCACTGCCCGACGATGAACGATGACCTCTTCCACCAATCTCCTTCGATTCGCTGTACAAGATTCCCGATCTGCAAGACTCCCGATCTCTCTCCGGTTGCTCACGTCACCTCAGCAACGAATCAAAACCTCCATTGTCTTCAAGAGTCACGTCTTCGGATCTCAGAATTCGGTGCAGGCAGGACAACCGACACCATTGCTGGCTTCGACCACTCAAGCCTGTTTTACATTACTGATCCAACCCCTTTTTGACTTTGACACAGACTTCGACTGACGTTGGTCTTTGCACAAGGCCGAACAATCCACCAGGGTGGATTTTCAGCGCTGTTCCGATTGCCGTGACCGTGAAGGCAGGTAAATTTCCGGTGATGAATGACCTTACGACTTTTCCTGAATTTGTTTTCGATGAAAACTTGCGATACGAAGGGCGTGGAAGGCGGATGGTACTTGTACTTTCGAATTTTTTGGTCAGTGGTGGCTCCATTCGAGCATCACTTTGCGTTGTTTGGTTCTGTCGTGGTTACTTCGAAGCCGGCTGTAGGCAAGTCGTCCCGAAGAATGACCAAAGCATTGTACGATATTCTTGGAAGGTGTGATGAATACGTCATTTACGCGCTCTCCACCTGGGCAACGAGCATCTTTAGTCGATTCAACGAAATGACCGGTCATTTTATTCGCACTTTGCTGATTTCGTTGGGTCCGTGATAATGGTACTTTGATGAACAAGAGCAGGGCAGCGTTATGGGCACTGCATTGCTGGATTACGTCGAGTATTTTAAGCGACGCGAGGACCGATGTGAATGGACGGTGCAGGAAGGGTGGCAAAGGTTCCTGATTACCCGTGACCGCCCGAGTGTAAGGCGGCACAGGTGGGCAAGCGAATCTTTTGACTATAGGAGGTAAGAGCGGGCCAGACACGGAAAGCTATCACACGACGCTCGCTTTCAAGGCTGCAGCTGGAGGTTGCTGGTTTTAGTCGGGATCGCTTACGTTAGGCGAAAAGGATTGGGATATCTAGGTATTTCCATGCAAACACTTTGGGCTATTTCGATTCAAGAAAAGTCATAACCGTAGAGATGTGAGCAAGAGATCCGATGGAATATACCTAGAAGGGCTGCGTTCACAGCCGCCAAGAACAATGATCCGACATAACCTTGGAAGTGTAGAGAGAATGCTCACTGGCAAGCCACAAGAGGGCGCCATCTTTCAACGCGTGATAAATTAATAAGAGACCTTGATGGCTGAAGAAATTGTATCAAGCAGAAAATGTCATCCTGAAAGGGTCATCAATGACATTTCGAGATGGCGCTATTGTGGGCGATGGTGATTCAGCAATAACCCCCGTCGGGCCCAAGGCCGAATATCCGCAAGACTACTTCACTACATTAGACTGGTTTGAAAGCATGGAAAGCATGTCCGACGTCAGGCGAGAAGATCAATGTAGCCCGCAAGGTCCTTGCAAGTGTCGCAGGAAGCACGGCTCAAGGTTTGATAGGCATCGATAATTTGTCTTGCTCTGCGATTGACTCGCCGGAAATCAAATGATGTCCGCAGAGCCAAATGCTCAAGCACGATGTTCACAATCTCCAGAGGCAGTCTATCGAGCTGCCCGAGACTGTACGTTGAATCTCTGCATTGCCTTCCAAGGTCCAAAGGACACGATAGAACGAGTCCATTGTCATCAAATGTGTAGTCTTTGGCAGGATGTCTTCTATCGGCGTGCTGCTAGTATGCCGTTGAAGATTGAAGTACGCCTGGGTCCATGTGCTCGAGTTCGCAAAGGTTTCGCAGACTGGACTCGAATTCGTATGGGCGCGAGACTGCGCAGTCTTTTCGCTTGGACATGTACTTCGCGTATGTCGTCAAGGATATTGTGAATCATTATTTATCAATGCCTAGGTTTGACTCCTTGAGATGAGAATCTGAAAACACCCATGACACGTCAATAATTGCGGACGCGGCGAGATCCCTCCAAGGCATGTACGTGTATAACGCACGTAGACCTTCTCCAAGCAACAAGCCGTTCAGAGACTCGATCATTCTGGCCGCGTCGTCCCGATAACAACACGTCGCTTGCTCAACGAAATGGCGGGTGCAGATGAACAATGACGGGAAAGTAGCTGTCAAGGAGAATACAAGTGGCGGTAGGCGCGAAGGAGTGGCTCGCGGGCTGTTTCGACGCTGATGACGCGCTGTCGCCCTCATAAATCTGCTGCAGCAAGTGTCATGAAAATGCGCACACGACACCAGTCGGCAAGCCGAACACACACACATTGTTAATCCCAATACTGCTCTATCTCATAACAGAATCGACATCATGGACATTAACAAATACAACTTCTACCCACAAATCATCGACATCCTCACCGCCATTTCTCGAGCTCATTTTGTCGCCGTGGATCTGGAGCTATCGGGTGTGCCCTCCAAAGACTCCCTCAGCACCAAAGCTGGCAAGCAGACCCTACAACAGCGTTACCTCGAAACCAAAGAAGCCGCGGAGCGATATCAAATTCTGCAAATCGGACTGACATGCGTGGAACAAGATGTCGATAGCGACAAATATATCCTTCGTCCTTACAACTTCGACTTGAGTCCCGTCATCAATGAGCGTCTCGATGTGGAACGAATCTTCTCCTTCCAGTCCGGAGCCGCTGAATTTCTTCTTCGAAATGGTTTTGACATGAACAAGCCTTTCGCCGATGGCGTACCATACCTCACGAAAAGCGAAGCGAAAGTGGCTCGTGAGAAACACACCAAGCGACAAGACAAGACCGCGCTGGCAGATATTGTGATCAAGCCCACCGAGACCGAATCTATAGCTTTCTTACAGCGCGTAAGGGAAGAAATCGATGCTTGGAAGTCGTCACGCAGACGCGACACGCCAGAATACCTCAACATTAACTCTGTTGCAGCCGATGTCGCTGCTCAGATGTTCAAGGAAGATGAGATACCTGAAGAACTTTCACGTTTCGAAAAGCGTCTCGTACATCAACTTGTCCGAGCAGAGTACCCAGATCTTGTCACTATCAGCAAACGCGGATTCATCCAGATCGTGCGCTTTAACAAAGCCCGCGAAGACAAGATTTCTGCCGAGCGCCAGCGAGACTTGGAAGAGCGGATTAGTCGTCAAACGGGCTTTGGATGGCTGATCGAAGCATTGCAAGGTAACAACACCACAGGCATCGACCTCCGGGAAATCGCCAAGGATCCTGAGACCGGCGAGCCGATAGTGGCTGACTACGACTACTACAAATCGCGAATCGACCGAGCGCAGTCACTTCTTCGCCACAATCCACGAATCATTGTCGGTCATAATTGTTTCCTTGACCTCATCTACATCTACAATACTTTCATCGGCGCACTACCCGATACCGTTGAGGAATTCCAACAAAATCTTCATTCAGCATGGCCGGTCATCGTAGACACGAAATACATGTCGACTCACAATTGTGGCGACATCAGTCCCGTGAGCTCACTGGAGCAAATCGTACACCAGCTGAGCCAAGAACAAAAGCCCGCGGTCGAAACCTTGGAGACACATGACAAATACCGCGACGTCGAGGCCTTCCACGAGGCCGGCTACGACAGTTATCTCACCGCTCAAGTGGCCGTGAGACTTTCTTCCAAGCTACGCCGAGAAGGCACTTTCTCCGACCTCATTCCCGGCGAGGAGACGAGCATCAGCGATCGTATCGCCGCCATTAATCTCTCCTCAGTGGACACTAAAACTTCACAGTCCGGCTTCACTCCCTCCGATCCGAGCGCCGATTGGAAGAAACCCGGCGACGCAAGTCTCGGCCCACGGAATCCCTACGACGCGATTCCCTATGAAAATTTTGCTGCCAACGGGAATTCCTCCGGCTTCATTGCTCCCAATGAAACCCTTCCCAGCGGCGACGGGATGCCACGCTTCGGCACCGAGTTCTGGAGAATCTACGGGAACAAATTACGCGTGTTTGGGACTTCAGAGGGACTCTTCGACCTCGATCCTCCCGGCGTGACCAATGCGACGGAAGAAGCAAAAGTAGAGGGAGAAAATCAGGAGGACGCGACCACTCAGAATGACAATGCAAAACAGGATCTCGATGTCGTTGAGGGACCGGAGGCCGAAGATGGTGGTGTTGCGGTCTAGAAAGCCGCGCTTATGCAGCTTCTGGCGGAGGAGAAGGATAGGAAGAGGACGAGGGCATATGCGTGTGATGAGGCCGTCGCGCTGTGAAACATGCCCATGTTTCGAGGGCGGGAGCTCATCTAGACGGAGCCAAGTCTTAATAAAAACTGAAATGGCTTTCAACTGCACGACTCGGCTTCATATAGAGTAGAAACTCCTTCAGTAACATGCAAAAACACCGAGATCCTTGCATTCTTGCCCAAAATGGCGTAGTCTCCCCTCACAATTGTTTTGAAGATTTGAAAGTGCAGACTGAAAGGTGGCCTGCACGTCACGGGTTCACAGGCAAATCGAAGGTAGAAGTGTGTACAGGAAGACTTTTCGATCGACGATACGAGAATGATTGATGTTGGAACACAAAAGAACAACCCCGGGCATATCTCGCCCCGTCGCCGATGATGGCTGTCGAAACCTGAAGACAACAGAAGAGCATCACTCCCCCGGAACGCCCCATGACCACCGAAACACCAGGACTAAACGAATAAATGCTGCTGCTGCTGCAATACAATTGCGGATCGTCATGGACATCGTAGAATACAAAACGGCAGTAGTAGTATGAGGCAAGGGAAGAACAGAAATACACAGGTAATTTCCAAGACAGAGGGGAGAGGGTTCACTTCGCCACAGGTGAGGAGACGATCTCATCGAGACCGCCGTCTTTCCTCTTTCTTCTGACAGCCTCTTTCAGCGCAAGAAGTTTCTCCTCCGTCGTGCGGATCGCGCTGTCCATCTCTCTCTCGCTCATGCGTTCGCTCTGCAATTTCTTGCCGAGCGCACTCCTCGCCGCCGCCGCCGAGCTCGCATGGACTTTCTGCTTGTTGCTAGCTGCCGTACCGATGGGGTCGAATGAGCTGGAAAATGGTACGGCGTCCAAGCCATCGAGACCGACACGGTCTTCGAGCCAGTCCCATAGGGAGCTTTCTTCTCGTTGCCAGAGCTCCTCGTAGGCGGCGAGCCGGTCGACACGAGAGGTGTAGAGCGCAGAGGAGTTGAGGGATGAAGCGGAGCGGGAAGGGGGGAAGATCCAGGAGTAGGTGAGGAGGACGAAGAGCACCGCGACTATGACTTGAGAGGTGATGAATGGGCGGACCAGGCCCAAGACGGGTTCGACGATGGGATGGATAGGTTCCAGAATGCCCCAATTGGGCGCCTTGATGTCGTTTGTGGTAATAACATTGCGCATACCAGAAGCTTCGTCGAGATCGGAGGGGTCCTTCTTGCCTTTTCGGCGACCTTTGCGACCGGCTGCGCCAGCTTTCGAGCCTTTCGAGGCAACAGCAGCGCGGACTGTTGCGATGAGACTGTTGACGTATTCCAATTGGCCGTCGTTTGAGGCTTTATCAATGACACCTGCAGGGGTAGGGTTAGCATGAGGTCAACGAATACGAAACAAACGCGATCTTACTCTTGAGCCAACTCTTTCCCGACCATTCGATCGTACATGTGGCGATCATACGGGTAGAGTTGCCAGGTCCCCACATAAGACAATATCGTGTTCGGACGGTAAAGACATTTCCGCTTGGGACATCAGGAGTTTGAGTACTGCAATCGACAGAAACGGACCGATCGAGATCAAAGGCCGTGAGGGTACAAGTCGTGATGCACTTGGTTTGCTTAGGACCCACTGGACCATTGAGAGGCTTGATGTAATTATAAGAAAAGGTCTTGTGGTCGTTATCCAAGCCACCTTCGGGATAATTCAACTCGCGGGATTTCTGATCGTCCACAAGCCATTTTCGCATGAGAGCAGTAGATGCGGGACCGAAAATAAGCGAATATACTTTTCCAAGTGGAGCCGGAATGGTCGTATCGATCAAAGGTCTTTCGTAATGCTCTGCGCCCTCGGTACACTCCGTTGGGGCATGTGTGGCCGGACCGGGAAAGTCACCGCCTGCGGGTGCTGTAGCTCCAGATGCATCGTTATTGTCGACCCCTTTCATGAGCGTTGTCGTGCTGCCAAGTGGTGGGAAGGGCGTGGCATTCCCGGACACTTTTCGATTGACAGGTGTATCACCGGCCTCACTCGCTGCTGCACTACCAGCACCTGCGTCAGTGTAGCTGCCGACCTCATCTTCTTCGTCCTCATCGTAAATCTCATCTTCTGAGCCTTCATCACTCTCGCCGTCGGAATCGTCGGGATCCGCAAGTTCTGTCTTGTCGCCAGTACCGGCATTGTCTAACATGACACCGTTGAGTGAGCTCTTGAGATTAGGGTGATTGGTTTTCCAAATCCCTATCAACAGTTCGTAAGTCGAATCACGAGCGACAAAACTGGCGAACGTGTTGCGCGCATGCGGCGTGGAGATGACAAGCGCGTTGGGAAAGATGACCGCAGTACTCTTCTTCTCCACAGACATGAGCTCATCGAAGCTGATAACAAGATTCGTCACCCATCCAAGAATATTGCTAGAGAAGCAGATATGGCCTTCTGAAACATAAAGTCTACCATGCAGTAGTATGTCCCTTTGCAGTGCGGCGCTGTAGTCTTCGATGAGATAGTCATCCTCGGGCACACTTCGAAATAGTTGATGGAAATCTCGATTTCGTTTACTGCTGGCGACCGCAAATCCTGTTTGCCGATGAGCGAGTCCTGGATTCGCAAGGCCGATCCCGCTGTCTTTGATGGCCGCAGCAATAGAATTTGAGGTACCAGCCGTGGCAGAGCTGGCACGGTGTCTTCGGCGGCCACCGGCTCCTGTGCTGCGGACACTCGCGGATCTTTTAATGTCGTTATCATTGACGGCCCTCGGAGGAGTCTGATCACCACCTACGTCGAATTGCTCGTTGGAGATTATCGACGCCGGTCGCCCAGTGCTATTGGCGCCTGTTATGTTGCCCGATGCCGTGTTTACTGATTTCTGGTATGCAGATGACACAGCGCGCGCCGCCGCTTCTTGTTCCAATTTGCGTCCATTTTCTGCTTTCTGTACATTGTCGCCCTGAGGCAGCAGGCTGACGGTAGAGGCCATCGGGCTGACCGAATGAGAGTCGGCGATGCCCAAACTACTCAGGCTGAGGTTGCCTCTTCCAAGGGCTGCAGTGATTGGGTGTGCAGAACTCTTGCTGGACTCTGATCGACCCCTGACACTCGCAGTCTGGATACTGTCTTGGTCGCCTTCAGCTCTTGGCTTTGCAGGATTATCAAGTTTCGGCGATGACACCGCAACCAAGTTGATACTGTTCGTCAATTGGTCGGCAGCCTTTTGTGCTACAGAAAATACAGAAGAAAAGAAACCAGATGAGGGTGGTTGAACGATAGTTCCGCCAGGAGTTTTTGTTTCCTCAATTGGTGGTGTAAGTGGGGCAAAGAGCGAATTTGATATCTTCCCTGCGAATGTCGCTGACTGCCCTCGCCGATGCTTCAAAGTATCTCCCGCGTTGCCTTGTGGATTCTCGTCAGATTGAGGTCGTAAAGACTGGCCACTCAAGACTTCCGGCAAGCGTGGAAAGGAGTCGGAGAATAGGACAGGCGTCGGTGGAGTGACAACGGTGGCTGGTGCACGATCAGGATTCGGGGGAGTAGACGGCAGGGTGAGAGTCCTCAGTGGTTGACCACTGCTCGGATGGATTCCCTTTACACGTCTGCTGTCTGGAGTTTTCGTTTTGCCGGAACCTTCTCCTGATTGAGCCTTCGTTGACTCTGTTGAATCGTTGAAACGCGAATGAGCTGTAGGCTTTCCCGTATCATTCTCTGCCGGTTCGCTGATAACCTCGCTCCTGACAGTCTCCTTGCTCTTTACAGATTTTTTTTCGACGGCATTGGAAGCAGGCCGAATCAAGTCTTTTGACGAGGGAAATACGAACTCATCTGCAGCACCAACAAGTTGCGGCGCGGTAGAGTTGCCTTTCGGGGCCGAGTCGGCTGTTTTGGAAGGCTTTGGTATTTGGTTTGGCGTATGGGAGGTGATTTCAGGTGCAGAAGTAGTCAGATATCCGGCATGTGAGGGTCGTGATGTCAAGGGAGGTTTGCTATTTTTCGGAAAGCGTGTCAATAATATCCCAGTAAGAGTGCAATTCGAGATGACGATATGATCTGCAAAGCCCGCCGGTGACTTTGAGACGACAGTGACGGAGAAACCAATGTGCTGCAAAAATATAGATAGGAAATATGAAGATGTGTATGGGTAGGTATCCAATGAATGATCGTGTAGGTGTCAAGAACCAAGTATTCAAACATGAAGCGTCATGTCGATAGTAGCCATGCGCAAAAAGAGCAGCCTGGCAGTAAGTGGAGATTGTCGCTGACAATCAATCGGCGACAATGATGCAGCAAATGGGCCCTGGCAGCTGTAGACTTCCAGACGCTGACGCCAAGCGGGACCAAGCGAGAACGAGCCGACTCAGCAGCGGCTCCAGGCACGGCTGAGCCCAAAGCCCCGCCAAGCTGGGAAACTGTTTGGCCCGCCAGCCCGCTTGCCTGTCCCCGGTCGCTGCTATCGTCTCTAGCGGCCTGGGGAAAGCTGCGACGACTTTCCACTCTTGTGTTGCTCGTGCAAGAGCAAACCGTGGAGAAGGATATAGTACGTCATGTGTTTCCCCATGGCTTTCGATAATGCGCAAACAGCGCCATAGTAATTGGAGATGCTGCCGAAGCGAAGGGAATCTGCGGAAGAGGATGCAATGTCTGTGGAGGAATGTGGAAGGAAATGTCGAGACTCACCTGTCGTGATCGGAATTGTCATCGGTAAATAGGCTGCTGCTTCCGCTGCCTCGCGCATCAAGTAAAGAGGACTGTGATCGATTATCACCCAAGGAAAGGCTACCAAGTTCGGATCCAAGGTTGACAGAACCGCTGAGACTAGGACTCCCGGCATGGTCTGTTGGCTTCTTCTTTTTGCGGGTAAGCAATGCAGACAGCCTCCGACCAGGAACATCAACGCTACTGCGGCGCTCATCGACGGAAAGCGAACGCTGACTGTGTGCTTTCTCGACAGTCAAATTCGTCCGAGACTTGTTGGAGCTATCGTCCGGTCGAGTGTCGGTGTCGTCTGTGATGCTCGCTGTCAAGGAGGTCGTTGATTGACCTGCACCGCGGTTGCGCCGTAGTCTGCCTAGTACGCCAACACGTGGCGAAGATGTGTCTACGCCATCGGGCTGTGACGACGCCATGGTTGATATCTCGCAGGCGGTGACGTTAGAATGCTGTGCTCATATCCAATTAAGCCAGTCCTGGAGTGTGCAATTGTTGGTATCGAGCTCGCGTTGGCAGGAACGCAGGGCAGGGTCCAGGCGGTCACCGATGATCAAAGACTTTGGGAAGTTGGCGAATGAGTCGGCCTCGGTCTGGGGGAGCAGTCCTGATGTGTGTCGAGAGAGCGCGCAATTATCTCAACGAGTGGCGAGGAGTAGAGTGGCGCATGGCCGTAGCATGTGAGTTGATTGGGACGCTGCGTACGTGAATCAAAGTTGGATGCTGTGGAGACAGAAGGATTGCAATCGCGATTCTGGCAACGTTCACTACATGATGATATGTGGGGCGCGCGATTCGCATGGTTGCCATGCGCCGCTTAGGGTTCCGAAAAGCAAGAACGTCTGGGCGGCGCATGACTCGGGTAGGGTCGGGCGTCATAGGCATCGGACTATACGTGAACATAACACTCTCCGGGGGAGGTCGCTGATGACGATAACCGTTTGCAGCACCTTTCCGAAAGATGAATGGTGATCGTCGCTTATCTCCGTTCCTTGTGTGCAAACTTGACGAGGCAGACGCAAGCCACAATTTGGAGTAAATCTTCGCTGAACTTTCACAACGGTCATGCTTCGGGGCAATGATCTAAGACCGCATCCACGAGACACGACATGTCATCATGAGCAGGAATCCGATCAATCGGATGGGAAGAACATGCAAAGAGCGGATATTGGGCCTCACAATCGACAGTAGAAAAAGAAACCAGCGCAGGCTCTCCCACTTGGAAAGCTGGAAGGAGTCCACGATAATCAAACATGATCAGCTTTAACATTTAAAAAGAACGATCCGCGAAAATTCCCTGCCACGCCGGGCAACACCAACATTCAACATATGAGAGAATCTCAATAAAAAAAGAATGAATAAATACAAGCAAGCTTTCCACAAATTTCGTCTCGTCGAAGTTCACCATTCGCTTAGTTCTTCTTCGCGGCAAGACTGTGCTCGGCCTCAACGACCTTCGTGGGAATCTTTTGCCGAAGGCGGTTGGCGATGCGCGAACCACACAGCTGGTCGATGTCCTTGCGGTCGAGGTAGAATCGTCGCGTGCCTGGTCGCGGCCGTGACATGACTGATTGTGTCTGTAGACTCTTTGTCAGGATGAAGGTCAAGATCATCAAGTGCAACTTGTGTTGGATACCTCTGCTGCAGGAGGCGCAATCGCGTCAGTGGTCAATTGCGAACGGAATGATGTTTGTTCGGACATGTTTGAAGTGGACGCCGTCGCGAATTATTTATTCTAGTATGGTTTGTTGAGCGTTTGGACTGATAACGGTATTTGCTTGCGCTGGGGTAGAAGTGCGAGCTCTCTCGGTTGGACTTGGTTCAGCCTAACGGTGGTCAAGGAATGTCGGGTAAGGATTGACTGTAATGAATGACTAGGATGAAAGAGCAGATGCCTGTCTATAGTTGCAGGTGGAGGTCGCCAGCAATTATGAATGGGCGCTGGAGCCCCTTTATGAAGTCAATTAGCGTAGAATTTTAAGATTTGGTGGACAGACGCGAATCCTCCCTCCACATGAATACGACCGCAGCACGCTTGCCAAGGACACTCGGTCGGTCCATGGAGCGGACAACGTGATGCGGCGAACGGACAATCATGCAGCTGAGCTGGTGAGATTCTCGTTGGAAGATCTTGGGCTGCAGATGACTTGTTGGATGCCCTGCGAAACTCCGGGATGTAAGATCGTCGGCGGTGCGGCAAATCCGCCGACACACACACTCTCCGGGCGGAAGCAGGACAGTCAGTTCTCCAGGAAAACGTTGCATCGCGTGATGTGACGCCAGAGGTTATCGGAATAGGCTATTGCTACATTAATAATACCATTGCATACGCGGAATCACAGGTCCATTTTATGCACTCTCTTGCCTGCTTGACTTAGTCTCCGGACAACCTTGGAGGCGCCAAATAGCGCTCGATATTATCATCATTCCATACCAGACAGATGAAGGGGATTTCACCTCCGCAATATCAATTGATCAATACGCGCGAAAACCCGCGACAAACCACCCGACGCCTTCGCGAATAGATCATTGACGTCCGCGACCGATGAATGGCTTCATCGCCAGGCTGTGTAGAAGAAGAGTACGATAGCATTGCGCCATGAGCAAAGTGCTCCGCATGTGTAGTGCGGAACAGATCAATGCCGCGATGACTGCACTGTCACATTATTTGAAGTTGTGCAATCTAGCCTGCGGACTACCGTTGTCCGTGCTGGCTGTGAAGATATACCTAGGTAGGTAGGTAGGTAACGCGGGGAACCCCAACGCGGTCCATACCCCAACGCGGTCCACAATTTTGAACACAACAACGCGTCAACTTCAACACGCAATGGCTACACCAAAACGCGTGCAATCGTCCCTAAAAGAGGGGAGTCTATTGCTTGCGATGTCAGCTGTCAGATCAGGTGCCAGCCGCTCCGTAGCAGCGGCAGCGAGAGACTATAAGGTCTCAAAAACGACGTTGCTCCGGAGACTCAAGGGAATCCCCTCTCGAGAAGATTGGAAGCCAGGGACTCTGAAGCTCAGTCCTATTGAAGAGAGTGTCCTTGTTCAAGACATTCTTCAGCTGGATTCACAAGGGTTATCGCCTACAATCGCCCTGATTGAAGCAATAGCAAACAGTATATGCAAA